TGTTCTTTGTTAAGAAGAAGGATGGATCGCTCCGCTTGGTCCAGGACTACCGGAAGCTCAACAGCATGACGGTCAAGAATCGGTACCCACTTCCGCTCATCTCGGACTTGGTGGATAAACTCCGGAACGCTCGCTACTTCTCCAAGCTCGACGTCCGGTGGGGCTTCAACAACGTCCGGATCAAGGAGGGCGACGAGTGGAAGGCCGCGTTCCGGACTACGTGCGGACTCTTCGAACCGTTGGTAATGTTCTTCGGACTAACAAATAGCCCATCCACCTTCCAGACCATGATGAACGACCTCTTCCGGGAGCTCATTACGGAAGGTGTGGTCATTATCTATCTGGATGACATTCTGATCTACACCAAGACGCGCGAAGAGCATCGCCGGGTCCTCAGGCGTGTCCTAGAGATCCTCCAGCGGAACAAGCTCTTCCTCCGAGCGGACAAGTGCGATTTCGAGCAGACCAAGGTGGAGTATCTCGGAGTCGTCATCTCTGAGGGTAAGATCGAGATGGACCCCGTGAAGGTCTCCAGAGTTGCGGACTGGCCGACCCCTCGGACTCGGACTGAACTCCAATCCTTCCTTGGGTTCGTCAACTTCTACCGCTGGTTCATCAAGGACTACTCGCATATTGCCCGGCCTCTCTTCGACCTCACTTGCGCAAAGGAATGGCAGTGGAACGACTCCGCTCAATCCGCATTTCTTCGGATCAAGGAGCTGATCACTTCGGAGCCCGTTCTGGTCTTTCCGAAGGAGGATCGGCCTTACCGGGTTGAAGCGGACTTGTCGGATTACGCTACGGGTGCAGTCTTGTCGCAACTGGATCCGGATGATGGTAAATGGCATCCTGTCGCATTCTACTCTAAAAGTCTACAGGCTGCGGAGCGGAACTACGAAATACACGACAAGGAGATGCTTTCAATCATCCGGGCACTCGAAGAATGGCGACACTACCTTGAAGGCGCGGAGACTCCGTTCGAGATCTGGACGGACCACAAGAACCTGGAGTACTTCATCAAGGCCCAGAAACTCAATCGTCGTCAAGCCCGCTGGTCGCTATACCTCTCCCGCTTCGACTTCACTCTCCAGCACCGTCCGGGTCGGACAATGGGTAAGCCGGATGCTCTCTCGCGCTGCTCGGATCACTCGGATGGTAAGGATGACAACAAGGATGTGGTTTTACTTAAGCCGTCCTACTTTGCCGTCCGTGCCACGGGTGTCACTCTTGAAGGGGAGGAGAAGGATATCCTCACGGCTATCCGGACTGGAGTGCGAGATGCGAAGTTCGAAGACGCAGTGGCAAAGGCGGCAGAGGAGCTGAAGAAGACCCAGGGCAGTCGCAAGACAGTCCGAAGTGCGGAATGGTCCCAATCGGACGGACTCCTCATGTTCCGGGGTAAGATCTACGTTCCGGACTCACCGGACTTGCGTCGGACCATTGTAGCCCAGCACCATGACACTAAGGTCGCAGGACACGCTGGCAGATGGAAGACCCTAGAGCTCATTTCGCGCAGCTACTGGTGGCCCAACATGTCCCGGTACGTCGGATCCTACACCCGCCATTGCGACCTCTGTCTCCGGACGAAGGCCCAAAGGCATCCGCCCATGGGTGAACTCCATCCGCTTCCCATTCCGGATGAACGCTGGGATCGCCTGAGTGTTGACTTCATCGTCGAGCTTCCGGAGTCTGATGGGTTTGATGCTGTCATGAACATGGTCGACTCCGTAAGCAAACGCGCCCACTTCATTCCAGCTCACACCACAGTGTCTGCCCTCGGATCCGCAAACTTGTACCTGCAGAACGTCTGGAAGCTGCACGGACTCCCTCGGTCCGTTGTGTCCGACCGGGGTCCGCAATTCGTCGCAGAGTTCACCCGAGAAGTCTACCGGATGCTTGGAATCAAGCTGGCTGCCTCCACTGCGTACCACCCTCAGTCCGACGGACAGACGGAACGGACCAACCAGGAACTCGAGTCCTATCTCCGGATCTTTGTCGGAGAGCGTCAGGATGACTGGGCTCGCCTCCTACCTATGGCGGAGTTTGCGTACAACAACCGGGTCCATGCGTCCACTCAGCAGTCACCCTTCCTCCTGGATACTGGCCGTCATCCTCGTCTCGGGTTCGAACCTCATCAGCCACCGTCTCAGATGGAGTCCGCAAACGAGTTCATAGACCGGATGAAGTCCGCAGTCGACGAGGCTCAGTCCGCATTGGTCAAGGCTCAGGACGACATGAAGCGCTACTATGATCAGCGTCGGACTCCCGCTCCGGAGTACCAACCGGGTGACAAGGTTTGGCTGGACTCGTCGGACATCAACCTTGCCCGACCCTCCTGGAAACTCGGACACGCACGACTTGGTCCTTACAAGGTCGTCTGGAAGGTTGGCAAGGCAGCGTACCGGCTCCAGCTCCCTCCGGGCTTATCCCGTCTCCATCCCGTCTTCCCCGTGGTCAAACTCTCTCCCTTCGTTCCGGACCCCATCCCGGGTAGACGCCCTGTCGCTCCGCCACCTCCGCAGCTCGTTGACGGAGAAGAGGAGCATGAGGTAGAAGAGGTCCGAAATAGCAGACAGTTCGGTCGGGTCCTGAAGTATCTGGTGCGCTGGCGAGGCTATGGTATCAAGCACGACTCCTGGGAGCCCGCGAGCAACCTCCAGCATGCCGCCCGGAAGGTCAATGTTATGGTCCGGTCTGTTCCGAATACTATCTTTCCTGATATCTTATCTAAACGCGCAGGACGCGCCTATTACTAATTCACATTACGGTACCTTAGTAAGATCCTCACGCACAACACATGTCCGCAGTACATTACCAAGCACCTCATGGAATCGGTGCGCGTTCCATGGAAAGACGGCTGCAGTAGGCATGTAGTAGTACATGAGGGTTACGCATGTATTTTAGTATTTAAGTACCAATAACAGGCCCTAGAACGCTAGCTCGTTCTCTTGGGATTTCCACTAGTAATAGTGAGAACTAAGTCAACTAAGCTATTTCATCTATTCTTTTGGTTTTAGTATTCTTGTGGGAGCCACGTTAGTCTTTGACTAGTGTCGCCCTAACAGTCAAGGACTTCCATGATCGTCACCCGGACGCAGTACGCGTACTCCGGACGAGTCCGATGAATCTGACGACTGCTCTACCTCTCCGGATGACTCCTGCAGCACTGGACCAGTCCTGGGAGCGTTGGCGCAGTCGGAAGGCTCCGGGCTCCGCACAGTCGTACTTCAACATCTTCTCGCAGCAGTCCGGAGTTTCGGGGTTGGTGAATTCATGGCGCGGCAGGCAGGAATCTTCGCGTCGGGTCGCCGCAACCTTGAAGGGGGGGTGATGTAAGGGGACACTCCTATTTTCTCCTATTCCCCCTGTCCCGCCCCCTTCCTCCTCGTTCCTTTCCCCTTTCCTTCATCCCCTTTCCTTTCCTTTGTCCCCTTACCTTTCCGCTTCCCTTCCGTTCACTCCCTTCGCATCCGAGCCCCGTCCGGTGACTCCGAAGTCTTCCCGCACTTCGGACTCGCCTCGGACTCGCTCGGACACTTCGGACTTGCTCGGACTCGTAGATACACTTTGGGGCTCGTCCGGGCTACCTCTATCCTCCTTTCCCACTTCATTACTCCTTGTCCCCACTTCCCCAGGTCGCTGGCACGACTCCTGTACATCCCCCTTCCACTTCATTATCACATGTTTCCTTGTACCTTGTGATATTCGTTCAGACCTGTGGCTGGTGTACTGTACAGTTATCCTGCATTCCTCTCACGCTACTACAGTATATACTTCGCTCCCTAGCATGGAGAATCCCCATCCTGTTCTCTTTGGATTCTCCCTCTGCTAGGTGAGCAGCTCTCTCATGTATTGTAGTTAGTCTTATTCATTTCTTTGGATTCTCCCTCTGCTAGGCTTGCGCTCTGCTAGGCTTGCGCTGTGTGGCCATCTTGAGGTTGCCCTTACACCTCACCCTGCTTCGGCCTTGAAACAGACAAAAGTGAGACATCAACGAAATGGTGACCTATGGTTGATCACTGTACACCAAACTCTCAACAACCGTGCCACAATTATCACAGCTTACTGCATCATTGCTGGGATTCCCTGGGTAGCATAAAGTGTTGGATTCTGACAATCTAGGCAGTACAGGGGTTACAGGGGTTCACGTGACTACGTAGATAGTTCGCGCGTGCATGTATACTTTTTCTTCATGCGTTTGCTGGAGTCTCAGCCAAACGCAATACATACCTGCTTGCTCACTCGGAATTCGCGCGACCTCACCAGCTTATTTCAACATCAAGTTGGTGTCTTTCTGTCCAAGACAACTTGCGGAGAGGCTCGACTGTCATCCTCTCGATATAGAGGTTGTTCCGCAGCCTAGGGCATCCATTGCAAACACTAGCGGCTTCAATGAATTTCCCATGCAATTTTGCTTCAAGGTAGAATCATTAACATGCCTAACAAGAGCTGAAGATGCTTCCGATGAGCAAGGGCATCTGCAGAATCCTAAATACTCACGTTGGGCCTCACATGCACACCCCGAAATCGTTAACTCCTAGTCCATATATATATTGTTGAATAAACCCGCGGTGTCAGCCGCCGCAGAGCTCATGCCCCTGTTTGAGGTGTCGAATAGATTGCGTGCAAAAGGGCAACAAACATTCATTGCGCAAAGGGCCTATCTAATCATGATTGCGTGTTATCGGTGAGCCACCCTACCCCCTATCAACCAGGCAGTAAGTATACGAAACTAGATGCAGCGGAACACTGTCTGCTACCTTAAGTACAATACTGGGGATAGAAGTGAGCGAGGTGTTCGTTATGGGATAGGTGGCGGACTCGCGGAGGGGGTTCTGATACGTGCCTTCTTCACCTCAGCGAGAGGTTGCTAGCAGACACGTCCCCGGTTTTCCTACCATGTGGTCGAGTCACTCGTCTGAGGCAGTGTCGTTTGGGAAGTCTCTATCTTTGTATTGATGCAAGGATAACAATGAGGTGAATGATAAGAGAAACTAAAATTACAACTTCTGAATAACCAGCGCCGATGCAGCGCCACCCTAAGGAGGACACGGTCAATTAAATCATAACGCACGTGGATGCGCCCATGGACTTACCCCATTGCAGATACCTGCAGCGCCGTACTCGCCGGACTTCAAGGCGTGGACAAGAGAGACGATGATACGGGATCCTGAGTTGCCGATGGCATGGCCGAGAGCGACAGCGCCACTGTAGAATGATGAGAACCAGAGCGCAACGCAAGTGAGACTAAACGTACCCGTTAACGTTCACCTTCGCTGGATCAACGCCGAGAACCTTCTCAGCAATGCGAACGACTACCGAGAAAGCCTCGTTGATCTCAAATAGTGAGATGTCGTCGACTGTGAGGTTGGCTTTTTGGAGGGCGATGGGGAGGGCAACTGTGGGAGCGACAGGGAAATCGATGGGTTCGACACCAGCATCGGCATATGCTGATAGTCATATGTCTAGGTCAGGTGCCAGAATATTTAATATCTACAATCAAATACGTACAGATGACTTTAGCGAGGGGCTTTATGCCGAGTTCCTTCGCCTTTTCAGCAGACATGAGGATGAGAGCAGAGGCACCATCGTTGAGGTTGGAAGAGTTGGCAGCGGTGATGGATCCACCCTGCTTGAAGGCCGACTTGAGCGACGGCACCTTCTCGTAGATGACACGCTTGTATTCCTCATCCTCCTTGAAGATGGTATCACCCTTCTTGCCCTTGATCGTTATCGGTGCGATCTCAGCATCGAACACGCCTGCCTTCCATGCACGTTCCGCTCGCTTGTACGACTCAATGGCATGCGCGTCCTGTGATTCACGGGTGATCCCGAACTTCTCGCCAGCTGACTCGCCACAGTTGCCCATGGCGAAGTTGTTGTAGACATCCCAGAGACCGTCGTTCTCCACCGAGTCTCTAACCTCAAACTTGCCAAAGAGGGGGTTCTGCCGGGGAAGCAGGAAGCTATATTGAGATGGAATGAGCGATCGGGGGCAATAGACGCGACAAGGCCTAAACGTACGGAGCATTGCTCATACTCTCCATTCCTCCGGCGACAACGACACTGCGGTCACCGGCACGGATGCTCTGAGCAGCCAGTATGATGGACTTCATTCCGCTAGCGCAGACCTTGTTTATCGTGGTGGCATCGGAACTTGTCTTCATGCCGGAAGCGAGAGCGACCTGGCGAGCGGGGGATTGACCAACACCAGCTTGGACAACGTTTCCAAAGTAGATCTCCTCGGCAACAGCGGGGTCGACGCCTGATGTTTCGAAGGCATGCTTGAGTGCTACGGCACCGAGCTGAGGGGCAGTGAACGACTTCAAGGCTCCGTTAAGCGAGCCGACAGCCGTACGCGAGGCAGCAACAATAACAGCTTCAGTGGACTGGCCAGCTGGTCAGCAGAGAAACCAAATGAGCAGCAGCAAAGCAGACATACCATTTTGCGAGCAACAAGGGAGATGAAGGAACGAGGGGAGGAGCGAGGAAGAAGACGCGCTGGAAACATTGACTTTTATTGGTGATGCAGGGATAAGGATAATAATCTGTGGCCAATCAGATAGCTGATGTCTGTCTCAGATCGTACGACGAACAAGGAATGAGACGATCCGACAAAAAGTGAGCGTTTTTCAAAGAAGGTGGAACAAGAAATGCAGAACTCTCACCAAACCAATTACATACCAAGCTCCGGGTCAAGGAACTCCCCTGTCCGGGCAAGTGCAGTCGCAGCGATTTCATGTGGAATTGGAGAAACATGCATTTGGGACAAGACGGAGATAAGTACAACAGTGATAGCGGTCTACTCTAGATCTACGGCCGTACCAACGACCATGAACCACGTTTCCAGCCAGCGGACCAGGCGGCTTTCATCATTCCAATCAGGATTGTGCTGTATTTCATCCATGAGCTCACCTACCACATTCGCCGTTTCGCAGGGATGGAGATACCAGGATGGCGATCCTAATACGGGATGGTCGCCTTGTGAGAGAAGGGGAAACGCTGCATCTCCTGCGCTAACGGCAAATGTCGTAGCCTTGGTGTCTTCACGGATGGAGGAACGGAAGAACGCCGTTTCAAGAATGTCAGAAATTGGCAAGGGGCTGCCATCTGCAAAATGAGTTGTGGTGCAAGCTAATATTACCGGCAAGCTGCTGTATACCCACTCGAATCGAAGATGTTGAAATAGAACGCTGGCACCTGGAAACTGGCCGAATAAGCGACATGCTGATGGCACGACAGACTCTCGGTAGCCGTGGGCTTTGTCGCAGCTTCATCGGCCTCTTGATCCTCGCTGTCCATGTCGTAGATTGTCCGGTGCAGCATAACCGTTCGAGTCAAAAAGCCCATGCTAGGAACGTACTGGAATATCCGTTGAGAACGCGTCAAAGCCAGAAATGAGGCCCCGCACAGCATGCTCTTTCCAGCACCACCCACTTAGGCCAATTCCTGGCGAGCTAGAACCACCATCGTTATGTTTGGAGACAAATGCCTGACAAGCTTCGTTGAATTGGGAGCGAGTGAGAAAGGACGGCATGAACAGATGTTGCCTGAACGAAAGAGCGCCAAAGCTTGGGCGCCTGGAAATTGCCGTAAGCTGTATAGCTCTCGAAAATAAAGTTTTCAGCCACTGTCCCATACGCAGCGTCTAAATTCATAGACCTCGTCAAACGCAACACCGAGCCCGACCAACTGCCGGCACACTCCATCTCGCGGTCTCACCCCCACCGCACATCACTCGACCTCAATCATGGCTGTAGGAAAAGTGCGTTTTACTTCTCTTCGTTCTGGATTACAGCTACTGATGCGAATCGTTGACAGAATAAGCGGCTCTCCAAGGGCAAGAAGGGTATCAAGAAGAAGGTCGTCGACCCCTTCTCTCGCAAAGGTGTGCACTGTCTACTAGTGGGAGTGACCGTGAAGCTGAACCCATTGCAACAAGACTGGTTCGACATCAAGGCTCCTTCAATTTTCGAGCAGCGCAACGTTGGCAAGACATTGACGAACCGATCTCAGGGCCTGAGTATGCATATCTTTCATACATCCAAGAGAGCAGAATTTTGATCCTTGCTCTAGAAAACGCCAATGACTCGCTGAAAGGCCGCATCATCGAACTCTCCTTGGGTGATCTCAACAAGGAGGAGGATCTCTCTTTCCGCAAAATCAAGCTACGCATCGATGAAGTCCAGGGCAAGAACTGCCTCACGAACTTCCACGGCATGGACTTCACCTCCGACAAGATCCGCTCGCTCGTCCGCAAGTGGCAGACTCTCATCGAGGCCCACGTCGATGTCAAGACCACTGACGGCTACCTTCTCCGCCTCTTCGCTATCGGCTTCACGAAGCGACGACCAGAGCAAGTGCGCAAGACCACCTACGCTCAGTCAGCGCAGATACGGGAGATTCGCAAGAAGATGTTCGAGATCATGACGCGGGAGTCGACCAACTGCGACCTGAAGGAGCTGGTGCAGAAGTTCGTGCCGGAGGCTATTGGACGGGAGATCGAGAAGGCTGCGCGCAGCATCTACCCTCTGCAAAACGTCTACATCCGCAAGGCGAAAATCCTGAAAGCACCCAAGTTCGACATGTCAAAACTTCTTGAGCTCCATGGCGAATCAACAACTGTGAGTACCCGACCGCGCGTGTTGAGTTATTTTGCTGACGCTACGATGTAGGAGACGGGAACGCGGGTCGTTAAGGACTACAAGGAGCCGGAGGTTCTCGAATCCGTATAATCTAGCATTCTCTCTCTTCATATGTCACTTATGCTCTCGCTGTACCTTTTGGGAGATTCAATATGAGCATATGTATTCATCCATGCCCATCAATTAACGCTTGCATTCACGTACTTTCGATGTGCCGTAAGACATTTGCAGTTGTGCAAGGTAATATCAAACTTTGCGCCATGCACCATTGTGATATATCAGCCCGATCGATTGAAATGTTGAACACTATGTCCGCTCCCGAGCGGGCGTGCGGTCTTCATAACCTACGACCATGGCTGATATCGAGATCATCAGGAGTCAACTCAAAGCTCATCCCGACTTCCCCAAGAAGGTCAGTGAGCCAACAATTTTCATAACTGAAGTAGATATCGAACTGAAAGTACCCCTAGGGCATCGTTTTCCTAGACATCTTCCCTCTTCTGCGGAATCCGTTGACCTTCGAGGTTCTAATCACACATCTCGTCCACCACTTGATCTCGGAAACCCTCATCAAGACTCCAAACCGCAAGATCGACGTCGTAGTTGGCCTTGATGCTCGTGGTTTCTTACTGGGGCCCATCATCGCGCTGAGGCTCGGTGCAGCCTTCGTACCCGTTCGGAAGCAGGGCAAACTTCCAGGAGAATGTGTGTCAGCAACCTATGAGAAGGAATATGGAACGGTGGGCGATGATTTGAGTTAGCTTGACGAGAAGATAATTTAGCCGTAATGACCAGGATTCGTTCGAGATGCAAGCAGATGCCATTCAACCGGGTCAGAGTGTAGTTGTGATAGACGACTTGATTGCCACAGGTTCGTCCCTACAGCTGCGTACACGATCTCCCTAACTCGTTGTACAGGCGGTTCTGCCAAAGCTGCGGGGGAGTTGATCGCTCAACAAGGCGGCAAGACGCTCGAATATCTCTTCATCATCGAGCTCTCCTTCCTCAACGGCGCCTCAAAACTAGACGCACCAGTCTACTCCATCGTCCAGGAAGATTGAAGATCCCAATCGCCATGCTTAATTTATCAATTCAATAATTGAGTATTAACTAAAGGATGCCCGTTAAGATACAATATCCGTTTCTTGGTCTGCTGTGTCCGTGATGGAAGTTCTGCTGGAATGTGTCCCTCGTCATGCATGGCTGGCTGGCCTTCAGGGACCAGCGTCACTACCAGTCTGCCCATCCCAGTAGACTCCGTGAGTTTTAGCAATTGGTCTACCACAAAGCCGCTCGACGGGGGCAGCACGACGAGAGCAACGTCGCTGATGTCGCCCGCCTGATCGAGATCTTCTGCGTCTGCAGACGGATTCAATCGCGACTCGATGTCGCTGATAACGATGACGCCCGATGCTCCTGCGGATTTAGCGTGCAGGAGCTTCTCTACGAACGTGCATTCGCCTCTACGTACGAGCACAGCAGCTCCGTCGAAGTCGCGCTCGTAAGGGTTGCACCCAAGCAGATTTGAATCTTCGCTGGCGACGACGACACCCTCGCCATGGGCGAATTGAATTGGCTCGGACCCGGGCTCGGAGACTAGCTTCCCTCCAAACGTGCTTGTCCAAGCCGTCATCACCGCATCGAGCTCAGAGGAGCCGTCAATCGTGCTGGCTCGAAGCGTTGGGTCCATGAGGTCCACGAAAAATCGCAGTGGCACAACACCATCTGAGTGGGGTGCTGGCGGTAATGGCGTTTGCTCAACGTCCTTCTTCGGTCCGAATAGTGCAGTGTCGTTGATGTATACAATTTGGCCCGTCTTTACAGCATGTGGCCCCACTGGAATAACTTCAGTAAAGTATCCACGCGAGTTTCATTGGGAGATGCATACGTTTAGTAATGTCGTATCCTTTCCCGTCTAGGCGTCGAACGATATGCGTGCGTATTCCAGTAATATTGTGTATTATATATCCGCCCGAGATAGCGGCGAGCTTGAGTTGAGATGGCAATGGGTCTTCTGGCGTAGCTTGCCCATCAGCAGACAATATAAAATCATAAGACTGTTATACGTCAGTGCGGGCGCAGGCTCAGAAATGGTTGGGAAGCGAACATATGTCTCGACTTTGGGTTGCTCGCACCAGCCGTCTGAGGACGAGGCGTCTCGATCGGCGGAATCGGGAAGCAACGCCAATAGCTCCCTTGAATAATCTATATCGCTGCGAGAGCGTATCCCTAGCGTGAGGCCGCGGCCTCTTTTCGGCTTCTTCTGATTAGGGTATGAATGAACGAATGGGTGGTATGCTGGGCATTGGTGGCTTTCGTTTTGGCGAAATTGCAGGCGTGCTGGGGGTACGGGCCGAAGGAGATGCCGTGGGAGGGTCAAAAGATGGCCTTCAGTCGTGAACACGTAGTTTGAGTCGTCACTATGAAGTGGGTTCTCTTCGTCAAAGAGAAGGTAGAGATACTAACGGATGATGATGAAATTAATCATTTATCAGTAGCATAAAAATTTCGTGCATACCTTGAGGGTTTCAGATAACGCAAAAGATTCCATCCGATCATCTCTTTTGTTGGTTCGTAGATCAGCAATCCCAGTCAGACCACACCCAACTTTGGCGCGGTTCTCTAAGTCTTCGAAGATGCGTTCCCCGACGTCTAGGTAGAATGTATCGCGAGTGGCCTATTAGACCTTATAAGCTTCGTAGGACTATGAATTGAGCAAATACTCACTCTGTATAAATACCAGGTAGACTCAGCAAGCTCTACATGAAGGTGCGATCAGTCGAGAGCATACCAGCAGTGACATACCACCCACCAGGCCGAAGCGGATACTGGAAAGAAGTAGCCGTCTTGAAGTTTGTATCGTACACTTCTGGGAGACCAGAGTGAGCTCGCCACAAATTCCAATCTGTTGGTAAATCAGTCAAATCAGTCATTGGGGCGATACTTAGTCAATGAGAACCATACACATCATATGAGACTTGATAGCATTCTGGACGTCGCCAGAAAGTACTTGCAAGCCCGGCCAGAAAGCTGACAGAGAATCGATAGTATAATACGAGACGTCGCCACTGTGGATGTTCACATTGCGGTACTATTCCACAACATGAATAAACTGAGGTAGAAAGAGATAATATATCTCACCCAATAGCCTACGAAATAGATCAGGGCAAGAACGAATGCAGACTGGAATACGTACCGTCGATTGCGCGAGAATACCGCATTAGCGCGGCATACGAATCCTTCCATACGTCAAGGAATTCGACTTCCCCTACTGACCGTTAGTATTGCCCTGCATATGACACAAGGCTTTCATTTTACCACTTAGGATGTACCATTTCAACGCGTACTCATAGAAACTATCAATACCAGCGCCAATTCCAGTGATTTCCGGATGGGACCATAACTGTATCAATCAAATCAGCGAGAAGAGCCAAAACCAAAAGGAAGAGTCCCGCACACCACTAAACGTATTAATCGTATTGCCCACAAGCCCAATGTCCGATTTTCTATTCCACAGAGCGAAGAAAGCTTTATAAGCTGCCTTCTCGAAGCGGTCGTCACCAGTCAGTCGACTAAGGGTAGCGAACTCGAGAATTAAAGATCCCGCGCCAGCCGTGCCTAGTAGAAAGTAAGCCCTATACCACTTCAATATCTAGACCCTTACATGTTTCCTGCGTTTCACCTTTCATGACACCGTGGCGAAGATTTACCTGAGAGGAATTTGAATTTGGGATATAGCTTCAACAAGAATGATAGTACCCTAGCATATGGCATTCCTGTTGGAGTAGCAAAAGCAGGAAGTAACCTTTCGCCTAAGTCCTTTGCCATTTTGAGGAGTTCACCCTTGTACCACGGAAGATGGAAAGGCTGGCCCGTCTGGCTGGCAAATATGTGTCCTGATAGCAGCCCACCTAAGACCCGGATAGTGGTTTCGAAGACTTGAGGCTTGGTATTGACGTCGAAATTAACCCAATCAATGACGTTCCGAACTGCGATTTCGAAACGCGGCCGATCATTGAGCACTACCAGCGTGTCTAACACGTCAATGAGGGTGAGGGAGAAGTTGCCGGCGACGTCGTTAGTGGCAATATTGGAACTGTACAAGCATAATTCAGCTGATCCGTCTTGTGGGGGTTCTTGTTCCGGCTTACGGATTGTCCCAGTCTGGTCCGCGGCCTGTACATGACAAGGGGGATAGCTAATCACAGATATTGACCAGTGACCTAGCAAGATCGGTGGAAGAGGCCCACCTCATCTAGAGGAAACGCTGGAGGTGAAATCACAGGTTCAGTTCGAATGTATATCTCAACCTGGAGATAGCCTTTACCGAAAGTCATGTAATTATCAAAGCCATGGTACCATAGCTGGCGAGTCCTCTCCCTTGATCACGGTAAGCGCCATCAAGCTGAGGAACACCAGACTTGACCCACCTAACTGCAATCTTTCTCTGAGTAGTCCACGGGTCATATGAGGAAGTTGATAAATTTGTGGCGCTTGAATCAGTGCCCCAGGCTAAACACCGCAGCGAGATGAGGACGCCAGCAAAGAGGGCTTCTGGCCAGTACTTCCATAGCATCATATAGTCATGCAGACGGTCGTAGAGGCCAAGGAGGATCGGGAACGAGCAGAACGGTGGTGGGGAAAGCTAGACGTGGCGTCCGGCGCTCTCAACTTTCTTCCGTACACGTGACACGGAGAAACACTTCTGAAGATTGCGGCAGTCCGACACTGTCTCTTGTGCAGTTACCACAACCAAGCGACCCGTCATGTCAGAACGAGCAGCAAATGAACTAGGGGGATACATGCTCCAGGGTTGGGTGAGTGTGGACGATCATTTACTCCCGGACGATCATCTCAGTTGCCTCCAGATTTTGACTGACAGGACTTGTCCAACATCTGGCTGCAAATGGCCTCTATTACGATCTCCCAAAGACCAGTCGTCGTTTTGTGCAAATTGCGACGCGAAGCAAGGGCAGAGCTGTATGTATTAGGTTCTGTATTTGTTGTGAACCTCGCTAAAGAATACAGCCTTAACCACGGTTCTTGATACCCCGATCTCATCACGTCCATCGTCGGCCTCGCATGTTTCTCGCTCATCGACACCACCAACAGAAGTCTCTATGAGAGCAGATTCTCCTGGGTTTGAACTACCTCCAGAGAGTGAGGCTTCGCGCAGACGCCGCGAGCAATCGGATCGGGCTTCGTCAGAAATCGGTAAACGACTGCTGAAGGGATGGGCGATGCTAGCGGAAGAATGCCCAAATACTGATTGCTATGGAGTTCCCCTTGTCCGTCCTCCAAGCTCTTCCCCGGGGATCAAAGATCCACGAATGGTCCGTCCTTAGCATTAATATGCAAGCATATTGACGAAACATTTATCAGGAATGCGTAGTCTGTACCAATGTTTACGTTTCCGAAGTGGATTCTCGAGGCTTTAGTGTAATTGTGCCCTTCGCCACGCAGACGGAAGTACAGCCATCTCCTCCAATCACCTCAAACACCACAGGGCGGCTCACCAGCGAACAGGCATCAGTGCGTGACTTTCCATGCCAGTGCACTTCTTCACAACTAACGCCCATTATGCAGCATACTGAGCCTTTCGTCATCGCGCCGCCACCCCAAAATGAAACGATTGCACAGGTATATATCTCTTTGTCAACCTTTGGATCTGCCTAACACAAGAAATAAGGAGTTACCTCCTCTGCCTGAATCATATCTTTCCTCATCCGTTCAGGCCCTGGAAAGAACTATGGCGACGCTTTCCCAGCGGTTAGGTAGTGTACAAGGGGATCCTAATGCCATCGGGATCACAGCCGACGCGATAACGAAGACAGTACAGGCACTTACCATGGTCAGACAACTTCAATGGAGCGAACGTCAGAATACACTTGGGTGGTCACAAATGCAATGAAGTCAAAATGAAGTTTGCTTGTATCCTATGTACAAGTTTGGCCATCGGCTTGTCTGGCCCTGCATGATTGCCGACATTCGTTTCCTTTCGATCAGACCTTTGTGCGGAAATTCAATTGATGCGATGGTGCCAGTGGTTCAGCATTGTTGAGCTTCTCTGAGTCGTTCGCGTCAGTGGGCACAGTCAACCGCATGGTCTCCGCATGTTCAAGTAGCTTAAAAGATCCTGCACTGCGCCGTTGCCTTCCCCTAAACACCCGGACATTCCATTCGTGAGCCAAAATGCCGCCTTTCAACGTTTTCAAGGTCTTCGGTGGTTCCAACAAGTCTGCAAGCAATGCTTATCCACCACAAGGCGCACCCTCATCGGTATCTGGTCGGAAGCTTTCGCGAAGGAGGGATAGGCATTCCTCTCATGCACAGGTGCGCAATTGCGTCCCTCTCCGCGTCGCTCCAGAATTTGACGACTGGTTGGCAGCCGCCACAAATGGCCTACCCTCCTACGCTCACCGTCGTATGTACCAATCATTTCGCTCGCGTATCACCTACTTACATGTAACGAAGATATCTGAAGACGAGTTATCTCGTCACATGTCCGTAAATGAAGACCATGGACACTATGAAGCTGCACCCAGCATGGCTCATGGATCGTATATGGGCGGCCACGACATCCCCCCTCCCGCTCCGTCAGTCCTCAGCCACAGTCAGCTTCCCGTCGAACCAGGCCACCCTCGAGTGCGCCTGGTAGACCCCCCTGTACAGACCCACTATGCTCAATTCCACGAAGAACTCGAAGATAGTGAAGCCACTCAGTCAGACGGCGAGGATGGCCGAAAACATAACCCGGAGAACAGATCTACACATTCGCGCTCTGTTCATGGGCAATCCATCAGGTCGAACCGAGGGGATCCTTATATGGGCAGAACACCAACACCTTATCATCCGGCGTCAGTTACGCACAGTATCAGCGACACCCAACCACGCCCTATCATCATAAACAACCCCGAACCCCCGCTCGCTCGAAGCTCTCGAACTCGAGACCGACATCGAGACCACCCTGACGAGCATGGCCGTCGCGCATCGGCTAACGTCGCGGTACGGATTACTCTTATTACTCGTTATTAGCATAACAGACATCTTAGTCTGGTTTTCCATTTAGACAGACGTTGATCACATGCCGTTTTCTAGCCATCCACAGGGAACGTCCCCAACAACGCAATACCCTCACTCCGGCTATGGGCCTTCTACACAAGTAAGGAAATGTTTAGATAGTTTGGGTTGACATCGTGCTGAACCAGCTTACTATAGCCTCAGCGGCAGCAGGTACCAAGTGCCCATCGTCGCACTACCCATCGTAGCCGAAAGGAATCCGCCCCGCCATATCTTGTTGGCCCAGATGTCAACAATACGTATTGCTACATTGTTCCCAGAGGCACCAATGTAATTTTCCAAGACGAGGATGGACACGAAATTACTAGGTAAGCGTCCGATCCTTCTGGGTCCCAACTCAGCCGAGACCCGATATTCATTTGGTATTAGGGTGGGCAAGTTCCATCCAATGTATCCGTTGAGAGAGCCATCGAACCCGGCGGTCAGGAAGCATACTGTGCCGATCGTCGTACAGGATGAGTTCGGGCAGGAGCTCTACAGGTAAGTAATCCGTTCGTCAATGAACGGTTTGCCAATACGTCTTCACTAGAACTGGGAGCATCACCCATAGGTCATATCCTGACCAATCTGGGAGCCCAGTGAGAAGGCAAGCCACGAACGAGAGTTCTTGGATTCAGTACTAACAGAGGTCATGATTATCCAGAAGTCCCTCCGTGACGCAACATAGCTCACAACCGTGAGTTGGTAATTCAATCAAGCCTGCTAGGGCTAGTTAATTACTTATATTCTCCTCGTTAACAGATTTCTCCCGTACCAACATGGGGGCCCTAATGTTGTTCTCGTCGATCGGAGTGGACACCAAATTCCCATGTAAGATCACCCACTGTCTGAGCCAGTAGACACTGATTTATATCTACTAGCGCTACAAATCCATACAGAACTACCCGAGACATCCGATCGGACCACTTCTATTGAAGTGACATCCGTATTCGTGACGCACACTCCCAGTTGTTTACCGTTGTTCTTTAGTCGCATTATGTATTACTTATGGTGGACATGTATATACCCTGCAGTGTACTACTTTTGTTTGCCTCCTCGACCGCGCCCTCGGCCACGCCCACGCCCTCGGCCACCTCTCGATCCACCCCTTGTAGGCTGTAATGACCTGACGTCGTCTTTGGTCAATTTGAGCACTCCACCACTGAACTTGCCGATCCCCATTGCAAGGCCTCGATCTCGCTTCCGCGGGTATTGCGTAGACGAAGCGGGGCCCTTGTATAGCTTTTTAAGGGTAGGATGGTAATTCCCCAGCTGTTTGGCCTATTTATGATATAACTTGGTAACTGGACTGCGCCGAAGCAATTGATGTTTACCTCTTCAAGCTGAGCCGTCTCCCGCTCGTGCTGCTTTCTTACCAAACCCTCGCGTACGTGCTTGGCCGCCTTATTCCTCTCTGCCACCCGAACACTCATTTCACCTTTTCCAAGCTTTGACTCCCCTGCCAACTCCAGGACGCGTCCTGCGAGCGCCTTCCGTCGTTCAGCAGGGGTTAGGTTCAGCTCTGGATTTAGCGAGCCAGACAGCAGTTTTGTATGAACTAAACGGTGGAGTAAAGCATCGTTCTTTGCATTGTTGCTAACAGGGACCATCAGCCTTCGATTTCAGCAGATGAAGGGCATGTGCGCACAATTCATCTTCTTGCTCCTCTGTAGGAACCTCCTTTTGATCTACTTGTGTATCTTCCCGTAATCGGGTCACTTTTGAGGACTGATATATTTGTGATTAATGGGGTTTCCGCCAGTGGGGGCAGCAACAGACCATGAAGCTCTTCATCGCTGCTTTATTCGGTATATTGGTGGAGCAGGTCTCTGAAAAGACAGTGACATTGGGCTGTACGGTGGCTCTACTGTCAACAGTGAAGCCATCATCATTATCTACCCAGACATCCGTTCAGTAAATCGTCAGCCCGGCAAAGATATATTCTCTTACTCTCAGACAATTCATCGCCGAAATTATCTTCGTCGGAATCATGAATACCGCCCCATTCCTCGTATTCCTCGTCAGAATTCGGAGCTGCAACGGGCTGCTGCCTTTTTGAAGCGGTCTTCGCAGGCAAGTCGAAGGAATTCAGGAATTGTTGCCCATGGGCCGTAAGAAGACTGAGGAGGTCATTGTCCGACGCCATGAAGAGCGCCTAACCCGGACATTTCCTGTCACGCGCATTTCACACCACAACTTCCATGGCGGGCTCAAAGAAACGCAAAACAGCCGCAGCAAGCAAAACGGACGAGGCTCCTTCAGGACTGCTTGAAATTCCAGAAGATGAACAATGGCGCATGATCAACGAGTCAGGGATCCTCAAGAAAGTAGACATCCCGAGGGACCCGTCCGCTGCGGAACCCGAGGAAGAGCTTCCACTGGCTGAGGAAATATTTGATACGTCGATGTTTCTCGTTCCGTTCTCATTTCTCTTGCTGATGATGGACATGTCAGTGGTTCACTTATCATCGCGCTTTTGGCATTGACCTCGTCGCGTAGACTCATCCATAACCAATACGGGCGGCACCTTACCCTGCAAGCCGTCGCAGACAGGATGATACCCAGTGTCCCTAGTGCGGTAGTTTCTTCTATTTCGTTGCGTTATCTCACATCGTATAATAGTCCTTGGTATCTTCATCTTCTATAGTGCGTTTCTCTCGTTGCTTCCTTTGCATGAACTTTTCTCACTTACAATAATATCCTGCTAGCGATGAGACACAAGCGCGATAGAAGAGTGCAGTTCTTCCTCTTTGCACTAGCCAGCTACCTTGGGCCTAGAGTGCTTTGGTTGCTGAGTTTAGGCTCTTGGAAGGTAAACATGAAGCAGGTAGGCCCATGGCGATAATATATTGTTGAGTATGATGCTATAACTCACTCTCAAGGCTCCTCCTTTAATAACATTATGGGTTTATACCATCGTTCAACTGGACCTTGGCCCTGCGGTACTCAACTTAGCTCTAACGATGGCCTATGTACTGCTCAAAGGATTGAAGCCATTCTCATAATTCATTTACATCGTATATATTACACATCATTACTGTCAACTACAGATCGATTGGATAGAGTGTCTGCTTGAGTATACGCCTCAATCGACTGTGTACTCGCACCGATCGGGCACCTTAAACAAGCGTGAGGTAGTACGTATAATACCAAAGGGTGATTCCTCTTTGCTCGATGATACGCCACAAGCAGGTATGTTCTTGGACTGCATGGGCACCTTTTACGAGCAATGTTTTCTCTTCTCAACAGGAGATCGTTTGCAGTCAATGAGTTTCCTTGTTATGACAACATGGAGGTTACAACCCATCGCCCTCGTCAAGTTCGGCAGATAACAACTCCACTTTTCTCTAAAATCAACCGTCAACCCACCACCCTGGCGAAATGAAGCGTGACTCACGCGAAACGTGGTGGTCTTACCCTCCAAAGCAACTTTGAGAACTCGCAGTTGCCATCGTAGACGCCGGCTTAGCTTAGGAAGCTCACTCTCATGCTGGCGAAGTCTGTCACAAAGAGCTTTGAAAACTCTGTCGTCACGAGCGAAATAATAAGTCTGCAAAGGTACGATCTAAACGTAATGCACAGGTAAAAAGGGTGAATGCATACGGGTATTAGCTGAGCATCGATAGTCTCAGTTGCCCATGCCCAAGCGCCGAGTACCAATAAGTCAACTGTGGCATTAGCTATGCTGCGCAGAGTCAGGGTGTGATTACGAGGACCCCCAAAGGAACATACTAGTCTTCCAGCGCCGCGATCAGGCTCGCCTTCCCTAGTTCTTTCGTAGTAAACCGGCGCACTGCGGCAGACGCAGTCTCCACGGGCTTTCCAGCGGTGCCAGCACGCAATGCGAGCGACACATTAGAAGCCTGGTCCCTCACCCACCTCTCACCTTCACTCATGATCAGTGTTTGCATGAATGACGCAGTGAGATCGCTTTGGGACTTCGCTAAACCTAAGTCGATCGCGAGCTTGAGATTGGCACCTAAGAATGAGGTTAAATACGTAAGGTAGGGCGAGACCTAAAGGTTGTTTACGGAGGGCTTTCAGGAGGACTCTTGTTTTCGGCTTTACAATTTCAACGTCTTCTAAATTGTTGACCCATCGAGAAAATGCACCAACAAGAATGATCGCCACATCTCGATGTGATTGGCCTATGCGCATAGCATGTAGAAGTGGTGTCGCATCGCCGGTCTTCCGTAGTAATAACTGGAGTGAGCTTCAGTGACGCCAGAGATGTCAATGGATGGATGGCTGACAGGAAACGCACGATCCCTAATTTCCATGAGAAACATAATGTCTTTCTGCTCAACAGCGCGAAACACTTCAAAAGGCTGTTGTGTTATATGAGCACCGCCTTTTGCAGACAAAAGCAACCGTTTCACCTGGGGTTCTTTCCATGGAGTGCTTTGCGGGCGTTGTTGAAATGACTTGGCCCGTAGAACCGACCGAACCGCCGACTTTATCGAGAATGTCGGGCTAGGCGGGGCGTCCATGGGTGATTCAGGAGTATCCGTCAGGATAGTTGTCTGTTCCTCATCCTCGTCCGCCTCCTCGTCAACAGGGGTTTGCGGCGGTGATGGACTACGTCTCAGCTGTCGGAGTATAGCTCGAGGAGCACTGTACTCTGCCTCCCGCTGAAGAAAGCCTTCAGACTATGGGCAAGCTGGCGGAGTGAACGAGTGCAATCAACGCACCACCAGAGGGTAGTCTTTCGGGAAGACATGGCTCAGAAGAAACTCGGGGTCTGGCAAGGGGACGGGGCTCCTTGTCCTGGTCTACATTCCCTTTGAGACTATGAATTAGAGACGCATTGTTGAACATCAGGTTTCAAATGGTTGAAAGGAAGAATTGCATCGAAGTCAGTGGTATGGGAGTAAGGAAGGATGTCAGTGTCCCACGATAGTACACCTCGGTCCCGCGAATGTGACAGTACCTCCGACCAAGTGTTGACAGTGTTATTGGACTTGTCATTGTAATTATGGGAGTCTCAGACTTTTGAACATAGTTATGAGTATTAACTAGATTTAAGGTCAAAGATATCACGTATGGCTACAATTCAGCTCCAATGACACCCTCCAGGAAAGATATGCTTTATAAGATATTTGCACGCAGTGAAGGCACCTCATCGCCCGGCCTGCGGCCGGGCTCATTCGGTGCCCATTTTGGACGCAACCAATCAGATGGCTAGGTCCTTCGGCCCGTGAGAAAGTGCGCAGATGTGATTTCTATTGTAGATCAAGCCCGAGATGACCGGTTTGTCTTTGTCTTTATCCCGTGGGAAAAAAGGCCGTCTTTTATAATATAGATAGATAGGCAGTAAGTGAGCGTTGTCTAAGTGATGAATGTCTTTAATAGTCAAGATCCCAAACCGTCAACGGAACGCATCTCTGTCCGAATCACCAAATGATGACGGATTAGAAGGAAGTGGGAGGGGTGGAGGTAGCGAGGGTGGCTGAGGCTCAGGCGATCTCTTCGCAGGTTTGGGCCATAGTTCCATGCTCATGATTATAACGACAAGGAATGCCGACAAGGCCACTACGTGACCCAGGTATGAGTATTCAAGCAACCGTAAGAAGTAGGAATTGGGATACGTACAGACAGATTTGCGCATGTTCTCCCATTTGATCTCTTCTACGTCTGTTCTTAGGTCGGATACGTTGACTATGGCTTTGTTGAGTAGTTCCTATGTGTCGGAATCAATATACGAAGGATGCACATGAAGATATGAGGACTAACCTCTATCGCAATGTCCTGTGACTTGAACTCGGCCTTGACTTCGTTCTTTCTGGTATCAAGTTCCATTTGAATCCTCAAGGCAACATAACCGTTAAAGTAGACTCGGAATGCCGAAAGGGGAACACATACTCATGCTTCAAGGTTCCTACGTCCTCCTTCATCTTGACATCCAAATGGTCGACTTCCCGTCTTAGTGCAGCCGTAGCTGTACTGATGGCAGCATATTCATTCCTAGAACTCATCGTAGTCTCTGCCCGTAACTCGGATAGCGCTGCACGGAAAAGGTAGGCTTGCTATACGAACATGAGTCCCAAAGGAATAGCATTCAAGTTCATTACTACACTCAAAACAACACGGAAGAGAAAGGGCAGCACGAACATTCTCCAGGTCCTTCGTCGTCAGTGCGTCTCTCCGCACGCGACCGACACGATCCACGAGTAAAGCACGTGTCGCGCGCATCAGACTGTGTGCGGTTTGTGTCGGGAAGGTCTTCTCCAGAGCAGAGAAGAACCGATGCGTATCAAATGGGGGCTGTGAATGGGGCTGGTATGTCGAGGGAACAGGTAACGCGCTGGTGGATGCGGAAGTCGATCCCGAGTTCACTGTAGTAGCGGGGATGGTTGATGGGACGGAAATCTCGGGAGTCGTCGTCGAGGTTGCACTGCCAGCGTCCGGCGGCGCTGTACCGGAGGACGATGCAGGAGGCAGGGTTGAAGGTGGGGGCGGGGTCGGATTTGGTGTGTACCCAGCGGCGGGGTCTTTGGGATGCGCCATACTGATACTGAGGGCTTTCGACGGGTCTGATATCTGAGGACCATTGTGCAGTTCTCTGCATATTGAACGACCGAACCGAGGTAATTGTCGTAGTAGCATGGTAAGTGGAATCAAGCGCCAAACGAGCGATGCCGATCAAATATTGGCTTACGTAATATACCCCCGCCCTGTTGCCCAAATCTGGGTCACTGGGCGGGAGATACGTCCGACGCATCTTGGCAATATATCTTAGTGGAGATAGCACGTAGCCCTCACCGACTCATAACAAGGTTCGATGGCGTAGTTGGTTATCGCATCTGTCTAACACACAGAAGGTCCTCAGTTCGAACCTGGGTCGAATCACTTTTTGTATTTGTGTTATCTATGTTCTTGTCAACTGACGACACTGTCGAGGGTGACACTGTTTTTCTGCTGTGCAGCATTGTCCTCCAGCATGTACGGCTTCCTCGAGAACGCAATGTCGATCACAATTGGCAAGGGTCGGTACTTGGAGGGTCATCTTCAATAGGGCGTACTTGTGCTCAAACCTTGCGCGTGTTGTGCGGAAGACACAAAATCCTTTCACCCAGAACAAGGAAGCGAGACAGTGTAATAACTGTTGCTTGGGATGGTTTATTATTACATATTGACTTCGATCAGACCTTGATACCAGCTTGGAAAGTAGGTCGTGCCGTTGCTCGCTCTACCCATGCCTATGAGGGCTAGTCAGCATAAGCTCGATAAGTTCAACAAGCTAGTAACTAACCTTCACGGAAGGCCACTGGTCCAAATTCTCGATTCCAGCATAGCTGTGGACTCGTATCCTAGGAGGCATTGATTAACATGTTCTATAGTCCTCATCAAGACAATTTACCAGGGAATGACGTTGATATCGGCAATGCTGTATTGTCCCTTGCCTGGTCCAACAAGCCAATCCCTACCGGTCAATCGGATTTCGAGCACGCCGTAAAGTCGCTTGGTCTCCTCGAGGTAGCCTAATACTTATATGAGTAACAAGTAAATTCTGTGGAAAAGTGACCACCCACGGTTAATAGCGTATGGGATCTTCTCTGGCGCAGCGTGGTTGAAGTGGTTAGCCTGTCCTTGCATGGGCCCGACTCCGCCGTGCTATATGATACACCAGTAAGCTTCTGGTGCGCTTACACGTGGGTGCGCGAGAGACTTACGGTGAAGAAAATCCACTGGAGTTCTTCACTCCAGAAATCGGGATCCTTCTCGGCAGTCCAGCCAAATTTGCCGTCCTTGTCATAATGGTGTTGGAGATAGAGGATAATAGCGGCAGTCTCGAACACGGGGAAGTCGTTTCTGGAACGGTCGACGAGTACGGGGATCCGTCCATTGGGGTTGAGTTTGATGAACCAAGGTTCCTGCGAGCCCAGGTTAGGGCCATCGCTATAACGGCAGCAAGGAGTACATACCTTTTGAACATTCTTGGAGAGGTCAATCTTCTCGACGCTAACGAATGTCATAGTAAGCGACCAGATACCTGGGCATTGCTGGGTCATTTACTCACTCATAGTCGATGCCATACGCGGCCTTCAGCTCTTCAAGAAAGACGGATACTTTGTGTCCGTTGGGCGTAGGTGCCGTGTACAACAGCAAAGGTTTCTTGGCGTCGGACATCTGGAAGAATTTAGCGAAGTGTATAAGTCGTTTGGGAGATTGAAGGGGTGCTTGTGAGCGTAATGACACGGGCGAGAAGCGCAAGTTATATAGGGAACGTGCTGACATCATTCTTGGGAGGCTGGGCAAGGAAATGCGAGTGAAAGGCAATCTATTGAGGGACATGCTTGATCAGCTGACCGATCCTTTGAGTACTGGATGACTGAGCCGGCAATGGTGAGATTATGTCGACAGCTTGGTCATTCGATTGAGAAGGCCGAAACCGAGGAGGCGACCACACGGAGGATTGGCAACTTTTGCATGAATTCATTTGGAACTACTCAGAGATGCATTTGGCACTTGCGCAGTGGCAGGTGCTAGTGGCGTACTAGACGTCCCTTCTGTAGGCGGAACGTATTCAAAGCGAGACCCAACAATATTCCCCCTAAATCGCTTCCTCATATCGAGCTATTCCGACGGGGTTTGTAAAGGGTAATATACGGTGGTTTGAGATACACGCACCATTCCCCGTTTGCACTCGAAATGGGCCTTTCTCAGCGACTGGCATTGCTCCGGCAATTCGTCGGTATGGTTTTTGAGACAGTCGGAGGGGAGGTTCCCTTGTTTTAGGACGCAGTCAGAATGCATCAGACAGTCCTTGAGGGCGGCAAGGAGAGCCTGGCATGAGGACGCCATTCAAGTGGTGGCGACAAGGGTGGCGGTAACGGAACAGGAGACTTGAACACAAGCGCCCATCGCCGATCACTGTTAGAACTCGCCAATATGCCAATTGTCGGTATTGGCGTCGATATTGTTCACTTGCCCCGAATATCCGCCCTTTTGGCACGCAGGGGGAGCAAGTTTCCGTCTCGCATCCTCAGTTCAAACGAAATGTCTTCCTGGCCCTATGTTCCCTCGGATGAAACATCGCGTACGAAATTCCTTGCAGTACGGTGAGCAGGCATGGCTATCCTATTTCGCGTACTAATGTCAGCGGGACAGATGGGCCGTCAAAGAAGCGGCGTACAAAGCTCTATACCCTATGTTCCGTCCAACCTGGAAAGAGTTGACCTATCGAAGTCTCACCGACGGTCGAAAACCGGAGGTCATCTATCATTGCGACTCTGCCACATCCATCTCTTTGCACGTATCTGTCAGTCACGATGGAGAGTACGCTTTTGCCACAGTTCTGGCCGAGAAATAAGCTGAAGGGAGCGTTGCTACCGCCGACGCGGAGGTCCATAACGCCAATCAAACGCGTATAATCTTCGTGTTCAGGGAATGATTGCTCAGCTTACAATGATTCAGCAAGGTTTAATCTGAGAACAGTCAGCAAACGTCATGGTCTGGTCTCACTAAAGACAGCTTCCACGATGCGATCAGAATCTATGGACGGATTTCGATAACTCCTCATCGCCGTGGGCGCGCGCACGGGACGTTATGATAGGGATCGAGGCGCGCGTAGCTGTGGTACCCGCACTACCGTGTCATTCATTTGACGAACGCTCTCCGTGGGTTTGTCCGATAGGTTCCCATACTTTCGTCAGTAAGTATAGGATTAACTCCTGCACGACCTGTGCATGTACGCCGGCGACCACCTTCCACTCAAAGTATCCCAGGAGATCCCCTAGATCCCGGGGAATAACGCGTTCTTACCAACCATCCCCCACCAACCATCCCTGTGTGTAACGTTACCGTAACGTTATAGTGAAACTAAGGATCGCAGTCCACGTAGTAGCAGATTGCAATAAAAAGGGGAGACGATCAACGGTCTAAAGTAACTGAACATGTCTCAAAAACTCATTACTTTCTACGATATTACGACGAAAGCCAAACCCAACCCAGGACCGTCGCCGTTCACAGCGAAAGTACGGTGTGTATAGTCAAGCCTAGGATTTATGATATGCGAGCTGATCTTTAATACTTAGATGTGCATTGAATTTCAAGGGCATCAAGTTCACAACCGTCTGGTTGGAATACCCTGAAATCGAGGCAGAATGCAAAAGGATCGGTGCGCCGCCTACGGGCAAGAGGCCAGACGGAAGCCTTTTGTATACGTTGCCCGTTATTCAAGACCTAAGCACAGGCGTAGTGATGTCGGAAAGCAATGTCATCCTTGAATACCTCGACAAGACATATCCTGACACACCCAAGCTTTTCCCTGGGAACACGCTGGGGATTCAACTCGCTTTTGATGCTGCAGCTCAGACCCGTCTTCTCGATATTCTCCCTTTGGCCATTGCGTACATTCCTGCTGGCTTGAACCCTGTTGCAGAGGCACACTGGCGCAGTACGAGGGAGAGACAGCTGGGAAAGAGAGTTGAAGAATTAGAACCGAAAGGAGAAGCGAGAGTCGCTGCTTTACAGAAGATACAGGCTAGCCTTGGCGAAGTAGATGGCTGGATTTCAAAGAGTGGAGAAGGGAAATTCATAATGGGCGACGAGATGACATTCGTGGATATCTCACTTGGCGCAGCTTTATGTGGGGTGAGGGTCGCCCTTGGGGACAAAGGCGCCGCTTTCTGGGAGGAGATTTCAGGCTGGCACAGTGGAAGGTGGGAACAGTTGAGGAAGGCTTGCGAGCCGTACCACAAGTAAATGCTGGTTCATTGGGAGGAGATGTAACTTGCGATAGACGAGAAAACAAGACGAGTTCGTGTTACATACATCATTTCTGCTGCTTGGGCCACCAATCTGGCCACCAATGTTCTATTTGGAAGACATCACCAGTTTTTGGGTCGGATACCTCAAGCTGCGCCGTGCCATTCTCCACGGCAGCAACGTGCTCCGTGCGCAGGAGAGCAAGACCCATGCCCTGCACATTACTAAGAAGCTTTCCGGTACCACGGGGGCGGGGAATTGGCCGATCGTCTCCGGGCTCACGAAGCACACGAGCGTGGATATCCAACGAATGTGGGAGAGTCGGCGCATATCTCGAGATATTCACTTCGCTCGGCCTGCTAAATTATTAATTCAAGTCCCAAGAAAGCAAAGTGTGATGCTTGCCTTTTACCTGGTGGGTACACGACGACAGGTAATATTCGCTTGCGCACAACCCCAGTATGATAGGTGCGCACAGTAAGCTCTTGGCCTACGTAGCAGCCCTTGCGAAAGTCCACTACATAAACATTTCGTTAGAGAAGGGGGTTAATCGGTCGATTCGGGCATACTTACGCCCACCCATAATATCTAAATTGGAGTCCATTGGGAACGCTTGTTGAGGAGGTATGTCATTAGATCCTTCTGGTACTCCATGTTGAAGACGGTGAAGTAGATAAGAGAGAGAGGACCCTAAGTCGTATGTCGAGGCTTCCTGTGCTATATATACTTCGCTGAGCCATTGCACTTCGAAGAGCATGGTAGGAATGTGCATACGCTTGTCCCCCTTGCGCACTAGGACCCTCTTCCCCATCCCAGGTGCCCTTCTGTCGCGAATTACGCCATGCTCGGTGCCCCATGGCCATTCTCCCTCTGACCATTCGGGTTCTACGACGTGACTAGCAGCCCACTTCCACCGTCGAGGTTGCTCCCATGCACTCTCATTCTCTGAACCATAAACAGCCCATACGTCGTATTCACTGGTAACGTCACGTAGCTTTACTTTTGAGCGCAGGACGTGGCGCTTCAGCAATGCTAACAACGAGTCTGAGTCTGGAGTTCCCGCAGAGGCATCATACTCTATCAGGTATCCCGGACGGCCAGCGGCATCGACGGAAGTGTATACGAAAATATCGTGTATAACTCTGCCCTAAGGTGTCCTATCAGATTTACTTCCTGGAATCTAGGCCGTGGAATGTACCTGAGGATGCAAGAAAGCAGAGAAGAATGGGCCACGGGGAGGATCGTGGACAGAGGTGCTCAACAAGCCGTTTAGAAACTGAGACGCGTGCGACCCAGAAACTGAGAGAACGGTCTTATGCCATATGTGTGCTACTGTCGGGGAAGAACGAAGGGCGCATCGAAGTGGAAGAGACATACTCCTATTCTGTGATTGACCACATTTGTCATGGAAGAAATACTGATCGTGAGACTTCTTTTCTGACTGTGGGAATCACTCCCGAGCAAGTCCGACTGACTTGTCGGCCATTGCGAGTTTAATCCACCCACAAGTTCCTCTACTCATCACGCCAGCTCCGGAGTCAGTGCTTTATTCAATTCTCCTACCCCTTCCCCGTCGTAATCTTTTTTATATAGGTCATGGCCACAAAAGTAGCAGCATCCGCGGCGGTCGTACGTGTGGAAGTTCATTCGTGACCTAGCTCTATGACCGACATAATAATACAGGATTTCTCCCGCGTCTACTCTTCTCTCGGTCTCGGAAAGGGTATGTTCATTTTGCAGGTTGTGGATAGATTCTAACCCCCATGTAACTCAGAAACCATTGCCTCTCTGCAAGCTTTCCGCAAACGGCACTCCGAAGCTCAAAGACTTCATGCGCAATACTCTGGGCAGCCAACAACTGTAGACCTCGCTCGTTACCGTTCTATCCTCAAGAACACGGCTATCGTCGATGAAGCTGAGAAGCTGTTGAAAGATTTCAAGCCTGTCACCTACGATGTCTCAGCACATGTCAAGGCCATAGAAACTTTCGAGGCCAAGGCTGTGAGTAGACGTGTGCGAGTACGCGAAAAATAAGGCTGAAGAGTGTGTCTATCTTAGGTCGAGAAGGCCAAGGAGACGGAAGCCAAAATCGACATCGAATTGAAGGAGCTCCAGGCAACTTTGGCTAACATCGAGGAAGCACGACCATTCGAGGATTTGACGGTGGAGGATGTTGGTGCAGCCCACCCTCGTATTGTAGAAGCCGTTGAGACCATGATGAAGAAGGGCAAATGGACAGTGCCAGGTACGTGCAAGTAGTATCTTCCAACTTTTGGTATTGACCTCGATTCATCCAGGATACAAGGAGAAGTTCGGAGATCTCAACATGATGTAATTTGGTTGTCCTTCCATAGACCACGTTCATTCATCGATAATTATTTTGCATCTGAGAGTGGACTAGTCGGGTGTAACAAGATGATGGTGGGACCTATAGACTTTCACCATCGCCATTCAATGTTACCAGAAGTCCTACCCCGAACACCTTTATATGGTTTGTACTGTTCTCCAGTGACTTTAAGGCTCTCTACCTTGAGAGATGAGAACGTATATGAATGGATTTCAAAATGCGTTTGGATGGCATGAGCAGGGCGCGGCGGTGTTGATCTAGTGCGTACGCTTCCAATCTTGTATCAGGCGCCAGCAAAGCAGAGTACGCACGTAGAGTTAAATGACCCTCGCAGATACCAGCTGCTCGACGAGGCCATCTTTGGTATCTCCCAACGTACAACCTGCTCGGCACTCAGAGGGTGAGCATTGCGAGCATCAGAAGATGCAAATCACCTTGTTTTTCGCGTCGAACGTCCAAGAGGATCCCCCAGACCCCGTCTCCGTAGCAAGTCCTCGGCTCATCCCAGCAGACCCACGACCAACAACACATTTGATAGCCGTCGCGCTGTCACCGACATACAATTCCGCGACAAACCCATCGATGTCCCGCGTGGTTAGACGAGATGTCACAGATACCTCAAAGGTACCTACAGCACCGAATTCTGAGCTCAGTACCAGCAAAGCCACGGAATATAACAAGTACCCACACGAAGTATCAGTGATATCGAAGGAGTGCTTCAATGCAATGGGTAAAGGGACATTATCCTTCCCTCCTTGCGATGCCACCAAACTTGTCCCGGTAGACGACGCGGCGGGAGCATAGCGATACTCAAATAGAGTGAAATTGCCATCTGGCGGTACGAATGACAAGGACTTGTCACGGGCCCAGCGTTGAAGTCTATCGAGAGTCAGTCCGGAGTTGCGTCACCAAAGGACCAAAGCTCGTACCGTACACAAGGATGGAAGGAGCAGTCAGCCAGAACATGAGCGTTAGTAAACGTCAATAGACAATCCGGCGTGCCTTGGTGACCGTTAGCTGACTGAACACGGATGAAGAATTGACTAGCGGTTACCTGATAGTCTTGAGTTCGCTTGGGCGACGCCCCAGACATTACAGGATAGCGGGGTTCCGTTTCTACATCCACGTTGTGAGCGACGGGGGAATACATCTAATCCGCATTGTACGCACTTCCCAACGATGGCCTTGATTTCTTCCGCCGTATCAAAGTATATCTCGTTGCTCGCATACTTGACACCAGCGCGACGCCAAGGTATAGGAGACGCGAAAGGGCCACTGGCTGAGGAGCCAGCATTCATAGTGTGGCTAAAGTTAGCACCTGCGACGGACAAGAGCTTCGTGAGAAGTGATGGAGGAAGAACGATGTCTCGGAGAGCATTTGGAGAGGTAGTCAGTGGATGACCACCAGAGTCAAGGGTTTCTTCTAATAGCTACGTATCACTAGTGAGCAAGTGTAGGCGAGTACGTGCAATGCTTCAGCTCACTTGATACACTACGTCAAAGTTATCTTTCAGCGTCACGGCATTTACGGTCGCAAAGTATTCAGTGAGGATGTCCACGAACGTCTGTACGAATGCAAATGCAAACAGAGGGTCCACTACATTGATTTGCGTCCTGTTAGCCGTCTCCAAACCAGCCAAATGAACGTACCATCGCCGCTGAGCGGGCATAGTATTCGAAGGTCACCGCACGGCACATGGCAGCAAGCACTCGGTGAGTCCGCAGAGTTGAAGGGTGGTACGTAGATCACTGGATCTATATCTCCTGGTCGGCTTCCGTGTTTTGATTCCGCTGCTGCAACGGCGTTGTTGTACGCATCGATGTGCACGAGCGCGTAGGAGGGGGATGTCGAACGAAATCCGGACTGGATGATTGGACGGCTTCACTGACAGTCCTGATGAATTTAGGACATCTAGGAAGGGTAGTGCACCACATACCCAGCGCTGTCGAGAATGATGAGCCCGTCGATGGCCATGGTTCGGTACGAAGTTGTGAAGGTAGCGGTTTAGGCGCCTCAATCACGAAGGCCTCAGGGAAGATTTGACTCGTTCGATGACGTAACTAAGTACAGTAATTTTTACTGATAGTGAATACATACATTAGTGGATGAGCTAGAGTAGCAATATATGAAGAGGAAATTTCATTTGATTATGTAGCTGCTCTCTTCAGCGACTCTAATTCTCCTAAACCCAACCCCCATTTTTCGGCCAGTTGCGTTGGGCCTCCTTGCGAGGCTTCACGTTCCAATATCCATGTCTTGAGAGGGGACTTATCCGATGGTGGGATCTCGCCTCGACATGTGTCACAGTAAGTATGCAACAGACTGACTACAATCAGCCTCGAATAACAAGCGAGAAGCAGGCCGAGCTCACCGAATGGATTTCTCTTCGTAGTCTTCATCGAGGTCAACCTGGTCACCATCCTCTCCGTACGGCGATGGGGAAACGAGGCCAGATACGACGGCAGATAGTATACCATGGTCTCTGATTGCCTTCAAAGCGATCGGCGATGTGGATATATTTGATGGATCAGAAAGCATAGACGCATGCGAGTTGGAATGGACATGTTCCGGTTGGGAGAGATTCGAAGAACTGTTGGATTGGTCCGCGGCCGTGGGGAGGATAAGGGTGTTCAGCAAGAAGATGATCTTGCGGCGCACAGCAATGTCTGGATCTAGTAAAAGTTTAGTGAAGATGCTAAATGGACCTCTAGCATGAACATACCTTGCAATCCAGATTTCAGCGTCTCCCATCCGTCGGGTCCAAGGGCATTCAACGACAGAGCGTTATGCTTGAGTAAACCGGAGAGTACGTAGATGACCTTCGAACGGATCTGTGGTGACGATGAAGGAGATGGTTTAAGGAAGGAGGTCAGAGCTTGTAGAGGGGAGTAGCTGAGATACTAACAAAAGATTTCATGTCAATTACGGGTACTATGAGCAGAAATGGACCTTACAGCATGTTGTGCCGCTGGATTGTTTTGAAGTGCCGTCCCGATGACCCAAAGTGTCTGCATTTTTATGACCGGTGTTGACGATGCGGCTTGGAATAAAGAGTGTAGAGGCTCCCACATCTTTAGCTTCTCCAGGTCTGGCTCAACATTACATGAGCCTAGTTCAAAGTCAGGTTCGTCCAAAGAACTGACCGTTAGCGTTGTCTATACTCTCAACAAGCTATTGACAACCATCAGCATTGAATAACGGACAGAACTGGATCGGAATGCTGGCGTACCATTTCCAGGTGATCCAGTGCACTGATTCTGTCCTCCTCCGAGCGAGCCTCATCTACGGCAACTGACAGATCTTCCTTCATTTGTACCGCATCTGGTTTCCCCAATATCATGTCGATGATCCCGGGATCTAGGTCCTTGGCGCGCGAGGGGTCCGGTGCTGAACCATCTGAGTTCTCTATCGACCATCGTAGTAAGGACTGCATTGTGTGGTGGTATCCTACCAAGGATGTGAAATCAGGTTTTCTAGATTAGAGAGGCGCCGGGCTATATTACTTGAATGTTTGCGTGAGTGATCGAACATGCTGGATTTGTCGAGATTGTCCGCACGTGGCAACTTGTGGCACGAACACTACGCCAACGGTGCGCATGCGGCATGCCTTCATTCTCGACCGAATTGTGTCAAGTAATGTTTATTTCTTCACGGTAGCCACCGGTAATGAAATCCGCCACCAGTTCTTCCTGTGTAATCTTAGGCAATTTGTCGACGGCTTCAATGAGGACGACGTGATCAGTTCGCTTCTCTCGCGGGGTAGTTGGGTATGTTGACGGTCTGCAATCTGGCTAATATCATTCTGCCTAGGCCATGCTGTCCTTCGTGACCTTAGTATCAAGGAAACCCTCGTAGACATTGTATGTCTTCCTATGGACCTCGCTGAAGGTGCGTCTTCTACTAGACTACACCCCCATCTCGTCGCTTGACATTCACGCAAGGTCGCATCGGGTTGCTGGATATTTCAATCAAACCAAATGTCACTGAGGAAGGAAGGATACTGGTTACAATGACCCATGTTCACCTGCTCCTCAGACCATTACCGCCGCCGTGGAATATTGCAAGGGAATATGAGCTGAGAACCCACTCAGCCAAACTACTGCGCCTTCAACTTTCCGAGCTATTCGACGCTATTCTACTTCAAGGGGATATATCGCGTTCGTTCTTTGACTTTGCTCGGCGTGTCAGGTTTGCATTGAACGATGTCCATGTTCGGCACGAAGGAACTGGGAGCTGTACGATGGGGGTTGCCGTCGATAGCCTCGTGTATGATGACGTGGAGGACTCGGAGGGGCTGTCTCAACTTATGACAGCGGTTACCAAAGTACGCGGAAACTCATCCGTTGTGCTAATTGTCACACTAAAGCAGCGTGTTATAGACGATCCATCTCACGAATGTCTGCATATATGCGCGCGATCCAGAGAATCCAGTTACACTTCCACGGTGGTCAAACAAATCCAACGAAGTGGGTTGTCTCAAAAACCTTCGGCTACTGACGCCTGATTACTACATATATTCGTCCACCTGCAGCCATTCTCCATGCCGCCGTCACCCTCCGATTCATTACTGCTGGAACCATTCTCAGCATTGATTACAGTGAGTGCGGCTATCCGTCGAGCGGTCACACCATTGTTAACTTACAGGTGAAGTGCAATTTGAGTAGTATCGCCTCGGGTCCACTATTAGATCTCCAGTTCTGCCTCCCTAAGATCAAAGCAACACTCACCGACGCACAGTACAAATGCATACATGATTCCGTACAGGATATACAGGCTTGGAAGTGTCAGTGGAAGGTGTGTGTATCACTAAACAGGCTGCAAACTCACAACTCATTAATATGTAGTTCAGGCCATTTCGACCCCCTCCTGAGGTATTTGTGAATAATCTTGCTAAAGCCCGACTGAGATACGCGTTCGACGCGACCTTGCACGCCATACGGGAACGGCGTAGAACCCGGTCATGGAGCCATTTAAAGCAGCGGCGGGACAATCGCCGATTATACATAGACTTATTTCTTCGACACCGTAATGCACCGCTGCCCCAACAAGTAAGTGGGGATATGCTTGTAAGGCACTGGAAGTGGTGACTGAACTAAGAGATTATTCCAGGAAGAACAACAATTACAAGCACTGGAGAGGAAGCTTCCCTTGTCAGATCTGAGGTTATATCGCCTCGTCGCGCGACGCTCAACGAGGGCATTCACCCACCTGGTGTCTCTAGATAGTTCTCTGGACAGCACATCTGGGAGACTTCACGAGTCAAAGAACAACCAAGGGTTCTCTTCGCCTGCTCTTGCCGGCGGTACCGAGCTAGTACGCCTGGACGTTCAAATTCCCCAAGGTTCTATCTCGTTACAAGTGATATCTACCTCTGGTAGGCGAGAAATCCTCCGAGTCGCCTTCGGGGCTCTGAGCATTACCCTGAATCAAACGCTGCACGGCCGGTTCACAACAACTGGGTCCCTCAGGAACCTTTCAGCACATACCAACCTTCAGGCTCTCGTCTTTGTCAAGGAGCCCGTGGATGGCGGGGAGAGCTGTGGCGAACCGTTCTTGAAATGGGCATATGACACAGAGAGTGGAAGAATGAAGCTTCGGGTGATGCATACGGAGGTGATATATGACAAAGAACTTGTGGATGCGATGCTGAGATTTTTCCAAATTCCACCGGAACAATTGCAATCAGTCGAAGCATTCTTGGTGCGTGCCTTTCTATCCATGGGGCGCTTATGCTTACCCGAGGCAGACGTTGGCTATGCAGGCCATCGAGGCTAACGAACAGTGAATTGGATGTTCTGATCGAAAAGCAAGTACGTTTCGCGTGTATATGTGTATACGGCACTTTACTCATAGGTGACTTAGTAAAACTTCTCCTGCCTTCTTCGTGCTATCCTTAGATTCTTTGATGAAGGCGGAGAATGCCTTGAATTCTGGCTTTGCGGAGTCTCCGATGAGCTGGAAGGCAATGCTTTCGCTGGTGGAGACGATGGCGCCTGATTGTCGTAGTCTGTCTAGCGCAATGGGGACTTCTGTGCGATTACACGAGGATACGCCGTCGGCGACAATATAGACGGTGTACTTGAGGGCCAAGAGGTCGAGGGCGGTTTGGAGAACGCAGACGTGTGACTATCGCGGTGATTAAGACGTCTGTTAGGAAAGGGCTATGGGGGAGAGGGAGAATTATGCATGCGTACTTCGATTCCGAAGAGAACGACTGAATCAACGCCTGGCCGCGTGTCAAGTAAAGCTTTCACATCCGGGGTTACCATGGAGAAGAGGGTCTTATCAAAGTTGCCAATAAGGAGTGGGCCTATGGACACCAAATCTATATCTGGGACGATGGGACCGAGTGCTAGTAGAAGGTGGATGTATGAGTACCGGGTATCGGTGACGTCGGGAACTTAGAGTGCGTGTACCTTTCGCATTTTGCGTGGTTGCAACTACTTCGCAGCCGAGTATCTGATTAGAGATGCTCAGGCTTGTTCCCTCCGATTTTAGACAAATGGACGACGCACTGAGGCGATTCTCATCATCTTATTCGCAGTTGCAGTTACTTCATCAAATCCGTAGATAGCATTGCCTGATGATGACAATAATGATGGTGAGTGTGCCCGAACGTGGGATGGGGTGGGGGAATCATGATGGTCCACTGGGTCATATGAATTGCTTTAACAGGGAGACGTGCTCACGAAACCGGGTTTGCACATCGCACAAGAAGAACAGGGTCTTTGACGCGGTGAGTTGGTGAGCGGGCATGGTGCTGGTCAAGGTCAAAGCCCGGAAACTGGAAAGCGGGTGGCCGCATATCCGCTTGTGCCGTGGTGGTACTTTAATTCATCAAACTGATGCCAGTGATCACGGTCTACATACAACAATTATTCTGGCGAGGCGAGGTTCGGGGCTGGACTCGGAATATGTTTTCAGCTGCGCCCGCTGGTACAATCAAATGAGAAGAGCCTCTGCGTGTGCTCGTAGTAACCGCATGCTTCAGAAGTCTCCCATGAACGTTAACAAGTCACAATTTGTGATCGTGGGAAACCGCGGTCTGATGTATTTGTTGATGTTGTGAGAAAGTTCAATTTAGAAGGGACTGTTGGGCGAGTTGAAAGGTTGGGAACTAACCGCCACCAGTCCAGTCTACGACGCTCACAGCGTTCGCCCCAACTTCCACCTCCACCGCCCGCCCGTACCGACCTTGAGCTTTTGTCTCTTGCCCTCGGTGCTTCCTCTCATTTCGCCCACGTTCACTTATCACTCGCTTTCGTTTCTGTCGAACGCTGTCTCATCCACAACCTCAAATTCAAACCACATCTCCCCTTATAAATACTCTATATCTTTTAGAGTCATGGACTCTTTTGCTGCAGTTATTCTTCCCAGAGATGATGCCGCCGAAAAGCTCAAAGTGCGTTTCTTCAAAATCAAAACATTTCTTTGAAACCTGACAAATCGCGCGCAGTTCGAGTCTTTCAGGCTTGGCAAGGGCCTCCCTTCGTCGATGGCATCTCGGAGACACTCATCCCATGCAAGGTCTCATTCACGAAACACATCTATCTCGTCTGTCGCTTCTCTACCCGTTTCTACTTCAAGCGGTTCGCTGGCTTCTTCTGCCAGCTCGACTGATAGCTCATCGCTCACTTTGTCAACCTCAACGAGCAATTCCAGCGTCAGTTCGTCGAAGCGCAACTCTCATCACCGCCGTCGCTCGTCTGTATCGACTCGCCACGAGTCTGCCGAGATGATGGGTGTCAGTATTCCCGATCTACCACCCTCCAAATCCGACGACCACTTCACTCTGGGCGAGAAGGACTCCATCCGTAGGCGCGCACTCTGGGCTCTCGAGGGCAAGCAGGACATGGCCTTCTCAAAGGTTGAGATTCCCGAGCTGTCGACCCCTGATCTTGAGAAGAAATCGTTTGATTTTTGTACGTCATGTCCCTTTACTGCCCGCCCCATATAATGGAGCTTACGTGTGTTGCAGCGGCGAAGTCTTCCGGAAACTCGGGCTTCAGTGGAAGCTTCAGCGCTCAAAGCCTCAGCTCGCTTCTTGGCAACAAGAGAGACTCGTTCAAGCTCCTTGCTGCGTCTTCTTCCTCCAAGGATCAGTTGCACACGTTGGTCGAGGAGGAAGAGGAAGATGAGGAGAAGCAACCTGAACCTTTCCAGGAACACACCCCGCCTCCCGAATCTCCCGATGTCCCAGCATCCGTGCCTTCGGTCGCCGTCACGAAACCATCACCTGCGCGACCACGCCCGTCCACGCTCAATTTGCGACCGCTTTCCCTCACTCCTGAGTCGCTTGCGTCACTGTCAAACGGTTTGCCCACACCGTCGATGACGCCAAGTCCTCGTTCTGGACTGAAGACTCTCGCGCTTACCACATCTTTTTTGCCGTCTCCTACGGACGAGTCCCCCGCCCCATTGCCAACTGCGATGAAGCGCCAGTCTCTCATCCTTACCCCCTCGCCGACACCGCCTCTGCCTCGCCGCTTCCCTGTCAATGTTTGCGATAGTCCTGCATCAAGTCATTCGTCTGGGCCAGAAGAGGATACGAAACTTACGCGGCGCCGTAGTATTGGTTACAGGTCCTCGTCGACATCGTCGACGTCATCAATTGTCCCAGGCCTTCCGACACCCGAGTACACTCCTACAAGTGATCGTCGTTACAGCATTGCATCTTCTGCCAGCGACGAGTCCAGCATGTCTCGACCTCTGAGCGTCAGCGAGCAGCACTTTTTGTTCAAGCAGCATAACGCTCTGCTCGCTCGTATCACTGACCTAGAGCGAGCACTTTCATCCAGGGAACGCAGCACCTCGCGACCGGTTTCTTTCGCTTCAGATGGATCATGCGGTCAACGAGCCCACTCGCCAGGCATGAGTGTTAACGAGCCTGACGATGAAATGCTGCGCCTCATTGTTGATTTGAAGGCGGAGAGAGATGAGCTCAAAAGAGATGTTGAAGGATGGCGTCATCGGGTAGGGGATCTTGAAAAGCAAATTGGCGTTTTTGCTAAGCGGGTGGAGAACGAACGACGTGAAGCTTGGGTCGCTAGGTCTCGCGTGGGGTTGTTGGAAGTGGAGAAGAACGGTCTAGAGAAGAGCCTTTCTGCGAAGACCATAGAGGTCGAAGAGGCGCTTGAAGGTTGCGACAAACTCAGAGCCGAGATTCATTCATTGCGAGAGGAACATGCCTCCCTCCAGGAAGAGTTTGGGCTCTTGAAACGCGCTGCTGCGCGCTCCGTCGACTTGGAGAAGGAATGCTCCGACCTCAAGGCTCAGCTTGAAGAGGAGAGAAGACACCGTGAAGAACTCGAGCGCGAGTTGGAGAAGGCTAACCTGCTTGCTACGCCCACTCCTCGCAGCTTCGAAACCTGTGTCAAACCCGGTCTCTCAAGGAGACGTGGCCTAGGATTCGCTTCGATAGATTCGGAGAGTTCCATGACTGATGTCGAGAGTGATGAGCGCCCATATAGCTTCCCACTCAAGGCTGTTCAGGAGGCCGACGAGGAAGACTGCTTTTCTGAAGAGGATAATGGTTTGGCCGGCTACGAAGATGAGGAAGATTCGGACATCAGCTTCCAGAGTCCAGGAGGTTCATCTCTTGGCTCAGAGGATGAGTTCCCCACCAGGTCCCTAAATCATCTGCGCCCTAACGTGCCCACTTCTCCATTCTCGGCCAACTCTACTCCTGGATCAAATTCGAACTCTGGATCATGCACGCCTACTTTCTCGCGTTCGAACTCGCCCACCACGATTGCCGCGCCTCAACCCATACATGGTCGTCGCGCGTCCTTGTCGAAGACCTGGACCTTCCCGGCCACTCCCCGCGATTCCCCTGATCGTGCTATGGTAGAGGATGTCGACCGCTTCTTTGGTTGTCTTGAGGAACGTGTCCAAAGCCCTGTTGCAGATACCGACTACTCTTACGAACGTAGCAAGAGCCTTTTCTCTCAAGGGCTGCAGAATGACGACGATGACATGCCACCGTTTTTGTTGCCATCTGATATCGGATTTGTCGTCGGTAGTTTGCTTCCTCCTTCACAACTTGGCGTTCTGCTTGAGGAGGAGGAGGGAGAGGAAGACTACGAGCAAGATAATTCTGTCGACGAAGAGATCTTCGGGGAAATTGGCGGTATCACGATTACTTTCACGCCTGCTGAAGATGATGTGGAGGAGTCGAATGATTCATTCTCTGAAGGCGAATCCTTGATCCATACCCAGCCACCCAAGTTCTTCCAGGAGGAAGAGGAATCCGATACGTCCATGTCATCGGAAAGCGGACCAACAACGCCTGAACATGTACAGACTCCCAGAAAATCTATGGCCCCATCCGGTATCCCTCGTCCTAAGTCACCATCCTCTGTACAGATCGTATCCTCTCCTTCCATTCCTTCCCCTTCCCAGAACACCAAGGCCGCCTTCAGCGCGAATGAGTTTATGTCCATGTCGTCCCCTTCTCGAATCACGCCACCCAAATATACATTTGCTGGATCAGTGAGAACGAATGCTTTTGTCACGCCGCCCACCAAACGCGGCGGTGTTATGCCTTCCCAGTCGGTGGCTTCTCCCTCACCCGTGCGTAGCAATCTACCGGTCAAGGCTAAGCCCGCTGCACCTATCGCTACTTTCACTCGTCAACCCGTCCGCCGGCCGTTGTCGGTAGCAAATCAGGCAGATACTCCGGCTACCATCTCGCCGCTAAATGGTGGGATTGAAAATGGTTCGACTTCCAAGCCTCAAATCCCCACATTGAGTACGTTTCCGCTAATATCTTATCGCAGAATGTAGGCCAATGAATGTTCGCCCTCATTGCAGCTTCTCCAGTTCAGTACCAACGTTTACCAAGGCAGTCCATACCACGCCTTCAGAGGTGCTGAAGGGTCTCGATTCTCGCTCGTCTTCCAATACTTCTCCCCACTCTCAATCCCAAGCTAACCCCTCGACGTCCTCTTCAAATGCTTCACGATTATCTTTCTTCATGTTCACGAGTCTAAACCCCTTTTCATGGTCCAAAGGTCCTTCACTTGCAACTACCCCTAGCATCGATCCTTGTGCCACTCCCAGGTCGAACGAATCAACCGATCGGAGCAACAAACCAATTTCCAGGGGATATGTTTCTAGAGAGCTACAACTTGAGAAACTTCGACAACGACTAGGGTCCGAAAGTGGTGACCCCAACACTTGTAAAACCTGCAGCGGAGAGATTGTCTTCCTATAAAGTAAGCGATCGCTTACGCGTAATTTGTATCCTAACTAACCCTGCCCAGTCATTGTCGCTTTCTGTGGCCAGTTGATGCCTTTCCATCATACATTTTGGACCCACTTTCGTATTTGTATTCCTTCCCATGCCCACAGACGATTATAGCAACTCACGTCACGACATGTATTCTTGACAATGCCCCTTCTTGTTCGTTTTCGACTCGGGCAAAACCGCATCCTACCTTTACAACTTTATCGGGGTACTGGTGTGCGCTCTTCTATATTTTTGGTCATACCTGTACATACCATTTCGCTTTGCATTTTCGTTCTCGTATCTTTATTGATGTTGAGGGAGCTTGACGTTTCCTACCGACATAAAGGTTGACACCTTCTGTATCTTTCTATGCCTTATCATTATCTTGACAGCCACTTATGGCTACCCCCCATGCAATGCAATACAGCTCTATGTTCATAAATTTCAACTTTGAGGCGAGAACTCTCCAGCTGATGGTCTCGACACTACGTCCGGATATTTCCGCGCCGTGGGAACGTAGAATAGGTGTCGTTTATACCGTTCCATCCGACTCAACTTGTTCAATTACTTTAGTCCACATCATGTCGTCCCCGCTGCGCAGAGGTTTTATGAAGAACTGGTACGCCGTTGAGGTCAGCATTCCTTTATCTCCCAATGATATGTACACTGAATGGCTCGCATAGGCTCTACCAATGTAATGTGCTCTTGCCTGTTGCTTTTTGGCGGAAACTTACCCGTATATCTCAGTTACGCTATCATCGGAAGTGTCCTCGTCGGAGGAGCTTGGTACTTGAAGCGCCTCGCTACTGGCCCAACTGGTGAGTGGTCTTCCTTTTGAAGGGACGCCATGTTTTAATGATGGGCGGTAGTCGTCTGGACCAAGACCAACCCTACACCTTGGAACACCATTCAGCCTGATCAGGGAACGAAGATTGTCGAGGTCAACCAGAAGTTTGACAAAGGGTGAGTCTCGTTTCGCTAGGATCCCAGTATGCGTGCTGAACCTGCGGTATTCCACTAGCTGGTCGCGAGAGAAGTTGTAAAAGCATTCATCTCAGCTCTATTGAGTCGCTGTACTCTCGTTTTAGATACTCTTCTAAATACATTTGCGCCTGCATCGAAGAACATATACTTTGGCGTGACAGTTCGTGACCAGGCCATATGGCACCGGACCGCCTTTACGCCCCTTGACGCCATCCTTATCTCAAGTGATATAATCGATGGGCGACTTCAGCGAAATGTCTCTACCCTTCAACCAACATGCTGCCTGAGATTCAGTCACCATTCATTTTGCCTCCTTTAGATCAAGTTCCTGATGACGACCAAGATAAACCTCTGTTCAAAGGACACCTCGTATGTCATATTGACGCCCATTATCATGTCTTCTTATTTTGCTTCCGTAGCAGGACGAAATTAGGCCGCTTGGGCTTCCGCGCATAATCTTTGGGGCCGGGGCCTTCTCGAATCAATATAATAAGGATACCCATCTGGCGTCTGCTGCACCTCTGCGCACTGTGCGGTTGGCCTTGCGGTGAATCAGATTGCTTTCCTGGCCGTTTACGTCACTGACACAAACTCAGCTATGGTGTCCGCGCCTTCGATACATCACCGTATTATGGTCCGTCTGAGATTATCCTAGGCGACTGCCTGAAAGCACTGTCCGGAGAGTTTCCTCGATCATCATATCAATTGGTACGGCGTTAGCCATGTCACCTATCGATAGACTAATAGGCTAAAATACTCTATACAGATGACCAAGTGTGGACGGTACGGACCTAGTACGTTCGACTACAAACCCGCTACTATCCGAGAGAGCGTGGAACGCAGCTTGAAGCGACTCCACACGGACTATTTGGACACTGTATTTCTTCATGATGTTGAGTTTGTCTGTGCCCAAGTCGCCCCAAGGGCAACGGGCGATAACTCAACAGCGCTCAATATCGAGGCCCCTGAGTTCGGATTAGCGGAAGGGCAGGAGGCGAAGATACAAGGTGATGGAGACCAGAAGATACTAGATGCATTCGCCGAACTTCGCAAGATGAAAGAAGAGGGATTGATAAAGAACATCGGCATCACAGGTTTGTTTCTCGACGCATCCAATGTCTGCTTTGCTGAATGCTTCTCAGGATACCCGCTTCCGACTTTGCTCAGGCTTGCGCTATGTATCCTTCATAACCCACCCTATGAACCCGTCGACGTGATTCTATCGTACTCGCACCTTAACCTCCAGAACTCAACCTTTTTGGCTTTTGCACCCCATCTGATTACACGGGCAAAAGTCAAGCAGCTGTTAGCCGCATCTCCCCTCAGCATGGGCCTTCTGACGCCATCGCCGCCACAGTGGCATCCTGCTCCCACACCTCTAAAAGCGTCTGCCGCAGCTGCAGGAAAGCTCTGGGACAAGGGCCTTCCCGATCTAGCTCTGGGTTACTCTATCCGTTTCGCCGAGGGAGTGCCACTTGTCGCTGGCTTTAGCAGCCCGGAAGAAGTCCATCACTGTCTCAGGATATCGAAGGAAGTTTCCGAGGGCGACAACAAGGAACAGCGGGTCGAAGCCGAGCAGCTGGCATTGGCAACGTTCAGAGATGCTGGATACCTGGGATGGTCCTGGTCGTCTCCGTGATTGTAGGTTTGAGTGGAAATGCCTGTATTCGATGCAGATAAAGACATGGATCGGGCAGGCTGCTTCTCAGCCCGAATCAATGAATCATGCAGCTCACAACTCTCACAACGCCACTCGGAAACGGTCAGGAGGACCAACTTGGACGTAAACAGGCGCCTACAGCTTATCCATCGTTGTGTAAGACCGAGGAGTCGCCGACTTCGCTCAGGTCACGTACTCACCTACCCAGAATGGCTTTATGTACAGGGACGTTGAGTTGATAGAAAACGGCCTCCCACTGAACCTACTGCTTCATTTACACCCAATGTCTGGCTTTAAACTCATTCTTGTCATCGGTGCCACCGGTGCTCAGGGCATGGCGGTCATCGATGCCTTGATTGCACCAGCTTCAGACGGCTCACCTTCTCCCTACAGAGTTCGCGCTTTGACTAGAGACCCATCCAGCACCCGCGCTCAAAAGCTCGTTGCCAAGGGTGTCGAATACATCCAAGGTAAGTAACAAACAACTTGTGCACCGTTCAGAATATGTTTGACCTTGTGGGTTTGGTATAGGCACCTTCGACAGCCTCCAAACGGTAGCCGCCGCCTTCGAAGGTGTATACGGTGCGTGGGTGAATACCGACGGATTCACCGTTAGCGAACAGAAGGAGATTTACGCTGGACTCAAAATATTCGAAATCGCTAAACGTACATCCTCAATGCGCCACTACGTGTGGAGCAACTTGGATTACGGCTCCAAGGTATATTCGATTCTTCACGCGTCCCCGTTAAGATATACATTCGTTCACAGAAATCAGGATATAGCCCTGAACATAGATGTGAACACTACGACGGGAAAGGTCGCGTCGCAGAGTTCATGAAACAGCAAGATTCAGTTCCGTCTGGGATGGCCTGGACGATCGTGACGAGCGGGCCGTACTTTGAGCTTCTTAACACAGTGAGTTCGAAATCACCTGTCCATCAGCTATTCTGAAGGCCCCTCAGTTCTGTGGCCCATTCCACAGACGTCCGGACGGGACGTTCGTCTTTGCAGCAATCATACAGGATGGCCATGTACCATTCATTGCCCTATCCGATCTGGGCTGGTGGGCTCGTTACACCTTCGATCATCGCCCCGAAACGTCTGGAAAGGATCTAGAAGTCGCGGGTGATATGGTAGGATGGGATTATCTCGTCAAGACATTCACCGAAGTCACTGGGTATCCAGCCGTACATAAACGCCAAACTCAAGACGAATGGTGGCTCAATTGGAAGGATGTGGACAAGCCTGTGGCCAACGAGCGTGGTGCTATTCCCGATGGGTCAACCTCTGGAAAGGAGAATTTCTCTGCTTTCTGGAGTTTGTTTCGAGACGACATCATCAAAAGGGACTTGGGCTGGATAAGAACTATTCATCCAACGGGACAAACGTTGGGGAGTTGGATGAGAGAACAGAACTACCAGGGCACCCGTTGGCTTGTGAAGACACGAGGGCCAGTCCTCAAGAACGAAGAGGACGGAAAGAGCTTCTTCACACCGAATCTTGAGGCGATGGCGCAGCTATGAATCCAGATTGGTTGATTTGTAGAATGATTCATAGGTTCTACAGTGCGCTGTATCATGACATGCTGAACCGTGATGTTAGAATCAAACAAAAGGCTGAGTAACTCGTCGTGAAGATACTCGATTATCATCTCCGCCAGGTTTGTCTTGGGAGTGTTATACCCGAGCCCATGGAGATCGGGTGAAAGCAGCGGCTTGCTTCTCATCATTCGCCCTACAACGCTACTCAGAAGTGTATCGTCTCGGGCTGACTGGCCGATGCGCGGGTGAGTTAGAACCTCGGTAACGTCGCATTCGTGTGAGCGTCTGTGGCGTTTTGCGCGGAATCCTGTCAAACGCTTTCGTCGATGGTTCCTTCAGAATCTCAAAAAAGGCCAAACCTGGACGTAAATAGGCGCCTCGCATCTACTCCAAGTGCAACTGTTGGTCTTGATAATATCCTCGGTTGAGAAGCTGCAAGACCGAGTTCCAGCTTCAAAAGACAATTATTCAGCAGCTTCGGTCAATGAGCCATATCACGTACCACTACTCTGGGATGGCTTTATATACAGGGCCCTCTTACTGAAAGATAAAGCATCACTCAACAGATCCACTATTCAAATTTCCATCCAATGTCTGGTTCTAAACTCATTCTTGTAATCGGTGCCACTGGTGCTCAGGGCATAGCTGTCATCGACGCATTGCTTTCATCAGCTTCAGATGGCTCACCTTCTCCCTACAGTGTACGCGCTTTGACCAGAGACCCGTCCAGCCAATGCGCACAGGAGCTTGCCGCTAAGGGAGTCGAATGCGTCCAGGGTAAGTAACAAATAAAACAAGTTCCTCCTTCAAGTTATATATCTGATCTAGTGAATGTGCAGGCGCGTTCGACAATCTCCGAAGCGTAGCTGCTGCATTTAAAGGTGTATACGGCGCGTGGGTGAACACCGACGGGTTTACTGTCGGCGAACAGAAAGAAATTTACGCTGGTCTGAAAATATTCGAAATCGCGAAACGTACCCCGTCAGTGCGCCACTATGTGTGGAGCAACTTGGATTACGGCTCGAAGGTACCCCATGTTCGATTCAATTCGTGCGACCTCCTGACTGAGAATATATTCGCAGAAATCCGGTTATAGCCTGGAGCACAAGTGCGAACACTATGACGGGAAGGGCCGCGTTGCAGAGTTCATGAAACAACAGAATTCGGGCGCATCTGGAATGACTTGGTCAATCGTGACAACCGGACCTTACTTTGAGCTTCTGTATACAGTGAGTTCGGGGGAGCTTCCTTCGCGAATTCTATTCTCAGAGATTCATTAGTTGTGTGGCCCGTTCAACAAACGTGCAGACGGCACCTTTGTATTCGCATCAGTCGTACAAGATGGTCACGTACCTTTCATCGCCTTGTCTGATCTGGGCTGGTGGGCACGTTACACTTTCGATCACCGCACCGAAACGTCTGGAAAAGATTTGGAAGTGGCGAGTGATATGGTGGGGTGGGACTACCTCGCTAAGACGTTCACCGAAGTCACTGGACATCCAGCTATACACAAACGCCAAAGTCAGGATGAGTGGTGGCTCAATTGGCACGGGGCAGAGAAGCCTATAGCCAACGAGCGAGGCACAACACCCGACGGCTCGACGTCAGGAAAGGAGAACTTCTCTTCCTTCTGGAGGTTGTTTCGAGACGATATCATCAAAAGGGACTTGGGCTGGATCCGAGGCACTCACCCTACGGGACAAACGTTGGAAAGTTGGATGAGAGAGAAGAACTATCAAGGTGCCCTTTGGCTTGCCGAGACGGCCGGGCCAGTCCTCAAGAACGACCAGGACGGCAAGAACATCTTCGTGCCTAACCTTGATGTGATGTCGCAGTTGTGAATAACCGTTGTGTATTAGGGTAGATTTACAATGTTGCAATGTTTCAAATATACAAATTCTTCAACGAATACCATGAGACCCTGAGATCGCAAGACCAGGAGAGTTACGACACAGTGCCGCGAGTTTACCGTGTTCTTATGACGCCGGCATTGATCAGTTTCTGTATCTTCTGCTTGATCATCGGGTTCTTCAAGTGATCTTGGAGGGCAGCGGGATTCGACTGGGCTTGCTGCAGGATCTGCTGCATGACGGGGTCACTCATAATCTCCTGCAATTCGCCGTCAAGCACATAGAAATTATACTGGATAGGCGATACTCACAGCAACCTCCGGATCTCTCATGGCACGCTCCAATGTCTGTTCTGCCGACTCAGCGTTGCGCTCACTGAAGAGGGCTTGCTGGATCTTCATTTCTTGTTGCGCGATTTCCGATGTGTGCCTGTGTTCCTCATCCACCTCTGCAGCCGTCTGTATAGCCTCCAGGGCCTTCGCGTGTTCCTTCATGGTAAGCAACACGTTTGACTTCCTAATGTAGGCTTTGACTACATCATTTGTTAGGATTATGCCTCGTTGACTTAAAGAACACATTGACTTACCAAACTTCGGATCCACCTTAATGGCCTCCTCGACATCTTTAAGGGCCTCGGGGAACGCAACAAGCTTCATGTACGCAGCCGCTCGGTTATTGTATCCACGCGCATCGCTAGGGTCACGCTTGATACTCTCCGTGTAGCTCTTGACGGCGTCGGCAAATTGGCCAGCCTTAAACTGCGCATTACCCTCCTCACGGGCGATGTGGCTCTTCTCCGGGTCGATATAAGCTTGTCTGTCAGCTTCCGCCTTAACACGTTCGATGTCACGCAGTTTGTTGAGGATGTCGGGGGTACGGTGTTCGGAAAGGGATTTGTTGTAGAACTTGATCGCGGAGGCATGATCGCCCTTCTTGACGTATGCTGATCCAATACGTCCAAACGCTTTCGCAATGAGCTTGTAGTCTGCACGTAGCTGAGAACCTAGTTAGGCATAATAGTTGAACAGGGCCCAAATACGCTTACTGATCGACCCTCTTCCACGGCCTTCTCACAAGTCTCAATACACTGGTCAAACTCACCCTGCTCGAAATATGTGGCGGCAAGGTTGGTCAGGAAGGTTATATCCTTTGGCCAGAGGTCCCAGGCTTTTGAGAACTGCGTGGCAGCCTCTTCGAATTCTCGTTTTTTATACGCCTCACTTCCGAGTTTCTTAGCAGCTTCTGCCTCTTTCTTGGCTTTTGCCTCTTCATCGTCGACTTCCTCCATTTCGACATCCTCTGTTGGCGGTGACGCCGATGTTGACGGTTTAGATACGGGAGTAGGTGTGGATTTCGGTGCTGAAGGTGTGGGAGTGCTTCGGGTATCGGGAGGGAGTTCATCAGATCCTTCTGGTCTCGTGAAGCCTTGCATGTCAATACCCATAGCTACTCCTAAGACATCGATAAACCGAGGATCGCCACTCGAGCTGAACATGAAGATATCAGTAAAACGCAAGGCAATCGAAGGTCATATAGCACTAACGCAGCTGCGCTGGGATTCATTTGCCACATTCGAAGCTGCACAAAAACAAATTAGACGTGATTCCGAGCTGGCACCATGGCGGGGTGACTCACATTTTGCATAAAGCTGGGATCTGCGAGATATTTCGACGTCCGTGGGTTGGCGGCGAGTTTACCGATGAGGTTAGGGTCACTCAGTCCTTTTGCCAATGGGTTCGAGTCCATTGCTATAATCTATCGCGTCAACGGCGGCGATGCGGTAAGGAATATCGGGCGTACCTTTAGCTGTGCGAACTTCCTCTAGACCTTTCTTCAGCGCCGGGCTCTCTTCTAGCTTAAGACCCTCTTCGTACGCCACGATAGCATCATCAAACCGATGAGCACCATGCAGCGCAGCGCCCTTTCGTGCATACCCCTTCGCCCACGAGGGGTTACATTTAATGCACTGTCCATGAGTCTTGCATTAGGAATATCGGAGCAGCTAATTTCCAAGCACTCACCTCCTCGGCATCTTCTAGCGCAGCCTCCCACTCTCGCTTGCCGGCCTTAGCTGCACTTCGATTCGAGTACAAAACATGGTTCTTCGGATCTAGCGCAATCGCTTGCGTGAAAAGGTCGATGGCCTTGTCCCAATCCCTTGCTGAGAAGGCCTTATTGCCTGCATCTTTTAGTGCGTTAACCTAGATTTCGCACCATTGGTTAGTCCACATGCGCCCGGACAGACCATCACCCATACGCACGTCAGTCATGAGAGGTAAAGTCGTCCGCGAAAGCAGTCGAGTTTTGGGTTAAGAGTTGGGAGTGCTGGATAGAGGCCTCGAAGTCTTTTCTATAACTCTTCCTCCGTTCTGAGAAAAGTTCCAGCATATTCTAGTTCCCGTCCTAATCTAATCGGACCGATCGGGGCACGGTCAGGTGACTGACAATCGCAAAAGGTGTTTCTCATGTGACCTCCCTCGTTTACTTCCTTGTTCAGAACTTTCACTGCCATGTCACTACACTTTATCTATTATCTAAAGCACTTCGTTCCAATCCACAAGCACCCGAAATTGCTAACTATATACATCTGGGTCATGCAGTTCTAGGCCGGAGCACACGTGCCGAACTACAGGCATTCCAAACATAATGTGGCGTTGGGTGAACCTTTGATGCGCGTGCTCATTTTTGGCTGCGGGTCTTCATGTTTACTGGCTGGTTGGTATTTAGAAATCCGCTTCTATTGAAGAGTACGACCTTCTGACCGGTGGGTCGAAGTCCTCTCAGTTGTTTCATCCTTTGTGTGACTGCGCGGTAAATTGCACGATGGTTCTTTTGGATTTTGGCCAGGGACCACCTCACAAGCCCTTGGGTATAGCACTGGGTGAGCAGGCCACTCACTACGTAATATTACAATATTCAGTACTTACTAACCTATAAAGCAAGGTTTACCCCGGGCGATTGGAATCTCTGCCCGAGCCACTCGCGACCCTCTTTAATTCCAAACCTTGCACGGTTGAACGCTGAAGTTCAGCCGTGTAAAACTCTAAACTCGCTTCCAATCCCCTGGTTCTTTGTCTATGGCCTTGCAAATCCCGCAGCAGTATCCCCACAGATGTACGATCCCATAGTCGCGATAATCCCAACGCTTCAGTGATTTCCCCTCGGAGCCCTCAAAGCCGGGCTGCGTGAAGGACATTGCAAAATTCAGCGTAGGTCGTGTTAAGAAGGGTGCTTCTCGCGAAGATGGTGCTGAAACCATCTCATCGAGGCATCTGCTCCACTAGTATTAAAGGCGGGAGGTTCAAGTTGATCGGCCGGACGATCTTGTTCAACAGCTCTCCCTCAGGCGGCCCACATTACCGCGCAGCGTCGTTCCGTCTGTCCCGCCTCGGTCATAGGCAACCAGGTGCCAACAATTAGTCCCTTTCTCTCCCCTTTTCGTCGTCGCATATTGTTAATATGCGCGAGATTACCACTTTGACTGATCGTGTTGTCAACTCTTCATTCCTCTATAATGTTTCCAGCATGAACACATAATTCATTTGCGAGCCGGCAACCCAGAGGACACCGTTGAAAGCAGGCTGCTGAAGGCTGCCGGGTCTGTTGGACGTCAGCGGCCTCACCGACAAGTCCTTGGAACCCTGCTGTACTTACTATGCCTTCTTCTTGAACCTATTACTCGACCAAACTCATCACGATGGATTAGAACAATATGCTCGTCACATCCATTCAATCCTCAGCGGTCCTGTACGATATAATCTGATAGGGGGATCGGTACCTGCGAACGCAGGTACAGAGCTTGTTGCGCATACGTAGGGCTCAACAACTCCATCTACAAGCCTTCCCGAGCCTTGGACATCTACGAAGACGAAGCCCGAGAATCATCGAACTTACTTGGAGTACCTTAATATCTTTTGTACACCCTCGTGGAGCCCTAACTTCATTGAAGTATGTGTACCCTTGATTCGATGACTCAATGAATATGATCCGTCAATGGGTTCTTAACCTACCAGCGAAGTCCATCATGATTCAGGTTGCGCTCAGTCCAAGCTCAGTCCCCAGTCCATATTTACAAGGTTAAAGGTCAGACTACTTCCTTCGGGCTTAGTCCAACGACCTGCAGAAAATCCCGCTATTTTCCAAGTGCCATGGGTCAGTGGAACCACCGCTCCGCGACTCCAACAAGCTAATTAGGTTCTTTAAGGGGTCCATTGACCCTATCTCGACCCTATCTCACCTCCTATCCTAATCCGCGCGACTCACCCTTGTGCAAGTGTGTTGCGGATATTAACGTTTAAATTACATCTTGTAAGCTATATACATATATATGCCATGATAAACTGGCGAAGGGTACAAAAAGATGACCAAGAAACAATCAGAATACGCCGGGTGCATAAGGTAACACGGTGATGATTTGGTGCACCGAACTAGCGAAGAGGAAGACAGCAGGTGTTAAAGCGTTCGAGGGTTACATATATAGAGCATTTACAACCTACAAAAGCTGGCAAGAAAGCAATAATAGAAAGCGCACCCTACATAACCACAGCACGACATATCATCGTCACGTAACAGGCAAATGCCTCATCCCCACTCCCGCCCCGGGCCCCAGCCCGTCCAGGAACTGCGCCCACTCTCCTTGTCCGAAACCGACCGACGCGCCCCAGCTTGCTGGATCGTCCACAGGCGTAACGTATTGCGCATACCGCCCGCCTTCGGTATAGATCTGCCCATTTTGTCCATGGTGTTGTGCATGAGATTGAGAATGATGATGACCAGAGCCATTTGTATACGCTGGCCCAGAGACATGGCCGTTTGCATATCCTTGTGAATGATGCCCGTGTCCATGCCCATTTACTGGTGACATCTGCGAAGCGTGGGGCGAATGTGTTTGTGTCGCCGAATACATCTGATCGCTTGCTATCCCGTTCATCGACTGTGTCGTATATATCGGTGCAAGATGATTTTGCCCCCCACCAGCCGAAGTACTCCTCACAGAAGAAACTCCCATCCCCCCATTCTCGTACGCATGCGGCAACCCGGGCATCATCACCAGGGGCGGGCTCATCGAATTCGACTGCGCAGGACTCGAAAGTACCCTCCCACCAGGGGACTCCGAAGCACTACCGCCTCCTCTCGTCTTGCTTCCGGAATCATAATACGGGAACGCCAACTTCCTCACGATACCTAGTACCCTCGACTGCTTCTCCTCCCTGACTTCTTTGGGCAGCAAAGGGAATTCGGGTTCATGTAGCGGTGCTAGCGCGGTGAGCATGTCCAATGCCTTGTTCGCCACCGGCATGCCCTTACTGCTCTCCAGCATGCTCATTGCCTTCTTAATACAAGCCCTGAACAGCCCAGCCCCAGGTTGATCCGGATTCGCTATGAGCTGGAACGAGAAGAACATGGCGGCCGAGAAGCAATGAGACGGCATCCAGTTCATATGTCCGGGTACGGCGAGGGACGAATTTGCAAGGAAGTCGGGTCTCGATTGGTCGACAACGGTGATGAGCTTGTCAGCTGCGCCGACGGCAATCTCAAGTGATTTAGCAGTCTTACTGGCGTCGATAGAGGAGTGCAACGGGGTGGATGTTTTGCCGGTCGACGATACATTGCTGCTCGTGATGGTGTATGGCCGGTGTAGAGTAAACCGAATGTGGTAGTACGATGATCGGATAACCACGCTTTGTACACCCAGTCGTCGTAGCGATGGATCCGATGATGCTAGATTCCTTGCTGTCCGATAATCGTCAAGATCTAGCTCTGGGGGTATGTTCTCCATCCACAGCGTCAACGCCCTATCGTTTGCCAACACACTTTCATACGAGACTGGCTTGACCGAAACCGCATCGTCCATGATATCCCCAAGAATATCCGCCAGCCTAAACAGCGCAACATTCGGAAGATACAATCTCCCTGTCTTGTCCAATTCGGGATTGCAATAGCTCGGCATCTGGGTGTCAAAGTGATGACTAGCGATGAAGAGCGGCCGGCCGAACATGAAGCATTGCCATCTTTCTAGAAGGACAATGTGCCACCACGCCCAGCGACGGCGCTCTGCGATGTCCCTGTGCATTCGCCATTTTCCAGGATCACGGTGGAGACCCATAGCCTTGGAGATGGTGATCAGTTCACCAAGGATGGACCATATCTCTTCGGCATCGGATTTATGAAGGGTTTGATAGTTCGCGCGAAGTAGGAGGAGTTCAACAAGTTCCAGTGTATAGGATCGAGGTGATGTAGAAAGCCGGCGATGAAGGATAGTGCCGGAGAGTTGATAGTAATGCAGGCCAACGACCTCGACCTCGACTTCTCCCGTTTCGCCTACACCGAGTCCAACACTACCCTGTCCATTATCGACAGCACTGCATGCACGTAACAGGCCATGACCGGCAGGCAAATAATGTACTGCAAGCGCAACAATGGCGCTTGCCGTGGCCAAGGTCAAGCGATCTGCCATACCGCCACTCTTATATTTTGTCCAGTTGGTGTGGAAGGAATCAGCATTGATACTCCGGTATATCCATGAGCAATACTCAAAGTAATAGTCGATGAGGGAGTCGAGGATGTCGATGGGGGGGAGTTGGCTGAAGAGGTCCGAGTCGTGGTCTGGTGGGAGGGAGTTAGTGGAAGCGGCTAGTGTGTCTTCTACGGACGGCTGTCGAGAACCATCATCCGAAGCACGATTCTCGCCCTGGACGCAAGCATCAGTAGGTGGGACAGAAAATGAATCCATGAAACTATACTTTGAGGTATATTCTGGCACTAGTAGGACCGGTGTACAATCCGCCGGTCTGGCCAAGTGTGCCAGGTTCGGTTGAACCATCCTTGCCACTGACGTCGATATCGACCGCTTCCTTCTTTACATGCCCTGAGCTACCAGGGCCGCTGCCATTCGAGGTGTTAGGGTATGCGTTCGATGAAGGGTTTGTTGAGTAGTCGGTCTGCCGGCGTGCATGGCTGTTGCGATGGGAAGGGAATATATGCGCTTCGAGGAGGGTAATCGAGTGTCTCAGTCGAGCAATTTCCTGGGCGGGATCAATGCGGGCGTAGCTGCGAGGGAGCGAGTGAGATGGTGGTAACAGTGAGAGAAGCAGCAGACGACGGTGGGAAGTCTAAACAAGAGAGAAAAGAGACATACTGATGGTCATCTCCGCGGACATTAGAGCCATCGTGGCCTGATCCGTCTTGGTAGCACATAGCCGTTGTTCCTAAAACCCAACATCGCATCATCATCATCCTGAACGAGGGGAAGTGTGGGGGAATACGGACCTCGTAATACACACGATGAGCATGGGCGATTTCTGCAGTAGACGGATGAGGAAAAGGGCAGAAAAGGTGCATATATGCGCTGCGTACCTGTCGCATTTGAGCTTGCTGTTTCTACAGGGCTCGCAATTTATTGCCTTTCTTGCGCGTTTCGTCGGTGGGCGACCATCTTGCTGTGTGTCGCCCGACGGGGATGCGTTGCGTGTCCGCACAGTGCCTGCGGATGCCCCTCCCGATGCTGCGGTGTTTGAGGTCGCCGTGGACGATGTCGCTGCGGTGGTGGTTGTGGTTGAAGTGGAGGCCGAAGAAATAGTACTCGACCTCTGTTGTTTTGGCCGCGGAGCTGGGGGAGAAGTGGTCGAGGAGGAGTCTTCTACTCCCATGGATTCAGCTGATGCGATGCGGAATGCGCGGAGGAGCAGAGGGGTGGGGGGAGGAGGCAAGAGGGAAGGAGGGGAGAGGGGAGGCAAAGAGGGAAAAGGCCAAGGGACAGATCACGTCCTACTTTTTAGAGATTCACTGCTCATGAGTTCCCAATAAAGTATATTCTACACTTGAGCCCTGAACATCCCCTTTGCCCTCTATTTCGATGCGCCGACCCCAGCCACCGCCGTAGCCCGGCCACCGCAGCGCCGACCCGCGCTCTCGTCGCTGAGGACGGCGGCGGCGACGACGAGCGTGGATGCAGCGGTGGCGCTAATTCCGGCGGCATGTATGGGAGCCTGTCCCGAAAAGGGAGGAGGTGTGCCTCACAAAAGCCGACGGCATGCTTCCCCCAGGCAGGGTCACCAGGCTGCCTGAATTTCATGACGCACAACAACGGAATTATTTCCCCCAGGCCGCTCTGTGCCCGCACTCCCCAGCGGTGCAGCTCACTGCCAGCCGCGTCGCCCTCGCCGGAACGGGCGGCCAGCAAGCTTTCTTCCTTTTTATTCATACACGCGCCACGCCGCCCACCCCGAATCCGTGCCTTCTTCGACCGCCTCGAGCTCTTCTGGCATCGATATCGTCCAAATAAAAGATCGTCTCCAGCACCGGTCCGACCTCTCTAAAACCCAAACCTCATCAGAAATATCCAAGCTGCTCTGATCAAGGGTCATCTCTTCTCATTCAGCTCTGGACCCATCCGAATGAACTGCGCTTTTGATGTTTGCCAGTGATTCATGATGAGCATGGCTGCTGCTGGGGGAACAACGCCTGCCAACGTTCGCTAACGTTCCAACGCTGATCAGCGACGAAATTCTGCGATGAGGCCCAGGCGTGATTATGGTCCTCATCGTCGCTAGGCGTCCACTAATGTAGCATCTTCCCCGAGGGAATCAATGCCTGCAAACTGACTCTGGTCACTAATCCAGAGGACCGGATGCCGAAAACGACCAGGAGGTAAGTTCGACTCGCGTTTCGGAAGCCGGCGCGGAACACCCCTCGGCGCATCAGTGCATCATAATGCTCCCCGCAGTACAAATCACGAATATAGAAGACGACGCCTGTTTGATCCCCTCGGCATCGGTGAATAATACTATTTCCGCTATTCAATCTCAATTCGCCTGCGTGCTCATTATAACTACTAGTGCGCCCATGCCAGTCCAACTAGCTCCCGTGACTGGACGCCGTCCTACGCCTGTCTACCTTGTGTCGACAAATAGCGGCGTATAACATTATGAGGCCACGTACGCTGACATGATGGATGTTTCGACTGGGAAGAGGGAGAAGGAATGATTACGGTGAATTCTAATCATAATTTTATCGGTCGCCTGTCAATCATTGTTGTGTTGTACACAAAGGCGGGGATTAACCGACCGTCCCTTCTCGAGTCCTTACGGCTTACAGAACACAGTACCAAAGTCGGTCAAGTGCGCCGCAGCAACTGACACCCGACCTCAGCTTTACTCTTGAGTTGCTCGGACAGCACTAGCCAGGATATGCCCCACCCGGTGAAATAACTCACCTATTTTTACTCGGAGAAACCCCGAATAGCTTGAGAACACTTGCATCGTGCATCATCGCACATGCAGTCTATGTTTAAACGACACTGGATTTGACATAGACTCGACCTCGTGTCACTGGTACTCGTGTACTTTACTCCCCGTTGACCCCACCTCTGTTCTACATAGACCAGACCAGCCCGCACTGAACCCGCCATTTGACAGGAGCCTTGAACCCAACGCACAATAGGAGTCAGGAGGTGGTTAGGAGGCATCATAATCAGGGACCAAGGAAACAGACAATTACAAATTCCCGGAATCAACAACGGAATCAAATCTTATGGCTATCAACCTACCTCCCGACGCGCTGACGTCCCGAAGTGCCGATCGCGACCGACACAATTAGCATTCAGACCCACAAGCATCTGAGCCAAGTTCCCAGCCGGCGGCCTGGGTGAATCCTTTACACGCGTTATTCTGGTTCCAGAATCCCAAGTCGCCGTCGTCATAGGGCTTATATACGTCCCGAGGAAGCTTCGTCGCGCGACGGAAGCCTGTTATAACGGCCAATCACCTCGTCAACTCAGTGCCCCACGGCGGCCATCTGTACCGGAACGGTATACTGTCTCACCAGCATCATTCTCACCCACATATCAAGCTGGACAGCTGTTTACTCCGAGTACCATTGTTGCTGGAGGAAGTGTTGATTGACGTGGGTTTTGCGCGACGCCACACCGAACCCCATCCCAATATTTCAGCGATTACCGTGCGCAAATTTAAGGATGCCATTCAAATAAGCATGTGGACTGAAGTGCTGCATGAGAAGTTGTCCGAAGGCTCTGTTGTGGGATTTATGTCCGAGTGCAGGGATCAATACTCGGCTCTCCGCTACCGCACGATAGCGGGGAAATCAGCGTATGTCATGAGAACCGAAGAACATATACTGAACATAGCCGTCAGAAGTCGCATGGAAGTCGAAGCGACCATGATATCATACTCAATTTACGTCTGGCTACTGGACCAGCGAACAGGCCCGGTTGGCCGATGTTGTTCATTCCCCAATACCCAAATACGGAGCATCATTATACATCATATACATTCTCGTGCGTTTGGTGCGAGTAACGGGTAGGGCCGACCAAGCAAAGGAATAATCCGTCATAATCACAGCGGATAGACCAAGGATCACGCAGAAGCACCGAGTCTCTGCATGCGCTTCACCCGGCTGGCGAGTTCCGTTTTCAGGGTGGATATTTTGGGTACGGTAGATGGGTGGCTCTCTGCGGCAGCGAGGACCTGATCGATTAGGGTATACGAAAGCCACGTCGATCCTGCTTGTCGTTTGGGATCTCGCCCGAGTTGGGCATCAGCCTAGATTATGATAGAGAACAAGGGTGGTGAGAAACGCGGGAAATGAAAAGCAGGTAGTTAGCTCCGAGATAGGCAGAACGTTTTGTCAGATTAAAACATGAGGGTGCTTTACCTTGTGGATCAAGGATAGTGTGCTCGCTACAGCATCTCCAATGCTTTCATATCGGAGATAAGTGCGGATAAGATGCTCATGGCAGTTCTCCTACAAAGTTCATAGCATCAGCAGCAGTCAATTATTGAAACAACTTGGGGTGGGTGCTTGGGAAATGGGGTGATACGGACCTCGAGAGAACGGATAAGCCATGGGGGAGCAGTCGAAGCTTTCTCAAACGAAAGGATCGTGTCCAACACGGTTTTTGAGTATTTGAAATCCGTATCGATACCATCGTGGCGGTCTAGTGACTGCCTCAAGTGTCTCCACCCTCGGTCTGCGGGTGTCCCCGTCCACGTTGAAACTTGATCGGTGAGAAGCCAGTCGGTCGTATCCTCTTGTCTACAGAATGTGATCAGCCAAATGGCACGGCAGATCAGGGGAAAGCAAAAGGCTAACAGTATGGACTCCGGTCTACGCTCCAGGCGAATACATTGACTAGTTAGATACGAGAACACGTCGGTCAGGTCCACGTCTAAGCTGCGACCGGCGGACAGGGCAGTGTTGAAAGAGTTGGACTGAGCCAGCCGGATTACAATAGCAGAAGGAGGAAGTAAGAACTCTAGAGAGCCGTCAGCATGATTGACGTCGACAGTGACTATGATTTCACCTCCAGAAGATAGCAGAGAAGGGTCTTTTTGGACGGCATCCAGTTGTGCGGACAAAAGAGCATAGTCATATTGCATGTCTTTAATGTCGATGATTTCTACATCATACGTCCCAGTGGTGAACTTGTCATTTGGGATATGTTTCGTCAACTTGCGCCGCTTCCGCGACTACAGCATTGATCAGGGACAGGGGTCCTGGAAGATGGATGATATGCTTACCTCGGTTGGGTATTCAGTTTGGATAGGGAGACTGATCCAGGCACTTTCCTCTTCAATTAGCGACAAGGCATTAATTGCGACCGTGTAAGCTTCTAGTTGATCGAGAGCGAATGTACTGAATAGACCTGGGTCTGACATGAGGTCGTATAGTTTGCGGGCTCGTAGATACATAGACGAAGCAGCTGATGGAGACACAGTGAGCCACAATAGAATGTCACTCAAAGGGATTGGGCGTACCGCTGCGATAGTCTCCTCTTGTGACATGCCAGGTGTACAGGATTTTGGAATAATAGGGTCGTATACGGGGATCCACATTGCGTGCCTTGAACGACAACGCATCTTCGACTTCGTCCACGAGAGACCCAAAATTGAACGATATCAATTTCTCAACAGCATCATCTTCACACATTCGGTACACCAGTTGGGTCACACAATCCCGATTTCTATCGTGCGATGATCAGCCGACAAGCACAGCGATGAACTTGGTCACTCACAATTTCTCATAAGGGCAAGCCATTAAGGATTCATATGCATCATCATATAGGCGTAGATCGACCGAACCCTTGATGATGGTTAACCATAGACCCGAGGTATCTGCGCCATGCGGAACAGTAGAAAGGGCAAGCTTCGTGAAGAGCACCTCGCTACCCACGAATGAATGCTCGTGGAACAAGGCGGCAGCATGGAGGTAGAAAAGGTGATCAGAGTCGAAGAGTTCGGCATTTGGGAGGACGGCACGCAAGCTATCAATATCTTCAGGTGCTACACCGGAGTGAGGTCCTAAATGGGGAAAGGTGAACTTACAGCCAAGTTGTAGCATCAGGCTACGCACCAAAACAACCTGCGAGCTTCTCCAGGTAGAACGAGGCATCGTCTGCGCGGCCTATATCCAAGAGAAGCCGCGAAAAGACATAGGTGACCCCAGGAGTGCGTGGAAGCCACGATAGCATCTCCCGAGCTACGTGGTAATATTTGAGTAGCCTTAGACGTTCGCAGAATAGGACGTCGAACTTGGTCGCATGCGAAGTGCTCGATGCATCAGACAACCCAAGGCCAGCAAGGAACCGGTGGGCCGATACTTGAACATCATTTGCAGCAGCGTCCTGGGCAACGAGTCGGTGAATTAAGGAATGGCTAGGTGGGACTTGGGTCCGGGTTCTTGAAACTTGCATTTCGCGCATTCGAGCAATAACTTCATCTGCGCCGGTGGCGTCCTCAACCTGTTTCACCGGTGTCGTTTCCGCCGCAGGTTGATGCGCAACATGTTGTAACATTGCTGTCCCACGGAACACCGCGAATATCTCCGCCAGAAGAGAGGGATCCCATTGGGTCAGATCATCAGCAAGAAGGAATAGCAATGATATGAGAGCAAGACAGAACTCGTGTCGAGCTTGAATGGTTATTGTCGCATAAGCGGCCGTCAGAACAGCCAGCCAGTCGCAACGTGGTTGGTACAAGGGCGTGTCTTCTTCATCAACCTCCCGCTTCACAACGTTGCTATCAAAATCGCTGACGAGGTCAAGTACGTTGCGAACCGCTGATGTGAAGTCATGGATGCCTTGAAGTCTGCCGAACACCCAACTGTGGAAGCCTTCATCAATATCATCAACGAAGGAGGCACGTTCGACTTGATCTTGAATCATATCTGCCCAAGCGAAGGCATTTTCCTGTTGAATCGAGTCGGATATCCAACTCTCCAAGTTAAGCCTCGCCTGAGGATCCAGTTTAGCCCATATGGTCCACAGGAGTTCCAGTAAATCGTTGGCGTTTCCACCAAGGCGTCGACCCTCCACCACAGCTCGGTGCAGGGACAAAGGGGCGTCTTCTTGGACCAGCATGCCCACTCGCTCACGCTCCACGACTACGACTTCCCCCCTATCATGCTCACCCAGCACGAGTGGCCAACGTGCACTCCGTTCGACCTCGCGACACCGAGCAATGAAGCCTTCCCAATCGCGTTTCAGAGCGTTCCAATAGTTTCCATGCTGTAGGGTGCCGGTCTTGGGGTCTCTAACAAGGTTGACGGTACAGCCAACGACCGCGGCGATTTGTTCTCCTAGGGTTGCATACGTTGTCGTTAGTTGGAGTGGAGTAGGTCCTGGGAGTGCGAGGCATGCGTTCGTGTATTGATCGATCGCGGTGCGCAAAGTCAATGGTGAGAACCTCCCAGGCCTCATGATTGCTTCAAAGAATTTGTCCGTAAGGGACCCAGGGGAAAGGAGCAACTCTTCAAGATATGCTGGCGTTAACTCCGGCTCGCGAGCATATGTAGCTGGATACCACGGAGTTGCGCCCGAACGATCCGACCTTGTATCCGTGTTGATCACTGATCGTTCAACCATGGACTGGCCCTGTCGATCCCATAAAACGTATAGGTTCATATCGATGACTCTGAAGTCTTGTAGATGACAATGAGCACTGTTCGGCGAGCATTCAATTATACCTTCGTCGTGTAATTGGTCTGAGGTAGTGCGGAAGAGACGGAAAGATCCTCCGGAAGTCGAGGAAGAAACGGTAGGCACGAAGACAAGAACATACACAGTTTCATTGCCTGTAGAAAACACTTGAAGGAATTGCTGGTTCTGGGTTTCCAATAACGGAGGTGCATGTGCGGAAGGCCCGGGGGACTCTCTCGTCAACGCAAGAGATCGAGAAGCTACGCATCCGATTTTAGCTTTCCACAGACGCAAGGTACGATCTCGAGACAATGTCCAGACATGGCCCAGGTCAGTCGGCCAAGGATGAGTGGCTATCGATACAACTTCGGCTGTGTTCGGTGATTGTGCGTGGAGGAAGGAGGTGAGAGAAGTGAGGAACGAGCCGTGTTGGAACACAGTCTCTGTCCAGCTATCTAATGTGATGTGAAACACAAGCGGCGACGTATCAAGCATAGCGACACACCTTCAGATACACTGTGCCCCATGGAATCCGACTCCAACCGAAGCAACTCTCCATTTTGTAGCCCAATGGCTACAGAATGAGGACCCTGTATCTGAACAAGTCCCTCGGCATCCTCCTGGAAAGTCTTGATCAGATATTCGTGGTACGTGAATCGGTCCGTTTGGTGCTTCCACAAGTTCACGCCATCTTCAAGGGGTATAACAACCCGGTACAGGGAACCAGAGAGTGTGACCGCTAGAAGGTGCAACTGGTTCGCGCCCCAAACAAATACTCCCGGATGAGGAAGAATCGGTGAAGGGAACACGAAACGTATTGGGAGGGTGTCGGTCGACAGTGAGATGAGCTCTACAATCAACGAGCCATGCAAAACGCGTAGAAGCAGTGTTCCAGTGGCTTCGTTCTGCAAAACTGAAGCATACGATGCATGTTCGGGTGGAGGATCAGAGTCTTTAGGCGCTGCTGGGAGAGGCGTCTTCTGGCGGATGGTGTGTATCGCAAGAGTCGCTGCTTGGGCTGAAGGGAATATGGAGGATAACTGAGCGGCAACCAGCACTGACCCGTTCATGTTGTCGTGCACGTCGGCGGCGCGTTCGAAACTGAATTGCCCAAATCAAGACGCGTCGGAAGCCTTCCCACGGTTACAAACTTCAAGCCCTTTGCACTCATTGAAGTAAAATTGCGGAAGAAAGTCATAATCACTATAATCCCTGCTACGCACATAATTAATCCGGATACACAGAGGTCCGAGGGCAAAAATCCGCATATGCAATATGTATCAGTAAATGAGCAGTCCACGAGCTGTGCTTCTATCATTCCCGTCGGTCGCATCGCTAGGAACTGTTCAAGATCCTTTCGCAATCGTGGTCGAGGCATTAATTTGCTAGGCTTGATTGATGGCTTCATCACCCCAAAACGAAGTGAAGTTCTAGGGTAGTGACGAAGGTGTAAGCCATCTATTTTTACGTCGAGAACTTGACCATCATCATCGTGCAACGCTTCGTTTCGCGTCTGTGACTGGTAGTTGATAGCTAAAACTATGGTGTAGACGTCGATTGGGTGTCGTGGGTGTCGACAGACCTCGTGGCATCCGAGTTTCGGGGACGCTGAGCAAAAGCGATAGTCTCGAGGGTGATAAGGGACCTCTCGGTCTAGAGTATGTATCTGATCTGGCAAGTCGTGGTTTCAATGGGTTTCCTGCAATGAGGGTTGCCCACCGGACATCCATTATCGATGTCAACGTTCTATCTTTCAGCGAGTATCTGGAATGCCCTGTGAAGTTAAACATAGTACAGTCATAAGTAGTCGCCATCGGGGAACCAAGGAAATGACTCATACAACCCTTCCACCACCTTCCATCCCAAACGAGTCTGTTCCAAGCAGAATTGTGACATGATTACGATTCAAGGACAATGATTGATTGAGCTATCAGTGGTAGGTACTCAAGCTCAGTCTTCTACTAAGTAGATTGAGCGGCTGGTCTGAATATGTAATGAAGTGTACTTGACCGGTTTTGTGGGCGGAAAACATGCATAAGCATCGAGGCGCAGTTGTTTGGATGTTTGTACGGTGGAGCAAAAGGAGGCGGGAGTGTCGGATGAGCTTCTTGCAAGGTAACGGAAGAAGATCTTAGGAGGAGATGCCGGGAAGAACGTGACGGTTGGTGGGGTGTTATGTTATTCAGCGTAATAGTTGATGCGCAATCCCTTTCGACTAAACGCCCTGGTAGTAAGGCCTGGTAGCGGGGGCGAACCTCGCACACCATGATCGTAGAGAAAGAGCCAGCAAGTCGATCGAAGTTTCAACCGTAGATCCCTTGTAGAGATGGGGCCACTAATAGACTGCGTTGCATCGACGCATTGAGGGTTGGATAATAAGCTGCAGACCTTGAAACATGCGGGACACCGTAAGGTGGGTCAAAAATCTCGCCTATAGCTCTACCGGCCTCCGACCAGCGTGCCCTGTTCACCAGTAACATGATGCGTTAGCAGATCGTCCAGGATGTCGGAACAAACTTGATATGCATACGGAGTTACCAACACACAGGGCGCGCCCCAAACATGTCAGGGGGATTCCAAATTTCGGGAACATAATCGACATCAACTTCACGGATAAGAATCCGGACATGAGGAACTACGAAACACGCTGTGGTACTGGGTAAAAGTCAAACATGGGGCTGCTATATGGGAGAAGAGATGTACCTTATTGGTTGTCTGTAGCCAAATAAGATGAAGCTCCACTGGGTGCTGATTGCCCAAGTGAAAGTCCTAGAGTAATGCTTCCATGGGAGGTTTAAAGCAGCAGGAGGCGAAGGCCTGGCACGAGTAATGCAGCATCCGCATATTCGCGGAGTACTAGTTGGTAGTGAATGACAAAGTCATGACTGGATATGACGGAACCCAGCCGTAATGCTAAGCCATGCACCTACTCTGGCCTCAGGACTTACAATTCGCCGATGCAAATTGAGAGGAAAAAATGAGACGGGTTCTCATATTAGCCCAGGCTTCCTAAGGGACGGCTAAAGCTTGTTGGCCGGCGATTAAGCCAACAGCACTGCCAGCGCACATCAAGTGCTACGAGCATCCTACAAGGATCCTTTGAACGCAATGACTGGTTCTGTCAAAGCACGTATGGAGGGCCTTGAAAATGATATATAGCTTGCTTATCATATAAGACACGTTTTTGTCCCTATAAAATTCTGGTTTCAAGATCCAGCGGACGAAAATGAGGGGCATAAGAAGTCGTACCTTGTATTTTGCCGTTGGCAAAGCAGAACCAGAGTGCAGTATATCGGACGGCGCTGGCCATGGCGTGAACTGGCGACCACCCTTAGCGCTTAGGGCTCAATGAAACGAGGGAGGGCGCCGGCCGATCCATCTTCTTGAGCTGTGATCGGAACTTCGCTGCTTCGGACGACACCTGCAGTTTAGCGCACTTGCAATATTCATATTCAGGGGCCAACCTTGAAGTTGGTTACAGCGGACCAGTTCACCTTCACGTTGCCGGCACTCAAACTAATATCCCAATATGAATGAGAACGTTCGCCGCCCCCAGCATCCTTGATGCAGAATCTCCCCCTTTCCAAATATGCACAAGCCTGCTGTCTGGCATCGCAATCTACGAGTTATTCGTCTGCACCCCCAGTCCGACCTCGTGTTCGGAAAATAAATCCAAAATTCCTGAGTAACATGCTATGTCCTTTCTCATATATAAACCCCCGCCAGATGCCCTATCTCTCTACCATCCGCCGCTCTAGTCAGTGGTAATTCGTACGGCATTTCTTCTTACTTTTTCTATATAACTCTACCCAGTTTTTAATTCCTTTCTTCTTCTTTCCTTGCCGGTAAGCCACTCGTCGTTCAAGAAGACAACCCCTTCACTAATGCCCCACCGTGCAGATTTTCGTGATGGATCAAATGTCCACCTTTGAGGCTATTTTGTTTCCCTCAGATGGACGGCCTCCACACATGGTTCGTACATTCCTTGTTGGAAGTTGGAAGGAGCGCCGCTTATTACCGTCACCCCCCTCTAGGTGTCGCTCATGACTAGGTAATAAGCATCGTTTAACCGACCCTTACTTTCGAACTCACTATTTCATCTCTGTTAGCCCAATGACGATGCCGGCACATCACGCATCGTACACCTGCAATCCTTCACGTATGCCCCATCCAGAAGTATACATGGACTACATTGCCGAGGGCTTAGGTCCACGTGCATGGAAATATCAGGTAGGCTTGTGTCGCGATCAACATGAAGTCGAAAGCAATATATCTGATAATGGGAATATCTTCAGCTCGTGGAGGCGCTGGATGGCATGAACCGCAAGTTCGCCTATCCTTACATTATATTCTACCCGACTGTCTCGCGTGATGGCATGCCATTTCCAATCAACAAATCTGTCCGCGAGATTCAAGGACCTGCCTTCAAGGAGGAAGTTGCCTGGCGAGGCAACATCATTGTTGCAAAATACCGGGACAACCCATTTTCCTCCATGATCGACGCATCTATGGCTGACTTCCCTATCCTCAAAAACTATCTTATGACCCACGGCTCACCGTTCTACGTCCGTCGGTGAACCATCTTCGTCCTCATCATCTTCATGTATTATCGGCCGTGAACACGGCACACCTCACGCATCCTGAACTTTAAGTTACATATGCTTAACCAAGCCCTATTGATGTACCTCTGGTCGCATCTGCCTACTGTACTCACCATTTAGTCTCATATGCTCTCTTCACTTTCGTTGGTAATATAGGACAATATCTTTTATGTATACATAGGGTAAACACACGAATGAGTATATATTTCAGAGCTCTTGATGTTCAGCGTGTTGTTTCGATTGCGTATGTGAAGGGGGCTTCGGTTGAGCTTCATCGGGCTTCGTCTGTTTCGCTTCCGCCTCTTTCTTGTCTCCCTTTGGAGTTCGGCAACTCTCCGGGATCGGACTAGCAGGGTCAATGGGTGGATGTGATACCTTGCCGACTTTCGTGTACGTCTTGTGCTCCGCGAAGAAGGTCTTCCAATGTTGTAGGCCCTAAGAGAAGAGATAAGGATAAGATAGTTAGTACGAATCAGATGTCCATCCTACCTTCAATTCTCGTTCACTTAGACCCCGAATATCGTGCGTTCGGTGGTCCACAAAGCATCCGGTAGCGAAGGCCCGCGCCGCATCAACGCCAGCGCTATACAACCGATGCATTAGTTTAAAATCGGCATGATAACTCGCGCGCGAAGACTGACAGGATATGATACGACCCTCCGGGTTTGTAGGCCTTCCCACTTGATACATCGTAGACGTCGCCGTCAATCTAACTTCGGTTGAACGCCTGATCGACTGGGCAAACCAGTTCAGAAGACTCACGGCTAAGTAGATAGGTTTCATCGGATCCGACCCATCGAACAGAGCCAACTGGCGTTCGGAAAACAATCGTTGGTTTGTCTAATGTGTACGTTAGTAAGGGCACGAGGTGACCGGCATTCGTTCATGGTTTACTCACAGGTATGTATGTCTTCAGGTGGAGCCACTTGCTGTCCGACTCCCAGAGATAGCTACCCGTGATGAATTTGCCAGTCAAGGCAACGAAGAGAAGGAGGTACACCAGGAACTTGAGCAACCCCAGTAGGCCAACCTCTTCTTCGGCTGTTGGATCACGTTCAAGTGGTCCAACCTTTTCGCCTCGAGCTATCTTCTCATCCCGCTCCTTCTTCTTTTCCACCCACTTGTTGTGAAGCCGTTCCTGTTTCTCGCGATATTCCTTATATCTACATATCTCGTTCGTTGTCATTTGAAGCATAGCAGGAAAGCGATACAACGTACGCAAGGAAGGGTTTATTGGCAGTTTTGGTGGAAACCATTCTATTAGGAATGGCCGGGTCCTTGACTTTGGCTTCTGAAGGACCAGCAGGCTCCTTGTACGGCGCAGGTGCTTCCCCACCTGCCATTTCCTTGAGCCAAGACATTAGGTTTGGGTGTCGCGAAAGGTGTAGGCTTTAAACGAGTAAGCTATACCAACGTAGGTCGGTATTGAATCGATAGTGGCGCGTCTCCCTTACTTGGTGGGAAGTAGGTGATAGATACGACGAGACACGTCGCGCTGGGAAACACCAACTTCAGAGTTCACGTGAAACATGTATAATTGTGGGAGCCATAGGGGTTGCATATGGTGGTGATTCCTACTACATAATATTCAGTCTGGATCATATATATGAAAGCGGATCGCGTATTAGTGCAGATGCGTAGTGTACGAAGTATTACATCTTATGACATGTGGTAGAGACAAGGTTGATGATGTAGAGTTTGGAGATTGTGAAATGAAGAATGTAAAATGAGCCGAAGAAACCTATAGAACTTGAAAAGGAAAGAAATCTCCCCATGTGTGTAGGAAACAGAAGATATACATTAACAACTGAAAGCAATGGGGCCACCCAGGGTCTGAAGAACCAAATATCGAAAACGGTGAAAAACAAAGATGTGCATCAGAGAAAGTTGAATTGGATGATGATGGATGAATGCATGAGATGATGAAGTCCATGGTAGCCATGCAATGAGAAAAGAGGCACTGCGAACCTATTATGATGGTGGAGGGGGCGCCGGTGCAACCTTCTGCTGTTGCTGTTGGTCAAGCAGTTGCCGTCGCTCACGCTCACTGCCCTGCGGTGAGACAGTGATATATGCACCGCCTGTTTCTTCAGATTGCCCCGAAGCAGACAAGAATCGGAAATCGTTCTCCGTAGGGTCGAAGTCGTCGGACCAATTTCTCATGGCAAGGAAACGAGGGGTCTTGATGAACTGACGGGGGCATGCGAGTCAACTACTGATTCAAAGGGATAAAAGCAATTGACATACCTTGGGAACTGAGTCGGTAGCCATTAAGCGGAATACATGCGTCTGTATCCGCTCATACAACTTGATCATCGTCTGAAGCTGCGTAGCATTGAAGCCAGTCGCTTGCTCCTTTTCGATCCGCCCGTGGAATGCCTTCCCGGTCAAACTAGTCACCACCTCTTCTAAATACTTCGCCAACTCGTTCCGAAGACCATGGTCGATGTTCAGCTCGCACTGACTTGAAGGTGCAAGGTACGTGTTGTATATCGAGAACGCATTGTTAATGAGCACCTCGTGGTGTTTCTCCATTGCAGCTTGACCAGGCGTCTGTGTCCGCGTCGGCAGAGTAACTGCCTGCGCACTAGAAGTGATGTGAAACTTGCGTTTGAAATCTTCGACGTCCAACCAGAACGATAGATTCTCTTCGCAGAAGTTGCCACGAAGGAACTCGCGAAACAGAGATCGCAGAGCGGGCTCCTCGAGAATGTAGCGCAGTCGATCAGTATTGCTTTCCTTGGCGGGTCGCTTGTCGCCGCCATCATATGTAGCGTTCATCTTTTCCGCCAATGAAATTCGCCGATGAATGCGAGCTTCGCTGCCATTTGTCGCTATGCTGTGATCGGCAGCACTATCATCGGATTTCGCGTGATCGACGGAAGAACGTTCTGTCAATGACAAGTTCGACGCCGAAGCGTTAGGCGAGTCTGGGTTTCCGAGGCCATCCCAGTGAGCAAGTCGTCGCCCTTCATCAGTGATTTTGTAGATGGCTTTGGCGGTGCAGCGGAACTCTCCTTGTTGCTAGAAGACAGTATGAGTAAAACAAGTTGCTACGAGGCGACGTAGACATACGCTGATGGGAGAATTGCCTCCAGGCGATGATCCTCTGACTGTAAAAATGATCGCAGAATCATTGTTCTTCCGCTTATCGCTAACGAGCGAGATGAGCCCGAACCGAACGAATTGAGCGGCCATTTCTGCTGCTTCCTCTCGCCCGACAACGGACGTGAAGTCGCAGAGCCATTCAAGGGCAGCAACTGCAGCAAAGCAATACTTATGCGACATTTGAGGCTTGCCCAATAGCGGTTGAGCCTTCTCGATATTGTCGTGTAGAGCAATGCCCTTGGATCTTTCGTGATAGCGCACGAAAGGATCGACGGGTGCGTTGGATTGCGTAGCATAGTTGGGCTGACGCCCGACGAAACGGCGGAACAGAAGAGTGATGACGGATTGGGATACGATAATCTCGTCATCGGCAGATCGTCGATCCAGGTGGAGGAGGTAGATACATATGGGTTGCGTACCAAAGACCTGTTGCAAATGGTCGGCGTTGATACCATGGGCACTGATAAACCGTTCCAGAACGTGAAGGCCCTTGGGGGTGAGCGTATAAACGCCTCGTTCCTTGAATAGATTGGAGGATGGGTCAGCGGCGTTCTCAATCAAGCGAGCATCCATGAAGTGTTGGCTCATTGCCTTCGCCATGTCGCGGGTCATAGAGAAAGTGGTGGTAGTGGTTGTTGTGATTACTCGGGATGGCTCTCTGGGATCTGGTCCACGATTTGATTGTGAAAACTTGAGCGACGCCAGGTTCTGGGCAGCCTCATCCCTAATGACCCGTTCTCATCAGGCACCAAGCACGAGAACGTTGCGACTCACGTTGTGAAGGAATTAGCAAAAGTACGGAAGAATTGCTTATGGGTAGTGAGTTGGAGAGAAACGATTAGGGTAGCAAATAGGTCCAGTGTATCCTGCAGCAAGCGTAATTCATGAGCATATATCGTCAAAATCCACAGTAAAAGCCGTGCGCACCTTGAGAAACGGTCTGCCGCGTTTTGTAGTCTTCATCATGTGCGACGAGGTGGACTGCTGCTGCTGCTGTTGCAGCTGGGCTGCAGTGGAGGCCTCTGAAGGCATTGAAGCAGGAGAAAGGGTGGAGGAGGAGGAGGAGTGGATGGTCCCAGATGGCGTGGAGGAGGAGGAGGCGAGGAGGAGGAAATGACAAAGACGACGAGGAGAGGAGAAGCGGGATGGAGGTGGTAAAAACCGTTGGCAACCACAACCAGGTCCCCCGTTCTCACGCCCTTCCTGTCCTTACCCAATAAGGCTACCTCAAACAGGGGCACCGCTTATCCGCCACAAAGTCGCCCACGCTTTGACAGTCGCCAACCACGCCTCCGCCGATGAACGCTGCAGTCACCGACCATCGACGACTACAAAACATCACGACTTGTGCCATATGGGAGCCACATATCAAAGCGTCGTTACCTCTGGTGCCTGCACCGTAGCCCAGAATGGACTTGAAAGCGGAGCCATCAAATGGACACATGGCAAAAACAAATGATGCCTGGGATGCCTCTTACTGCCTTTGCAGTCACAATTACTAGTAATTATTGCACGTATTGTCTCGTTTGCCTCGTAACGAGTCGCCTACCATCTCGACAATATGGCATCATTCACCCTGTTGCACCTTCGCACCTAACCGGAGCGGAGCGGCACCCTGCAGCGGGACGCCTGCCAGAGAGCTCGGCCTTGGTGTAGCTTCTGTAACTGATGCAGTTCGTCCCGACTCCGGCGTTGTAGAGCACATTTGATCAGACAGACTTCTGTGCTAAACATCAATCGGTGCCTAAGTTGTTTTCCGCTTTGAGCGGCTCTCATCCGGTTACTCCAATGCCTTACGTACCTTCGGTCGCGACTGGGACTTCCGAGTCTGCGCCTCTTACCGTAAGTCCCGACGCGCCGCGCTTTGCATCACCTATCATATCACGGAGAGGAGAAAATCATTGGTTGAGATCTTTTTCCTTTTCTTTCGTTTGTTCTATCTCAGTGTTACACGAACAGGTCATCAAACCTCGGCCTTCTCCTGATTGTCCGAACGAGTTTGATCAAGTCCATATGGTGGTCTACCTGACGGATCCATGGTTCTTCTGCGTGGCTGCTGCGCTCTCCCACACGACAACTCATGTCTGTCGGGTGTCGGACAGAGACGTATGTTGACAGCAAGTCCACGACTTGTTTTCAGTTGCTCGTAAAAATCAATCGTGTATGGTACCACCCCAGATGTTTTTACCTCCGCGCAACTGGGTGATTAATGGCCCAGCACGAAGTTCTTCCGATAGTGCTGTAGGCTTGAGTGAGGTTGATACATCCGGAGTCGCATGTCTTGATTTTCTAACGGCTGACAGTTGTTTTGCATTGACCCGAAGGCAAAAAGGCTCGGAGATAATGTCCCTGGGTAGTCTATCTCCGTTCATCCAGCTTGGCCATAATTTCGTTCCGTACGCTACTGTGTGATTGCACTCGCTAACTCAACCATTCGACGACTTCCAATAGTGGGGAGTCTTTGCTCGTCCAATGGAAAGCGGGGTCGGTACATGTTTCAGGGGATAGGAGGGAAATAGGGGCGTTTACACTATTGATGCCGCATGCGTGGGCGCTTGTTACGCCTTGATCTGCGACTCGAATGAGCTTCACTAATGTGCAAAGGTCATTCGGCTTGGATATACCGTTCATTTGTCGCTGATGCTCTCTTTTAGGATCCTTCAGCCGTACAGGCGTTGCTGGAACAGCTGAGAACTTCGCAGGCATGGCAGCAAGCCATCACGCAACCTCAGCCTGAGCAAGAACCCCCAGAGGTACCCGTTTCGGACACCTCTGATGCAGGCGCATCGCATTCTGTCGCATCTCTTCTGTCGCAGTTAAAGCAGCCTTCCGGCTGGCCGACCACTGCACCGGTGCCGTCGGAACCATTTCGAGAGCCAACTTCACAACAATACCGAACAAAGTCGTTCAGCGCGCTTCAGGAGCCCTCGGTGCCTCATATAGATGTAACGACGCCCCCGATGCCTGCGGCAATCCCACAGCGCGCATCAACGTCTCCGAACCCTGAGTTGAAGTCGTATAGCTTTCTACAAGCACTGCCTATTCTCGCCCAGATGTCCGAGAACCGCGACTTTGTTGACGCGCTCGTGAAGGTTCGTGAAGGTTTCTCACAGACGTGCTCAGACTCACCAAGGGTATTCTTTTAGCTCAAGGGGGACCAAGATGAGCTAGAGCGAAGGCTGTGGAACGAGAGGGCATCAATCAGGAAGAAATATGAGGACAAGGTAAAAGTTGCCCGAACAAAGTAAGTTACCACAGCAATAAACATCAAATATTCGTGTTCACCGTTGGTAGAGCCAACATGATCGGAGCTGGTCTCTCGAAACATGATGCCGATGTTGGTAAATTCTTATTTATTGGTGGGATCGTGGCTAATATTATCACCGCAGATGATGTCAACCGCATACAAGAACGAACTACGTAAATTCGATCTGGAAAGGGTTTTGCCAGCCTGGGACGGGCTATTATCCAACCAGCAAACCGCGCTCGCTTCATTGGGCGTCCCGACTATGTTCGCTACGACCGCCAAGGCCACGAGAGAGGTGCGGACTTGCCGGCGTCTCGCCCACCATTTACTCATCAGCTTTCTTTTCGCAGCGCCAGCAAAAGGTGATGCAGGTGCTGGAAGGGCTCTTGTAACAAGGATCCTTGATGCTACGAGGTATTTTCCCATCGAACTCCTACCCATTTCCAAGATCCAGTTCTGAAGCTACATGTACGTACACACTCAAAAAATTTGTCGCGAATTGAAAGGTGTAGAGAAGTTTCTATCGTTTCTTCGGTGCCTTTTCGCTACTGTTCTCGCTATTGAATGAATCTGACGCCATTCAGATACTTTCGCTCAAATGACTGCTCGAGTAGTCGAATTTCAGTCAATTAAGTTAGCAAAATCATGACCAGTGACCTCGATTCTCAATGAACTCGTTGGTGCCTTATCTTTTTAAGATATATGATTGTCTCACCTCTATTAACAATCACACCACAACGGATTCAAAGTATGGGTGGTGGCGCAGCCACTGGAGAATTCTCCGTTCAGGGCCGTTGGATAAAGGAGTCCATCGAGATCTCCTCTTGGCTTTTTATAATAAAATCATTGCAGTACTGTTTCATTTATTATCCCCGAGCTGGCCTGGAGTCAGTTGTTTTTCTCCCCTCCCCCATCCATGCCTTACGTCGACCTCTACAGTTCCGATGACTACGCCGCCCTCTGGTATACGACGAACACACCCTACAACAATGTCGGTGGCTTCGATCCGAGCAAACCGTCGATCATGATCCTGCACCCTATGTTTTTGTGCTCAAAATGGTTAGACAATCAATTCGGAGACTTCAGGCTGGATTATGGGTACAACCTCATCGCGTTCGACATGCGGGTAGCTGGAAAGTCTGTGTGTCGGCCGAGTGGAAAGCATGATAGCTGGGTGGATGCGGCGGACCTGGCATTCGCAGCGAGGGTGAGTCATTTGCCACCGAGACATTCGCGGGATCCCCATGATGTAACGTTTACAGTCGCTTCACCTTCCACCAGTCCACGTTCTCGCCCTCGAGAGCATCTCGACGCTCTGCGCAATGCGATTCGCTCTATTGTACGTCTTCCTCTCGGCAATCGATGATGGTGATGGACCTATTGGATACAGGTTTCCCGAAATGTGTCTGAGTCTCACACTGAGCAATATCCCGGGGCCTTTAGAGTGAGTTGCTATAGCATTGATGAGATCAATGGCTAAACTTCTATGCAGACGAGATAAATGGTTTACGACAGGCCTGGAGGAGCTACTGCAGTCATGGTGTTGCGCCAGTGATCTCGAGTCCTTTGAGCACATCGCCAAGGAGGCGACGAGGTTTGTAGCTGGGCCGGTGAGTGCATCTTCGTTTGGTACCTTGATAGCTGGCAGAATTCACACCACGCCTCCCCTAATCAGTCATGCGATGATCCAGATTTAATAGATGATGTACGTACCCTCCATTCCCCATGCCTTTCACTATATGTTCAACACATATTCCCTAGCTCATAACCTATTGGGAAGTCGAACTCCCACCGACCAAGAGCCAGCGAATAGCTGAGCAATTGAATATACTCCTCAATGTGAGTTCGATTATTGTTCGGCCCCGGCTTCGAAGTTCATTGCCCGCCTTTGAAGCGAACACCTCTGTCAAACGCAGCCCTTGGGCGCATCACTCAACCCGTCCTAGTCCTCCACGTACGCCAGCGCACCCTCGATCATATGTATAGTATTAACACGTCAAAAGGCCGAGCGGAGCGAGAGCTGTCCCCGGAAATACGCCGATCGTCTCGCAGAAAAGCTTGTCAGTGTTCAAGGTGGTGCCGTGGTATACACAGTAAAAGGTCAGCATCTTCTAGGGTGAGATGCAAATGCACTTACGCCCTGTTTTTGTAAGGTGTGGCCGGAAGCTTGAGCATAATCCCTGGACATGCTTCCATTGCAAATCAAGCCTTCGTCAAATTTCTGGCACGATTGCCAAAATCACGGTCCGACATAAGGCCCCCTGAGGTCCCCCTCCAACAACGCATGCAACAGGCTTTGGACACCCTCGCAGAACTTGTCGGCGATGAGACCATCAGGCAAAGGAACCCCCTGTCGCCCCTGTCGTTCTCTGGTTTAGCCCCAGACAAGGTCGCGAGCCAGTCAGAAACGCTCGCGCACTACGGAGAACTCCAGAAGACCGCATTCACACCACTTAGGCCTGACGGTGTCCCCGCGCGGAAGTTAGTTCTATTCCATTTCTTTCATAACGGGCCTTATAAACCACTTCTCAGATACTCCGAACGAAGGAACTATCATTGGTTCCAAAGCGAGCGTAACGGGCTGTCGTATGCTGGTCAGTCGAGCCATTTCATCTCCTTCCTGTTCGTGATTAACTCTCCTGTAAAAGGTGCTTCCATACCAGCAACCAGCCGCCAAACAAAAGAACCTGAGCTCGAATTACTCGACACACGCGCTCCCCTTCCGTCCCTCGACTCTCCGCCCCCGCCATCCCCCCCTCCAGTGCAGTCTAGCTCGAAAGGAAATAACCAATTTTCCGGGAAAGTCACAGAATTGCGCGTGCGCCGCACAACGGTAACGATGTCTGGGCCGGTATCAGTCAACAAGCTTACAGGTGTGCAAGTCCCCATGGCCCGTGTTATCGGATCACTCCCAATACAAAAATCCATCATGTGAGTCTACACGATGCCCCCATGCTTTTCATATCAGGCTCGGTGGCCGCCCTCTTTGAACACAGCATATAGCCCAGTAAACTTTCAGGACATCACAGCGCACTGTAAATATGTAGCGGACGTATTATCTAGTATTCCCTCCAACTACTCCATATACCACATATAATGTACATAACTCGATGTTTTCTTCGCGCTCTCATTGCCATTATTATCTACTCTAGGCATCGAATTGTATTTTTTGTACAAAGTCGCTCAATGTTTACACAATACACCCGGGAAAGCGTCCACTCTACGGATCTATAAACTAAGGGAACGAAGGTTGCAGAACCGGAATGCAGTTCTAATGTCCATGATCAAAGAATCGTCCGTCCGAATCAAAGACTGCCTTCGATCATCTTGGCTTTGTAGTACCTGACCATCTCCTCCAATCCCATCCTGACTGTCCACCGAGGCTGCCATCCGAGGCTCTCCTTAGCTCTGGTCGTATCCGGACGCCTCTTCTGGGGGTCATCCGTGGGCATTGGTTTGTAAACAATGTCAACCTTGCGGGAGCGCTTGACGCCGTCCTGGTCTTGAACCTTCTCAACAATGTCACGAACGAGTTCCGCAAATTCGCCGATCGTGAACTCATCTCCGTTGCCTATGTTGACAGGTCGAGTTTCGTCCGAGTTCATAAGGGCGATAAGGCCGTCGACAAGGTCGTGGATGTATTGGAAGGATCGCGTCTGTTTCCCATCGCCGTACACAGTCATGTCCTCGCCTTTGAGAGCTTGAACAATGAAGTTGGAGACGACACGGCCGTCATAAGGATTCACTAGAATCCCATAAGTAAATAATAGTACGCATGTCGGCGAAATCACGTACTGCGTGGGCCTTTAGTGTGACAGCTCGAGTGGGTCAAAAGTAGGGAGGTCATGTACGCATCACGCACCGTAGGTGTTGAAGATACGAGCAACTCGGACGTCTACGCCGTCTTGGCGTTGGAATCCGTAAGTTAGAGTCTCAGCAACTCGCTTGCCTTCATCATAACATGCACGAGGACCGATTGGATTTACGTGGCCCCAGCTTCATTGCAGCAAGTTAAAGTCTAATATATGCGCCAAGATTTCCTGCGGGAACTTACTAGTCCTCTGTCTGGGGATGAACTTCGGGATCCCCATATACCTCTATGAAACATACACATAAGCGTGAGTATCTAGGGGGAAAGGGTGAATGAAACGTACCCGATGTACTACTGATCAGGAAGCGAGCCTTGGTGCGTTTTGCTAGCCCCAGCATGTTCAGAGTCCCCATGAAGGAGGTCTTGATGGTCTTGACAGCGTTGTATTGGTAATGGGGTGGAGAAGCAGGGCAGGCAAGGTGGTAGATCTCTGGACCCCAGATAAAGCGCATATATGCGTCCGATTAAAGGCTCACGTACGATCGCACTCAATCATAAACGGTTCAACAACGTCATGTCTAACCATCTCAAAGTTTGGGTGCCCAATCCAGTGACTGACGGTAGTCTTGGATCCCGTGAAGAAGTTGTCGAGAACAGTGACTTCGTGGCCGAGAAGCATGAGACGGTCTACTAGATGAGAACCCACGAAGCCGGCGCCACCAGTCACGAGAATGCGCTTGCGGGCGGAAGGTGGAAGTAGCGTGACTGGCGGGAATCGAGACAACGTCGTGTAAGATATGCGTCCGGTGCTCGGATGGAAGATAGACTTCGACTGATAGTTAGAAAAACCTTGGGTGAACCGTGCATGCTGAATTTCCTCCTCGGCTTGAGACTCGATGTCGTCCATTTTACCGTCCGACGCGGTCAGAACATAGTGAGAGCGCAGGTAAAGCGAGCGGAGCACATCAAGAGGCACCTCGCTATCGAATCCAAAGCGTTTGAACCCGACGGACGTGATTTCCTGTCCGTTCTTGTCAAGAGTATGAATCTACCAATTGGGATCGTTCTGGTTAGCGCAGGAGCAGCGGAGGAGTTAGTCGCGTACCGGGGAGGTCGACATATCGTGCCAGCAGATGGGGGGAGGAAGAAAGGTCGAGTACTGAAGTATATTCAGCTCTCTTCCCTTTTATACATGTCACCGAAGATGCAATGGGCGGCTAATCCTATACTTAGACGGACGTCTTACGTCCCGAGATTACCGGCGATTGCCGATTCCGCTTTTCTGTAATCTACCACTTACAATGCCTCGGGCGCTCAAATCAGGAAAACCGAGGCATGATCCTCTCCACGTTCAGCTCGACGACGACGAACTCCTTGCAAAATATGGGCGAGTATCTCAGCCGGGGAAAAGAAAGAAGTCCCGTACGCAAGGCAAAAATGATGGAGAAGAAGACGCGAATGGCGAGGTACAGTGTCAATCTTGTCATGATTTACGGAATTCTCATATGTTGCGCACCAAAGGTGGTCCTAGATCCAAAAACTTCCCAGCGTATTTTTGAGCTGGCCAAGGATCAGCAAGATGAACTAGAGATGCCCGAGGACGATGAAGAGGAGACCACCGAAGTATCTTCTTTCAGTCGACCAAGGATGCCAGTTTTGCAGGGAGATGATGACGACGACGACGAGCTCTATGGAGACGATATACAAGATGCCGAAGAAATATTTGTCGGTTCACTCCCTTGATCTGCATACCAGAGACCTGATGAAGTGCTAGAACATAGATGAAGAAGACATGCAAACACTAGATGCCCTCCTACCCCCAAGCTCCACCGAACGGCGAACACTTGCCGACATAATATTCTCAAAATTAGAGCAGGGGGAATCGGGGAACTCGGCAGTGATACAGAAAGTTCAGCAAGGTTGCTATAAACCTAGAGTCGCTGATACACTCTCACTAACACGTCGTGTAGATCCCGATAAACCAGATCCGGCTTTGGGATTGGATCCAAAAGTTGTCGAATCGTACACTAAGCATGTCTATTCAATATATGTTCTGATGTCCGGCACCTGACCGCTATCATCGAACAGAGTCGCGTTAATCCTCTCAACATACAAATCCGGACCTCTTCCAAAACTGTTTAAAATCATCCCAACCCTCCCAAGTTGGGCTCGCATACTGGCCCTCACTCGACCGGAGGAATGGTCCCCTCACGCTTGTCGAGCGGCAACCAAAATATTCATTTCTAGCATGAAACCCCCCCAGGCCCAACTTTTCCTAAGCGTCGTTTTACTTGATGCCATCCGTGAGGATATCCAACAGAATAAGAAACTCAATGTTCAGTACTACGAGGCTCTTAAGAAAGCGTTATACAAGCCCAGCGCCTTTTTCAAGGGAATCATTTTCCCTATGCTTGATGTACGTACCTTATCATCTTTTCGCGTAGATCACCGAATTCATAATAGACTGGTAGTCCGGCTGCTCTTTGAAGGAAGCTGCTATTGTTGCTTCGGTTGTAGCAAAGAATAAAGTGCCCGTGCTGCATGCTTCGGCGGCATTGATGAGAATAGCGGAGATGGACTATACAGGTAAGTACTAGTCCTCCCCAGTGTTCCCCTTTTTCGCTGACGCATTTGTAGGCCCTAACTCACTTTTCATCCGTGTCCTCGTGGACAAGAAGTTTCAATTACCTTTCAAGGTCGTCGACGCCTTGGTCTTCCACTTTATTCGCCTGTCGAATACTTACAAGGCGAAGACGCGGGGAGACGCCGAAAAACTGCCTGTCTTGTGGCATCAGAGTTTACTCGCTTTCGTCCAAAGGTCGGCCCGTCTATTTATACGAATCGGTTGCTTTACTGAGACGCCCCATAGATATGCTTCAGATCTTACCCCCGAACAGAAGGATGCCTTACTCGACGTTGTCCGCGCAACGCCCCATGCCCAGATTGGGCCTGAAGTGAGAAGAGAGCTTGTCAATTCCGTGCCCAGAGGTGCACCTCGGACAGACGGTGAAGGTGATATAGTCATGTTGTGATAGGATAAAATATGGATGGTGCGATATAACATCATGCCTCCACATGCTGTCTCTTTGTATCCTCATACGTGGCAGTCAACCGACTTATTGAAGACGGTTTTAGAGAAGCGAACATTGATCATTTGATCGCCGGAGTGCCAGCGCCAGCACATGATTGGCGACGACCACCTTTGGTTGGTCAAAACCCATCCCAGTGATCCCACCATCTTCCGCCGTATTTCATCCAAAACTATGAGCCTCACGAATCATTGAATTCCTGGGCCAGGTGCTCCTCAATGTGCCGAGACATCGGTCCGCGCATCGTACCGAGAAAGCGCGACGGTCCGTCCAATCGCGCGATGATAACCCTCGCACTCCATTGGATAGTGGCCGTCCTTTAATACCCCGTTGAAACCCGGCAGCATGTCTCCGCCCTATGAGTTACATTGGGATGTTCTTGACCATTGCTATCGCGCTTGGGATCTCGCTGGCCGCTGGCGCCGTCGTGATCCCGACTACCGCCCCTGCATCCGCCGCAAACGTCGACAAAGCGCTTTTGAGTGTTTCCTTTGAATTCTTTGCCTTCCCCGGCTATACAGCTATCGAATCCACCGCTAACTGCCTCGCCAACATCGCAACCCTACGCGGGGCTCCACCGGCTGTTCGTATCGGAGGCACTACCCAGTTAGTCTCTATGATTGTTCAGTACGTGTTATCGCTGACCTAAGGACTTAATAGAGATCGTGCGACGTATAATCCCAGCCTATCCACCGCTGTCAATTATACTGTTGCGAACGCTGGCGATGCACCAGACACTCTGACATACGGCCCATCTTTTTTTACATTAGCTGCCCAGATGAAAGGGGACGTGACGGTGGGCCTTAATCGCCGTCTCAATAACCAGGCGAACACGCTGGCGGCTGCGTTGCAAGCGAAACAAGTGATGCCAAACCTCCTGTCAATAGAACTCGGGAATGAACCGGAGTGTACGTCCCTTTCTCGGCCTCCTGATATTACTGGGACTTATCCACTTGATGGTACATCGTGTCTACCTCGAATCAGTCTACGCGTCCGGATCGCCGATTATCCCTGGTGGTGGCTGGAATCCAGCCGCTGATGGTGCCAGTCAAAAGGCCTGGTTCACTAGCCTTGCTCCTTCCGTAAGTAAGGGTTAACGGTGTTGTTGTGTCAACAAAGACACTTCTGATGATTCTTCGTGGCCACACAGCTTGGTAACATCTTCCAGGCGGCTGTCTACCTTCAGATCCCCACATGGAGTACTGCAGGCCTTGTACCGATGCTAGGATCGGCCATCAATTTCGTCAAAACATTCTCTGGCCATTCGTACCCTCAATCAGCGTGTGGTGGGGCGAGCACGAATTTACAGTCTCTATTAAGCCATTCGTCAGTGCATCACAAGCATCTGTCTACGTGCCTAGAATCATATCTTGATTTTTCGTGGCCCAGGTCGATTGTCTCTTACACGAGTCGGTTCAGATCTGAAGCCAACGCCGCTCATAACGCGGGGAAGCGGTACTTCCTAGGAGAGACAAATTCGGGTGAGCCAGCTATAATGAACGCCGCTATGGCTACTCACGGAAGGTCATATAGCTACTTGTGGTGGCGGAGGCATTAGCCCTACATTTGGTGCAGCATTATGGATTGTGGACTACGCCCTGCAAGCTGCCATCAATGGTATTGAACGTCAGTACTTTCATCAAGGAACTATTGGGAACTGTGTAAGTCTTCGTTCAATACTTTCGAATCCATGTCCGTCGTCATCCGTAGCTCAATGGAATGATCTTAGCAATACTGCTGGTGGGGCCGGTTCACCGTCGGAGTGAGTGCCTGTCTCCAACATTCATCATCTTGTTAACCGGAGAACTCCATGAACCTGTCATATAGGCTCCATTCTACGGCGTAGCATTCGTCTCTGAATTTCTTGGTACAGATGGCACTAAGCTGGCTATGCTTGATGATGGAACAAGCGCAGTGGCTGTGTATGCCATCTTCGATTCAGCAGGCAGACCGGTCCGCTTGTTGGTGTACAACTCCAATTTTTTCAACGGCTCGGGAACCAGGTCAAGCACTGTCGTTTCATTCACCGGGGGCAATTTGCCTACAAGTGGTTCAAGAACATTGAAGCGACTGACCGCGCCAAGTGCCATGTCTCGCGTTGATCAAGGGGAAGCTGTGACAATCGGAGGGGGAGGTACCTTTGATTCTACCTGCAGGAATGCAGGGACGCAAACGAGAGAGACCATATCGATCAGCAATGGTGACCTTTCTGTTACAGTCAGGGCGTCAGAAAGTGTAATAGTATACCTGTAATCAGGGTTCGAACGGAATCAAATTTGTGTATTACGGTATACAGCTTCGTACCCTAATACAGCAACCACCAGTCCAGAAGCCACATACAGTGGAGTGATGTAAGAAACATGCGGAATCAAACGCTGACGCTGTGCTGTATCCAATTTAGAATAACTTTATCTGCAATCTGCAAATTATTCTTTTCGAGGAACATCATATGCCCATTGCCCATGATGCCCACACTCTCCAAGGGTACATGTCGAACATGAACGCCGGCCTGCTGTAGAAAATGCACACTGCATTCATCATATACTGCGTGATAACTGGATTGTGACGTGATGACCAAGACGGGGACCTTGGCGAGGTTGCTGAGCTTCCTTGCAGGACGCGCTTGTTCGAAGCAAGTGAAGTTGGCCTCTGTCTCCACCACCACCGGCCGAAGGTCACTAGCCGATGAGATAGGCGGTGAAAAGGTCAACGGAATTTCAGTCACCCCGAATGGTCTCGCAGGATCCAATGTGAAGATTGCATTCTGGAAGGGAGGTCCAATGGGTTCGAGGGCTACGATAGCTTTTACTTGGGAAGGGCGTGCGTCACCAAGGATCCAGCCATACTGCCCAGCTTGAGAATGAGTGAGAAGGATGACAGGCTAAGTTGATAAGCTCCAGCATAACACAAGTAAATCAAATAGACCTACTCCAATATCATCCAAAAGCTGGGAGCCTGCTGCCCTCATCCTCTCTGAAGACTCGGCTTCTGATACGAGGCTTGGCATTACAGACGCGAAGAAGTTGTCGAATGTTGGGTCACCAACGCTTCCATTTCCAGGCCATTGTGTGTGCAAGGAAGCCTGAGGCCAAATATTGAACCTCTGCGTGGCCGTAAAGCGAGATTCAATGGTAAATGTATCCGGAGCATCCTGAACTCCATCAATACCATTGATCCATGAGGACCTTCCTCGCTCAGTTTGGTCTACGATATAAACCTGTATCGTTCATCAGCCTATGTAATACCAATCAAGAACTTGATTGGAAAGACGAACTTGAAAGCCTCGACTCATGAAATGGTCAGCCCAACCCAGCCGGCCGTCAGGAGTGTTCAAGAAGTTGGTTCCGGTCATGCCACGGCCATGGATGAACAATATTGGCAACGGTTGTGTTACTCTGGCTGGCGTCAAACGTTCAACGTAGAGTTGGCCGGACTCTGTTGTTACGTTTCCCAGCTGGTTGAGCTCACCGCCGATGTAGAAGTAACTTCGTCGGTGGAGTGTTCCTATTGGAGTATCTACTACCGAGGCCGCAACTATGACATCGATGAATAAGCCAGCGATTATAAGGAATGGATTGGAGGGAAACTGAACCATTTTCGAGTTGAATCAATAGCGTACTGGTTCATTATATACTTACAAAAATCGAACGTTTGATTCTATTGGATGGACGTGCTGGTCCGCAGATAGTGTAGAAGTTTCACGGACGTGAGATCTGAGGGTTGCTGAGTTACTTCTCGGAAGCCCGCTCCGGCTCTAATTCAGATGGCTTGACCGAAGAGGCGAAGACGGAGCGCTGAAATTGGACTGGGCTCTCACAAGAGGTCGTCGATTCGTGCAGTAAAGTAACTGATTACCACAGGATATATTTCTGATCGTGGGACGCCATGCCGTTCCCAACCATCACTTCTCCACCAAACACGTTCTGAGAACCCAAGTAAACCACAGGTTGGCTGGGATCAATAGTTACCAAACGCCCTTTGATAACATCGCGCCCTTTAGTTGTCCTCGCCGCGGATGAGCCTGAGCAGTGATAGAATATGTTCATGATGTGCAGACTAGTCGCGACGCTTCTATTTATGCTTTTTACGCCTTTTTTTGTCGTCCTTTGGAGCGGATCGGATAGCACCGAGAACCCCGGCCAAAGAGGGATCACTTGACAATTCCTTTGCGTGTTCAGATGACTCAACCTTGTCACCTAGCGCTCCGTTTTTAATCTTCTTCCCCAACCGCGCATTGAATAGAGCGTCGATCTCATCAACCTGTCTGGAACGCTTCCCCTTACGTCTTTCTCCAGGCTCTGCTTCAGCCACTTCATTTGACTGATCATGGGATACAGGCGTCGGCGGAACTGCGACAACCTGGGGTTCATTTCGTTGGGCCTGAGTTTCTCGGCCTCGCTGGGATTGTAGATTTCTCCACTCGTCAGGTTTGCGCTGCAGGAGATATAAATTGAGGTTACGAGCAAAGAATTTGCCGTAGTAAGAGCCAGACAATTGTGTTTCGTGTGGGATCAGGGACCGAGCTATTTTTTCCTGCGAATGATATTGAAGTTACTTGACAGGGGCCCGAGTATTCTGGAATATCCTCACCTTGAGGTATGTGTCAGCAAAAGCCCAGCAGCGGTCTCCCACTCGACTTCCAACGCGGTCGTCAACGAGGAGATGATAATGTCCTATAAAAGACATCACAAAACGACGCTTATCTTTGAATGGGACGGAAGGTGATTCTAACAAAGCATCAAAGACCCGGGAACCTGCAGGATGATGCCCAAGACGTATGCTATCCTCCATCGATAAGGAAGCCAAGCTTTCAAACGGTTTCAATTCGTTACGAGGTCAGCAGAAGCAGGCACATACCTGTCTAGGACTAGACGACAATGGGGCTCTGGTAATCGAAGCGATGATTGAAGCAACAAAGCTCCTTGCACCTTCGGCTCTAGAGGGTCATTCTTATTGGGATACTTCTTATTGTTGTCTGCGTGCTTCTCTGCGCTAGTCCTCTTGAGGGTTTCTTCATAGTCCTACTTAACATCAGAATGTATCAGGTGTGATGTGATGAGCGAAAGAATACTCATACCGATATGGGGAGTAGACAGATGACGCAAGAAACCAACGCCCTTTTCTGCTCCAGCGTTGTGAATCCAAAGGCCGTGAACATCGCCTTTAGGTTAAACTGTTATCAGCGCTGAACGACCAAAAGACAATCATCTGTACCTCTTCGACTTCTGTTCCTAAACCTTTCAAGGACACTGCACAATTGATGAGGGACAACAAGACTCCAGGTCGTGATGCCTCTAATAAAAGGTAGAGTCGCGCTACTTCAATGTAAGTAAGGCATGGACTTACGAATAATCCGCGCCCACGAGCCCGATAGTTCGAGACATACTTCGCGCAACTGTCGCTCATCCAGCCTCTCAAAGGACTTCGCCACGACGAAGTTAGCAACCGGATGGATGCATAGCCGTGTCAATTTCCCTTGGAAATAATATGTCCATAGAACACCAAACGCCAAATCCGGTGAACGGGTCACTAAAGTCTCCAGTAAATGTGACGATGTTGGGTCGCGAAGGAGAGTGTTCAAGTAGTCCGATGGTTCGTGGGTTTCTGGAGGACCGACTTCTGCTCGCATTGATATCGATTCGTTATTATAAACGATGGTATAAACGAAACTCCATACGTACGGCATGTGGAGATGATTCCAACGAGAATACGATCCATTAGGGAACCTGGCTGATTGGACATGCCTTCACTGGCTTCAATTTCCAGCAACATCTGGGAGAACATCAGAGAGTAAGACCAATAACAAACGAAATAGGCTTACCTGAAGCACGGGGCTTGCAACTTTGTTGGCGGCCAGTGCTCTCACCTCGTTATCGCTCAGTTCGACCGAGAGTGCTTCTACAAAGCGACGTGCTACAGCAAGGAACTCTTTCGGGACGTTCTTTTGCTTAGTCCCCGACGAGTTTGAGTTCATATCAGTATCGCTAAACACAGACTTCAGAGGGCCTTGTTTCGCTTTCCAAGCCGTGCTCTTCCTGGACCGCAGATTGGAATGTAGTTGTGACGGGATTGCGTTAGGATATAAGAGTAATAGAAGTGCCCGAACCACATGCGAGGCGAAATCGTCCATCACAAGCGACGAAAATGACGGCAGGAGCTCCTAAAGGGGGGTCATGACGGAATACGGTAGTGGATGAAGTTGCGTACTTCGCATATATCCAAGATGAGCCGTGTGATTGTCCTCAGTTCTCCCTCTTCAGCGCCTTCTGGCAACGCCGGGTAAATCCCTTGATACTGTTACATTGAATCAGCGTTAGACTGAAGTCGAGTCCGATAGATTTACCTCGCGAGACACTGTATCTGCTACAACGCTCAGGAGAGTCTGGCAGACATGCGAAGAGAACCTATGCTTCACAAGGACTTCGTACCTAGGAAATGCTCAGCACTGAGAAGACCTACCGATCAAAGGTAGCTTACGAGCCGGATAGTTTGTCCATGAAGACACGGCGCACGAAATCATCCATCGAGTAAGCCATGCGTTCAATTATGAGCGAGCAGTCGGGGTCGGTAGCAAGCATCTTCTCTTTGTCCATCATCTCACTCAGCGCCGCAAGGAAGAATATCCGTCGCTCTGAGATGAATCACATCGTGAGCTCTGAGGAGTAGCCTTACGCGAAACATGGCATACCTTCATTGGGATCGGTCGTGTCAAGACCATCTCCAGCATCATAACTATGCCTCTCTTGCCAGCTCCTCATCTGGTTGTCCACGTTCCGAAAGTATGCTTTGACGTCGGCATCGACGTACCCGAAGGGTGCTTCAGCATTGACTTCTTCATGGTTTGGGGCGGGTACAATCCAAGAGGGACGCTCGTTGTGACTTTCGGGGACCTCAGAAACGTACTCGTGAGGCTGAGCTGGAGCTTCTATGCCCACCGCGCTCTTTTTATGTTTCTTGCCTCTTTTCCTGTTTTCCCTGGGCATGATCGTGGAAGTTGCAAAGCGTGAGTGGTAAAAATAGAACAGACAAACTGGAGACCCGTGATTAGATTAGATCCTGACTTACTCGTCGACCATCACAATGCCGCCCAAAACTTGTACACTGTGCTCGAAGAATCGGGCAATGTTGAAGCGGCCGAAGACTGGGCAGCAAATATGTAAAGATTGTTTCTTCCTCGTATTCGAAACCGAGGTCCACAATACGATAATGGACGCAAAATTGTTCAACCCGGGCGAAAGGGTGGCTATTGGCGCATCAGGCGGAAAAGGTGAGTTGAATTTCTATGTCAGGGCCTGCTATAATGACTTGGTTCCGTGCAGATTCAACTGTCCTAGCCTACGTTATGAAGACACTGAATGAACGCTATAATTACGGCCTTGATCTCTTTCTACTTTCCATCGATGAAGGGATCACAGGCTACCGAGATGACTCACTAGAGGTGCGCCGGGGTCCGCAAGCAAGCTCAATGCTCTGACTGTTCTTCAAGCACAGACAGTAAAACGCAACCAACAACAATACTCTATGCCGTTGAAAATCCTGTCCTATGATGAGTTATATGGCTGGACGATGGATGCCATTGTGGGCCAGGTGGGGAGGAAGAACAACTGCACCTTTTGCGGCGTGTTCAGGAGGCAGGCACTCGACCGTGGAGCAGCGATGTTGAACGTCCATCATATAGTCACTGGGCATAATGCCGACGACATTGCAGAGACGGTGTTGATGAACAGTAAGTTCTTCAAGGGTATATAGAATTACCACTGATACTATTCCTTCCAAGTTATGCGAGGGGACATTGCACGGCTCGGACGCTGCACTTCGATATGTACGCAGGGCGAAGATACAATCAAACGATCCAAGCCATTTAAATATAGCTACGAGAAGGAGATCGTAATGTATACTACAAGTTTGCTCATCCTTGCCCACCGCTAAAGGACCTGTGTAGGTACGCCTACTTCAAGAAGCTAGATTATTTCTCGACCGAGTGCATTTATTCTCCGGACGCGTACCGGGGGCATGCCCGGGTATTTCTGAAGGACCTTGAAGCCGCTCGACCTAGCGTCATCATCGATATAATACACTCCGGAGAGGCGTTCGAAATACGGGACGAAGTCAAAGCTACTCAGAAGGCTCAGCGTGCGTGTATCCCGTTGCATTCTTGGGAGCCCTAACTCATCCTGTCAATCGTTCTAGAGGTCTGCAAGCGATGTGGGTATATGTCCAGTAACGACCTGTGCAAAGCATGTACTCTACTGGAAGGCCTAGAAAGGGGTCTCGCCAATGCTGGAATAGTGCGTGTGTTCTTGGTGGCCTTTCGCAGCATCTATAAGACCTTTTGATAGACGGATCGTGCAAGAAGGAACATGAACGCTGAGGGAGCAGCTCCAGACGACATGCGGACGATACCCTTCTACAAACCACCCACCGATATGGCCGCCATACCAATCACCTCTAATTCTTGAAAATAGCCACGGATATACCTATTGTTTTACAAGTATAGATATAGAGCTAGAGGTATTGCGTATACGAACCGACTTGTGTACTCTAAGGGTAAGTAGATACAATTTGTCCAGACTGGTATGTTACATTGTAGTCAGTAATTCAACTGTACATGGATGAGGTCTAATTATAATGCATGATATTGAACGGTAATAAATAGCGGCTTGTATGACCCGCAGATATGCAGAATGAACGAAACCCCACCTACTCAACGACTTTGACCACCACAGTACCCCCGTCTCGTAATATCTGGGTAGGTATGCTGCCCTTTTCCCTAAATAGATCCGGGACCTTTTCGAAGAGGGCGGTCCTCTCGCCAATTTTATCGACTTCCTCAACGAAAGGTCGTATACCCATGTCCAGTGCCATCCTCAACACCTCTGCCAGGCTTGAGCCAACATCCTCGCCTTCCCAGCCCACGTCCTGGGCCAAACTCACCCAGGCGTACTCCACTTTCCCCTTCCCCTTCCCGATGACCTCTGGGGGTAGGATTGAGGGATCAATAGCCTGAGCATTACTACCGCTGACGCTTAAACTGGCACTCCGAACGAGCCGTCCTTTGCGAGGGCTGCTTCCAAGCTTCCAGTTCCTGACTCCCGCTCTAAAATTATCGCCTGCTGTCGGTATAGGCCTCTCCGGATTGTCGCCGACGAGCGTGGTAAATTGTGCTTGCTGACCACTAGGAAGTCTGATTGACAAGAGTTTCTCTGAGGCTTCCCATACATCCTTTCCACCAACTGTGTCGAGGACAGCCTCAAACACATCGCCATCTTCGAGGAGTCGTTGCAGTACTCGTACAACAGGACCAGTCCTTTTCGCTGCAGGACTCTCCCTTTCTAGGCCGCCATCATCGAAGATAACCTCGTCCGCCCCCCACAGTCTAGCGCGTTCTTCGATGACTAGCATCGCTTCTTGTCTGTTTCTTTCTGCATCGTCTAGATCAACCTTGGGCAACGGTGCGTGCACACAGACCCTCCACCCATCTTTCACCAACATTTGCACCGCCATGGCCCCCACGCCATCGTGGCCTTTCAGAACGACCACTCTTCTTTGGTCGTCCGCTGGCTTGCTGGATGGATGCATCGCGTTATGGCTCAAGCCAGCGGACCGAGATGCATGTGCAAATTGGAAGGTTCTGACAGCGCGATAGGCGGGAATACCTGTCAAAGCCAATAGAGCTAGCTCTTCGAGTGTCATAGGCGGTGGTCGCTCAGGTGCAGATGATTTATCGGAGGATGGATGCCGCATATGTGAGCCAGAGGATGTCGAAGGCGTCCTGGACAACCTTCTGGGATACTTCTGCTGGACATTATCCACCTTCGAAGCACTGGCGACGTTATCATTCCCATTCGGGAGAGCGTCGTAGCTTTGCACGCTTTGTGCCGAATCCATATTCGGATAAGGAACACGGTGGACACGGCGCCGATCAACAACTATGAATTCGGCGAGGGCACCACACTGTATACATGAACACAATAGCAGTCAGGAACGGACAAAAAACACACCTTGCGAGCATCAAGCAATCCAGCAACCCAATCGCCCCTCCTGAATGTCTCCTCTGGGATTTCCCAGCCGCACTCAAGCACCCTGCCGACGAAGCTTCTGCCTGGGATGTACCCAACTTCAGCAGCCTTTCTATCCAGTGGAACGGGCGGTGGTGTGTGTCCATTCCCATGCCCGTTAGTAGCAGTATCTTGCCGAGCTCGTCCATTCAGGTTGCTGATTGGTTCATATGCCCGACCACCGTCATAAACGCCCAATCCCAGTAATCTCAAGTCAACCTCATCCATCGCTACAGCCCAGACTTGCACTAAGATACTTCGTGCGGGGACATAGTTTGGAGGAGGCCGGTAGCTTGTGAACTCAAGGTCAACACCATTGCCGTCCGCAACCTGTCTACCAAAGAGTCCTTTCACGAGTTTCCAGCCTTTCGATCTACTAGACCTGCGGCCCAGCCCTCTAACAACCTCTACAGTTGCCATCGTTGTTTGAGCAATGCCACTCTTCGTTAAGTCAATCTTGCCACTCCCGTCTAGATGTGTCGGTCCTTCGGCATTGGAGACATTGCCAAGAGCTGTGGAAGGTGGTGGCGGCGCTCGGGGAAGTGTGAGGGAAGAATATCCGCGAGTGCCGTGCGAGGGCAACGCTGCAGGTTCCTCATAGTTGACCGGTGGAACGAATCGACTGTCGAATTTCTTCGATGTAGACGATCCGTAATCTAGTGAGCGAGAACGCCGATGGCGTATTTGTCGTGTATTGGATGATTCCGAATCTTCTGTCGACGAGCCCGGTAGGAGTTGATCTTCTTCAACGATCATCTGATCGTCAGATCTGGCTACAGATACTCGGCCTCCAGGATATGTGTAGAGCCCGTCTCTCCCGTTTCTGATACTCCGACTCCTAGTGCTGACGGTGTCTTCATCCTCCTCTATGAGAGCGTCCATACCAATCATGATGTTTGGCGGCGGTTTGGATATATTCTTCGGCCGCCGAGGGGTATTGACCATCTCTCGACGACGGGATTGAGTGGGGAGTGGTCTAGAGGGTACACGATGATTATTTTCTGCCGCTGAGGGAACTGATTTATCGTCAACGGACACTGTGTTGCTAGAGATAGAACTATGGGGAGGTGTACTCTGGCCGGGTTGACGATCAATCGTTGGTACTGGGACTCGCTTAGTGATGGTGGCCCTCACGGCGACGGAAGAAGGATCGTGTCCATTTGTATGTCGCCTTGTTGAAGAGGAGATTTGACTGCCAGGATCACGCGAAGGTGGCGACGTCGGTTTGCTGTGACCGTCGTCAGACTGTATGGGGGTGATTGTGTCCGTGTCAGTCAACTGGGAGTGAGTGTCCGATAGCGCGGAAAAAGATCGACCCTCTGCAGATGTACTGACGATCGTCGAAGTCAGGGATATATTTGAATTAGATGGTATGCTCTTCGAGTCGGAGGCAATAACAAAGGGTTGGGACCTGCGAAGCTTGGCTTTGGGATTAGTGGATTGAGGGATCGGAGGAACGGGCGGCGTTTCCGGCGGTCCCAAAGAGGCGAAGGGGGTAGTCACGACCGCGACCGACGACGCCATGGAGGTTCGTGGCGACGTGTTCGGGGTATAGAAGACGTCCTGAGACGAATCAGAGTCCTCCGGATCGTCAAATGACTCTGATAACCGCTGGGATTTCCGTGACGAAGAGGAACGCTTCTTCCTCACAGTACTGCCCGACGCCGAAGTGGTCTGGAACTTCGTAGCTTCCGTATATCGAGGTCGGTGAGCGGGGGATTTCGCATCGTTGTGCCGCACCTTTAGCAGGTTTTGTCAGCCATTTATATTACCATGCGCTCGGCGATAGCAGAAATTTGGTGACGCACCTCGCTGCCCGCACCCAGTCGATTACCACGGGTGACTCCATTCATGACCCAATCCTGAGGGTTATGCGGAGGAAGTGGTTTCGAGTAACCAAATCCTGGAGAGTTATCGCCAGGGAGGTTGGTGCGACTCCGCGTTGCGCTCGACGAAGAGCTCGAAGCTTCGACGTCCCGTAGTGGGTCAGCGGATTCGGCCGCCAAGCGAAGCATGTCGTTCTTGGTGGAGAAATATTCCTTTTCGTGAGGGAATGAGTAGGTTTGTGATGGGCGTTTCAACAAAGTCTGCATGAGACTAGGTTTGCTCATTGCTTCTGGTGATAGCGCACATCGGTGTATTGGCGTAATGGCCTCCAATCCACGTGTTCACTGTTGGACGTAACCGAGACTGGGAGTGACCACACGCGCTCGTGACGCGTGACTGGAAGCAAATCAGAAGGTCCAGTCCCACTTCCCCTCCTTACTTCCTCTGATCGTCGCGGGGGTCTTGCTGCATAGTTCAGACGTAACCGAGATATATACACAGACCAACCTTAATTGTTTGTACTTAGATGGAAGATACACATGCAGAGAAAGGAACCCAGTAATACATGGTACAAATTCCTTGCAGGACACCGTCCCTTGCTTGTACCAGTCCTTCGGGGCAGGGGACTACTGTTCTTGTCGACAGCATGAGAGCCACGCGAACCACATCATTGTGCGCAGCTGCAGCACGTCCTCCTTCCACACCATGCTCTGGTTTTGTTCTCGGAATTCCCGTGTGAGCTGTTCGCATCGTGCGATATTTTCCGGGCTAACGAAGTCGATAGCGACTTTTATGCAGTCAGCTAGATTAACAACCTATGCCACAAAGCAGAGCACATGTTAGTCATGAGATACTGGTGAGTCCCAATTGCTGTTACCTGATGGGCACAACCAGCAGGGATGAAGACTGCTTGCCCTGGTCGTTGATAGATCCTAAAGCTCTTTACTCCCGCCGTCTCCCACAATTCCCGCCTAAGCTGTTCATCCAAATAAAACTGCTGAGCGTGGATAGGGTCGTTCTGGAATGCTCCCTTGAACCTCTTTCGCAAGAACTGCCGAAGCTTATCACTGTCCTGAGAGCGGAAGAGATCCCATGCAGCATATCCAGGTTCTCCAGTGATGGTTGGAGCAGCGTACGTCATGATGTTCACGGCATCTGACATATCCATGTGCAGCCTTGTCGTTCCCTTGCTGCCTGGATTGCTGGTGGAAGTATAGGCGTTGTACATCTTGGGTCCTGATGATGCATGATAAGGAACGGTTATGCAACAAGAAAGTCTGCGTCATACCTAGATCGGGTGATATCGTATTGTAGGGGAAATGTGAGGCAATGTTCATCACTCCATCTCGTCTCACATAGTTGGGAACGGGAACGGCGTTAGCGAAATCTTCGTACAACTCTGGGAATGCAGCTTTGAATTCAGTAGACGATGGCCAATCCTATTCAAATATATACATATCAGTATGTCATTCGTATAAGCATCAGAAAATTTACCTTCAGCTTCCAGCAAGACTTCCGGTCCTCGTACTTTCCGAAGTCTTTGAAGAATTCAGCGACAGAAGTACGCTTGTTCTCCTCGGTCTGACACTCGATGATCAAGCAGTTCTGGCCGCCATACTTCTCAATGAAGTACTCCGGAGTCCATTCAATCCGGAACTTGTTCAAGACGTCGGTCACTACTAGAGGTTCTCCCTTCACCCAATGTGAACGGAATATTTCATCCGTCATTTTGTCATCGGGAAGATGTGTAACATCGTGGCTGGGAGTCTCCTCTTGAGCATTTGTCGCGTCGCCCTGGGGTGCTAGGCCATTAGAAGGATTGGGATATGTTTTATCTGGAGGGTGGTCGATGAGTGAGTCAAATTTAGTAGATCGAGACAGGGCGCGTACTAGGGTGTTGATGTCCCTGGGCGCCATCGGCCACACCATTGACACCGCCATCGGTGGCATCACTGCCGGAAGTTGCCTGATTAGCATCTTCTTCTTTGACAAGAGCATCCATGGCGGCTATCGCCTGGGCCAGCTCTTCCTTGCAGAATCGAGAAACGGGAGAAAACTCTTTCGAAGTGTGTTCGTTCCGCCGAGTGCAGGAAAGGAAGAAAGGATTGCTGTGCGCATGCTTTTCTCGACGTGCTTGTAGCGCCGCAATTTCGGTTTGACCAGCGCCAGGACGATCCATTGTCAAGTCTTTGACCTGTTCGTAGCATTCTTCGCAGGCCTCTCGTCCACAGAGGCGACACATCCACGTACTAGAGAAGATGGATGTCATACAGGTATCTACAAGGAAGGGTCAGTATGTTTCCAAGTGGTGGAAGGAACAACGATGGGGCTTACCGCAAGTGGCGCGTACTTCGCTTTCACGGGGACGACGAATGACTTCAGGTAACTCAAGGTGTTTCATTTCTTTGCGGAGGGTAGGGAGCAGCGCTCTTGCGACGGTCAGCTGTCTTATCCTTCAGTGAAGTGTCTTGTACGAAGTAAAACAAGCAAACCTTCGTAGATCGAATATGCTCAGGTTTAAGTGATATATTCCACTGAGTGGGGAAGTTCATGGAAGGAGCATCGGGTTTCTGGCTTTCGACAAAGCTGATACCAACAATATTCCGGTGTTGATCTTTCAGGAAGAAGCGTATTCCTTGAAAACGACATGTATCGCCAGCCCAGCGACGGGTACACGAAACGCAACGAGGGAACTGTTCAGATCTATATCGATTTGACATACAGCGTGCGAACTGGAGCTCTGTCGTAAGCATCGCAGAACCAGACGACGCAGGATTTTGTGGGGCGAGACTATCTTGGCTTGCTGTTGATCGACCATCTACACCATTAAGCACGAAAACTAAATTTACCCTAGCGTTCGTACCTTCGGAAGCTTTCTCCTTCCCTTTATCGCTGACGTAGGACACCGTAGGAATGAGCTGGGCTGAATGGAGGTGGAGCTTAGAGCCGCATCATCTGATGGCTGAGGGAATAGGACACTGACCATTCTGCGCCGCGATCTGTGCTGCTTCACTACGCTTTTTGGCATTGTATCCACGCCGGGAGGGACCTAATAGTACCGATGGTACATTTCTCAGGACCTACGATTGGAAACGCATGGTGGATGTAGTATTCTACGCACCGGGACCACCTTCTCCCACGGATTTCGCCCTACTTTTAGTTTTCTTCTGCTTGGAGCCAGCGGTGTCATCAGGATCTGGCGCGGAACGCTTTTGAGCCATTGAATTGGTTTGTGTGTGATCATCAGGAGGGAAGTATGGCATGGGCGCATATATACCCGGTTGATAATACTGTTGAGGGTGATAACGAGGGTCTTGAGGCCCTGGAGGCATCGTACCGCGAGCCGCAAGACGGACGGACGCTCGTTGCGTTGCTTGCCACACTGGGAGAGACAGTCAAACAAGGGCCTGCCATAAACGAGGTCAGATTAGTTACTTTCGGGCGTACCAGGTGCGGCGGAGGATTCTGAGTACCCGGGGTGGTAATTATCTGGAACTAGTCAGCACGAGACTTGATGCGCTAAACGCGATACACACGCTGGCCTTGCGGGGGATAGTCGCCTGAAATAGCTGCAGAATTGATGAGTTTGCAACACAAAGTTCAAAGTACAAAGACAAACCCGTCCTTTCATCAGAGTACATGGGTGCAATTCCAGACGGAGGTCCGTATTGCATAGTTTGCATATCTTGAGGCTGCTGCCACACTTGTTGCCCCTCTATTGGGTAGCCATTAGGGGCCTCCATCCGAGGTCGTACCATTCGTGCCGGCTGTTCTCCGTATACGCCAGGCCCATTCATTTGTGGAATGTGCTGGTATTGACGCGTAGCTGTCGCGACATTGTCAGGCTTCCTTCGCTCTGAGTCGTCTGGCATCTCCCAATTTGCCGCACGCAAGTTGAAAGACGACGGGTTGCTGTTGTATTGCGGAGGATAGGCTGGCACGCCATGATGATCATGATGCACCTGCTGCTGGGCAGAATCATTGATACTGTGCACCTGGCCATTGTGATATGCAGCGTCCCCGACAGATTCAAGGGGATTGAGGAGCTGGCCAATGGAGGTCTTCTTCTGAGGATCAGCGAGATGATTCATGGAAGGGCAAGCGACTCGGACGAATGAACTAAAGAGTTGAGGGGGTCCGTTTTCGCCGTGTTATCGCGGAGGTCGAAATATGAACTTTATAGCTTCGTAAATTCACTCCCCGCAACCCCGATCACCTGGCCCAACTCCACGTGGGCCACAAGGCACGAAGTTCACTGAGAAGCGAATCGTGCCGGAGGATCTGCCGCAGTTCTAGTTAACCGCTTCATATAAACGCCAGGCGCCTCTGGAAGGGCCAATATAGAGAACATCCTCTACTGCATATATAAATGGTTTTTTCGCCTAACTTTGCAGTGCTGGTGTTTAGGCGGCATATGTTGCCGGTCTAAACCATTTCAAACTCAAACCTAGGGTGGTTATTTCGCGCTTTCCCGAACGGCACCTTGACTCCCTTATCAGAGATGAAACGGACTCATTCCTGCGGAACTATTCGGTCATAGAACAAGAGCAAGTTCGAATTCGAAATAAACATGTATGTATAATGATGGTATGTTCCCGTGGGATTGAAGCACCAGTACAAGCAAGAATCACGAAAAGTCCCAAATGAGAAAATGAAGAGACCGAGGAAAGACTACCATATAACGAGGGCTCGGAAGACATGATACTACCATTATATACCTATAGCACTTTACGGATGAACTCGGCAACCTTTAGAGATAATGGATAGATGAAGAAAATGGCGGCAAGGTACCAATGCCTGCGGGATCCTCCAAAGGTCGCCCAAAATTGTCATGGCTCACTGGATTCAGTTGGCCAACCGTGCGTTCCAGCTTGGGGAGGGATAAGCTCCTCTGTCTGCGCACTTTTTGCGGATGTGTCCCTTCCAGTGGCATCACTTTCTTCCTGCCGACCTTCTATTGACATACCTTCAACGACGGACGGCGGACATGGACTTATTTGGACACGTACCGTGAGCGGGATCTAGGGAGGCTGCCTGCTCGTTGCCTGATATTTCTGTTGTTGGAGATTCCTGATGTTCCATCAAAGGGAAAATGGAGCCGTCCGGCATATCTGAAAAGCTTGGTTGAAAGTTTGTCACAAGGGCGGCGAGGAAGCGGAACTTACCGTCTATGGAGTCCAAAGTGCCTTTTCGCCATCCAGTGTTGGACGAGGTCGAGGACGAGCGCATCAGGCCCACGACGCTATCCGCGAAGGTCGGGACATTTTCCTCCTCTGACGCTGATACTATGGAAACCGTTGAGTCTCGGAGAGGTGAACAATACAGTGATACGCATACCAGGGTTTGGGGGCTCGGTGTGGTCACCATTTGTCAACGCTGCGCGACTTGGTGAAGGTGTTGCTACGCGGTCTTTAGGTACATGTAAACGGTCCGCGATCGAACGTGCTTGAGCTGCTTGACCGCTGGATATTCTTCTTAGAACGTCTGGCCTCAAGTCCGCCCACATTTGCAAAGCCTTTATGGATCCCCATTCGATGATCTTGTTCTCCAGCCACTTCAACGACACTGGCTTCGTCAAAAAGTCGTTGCATCCAGCTGCCAAAGCAGTTACTCGATCGCGTTGCATCGATGAGGCGGTGAGGGCCACGATGATGACAGAGGATCTATAGGGTGAACTGCGGGCTTCTATCAAAGACGAGGAAGATTCTGACGGAGTACGAAGCGCCAAACTACCATCTTCAGCAAGTGGAGTCGGAGGAAAACCTGCCATAGCGTTGGATTTTTCCAACCGCCTGATCTCCTTGGTTGCTTCGAGGCCATCCATAACTGGCATTTGGATATCCATCTAAGTGTAGCTTGAGTACGTCTCAGAAGACAACTAGAACGCGAAACATACAAGGATGAGATGGAAGCTGCCCGTCCGCCACTTCTCCACTGCTTCGAGCCCGTTCTCTGCAACGTCATACGTAATTTTCTTCTTTTTCATGAAGGTAGATAGGATGGTCTGGTTGATTGGGTTATCTAACATCAAAGATGTCAATATCTTGACCAAGGCAGGGATGTTCAGGCGTACCTTCGACAATGAGGACCTTCACGGGAGGGACTATGCCGTCGGTGGTCTTCGCCTTCTTCTTCTTGGACATAGCAGTAGGCGACTTGGCTTCTACCGTCGGTCGTCGACGCATAGGTCGTCGGGAGCCAGGGGAGATGCCTACTGGTGGAGACGCAGGAACAGGCGACTTCCGAAGCGCGACATCTGACATGCTCATCTTTCTCGGCATTGTCTGTGGCGGGCCCATAGATTCCTCAACACGAGGTGAAGTAGCCTTCTGAGATGATCTATGCGTTGGGCTACTAGGAGATTGCTGCGAAGACACCATTTCATGAAGCGTAGAAAAAGACAGTCGTTGTGCACTGTCAGAATGGTTGATCTTCGCCGAGGAGGACCTTCGCGATACAGGGATGGCCAGGTGACCTTTATCTCTCTCCATGGCGAGACCGGAAGATAGCTGTCGCTGGCTCTTTCCCTTGGGGTGAAAGAATATACCGTGCGGTTGGCCGTCGGGACTTTGTATTACTACCCCAGACGCTGGAGACGTACCAAATTGATCGGCAGCTTGTGAGAAATACTCTATGTTATCAGGTCGCGCCAAGGGAGAGGAAGGGGCGACATGAGTGTGGTCAAAGAACTCTCTATTTGACTTCGTGGATTTGTCTGAGTTCGAGCGGGAGCCAGTTGGGCGATTTGGGATGGACGGCTGGTTTTGGCTCAGAGGGACATAGGGGAAGAAGGAATTGCTCAAGTGCATTCCGGGGGTCATCGGAGAAGTTGCAATGGGAACGAAGAACGGGTCCACTATGGGCTTTGTAACCGCCGTGTGCAGTGCAGTTAGAAAGCGGCGAGGGCCTGCGGGTTTGGGGATGATCATGACTTCAGGGATGGGCGAAGTGGATCCATTGTACGAAGAGACCATAGACTGAATCAAGTCCTTGACGATCTTGAATTTGGAAAGACTCGTAAAATGAACAATGACTACAGGCGGGTTTGGCTTGGAAGGGGTTTCGGTTTCGGGGCGATGGAGCTGGGGAGTGGAACGTCTATGAAGGGGTGCAAGCGGGGGCCGTTTCTTGAGGGTGAGGTTGAAGCGCTGTTCTGTGCGCAATGACTGTAGGCGCTCTTTGAGCACACAGACGTCGTCGTCGATAAAAATGAATGAAAGGGGGACATCGGATTTCCCAGCCACTCCATTCATGTCGTATCCTTCCAACTGGGGACCATACACCGGTGACTGTGGCGAAGGTGCGATTACAGCATCTCCCGTTGCAGCAGGCTGCTCATTGACCTGGGCTATTTCTTCTTCCGCTGTATCTGCAGAGACATGACTGACGTCCATGCCCCAAGCAGTGAGATAGCTAGTGAAGTGGTGGGCGAACGACCCTTTCGAGCTCGCGTACAGGGAACCTTTCTTGCCCCTCAGCGTCTCCGCGAAGGCCGCCAGTTGCTCGATAGAAGGCTCAAGAGCTGAGGCTTCGTCTCCGTTGCTGAGTGGGGAAGCGGCCGAGGGGACTGCCGATAAGGGGCTCCGTTCCAGCTCCATATGCAGCTGACAGACACGACCAGAAGAGAATGTTATCGGGGGGAGGTCAGTTTCCAGGCTGGCGTCTATTAAGGACAATAACCGCTTGAGCAGTGAAGAATTGAAAGAAGGGGTTGCGCGGGCTGGCTTAGGGAATGCGCCCCCGTTCATTACAGTATACCCGTCCGTGGCGAACTTGTGACCAACATCAATTGTACATTGCAGGAGGTGGTCCAAGTCAACAGGTGTCGACCTATGCAGGAAATGGACATCTCCGTCTTCTAGAGAATCACGGTTGGGCAGCTGTTTGGAAGGATTGATGAATAACCCAAGTTCGATCGAGTCTCCTTCCCGGGCAGTACTCAGGACTTGTCGCACAATCTAGCAATTCGTTAGCTGCTCTCCCTTGTCCTGATGCTGACAACTCACATGGGACAACGCGAAGGATATCCCACTTTCATCACCTTTTACGATTACGTGCTTCATTCCAACGTCTGCATGGTAGAGGACTAGATCCACCCCTGCCTGGGCTGCGGATCCGCTCAAAGCGTCTCCGACATTCTGGAGAAGCTCCCCGATGTCGAATTCATTCATAGGTTGACGAGGGAATGCTAGCACCTCTTTCCTAGAGCTAGGCGCGGCACAGAACGTAGCCGAGTTCGCTGAAATATAATTCAGACTTTTCATCGTGGTGAACATGGCGGACATGGAGGTTGTGGGCACGGCCAACGCGCAAGCAGAGAACTGTTCCTTAGCAGGATCGAGCATCTGGGGAGGGGACACCTGAAGCATTGTTTGGATCATCATCTGCACCGAGTCCGCGAGCTCAAGGGACAGTTCACCAAGCCGAGACAATTCCTCTTCCTTGGAATCATCTGGCGGCGAAGGCCCTGATCGGTGTGGATTCTGTAAGTGTCCCAGCTGTGAAGGAAGTGGCATGGACAGTGCACGAGAAAATCTGGGCTGAAAGGTGGTCCCCTGTAGTCCGTTACTTGACGAGGGCTGGGACTCGTCGTTATGCAAGGGTGACGCTTGTTCATCAGAAGGGACGTCCCCGCTGTCTTCTTCAGCTTCACCATCGAGATCGTTTTCCCCATAGCCTCGTCCTACAGAGGCAAGGGAGCCATCAGCCTCCGTGGTCCATTCGTATCCGAACCTGCTGGGCGACAGAAGGACGCCTTCTATGCTAGGAGCTTCGCCTTCGTTGCTAGACACGGAAGCCAGCCGAACGGCAGGCAACCGAGGACCACTCATCGTAGGAGAAGGAATCTGAAGTGGGTTGAGAGGCGGTCGTTGTGAGTGACTGGGTTGAAGGGGCACCGAAACGCGCAGCGCTTCACCACTGTCAACATTCAAACCGAAGTAGATGCTCTTCACGATCGGTCTGACCATCTGTTTCCAGCAAGATAAACGGCACCAAACAAAGATTGTGATTATAGGTGGGTCAAAGAATCAACCACCGGTTGAAGACATAAAAACGACCAAAACAAATATAGACCATGGATATAATACAATAGCCGTTCAATACGTTAGCTCAACATCACCCTCGGCAACTAGATCCATATCGTGGTAGCTGACTCTCTTGCCAGCCGCAGCTCTTGGATCCTCCTTCGCGTCTGGGGGAGGAGGGGGAGGAGGGCCGATGGCCTGGGCACCACTGCGTCCGCCTCGCCTACCTGTGTTGCCGGCCTGAAGTGCGGAATCTAAGGCAGCCGCTGAGGGTTTGGGAGGGAGACCAATAGCGGGCGGAAGGGTGGACAACTCCGATCCAGGAGCAAAACCAGTGATGCGATCACTCAGCCGCCGAGCAGTCGTAGCTTCGTCGCGTCGCATGGGTTGTGGGATGGGTTGATAGGAGTTGGGAGGGAATCCGCCCATGTCCCAGCCGTTGCTGAAGAGAGGATATGTCATTTGCGGAACAAACTGTCCACCACCACCCGTACGCCCATAATCGTTGCCACCACCTGAACCGCCGTGGTAGACAGGAGCTTGAATACCGTATGCTTGAGGAGGAGGAGGCTGACCACTGCCGAGGAGCTGTGGGGGATGCACAAACGGTTGTATCCGATGCGGATCAAGGGCAAAGTTGTTGAAGTAAGGTATCTTAGGGCATCGCCGTTAACCTACGGATACTGTCAAGCATGGTTCAATGGCTCACCTCTTCCAGGTCCTTCGTGTGTTCAGGATGCTTGTTGGCGATGTGCTTCTCAACAAATGAAGTAGCCTTGAACAGCTTCTGGCAGGTTTTGCAGCGGAATTTGCCTTCATCCTCTTGCTTGATGAAAGGTTCCAGCACCTTTGCCAGCTCTCTGAAACAGATGATCAATAGGGAACCGATGGTATTAATTAAGCAATGCTTACTCTTGGTATCTCTTGCCGCCATAATCATGAGGATCGACGCCGTCGCGGTTAATAAGAAGAGCGATCTTCGAGTCATGCCATTCAAGCCACCGTTCATCTGACGCGTGGTCGAATGAGATGGTTGTCTCCGTATGATCGAACTTTGAGACTCACCGCTCTTAACATTCTTCGAGTTGTCATTCTTACTCTTCTCCCGCTCTTTGTCTCTGGCAGCGTCTTTCTCAGCGGGATCCTTAGCCTCAGCCGACTCCTCGTTGACTTTAGCATCTTTCTCCTTCCCAGCGTCTTTGGCTTCTTCAGCGGCAACCTTCCCGTAAGGTTTCCTCTCGTGCTTCACACACTTACGTTGCAATTCTTCAATATGATCTGCAACAAGGGCGCAATAATAGCATGTGTGATACGCAGCTCGGAGGTACGCGCAATACATATCCAAGGATATCGAAACCTATACAACAAAGGTTCAGCCATCCATAAAAGGTACCGACTGCAGTAAACTCACCTTCTTCTCCTCATACGCCTTTTCGTCGTTGATATCTACAACGCCTTGTTCCCGCAAATCGAACATGACCTTTTCAATTCTACGTTCTACAGCGTCGCTGCCCTTCTCCCTCGGCTCCGGATCGTCTTCCATGATATCATCACCTGCATCTTCCATCGGGGCGTCGGGATCCGCTGGCGCATTCTCATTGGGTGTCTTCGACACGGTGACCTTCTTGACCTTGGCTTTCCGTAGCTTGGCGGCTTCCTCTTCCAAGATTGCCGCCAGTGTTTTGATGTTGGCCAGATCCTTTTCAAGTCGTTCAGGACGACTAGCAATTTCCGGCGTACAACGTATCTTGGCGGTGAAGGGACGAGTATTGTGAGTAACATGGAGCTTGAAGCCTTCAATCTTCAAGAGCAGAGTTATGACTGGCATTATTGTTTGCTCTTGGAAGAGACAGAGGGGAGAACACACCTTCTTCTCGGATAGCTCGGTCATGACAGCCGACATATCTGCATCGTCAATGAAGCGTATCCAACCAGCTCTGTAGTAGTTTCGCTTCTGCATAGGATCCCCAAGTGCCAGATACTTGAACCCTGGCATCTTGCAAAGTGACTGTAGAATGTGTTAGCATATTCGTAACGTCTTAGGAACCGTAGCAAGTCCGTACATCCTCCAGCTTCATTCGCCCGATGTCGGGAGGGATAGTTCGAATGGTAACCTGATTCCCCTCTGGCATAGTTGAAATCTCCTCGCCACGATTCAGCATCCGGCGTGCGTCCTGTGGCTGAGACTTTCCGTTGGACTCCGTTTTAGCGGCATCGGGATCACCACCGTCCTCGTCGCCATCCATAGCAAACTGCATCTCATCGTCCGCTCCGTTGGCTTTCCCTTCATCCCCAGCCCCATTGGTGTCCCCGCTCTGCTCCCCGTTTGTGGAGTTGTCCAAGGTCGGGGATGATTGCTGGGTAGACTCCTGTGAATCTGGATCGTACTTGCTTGATTCAAGATCAAGCAGGAAAGCATCGATGCGGCCCTTCCAACCTTCCTTCCGAACCCGCAAACGCAGGTTCGCGAATTCCGGTGCTGGGTCATACTTTTCGGCAAACCAAGGTGACTTTTTGTGATGTTCAAACATCGTCTGAAGCTACAGTACAACACAGAAAACGTTTCAGCCTCAGTATCACTAGCGCATATTGTACAGAAGGACCATGTGGGAAGTATGGTAGAAAAGACACGGGTAGAAAAGCGAGAACGCCTGAATTCAATGCTGACCTGTGTAGCGGCAAAGTCCTTCTTGTAGTTCTCCCATCGAGTCTTGATACCGTTTCGTGGTTTGGTACCGTCGCCTGCCTCCTGCTCAGCAGCTTTGTCGGCATTGTCCTCGTCTATGGCTGCTTGAGGGTGATAATATCTGAACCATTCAGCATATTGCTTCAGTGAGGCAGGATAGTCTAGATGGTGAGGGTCCACAGGCGGGCGTCTGGATGAGTATGGCCCGGAATTGCCGCGCCGTGAGGGAGACGAGTATCCGTGACGGGGAGGAGCATCTGATTTGGGTTGCGGGTTAGTGAGCACCATGTCCTCGTTTCAGCCTGAAGAGCAATCTACCATAGTCATCATTGAAGCGCGGCCGCGGCTCGTATCTATCCCTTTCGAAGGGAGAAGGAGAGCGACGTCGTTTGCGTGAAACTTTTGCGAGGATGAGTCATTGAGTGGTTCAACAGGTTGAATCTACGCACATTCATCTGGAGGAGGGCTACGACTTCTTCCGCGACGCCCATAATCATAGCCGGGTCTTTCTCTCTCATAGTACGCCCATCTATCTCTGTCGTATGTGTCCCAATCAGCGCGGTACTGGTCCGGGGGATAATGCGGGTCCCCGTAAGACGAGCGAGGCGGATACGAGCCACGGGAGGGAGAGCGGGAGCGAGAACGACGAGGCGGAGGAGGATATGAGCCCGTCCAAGACATCTTTTATAGAGGAAAGAAAAGTAAACTGAGAGTGAAGCACCATTTCAGGATGGCTTTATCAGAGGCTGGGATGAGAGAGAGGTCGCATGATAGAAGCACAGACCTCGTGGGGATCGCGACGCAACGGCAGAAGCAACTTTGGCGTTGGCTACGACGACGAGCACAACTCTGCTTCAGACACGCTCAACTGTGTTCGCGATGAAGGCACAACAACGGCTGAGTCTCCGAACTTGCGCTAAATTCAAGCGGCGACTCAATTGAATCAAGGTCCGTGCGTCTCAATTACAGGACTTGGTCAAAATATACTATTCAACACGCCACCCAACTCTTGACTACTATCAGCAGTACTTGAGCTCGCCGTGGGCTTGTTGCGCTTCTTAGGAGGTGCGCCATCGTCACTCTCCTTTCGTTCCCGTATTTTTGTATTGGGCTTCAGCACAAATTCTTCGCCCTTTTCTTTCTTCCTCTCAGCACGCTTATCCAGCACACGGGCGAGTTCGACATTCTTCAGATACTCGCGTTGCTCGGTCTTGGATTGCTGAAGCTCGACTCGTAGCTTAGACGTGTGTATTGCCGCTTCATGAGCTACGAATATATGTCAATCTCAAGATACAAAAACGACAATGAATGAGAGAAAATACATACCAACTTGTTCGGTGAGCATATTCCATTTGAACCGAGGCAGATATTTCATTGTCCAGACGTCGTCGCGCCAACGAGTGCCTTTCTTGCCTCCGATTGGCTGAGCATTGAGCATTTCAGCAACGCTCCGCGCTACTTTCTTGTCCTTGAATTCGACCCAGCCCTCAGTAAAGTGGGCCTTCTTCGTTGAGGTGTATTTGCGACGAAGATACGCCTTCTTCGCATCTACAGGGGAAGTTGAGCTGCCGTCGGAAGTCGCAGTAATCAAACTACATACCTTCTTGTTGCAGATAAACACGACCGATTTCGCCATATGCGCTCATCAGATGCCTCACCTTCGCTGGACGCATTCCAGGGGGTATCCTGGAGATGTATATAACGCCAGCCCTGTCCTGAGCAGCCTTGAAAGCTGCGAGAGACTCTGGTGTTAGCGGCTTCACGACAGGTTCTGACGGTCCCGCGAAACCCTCGAGATCCATTCCTTCCACGAAGCCATCCGGGCTGTCAGATATCTCTAGATCGTTTGCTACGTCGCCTTCTGAACCGTAGTCGCTAGCTTCTCTGTTTTCGACGTCAGCTGTGCCCGGTTCTGGAGAATTTTGTTGCGAAGTTGAAGGCATTTTTGATAGGCGCTTACGAAGTGCAGATGCGTAAACTACAAAACGATGATAGGAGCTACGGGAAATTCGCTACAAACAATTTCACCAAGAAGCAATCTATCGTGTTTGTGTAATGCAAAGGAGGGGATACAAATACAAGTTTGTTTTGGCCCATGAATAATACATAAGAATAGCAACTGTCCGATGCGTGTATGGTGGAAAGCTGCTGAGTTGCGTCGTGTATGCGCAGATGGGGTGCGGAAAGCAATGCGAAGTAATAATGTCACCTTGGGTATGTAAGTAAAGTAATGCAATATGCAATAAACGTGCGTGTTTGAGCAGTAGCAGGGTAAAGGAAGGGATGAATGACAAGTATAACCTGAGTGGAACGGGGTAAGAGTTCTATAAGGTGCGTTATCACAATAGACACACAATACCAAGAAGTGTATGGTACTTTCGTCCGGTAGGAAGCATTGGAGTCTGCTATATAGTTCGCTACATGACGCACGATGAGCCGACATAATGCGCTAACAAGAGTAACACGAACCTTGACAATTGACCATTGTACGATGACATCTTTGATTCGTTCCTTGAGTGTATCTCGACAGAGGTCACAAGTTAAGTGTTCTTGCAACGGTCTCAAAGCAACTTCCATGGTCGAAGTAGAGACATCTAGATGAGATGAGTGAGTGAATAGAGCAGTGAAATTAGTGATGGTACAAACCTGGTCGTGCATCCCACGCGAAATAGGCAGATGCTAAAGCCCACGCGCGGGTAAGCTTCTTTTGTTCTACAAAGTCGCACATTGGAGTCGGAGGGTGGGGATGCGGCGGGGGTAAGAGAATGCGTTTCAGAGCTTCGCTTCGACCAAAATGAAGGAAGAACAACCGCTTGAGGTAAATCGGACCCATGCGTCGAGCCAACTCGTCTGTGACTGATGATAAATGCATGCCCAGCAAGTGTGATGATACCGCGACGGCCAATGCATCGAGCTCGAATGAGGCAGCTAATGCGTATAGTTCCAATGGACGAATGGGGGCGTGAGAGAGCAAGAGGGTATAAAGTGGCGACGTGGGTAGTATCCGAGACATAGGTGAGATCCCGTAGAATGGCAGTCGTTCGACAGCTGTAGCCAATACTTCGTACGACGGCGAATAATGCGCGCAAGACATGTCGTATATTGTGTGCAGAATGACATTCAGCACCGCCGATGTTTCTGGGACATTGACCATCGGGGCATTCCCTGAGGGTTGTGGGCAATTGAGCAGGAGGGACCGAAAACCATTGTCCGACGCCGAGAGCAAGATATGAGTATGCGTGTAGAAGAAAACTGAGTCGGATGAGAACAGGGCGACGTCTGGCGGGAACGTGCGCGTCTGTGCGCCAGGATAGAACGTCGTTGAGACGGAGACAAGGGGGTTCTCCTCGACGCCCTCATCTGGCTCAGTTGGCGAGCCATCTTGGGACTGCTATAGTAGAAGGACCGCAATCAGAAACCGGCCCCGACCATATATATCGCGAATCCTCTGCACTCACGGGGGGCGTTGGGACTTGGGAATATGGCGAATCTGCGGGCTTGTCGTCGAGTTCAGGCGTCGCCAGACTGGAATGGGACACGAACTGGAACAGGGAGTCCCAGTCTGCATGGTCCATGCAGAGATCACTGAGAAGGGAAAGGAAAGGCAACCATCGACGCTGAAATTCACTCAGTCCATTCTGCTCATGTACGCTCAAGCATCTCTTTCCCACGCTCTCACGTCATTCACAAGTGGAGTGCCCAAGGAACACGCAGGGCCATGAGGCAGCGCAGGGCAATAAATAGTTGTATGTAACCCTACCCAGCAGCCACAGCGCGCTTCATCATATGCACCTTCTCGCGCTTCCCAAAATCCATGTCGTGGAGCTCCTACACTCCGCTATCAGTAAACAAAATCAAGATCCTTCCTGAACCATGTCCTTACCATGTTGGCTAACCGTTTCGCGGTAGAAACAGCATTCAGCTTCTCAAGTACCTTGTCCTCGGGGAGCGTCATTTCCTCTAGCTTGGTTTCTGGTATCGGAACTGTCAGACACGAGGCAGGGCGCGAAGCAAGAGATACCTACTTATCCGATCCTCCACCTTCAAGACGTTCTCTTCGTCCTTCTCCGTCACAAAGCTAATCGCGACACCACCCCGCCCCGCACGAGCCGTTCGACCAACTCGATGCGTATACTCGGTCGGTTCCTCAGGCATATCCCAATTTATTACCAGCGCAACATCTTCTATGTCCAAACCTCGAGCACCCACGTCGGTAGAAACTAACACGGGGACGACAAAAGACCGGAACAGAGACAGAGAGGTAAGTCTCTCGCGTTGTGTTATCCGCGAATGTAAAGCCGTCGCGCGTATGTTCAAGGATTTGAGTAGTAGCGTGAGATATGCCGCTGTACGGGGTCTGCGAACAAAAATAATGGTTGGTGGTGGCTGCCGTATATCATCGGAATCGTCATTCGTCTTCTTTGTGTCCCTGCGTTTCCCTTTCTTTATTGGTTCCGGGGGTGCTTGTCGAAGGTGGATCGTAGATTCGGGGGGATTGCATAGCAGATAAAATAGATAAGGTTCCCGCACGTGAGATGGGACCAAGATATAATGTTGCCGTAGCGTTGACACAGTCTCCACACTGAAAGGATGGACATGAATGACAGACAAGGAGCCACAGCCAAATTTACACACGACTCAGTCATCCGATGGACGAAAGGGCGTTGTTTCCCCTGTCTTGGTGGGGCTAATGATATATCTTCGATAGAAGCCGTCATGGTCGCCGTAAATAGGCATGTTTGTCGCTCCTTGGGCAGAACGTTGAACAGGAACGATAACTCGGGAGCGAATGTTGATGTGAGCAATCGGTCGGCCTCGTCCAGGACCTAGAGCAAGGGCGATTGTAATTAGTCTATTAGACTTGGAACAGAATCCTGGGAGGAACTTGCCAGGAACTTAACGCGGGAGAGATTCCACTCTTCATTGCTACTCTTCAGGTGATCAACGATACGGCCGGGAGTGGCGACTACTATATGAGGGCGGTTCCCGAGTTCAATAGCTTGTGTCATCATATCCATTCCGCCCACGATGACCGCAGTTCTTACGTTCATTAGCCCCCCCAGAACAGCGAATTGTTCCGATATCTGGAACGCCAGCTCCCTATAATAGATGCGCTTATGAACCAAGCGATTGAAATGTAGTGGTGGAGCAAACCTTGTCGGTGTTAGTACGAGTGCGTAGATGCCGTACGGGTCGACGGATAATTTCTGGAGGATAGGAATGGCAAATGCAATTGTTTTCCCAGAACCTGTTTTGGCATTGCCCACACAATCCCTTCCTGGCTCCTGGAGTTAACGCCGGCTGAAGAATGAAAGAGTGGCGTTCTAAGCTTACCAGCAAGTAGAGGCGGAATACAAGCACTTTGGATTTCCGTTGGGACCTTTATTGATACGCTCTTCAGAGCATTTTGGAGCGGCTTGGATATTCCCAACGCAGCGAAAGACTCGACATGTGGAGAGGCCTGAGCACGTTGGGCTGGTGCCTCACGCTTGGGTGCAGCTCGGGTTAACCTGTCTCCAACGACGAGTCGGCTTGATTTCGGATCGTTTAGCCACTGCATATGCTCCAAGCTCTGTCCGTCCCCACCTACATCGCTGCCTTCGCCTTCACTCCCACCCGAGTCGCTGTCGCCCTCGCTACCACTGTCCTCGTCGGATCGCTCGCTCGGATCACTACTTGTCGCGTCTAGTGCGGTCGTGCGTTCCAAACGCGCTGATTTCTTGCTGGTCGACGCGTCTGAGAACTCGGCGATGGGTGCTTTGCGCTTCATGATGATGAGAGTATTGGCAGAAGGTCAAATTTTTGACTTAGGGGCCGCTCAGCCGGCGCTCGAATTGACTCCTGATCGAGCCTCGGTGAGCGCTGTCAACCCGTCCGGGGAAGTACAAGTACTGTAGCAAAGATGTCCATTCATCCTCCCGCCAAAATACCTTCATGTCGTTTCGCAAGCAAGTTACCCCAGTCTCTGCACAACTTGTCTCATTTGAGACAGACATCCCACCAGCGGTCATCTTGAAACGCTTGGATAACAATCTGAATCGCGATGAGGCGAGCCAGTTAGTCCCTTTGCTACAGCAGGCGAAGACAAGGGAGGAAATCGAGAATGGGATGCAATGTCTTTTCAAGGAGTGTGGGTTCATGTACGTGTCCACGTTCTGTTTATTCAGGTCCGTATCTCATAGCAAAGTCGATTAGATTCTTCTCCGCCATCCCCCAACACAGGTGGATGGCAAAATATCACAACAAGAATTTCCCCGTCATCGTGACTTACACGTTCGGTAACCCCATCACCGCCCAAGGGATCATGCAGATCGATCCACGGGCTGCCGTCCACCTTCCTCCCAGACTGCTGGTGTTGGGGAATGAAAACGACACCGGGACAAGCATCCTTTATTGCCTCCCCTCTTCAATCATGCAAATAGATCACGACAAGGGATTGAAAGACGCTCTAGAAGGCCTCGATGCGAAACTCGAGAATTTCATTGTGAATTATGTGCTATGTGATACAGAGGATGGAGAGGATTCGACGAGTCAATCGCCGAGTTTGTAGATGGGATATAATACAGATATGAACGAATTACAGCTTCTTTTCTATTGCGGACTACCATAGTGCATAGAATAGTCTGATTCTGAATTAACGTTGCCATAATGGGAGTAAGCACCCGGCACATAAGGCGGAAGGAGTGCTGGATGGTGCGCGTATCCATCTTGAGAGTAAACAACGCCCGCAAAAGCTCCAGCCTCAAATCGCGGCTTCTGCGTGTTCGCATATTGATATGTCCCTTCATCCTGCTTCGACGCAAAATCGACTTGCATACCAGGAGTGAGGGGAGAAGTGGCGTTAGGGGAAGTGGCGTTGGGGAAAGTGGCGTTAGGGGAAGTGGCGTTGGGGAAAGTGGTATTGGGGAAATGTAGGCCGTTTGACAAGTGATATTGAGACATGTGTCGGGCATCAAGAGGAGACACTGATTCGTGGGTGAACGCTGGCAGCGTGTCGCCGATGTGTAGCGATGCCATATTTTGGCCCAACGCATTCACGGGTTGGGCGGTGAATGGGTCATGGAAATGGATGGGCGAAGGGAGAGCGTAGGCACCGTAGTTCTATATACAACACAGTTATGATGAGAAAAAGGAGGAAGGGAGTTTCGAAACTCGCCTCATTCATGTTTGCATACTGATACCCGCCCGATTGTCCGTAGTCCGTCACCATTGCCTCTTGTGAAGTACGCCCACCAGTAGCGGTGGAGGGGCGGCGCGGTAAAAAGCGGTGATCCTGGGGGTGAAGTTGAAAGGGATGGATCGGGCGCGTTTCGAGGCCTGTGCATGCTGGGGGCTTGTAATCGCATTCCATCGGGATGGAAGATGGGCGCAGACCTGGCGCAGACGAAGGACGGCGCGGTAGCATGCCAACGGGCGGAGGGAAATACGAAGGATTAGAAGAAAGGGAAGGTGATGGGGTCGGTGATATCGCCATAGGTGATAATTGCTCTGGGGGATACTCAAGCTTCGGACTGATAGTCGGTTGGTGCTTACGATGTCCTCTGCCTTTCAAAGGGCGTCCGGGTGGCGTCGGCGGCGCATATCGTAGCCGTAGTTCCTCAATCCAACCTTCCCCATTACGGTCCTGCCCCCGTTCATCAGTTTGCCCCCTTGCCTTCAGACGAGCGGGACCTCTCATGGGGGTGAACTTATAATCAGGATGGGCCCTTCGGTGCTCATCCTTCACTTTCTCAGCTTTGTTGCGCCACTTCGACTTCTCATCCTCGTCCATGCTCTCCCAGATCTTACCAGCCAGCTTGCTTAGCGTTTGTTGCTTCCTTTCAACTTCGGAAGGTACGGTGCCACTCCTGAGGAAATCGGAGCGAAACAACATAAAAGCGTTAGCAGGACGAGGGACGCGTTTCGGCTTGGGGGTGGACGGTGTATCAGGCAGGGAGAAGGGTTGCAGGGAGAAGACGCCTTGCCCGAGGCAAGGAGTCGCGTCGGCGCAGTCCGGCAATGAACTCGCAGGCGAAGGCGTTTGGTCCATGGACTGAGACGACGACATATACGGCGACATCAAAGGCGCGAGAGCTCCCGAGCCACTGCTTTGAACAGAGTGAGAAGTAGACGGTTCCATATCTTTGAGAAGCTACTTTGATGCGTGAGCATGGAACGAACGAGTAGGAGTGATGATGGAGAATGCTTACCTTTCGAGGTACTCACCGAGAACTAGAGGAGGCCGGGGAACGGAGAGAAGGTGGCAATGCATCTTATATACGCTCAGATTGAAGGAGAGTCGGTCGTACTGCGTAACGTGTGTACGTCTTTGACGTCGCGTGCACACTCAAAGGGGGGAACGAGGCAAACGAGGCAGGTCAAAGCGTGCCGATCGTGTGCCATTGAACATAGCAGTAACTTGAAATTTCTTCGCTGACTTCGAATATTGTGATTATTTGCGAGGGAGGGTGCATTGTGAAGAGCCGCCGAGGTACCAGTAGCGTATAGGAAGATGTAGACTCTATATAATTACTATTAGGTTGGTGACGGTGTGGGATGGTGTACTATGCAGAATGGAGTTGGGCTGCGGCCGAAGGGTCAAGGCGAATTTAGCGGTCTACTTATCCAGTGGGCTTCACTAGCTGCCTTTCGAATTCGATTCATGACTGCAAGTCCTTCCCTGCCCTGATCTACTTCCTCCACGAATATGATCTCAACACCTTCACGTTCCAAAGTTAGAATCCCATCAAATAACCTCTGGGCGATCGTAGCAGGGTCGGCGGAGGAACCAAGAGGGAAACGGAGCCACTCGATATTTGTTGGCAAGGTCAGATGTGAAAGTGTTGAATCGTCTAACAAAAGAAGACCTGCTTTCCGTATATCTGACCCAGGGAGTCGTTCTGCAAGGGTCGCGAAATAAGACGCGGCGTCGATGGGTGTTTGATCGGGAGGGGGTTGGGAGTGAGTGAGGAGGAGGATTACTGGTATTGAAGGGGAGTAGTGTCTATATTTCATGCCCGGTGTTGTAGGGACTTGTTCTATGGTGGTATCGGCATAGTCGCGTTTGTGGACGAGAACTTTAGGCACTCTTCCGAGATCGTACTTGCTATCTTCGAGCGCTTTTTCGATATCCTCCACCGTGACACCACCTGGTCTAAGGATCCGAATGTCACCATCAGGGTGCAGACCATCCGCCACCGTGCTTTCCAAGCCGATGTCGCAAGGGCCGCCGTCTAAGATCAGGCGAACTTTGCCCACAAGATCACGATAAACGTGATCTGCGCGTGTAGGGCTAGGTTTTCCAGATGAATTGGCACTCGGGGCAGCGAGGGGTATGTTTGCCTTCGCGATCAAAGCTCTTGCCACGGGATGCGAAGGCATTCTTACAGCAACTGTTGGTTGACCTGCAGTGACAATATCCGGCACGCTGCTTGGCTCTCTTGGAAACAGTAGAGTCAAAGCACCGGGCCAGAAGCGGTTCATTAATATACGATAAGAAGGGGGAATAGCATAGTTCTTGGGTAGCAGTGTGGAGAGCATGGCGGGAGATGAGACGTGAACGATCAGAGGGTTGTCGGCAGGTCGACCCTTCGTGGAGAAGATACGAAATACAGCATCGGTGTCCGTCGCAACTGCTGCAAGACCGTACACGGTTTCAGTCGGAACGACCACAGGTGTCAGTGATTCGGTGAGTTGTCGCGCTGCGATGTCGATGGCCGTTTCTGTGTTCTTGTCGGAAAAGTGCGGTTGTCCATCGCGAGAGAACGTGATGGAGGAGGGATCACATTTCAAAATACTTGTGGCTGAAGCCATCGTAGTCGCAGTGGTGCAGAAATTTGGAGGTGCGCGAAGATTTACATGATTCCTGATCATGCACCGCCAGAAGAGAAAATTCATAATCGATGGGCGTCTGTCTAGCGCCTAGTTATGTGCCGACAAACTGGCAAGAAGCGGCGGGTATATTTATAGGATGTCAAATGTATACTCTAGTTTGTCCAAATATCAAGATAGTATCAACCCCAATAGTATGGTAGTTATAAGCAAAATGGGGGAAACTGTGCTCATGAAACCCTCGTTGTCGGAAGTGGAAGGAGATGTCCTAACCAAAGGCGACGCGACCATCACAACGGCAATTCCAGGCCCAGTGACATTCACCGTGCATCCGTTAGTGCAATCGATCTGTGTGTTCGCCATCGCCCATTGCGTATCATCGTCTGAAGGAGTCACGAGGGTCCCGTCTCCTGAGGTTGCGAAAGACTGTCCACCCCACGATATCTTCTGTTTCTCCCCAGCGCTAGCGGCGGATAGGTATTTGACTGTCAGCCCAGCTGCCTTCGAAATATCTTCTGCAGAAAAGGTAAACGTCGCGGGCTCCGATGAGTTCGCGTAGTTGAACAGGACGATCCGTCTGAGAGACGAGTCCCCGGCATCGTGGATTGCATAGGCGCTGACAGTAGCCTTTCCATCAACAGTGGAGTTTTGAAGGTTCAAGTCCGTAACAAAAGTACCGTTGTCAGAAGCCAATGCTTCGGCGGTCACTAGAAGGGAATAAAACGAAGGTCCAGTGGTCCAGTTGCCCGAGAGATCCGGAGTGTTAGGTGGCGAAAATATGTTGTAGGTAATACCCCGTTCGCGCGTGTGGAGGTATGCAGCGACATATCCCATGGATGCCAGCTGTAGAGCGTAGTCTGTCGACCACATTGCGCCCACAGCAAAGGTGTCTGAGATCCCAGGAATACCCCCACAAGACGCAGAATTGAATTCTGACATAAGAAGTTGGGGGCGTCTCCCTTGGGTGTCCAAGAGAACAGAGATGCCGTGTTCCTGCCAAGAGGCTAGCTTGACGGCTATAATGGATATAAGCATTTGAAGACACCGAACATGATCTAAACTCATGGACTTACTATTAGAATGCGTCATATACCAAGGTAGTTCGTACGGGTATTTTCCGGCGACACAGTTATTCTGTGGGTAGTGTTGTAATCTGCTCACTACAGTTTCAGAGGCTAATATCACGAAGTTAGTAGGACTACTTACGTGAGGTATTTGAGATCGTTCCCGTAAGCTGTCAAGTAACCATCTTGGAGCAAAGACGCTAAATCCTGTAAGAGCGTTTTTCCAGTAAACGTACACGATACGCTGCCTGCGAACGTACCCAGAAGCAACAAATTGTGGGGCCGCCTAGATTTTGGAGCTCAAGAAGATTACCCCCGGTAGTATTTTTCAAGTGACTTGTGACTGTGCCAAATTCCTTTCAAACGAAAAATTTTAGTCACAATCGACACGATATGGAGGCCTCCTTACATCCATGTAGTTTCCGGTGGTATAGTTGGCGAGGTTAGGCCTCTGTTTGTGAGCGGTATAGAGATCAGGTTCCTGTGAAATCGCCTTGATTAATACGATGACCAGACGGTAGATCTCAAACTCGCATTGCCCAATAAAAAAGCATCCAAGTTGTCCCCAAGGTTCTTCTTCGCGTCACCTTATGCACAGGGTAAATATCGGGGCAAGTTAGAGTTTGATATCAGTCCTACCTGCCAATAGAGGGACATTTGTACTATTGGGGTCAAGAAGAGAGAGTCCTGTGGTGTTCCTGAGTGTCAGTTCTGTGGGGATTTCTGATGATGAGAGAAATACCAATGAGGTACTGAGCGCCTCCAATGTTGTGGGCCACCTCGTTGAGGACTTCCCAAATCGTATCGCCATAGTTCACAGGCTGATTATTGGGGTTTGCGTTGGGATCGGTGAGCTGTAGCATAGGCGATGTCTGGTCTGGGATGTACTTTGAACTATCCATCGAGTTACCGCCAATCCGCAGGCGTAGTGGTACATTGGCGGTGCGTGCTCGGATAGTTTGTAGGTAGTTTATGACGGCGGGCGGTATCGAAGACGCGTTCTTGCCAACTAGATACCGCGATTAACTCAATGTTAAATAAAGAGCCAAGGAAAGAGCCAAGGAACCCACAGTATTCGTCCAAGAAACTGAGCTCGAGACTGATCCCAAGAAAGTTAGGGTGTACGACATTCTTCGAACCGGGAAGCGCAGGGACGGTCACTTCCACTGGGGCCAGGGCGTAGCAAAGGAGCGGGAGGGTGGCCAAAAGAGTGAGGCAGGACGGCCAGCGCATCGTATAGCGGATGAAAGAGTGAATCGGGCATGGAGGGCCTTTTAACTATCACCAAGTTCCCATTCAGTCACGGAAAGCCAAAAGTAGCGGGTCGCAGAGCCCGCATCTGGTCCAGAACACGACCGCCTTGTACCCGCATCGTTGGAATTGCACTGAGATATGCCTGGAGTTGCGTGGCCTTGAAACCCACATGATGGACATGATGATCACAGAATCAACTCTATGTTTCGGCGGAAATGTGTCTGTTGTTCAGATTCAGTGAGTCGGTACCGTCCAAGTGGTTTTGATGATAATGAGATGAAGCAAGGCATCACATCACGTGTTGGCGTCCCTCTTACCGACCTTCCGAGTTCCTCAATTATGCCTTTCCTCGACGAGCCCAAGGACGGCCATCCCGTTGGTGCCACGACGTTTGCTGTTCGAGTTAGTCCATCGAAGGTAATCGGAAATGCGCGACTGAACAACGAACCGGCGCTGCATCTAGAAGAGGTCGCGTTCACTGCGTACTATCCCGCAGGCCCGGCAACGCGCCGTAAGGGCATGCCCTGGTTACTGAGGTGGGCATCCAACTCCAGATAAATTTACACCTGTGACTCGAGCGAACCTCAGGCCTTTGAACGAGTCGTTGCGTGGATTTGTACACTTTGGACGTTCGTGGTTTCGTATATCAGTGGCGGCCTTGGACTGAACTATGGTTCTCATTCAGGGGTGTCTTCCTGGCTAATATGGCCGCTCATCTACTGCTTCGGCGCGTTCATCAAGGCATATAAATCCATGTACTCTGATATCAGCATACTGATGCTACGTAGGTCCCCGTGTACACAGATGCTCCTCTGCTGCGCCCGCCAAAGCTTGAAACGAAACAAACACAATGGCCCCTGGTACTCTTTTCCCATGGATTGGGCGGAAGCAGAACTGCTTATAGGTACCTCTAACTTCTTGTTTTTTGATGGAGATTTGACCGGACTCAGTCAAATATGTACGCGCCTCGCTGCATCGGGCAAAGTGGTACTTGCTCTAGAGCACAGAGATGGTACAGGACACGTCTGCATACCACGGTCTCAAGATGAGACAGGTCGCTTGGTACCCCGTCCGAAGCGATATATCCGAGAGAACGATATCAGGTGAGCTCCATATCGCCTCTGCCCAATTTATCATTCCCTGACGCACTTTCAAAGCTGGGAACCAGACGAATCGCCAAAGGACCAAGCCCAACCTTTATCCCTACGCACAGAGCAGCTTGCATTCCGCACACAAGAAATCTACATCGCGTATGAAGCCTTCGCCAAACTCGCGAATAGCGGGAACAATGGTCATTCCCTGGAGAACATCGACGGCGCCCCCGTAGATTGGGAATCTTGGGGACCGGATTACGTGAACTGTACCTCAGATGTCACTCTGGCAGGCCATTCCTTCGGTGGATGTACCGTCGTAAGTGTGCATCGTGATTCATGACTGAATGGATGGATGACACGCTGCGCATAGCTTTCTATATTGAGCACCGAGCCACCCCCAGGCCACCCCCGGGTTCCTGTCACGAAGGCATTGGTTCTCGATCCGTGGTTAGAACCCTTGCCCACCCCCGGGCCGTCGCCCTACTCTTCCGCGACCCTCGCAAACGCCATCGAATCCGTTAACTCGGCCAGCGCGTCCGCGTCAACTTTACACCACGATAGCCACGATAGTGATAATAGAGATGTTGCACATGCCATGCCTTCTGTGCATCATCAAAAGGGCGAATTCGAACAAGCACGCTCCCACCCCAGAATACTGGTCATCAACTCGGAGCGGTTCACGCTTTGGAAGGACCATTTTTCGCGATTGCGGGACGTGATCAAAGAATGGGAGCCTCGTGGAGAAAGCATTTTGACCATAAGTTAGTTCACCTCTATACCTCCCCTCCCTGCCATCTGAGGTTGACGATTTAATTCTGCAACTAGTACGCGCCGAGCACCAGTCATTCTCTGACTTCCCAGTACTTCCGCTGTTGAGAAATAAGACATCGCGCATGATCATGCAGCTGATAGCTAAACTGTCGATTTCGTTCCTTGATGGAAGCATTGAGCGCACCGTGGAGACACTGAAAACCAGGGAGATGGAAGCGAAGGTTATTGGGACCAAGCCCGATGGGAGTCCGAAACGTCAGTTAATTGGTGACGCTGGGGATGTCATTATTCATTGATACGACTATCGCACATTCTCTTTGTGTAATACGGACGCTGATAGGATAACGCATACTTAGAGCCATAGAGCACGAATTTACGTCTTTGACTTGGTATTTTGCAAGTTTCGACGAGCGCTTAGCAGTTGTCGATCACTCTTTCCATCACTATTCACGCTATGAACATACGGCCTGCAAAAGTAAGGTTTAGTTTATTCTCAAGTCAGCAATCCTAATAGAATCTATGTAACAGGTCGATGACCTACTGGGCATGCAGGCATGCAACCTGCAAAACCTCCCAGAAAACTACACATTGAGATACTGTATGCGTTGACATCCAACTCTTCATGGACAGACAAGCTCACGACAACACCTATTCGCCTTCCCACAGATCTCTACCACGCCATGACCTGGCCATCTCTTTCATACGTGGCTGAGGACCATCAAGGTCGCATAGTGGGGTATATACTGGCGAAGATGTGAGTGACCATTCGCGGCATACTGTGATAATATACTGTGTGGGGACAGACGTGCTCACAAGGCTGTAGGGAAGAAGAGAGAGATGAAAAGCAACCCATCCACGGGCACGTCACATCAATATCGGTTCTTCGCTCGTATCGACGTCTTGGGCTAGCGAAGAAATTGATGGTGCAGTCGCGTGAGTCTTTGAAACCTACTCGCCATCATCACCTCCTGACAAGTCTTAATCCGCTCTTAGAGGAGGCGATGGCTAATATATACCGCGCCCAATTTGTATCACTACATGTACGGAAGTCCAATCGCGCAGCGCTGGGGTTGTACAAGGACACCCTTGGTTTCACTGTGAAGTCTATCGAAAAGGGATACTGTAAGCTCTGCCTGATATTGAGTCCGTCACCGAAGGCTGAAGTCGTCGTAGATGCCGACGGCGAAGACGCTTATGCTATGGAACTGTCGCTACAACAATAAATTCTCGCCCTTCCCTTCCTCTTCCTTCTCCTTAGGAGGGGCAGCCGTCGCCTCCCTCCCCGTGTCTCCGCTCGACAAGACCGCTCGTCTGACAATCTTTGCTACGTCTAAACCCAACTCATAGTACCCATCGTTCGTTGATCCGCTGAACATCCCCGTGTGAGCCTTCAGTTCATCCGCCGCCAGTGAATTCGACGCCGGAACGAAGTACGGGCGCGTCCGTGAGGACTGCGGAGGGAGGACGACGAACGTGCGTGGATGTAGATGAGCTGGAGGTGTAGCTGGGACCAATGTGTAGAATCTAATGATCAATCACACGGTGAGGGATCTTGTTGACGTTCTATCATGAGATGTGGACCTACGTGCGGAAGACTACCCCGTGTTGTTCTTGCGCATCGGCGAGGGCTTCGAGTCTGCGCTTAAGGCTTTCCTCATTCCACAAGGTCCCAACGTACTTCATATGGTCCGCGAACCATTTGTAGCCTTCTCCAAGAGTGTCGCGCTGGTAATACAGACCCCCCGCTGCAGCGCCGGCAGCAAGAGCGCTGCCTGCTGCAATGGCTGCAGGAGCCCACCGACCCCATGCGGAGGTAGCAGGCTGGGTTGCAGGGGGAGCAGTGATCGCTGCAACGGATTTCCGTTGAGCTTGATTTGTCGTACTAGTTGCCTTCCACCCTCCGAAAGCCGTTAACAACCCGGTCACCGCGGTATGTGCAGTCGTAGCATATTCGACAGCTTGAGCGGCGCTGTTCTTGAATACGGATGGGTGGAGCCCCAGGTACTACCGGGGTCTCATGAAGGGAATCTGCGGTCGAAGATAAGATTGTGATACTTACCGGCGTATCGAATGCGATGCAGGCAACTATGTTGGGCCACAAGGGTGCTTCTTGGTCAGGTCGCGTCTTGAGAAATTCGAGAAGGCTGTCTGCTGCAAGAAGGCCGCCCATGCTGCAGCCGGTAATCAGACCCACCAGCCCACACCTTATTAAATGAAAGCAACGGAAGATGCGCCGTACCTGTGACCGCATAGCACTATGCGCACCTTGCCGGCACCACCTCCAGATGCTACTTCTCTGTTTACGGTAATGGTTGTGAGCCAGTCTGCTAATCGGATGACTGCTTCATTCTATGAGTGATTCAAGCCTGAGTCGAAGGCGTTGGCGATCTGATAATGGAAGGAACTTGCCAAGTCGCCTTTGGTCTACCAATACCGTCGTTTGGTGGTAAATTACTATAAGCAGGGCGCATGCGCACCTCATATGCCGGAAACACGATGCATTCAACTTTCGAAGACGGTATAGATTGGGATAGTGTATGTTGAAGTCGTTCCGGGAATTTCGCAAAGGTATCGTCGTTTCCCTTGAAGCTGATCGTCGCAGGTCAGTAGACTATCACGACACCTCCTGTGCACTGACCCGTGTATGAATACGATGAGGATATTGATCTCCTGGGGCAGAGCTACTTCCAAGTTCGACATAGAATGAATAGTTTGTGTACAAGAGGGTAGCCCCTATGTTCTAGCTCTCATCTTCGTCCTCCTCATCGGCGAACCACCTCTCTTCTGCATCACGGTCCTCATCGACGTCCCACGTCTCGTTCCAATCCGCAGCGTCGTAGTTGGCTCCCTGCGTGCCTTGTGTGATGGTCGTGGCCGCAATCGTGGAAAGAACTTACCTCTAATAGGCCGTAGATAAACCGTTCCTTCAGCATGCGCAGGAAGGAGCTCTGTGCTTGGGCCGGCGTCTCGACATCAGGAGGTAAATCATCTTCAGAATCGTCGTCGTCTTCCTCAGGAATGAAGTGATCCTCCCTCTGTGTCGCACGGCGTATATCCCTCATGTGCTCGGCTTGGCGCTCCTCTTCGTACCCAGCTAGCAGATCCCCCAGCTTGCCTACGTGCTGCGTCGACCCGGACATGAACTCCCTCTTCGCCCATGCCTTTTCCTCCTCGGCGGATTGTTTGAACAGAACGCGATGGTCCTGCCCTTCCCACAGCGCAGCCCATGTATTCCTAGCAGACTCGAATTTGAATTCACCTGGGCTGGATTCAATGTATTTTAATCGTCTGTTCCGAATGAGCGGTATTGTCGTTCGTTGCTTCGGAGTGGTGCATTGGGAGAAGTAACTGAAGAGATGCGGGGGAATTTCCTTGATATGTTTTGTCAGAAATTCAAGCGGTTCATCCTGCGGCGAAGGACGGTAATCAGGTGGAAGTCCGAGGTATATCAACGTTGATGAAGAGGCCATGACGAACTCACTGATGGCGACCCTGAATTGGGTTGTCTGCCGTAAACAACCCACAACAACCACTTATGTTCCACTCGCAAGCTCTGTTCAATGCCACCATCCAGAATCCTCAATTCGACCCGCGCTGTACCAGACAGACAGTGAAACACCCTTGTCATTGCTTGGACGCCCCTCTAAATACGCAAATACTCTCGACATCGTTGCGAGCATATACTGTACTTGAACCGCCATTACTCAGGCTCGTAAATGCACACATGGCTTCGGTAGCAGCACGGTCCTCTCCTCCTACAAAACATCGCATTTACGAATGTCGGTGGTCTTGGTGCAGAGAAGTATTCTACAGCAATCAAACGCGTATCCAGCACATCATCGATGCGCATATCACTGGCATGCTGCCCGACCGCAAAGGAGATATCCGGCTACTGCGGTTGGCCCAGGATGGAGTTGGCGAGAGTATGCGCTTGTATGACTTGGAAGAGACGCAGAGGACGCAGTCGCAAGCGAGTGACCTGCACCCGATTGAAGGTACGCTGGACTATGTTACTCCTGTCAGATTATGAGGACTGAAGACGGCTTCTGGAATAAGCAAGGACTCCAGTCTTGTCAACTACGGCTTTGCTTCCATATACCCCGGAAGCCGGTAGCTCATCGTATACTCAAGACTCTCCTCCCATACATCAAGAGCCATCAGAATTACCAGCAACACAATCCAATATCCACGTAACTCCTAAATTTCGTCGCGGAGGATTTAGTCGAACACCTATATTTGAAACTCTATCGTCGCCGTCGCAAGATATGCCTATCCTCTCCATTCCCGACTCTCCAACCTTTGATGCCCTCGTCTCAGCTGCAACTCGGCAGCAAACTAAACGCCATCCCTGGCAACCTTCAGACAGCTCGTTCGCGTTCAACGATCATTCCCGTCGCGATTCCAGTTCTACTTCATCGTCCGGTTCGATCAGCTTTATCGAAAAGGAACTTACTCAGAGTCCCCCCAGCGAGACCGAAGCGATCGAGGATGCGTTTTTGAATGGTCCTGCTATGGTCCAACGTGCCAATGGCAAGCGTGAATCCACCCCCCTTGCTATACAACGGCAGCTCCACCCCGCACAGAATCAACCCATAATAGCGCCAATTGCCGTACCTTCCACGAAGCCCTCGCCTCAAGCTGATTTGTCACCAACGTCTTCATCGCAAGGACGAAGGACGGTGATACGTCAGCCGTGGTATGGGACACTCCCGGGTCATCGGAGGAAATCACAAACTGGCATTCGAAAGCGGCCTTCCGCCATTGATACTAGCTCGTCGTTGGGTTCCAGTCAGGTCGCTGGTGCTGATACGTCGAAACAGCATACACCACGGTCGGACGCGTTTATACGCGCAGCTACAGAGTTCTCGCAAATGCAAAAGGGCAAACACGACCCCACGTCACCATTAAGACGCGACTTTCCATCTCCCGGCAGCATTGCTGCCGACCCTTACAGCCAGTACACCGAAGGACCCCTCTCGCCGTCCTTCGAAGAATCAGATCCGCTAGCTTTCCTGCAAACACAAGGACCGTATCACAGTCAAAGTCAGAGCCAGTCTTGAGTCCAATTGCCGAGGCGTCGAGCCGTTCCTGTATCATTATTTACTTATTCTAGTTTATGCTTCGTGTTAAGATCGTGCTTGGGTGAGTAGTCCCGGGCCTGTTGGGATAGCAAAGCTGATTTTGTGAAGTTGCTCTTCATTTCCATCAGATATCAGATCATTTTGAGTGATCAGGCCGCCGAGAAAGTAGTCCTCGTCACAATATGAGCTTATGACCGAACGTGGGTTGAAACCCTGCTTTGCATTGAGCGTTTAACGGACATGCAGTCCATTACGCAAAGGACCTCCTCATGGCCTGTAACTATTAAACACACCGCGTTGGCGAGGCTGCCTCAAGGTTACATAAATGTGCATAGATGCTTGTGCCAATGCTAGTGAATTCCTTCGCCGTTCCCCATGTTTGAGAATGTCAAGCAGACGTCGTTATTGCTTTTCTTTTTCGCCGTTGCTTTCGTCTACTTGTCCCATACCCTGAGGTCACCTACAGTGAACCTTGACTTCGTCTCTATCAGCCATTCTCGCGGGGACATCAACCGTGCCCTCGAGTTCTGTGATGCGCTGAATGCACCCTTGGACACCGTCAAGGATTTCTCGGACAGAAAGCGATCCGACAGGTATGAACACGGCACGAACGCGACGCTGATCAGAAACGCCGTGATTTGGACCGGGAGAGACAACGGAACGGAGATTCTGCGTGGAAGTATACTTCTCGACAATGGAATCGTTTGGCGCCTCGGAAGCGCGTATGAACACCTTATACGGGATGACGACGACGTGACCATCATTGATGCAAATGGTGGGTGGGTAACGCCTGGTCTGGGTGAGTCGTTCCATTTCGCTCACGCGTCTGTGCCATATTGAAGACGTTGCAATGCAGTTGATATTCATTCCCATGCCGGGATCATGAGTTCTCCGTTCACGTCAGGTATTGTAATTACCTCTTGTTTCTCTGCATCGCATCTTACAATCTGGTAGGAACGAACAATGCCGCGTCCCCCAATGGTCCTATCGTACCATGGTTGCGATCGGTAGACGGGTTCGATACCCATGATGAATCCTTCCGCCTGGCCGTGGCTGGGGGAGTGACGACCATCCAGGTTACGCCTGCAAATAACAACGCGATGGGTAAGTCGCAGCTTATGGGATAATTGCACACAACCTACTGTCAATATAGGCGGCGAGGCGTTTATGGCTAAGCTTCGGGGCACATTAGACAAGACCCCCACGTCTATGCTGATCGAACCGCCATGCGCGCTCAACGGGACCAAACCTTGTAAAGACTTCCGTTGGAGACATTTGAAGTATGCATATGCGTTTACTAATGGTTTTGGTAGTTTAACTGTGTTTGCATGTAGGTTGGCTTGTGGCGAAGATCTAGGATCCCATGGCCACCGCATGGATATGATATGGGCTCTGCGCGCGGCCCTCCACAAAGCGCGACAGCTCAAGACGGCTCAAGAAGCATTCTGCTCAAAGGTCGAGGAAGGTGTTTGGGGAGGCGAGGATTTCCCCGATGATTTACAATGGCAAGTTCTCGTGGATGCCTTACGTGGTGGCGTCAAGGTCTGTCGGTTTCGCTTTCATTGCATCCTCTTTGCTGATCGATTCCTGTTGTTACTAGACGACGGTTCATTGCCACGAAGTAGTGGACTTGGATGCTATCGTTCGCGTCAGTAGTGACGACCGTGCCGTATGCCTTAATCTTACTTACGTCCATGCAGTTATCGAACGAGTTCGGATTCCCTATCCACTCCTTCCAGGGCGCCTCGGAGGCGTATCTTATACCCAGCACGTTGAACAATACGTAAGCTCTGAGGCATACCTGGGTCAGCTATCGCATTACCTCACCATTTCTAGATGGCAAAGTGAGACTGTAATCGCCCTCTCGGCGACACGCCATCGGTGAGTTCCTCGACATTTAGAGCAGAGCTACCGTGATAATGATCGCGCCATAGATCGAAGAGGGAAACTTATCGAGGATCAGAATATGCGCCTCGCATTCTTGCGAATGGTGGTATTCCTGTCGCCTTCAAGGTTTGTCCCTCTGCTACGCTGTCATGCCTATCGCAAACAATGTGCCCTGTAGTCAGATCATCCATACTCGAACTCGAGGTACCTTCTCCAAGAGGCACAGATGGCTCACTATTATGGACTACCAGAAAACCTCGCACTCCTCGCCGTCACTTCCATTCCGGCCAACGCTGTGGGCCTAACCCATCGTCTAGGAACACTCTTCGAAGGCGCAGATGCTGATGTAGTTCTCTGGGATTCTCATCCCCTCCGCTTAGGGGCTACCCCTCTGAACGTCTGGATCGACGGGATAGCACAGTTCGACGAGAAAGTCGCAGGTGGAGAACCCAAAGGATCAGACAAGAACGTCCTTCCGGATCCCCCTAACTGGGACAAGGAAACTCGAGAAGCACTGAGGTGGGACGGATTACCGCCGTTGTTCCCAAGCAAAATCAGCACCAAGGTGTCGTTCGGGCGTGTCAAGGAAGTGTGGACCAGGAGCAGAAGGGGCGAGATAGAAGTCCTATTCCCACCGTCCTATCCTGTTGAGGAACGGCTGGCGAACGTTGTTGTCGAAAGCGGGAAGATAAAGTGCATAGGCACCGCACTAGCGTGCTTGGGCTCGCGAGAAGCATCGGCCGATATCGATCTGCACGGCGGTTCCATTTCCCCCAGCTTCATGAGCTATGGATCGGCGCTTGGGCTGGAGGAAATTGCTTCGGAGCCGTCGACTGGGAATGGTCTACTGTACGATGCCTTCGTCCACGACATACCTACCATTTTGGGAGATGCCGGTGGTGTTGTTCGGGCGATGGATGCGTTGGTTTTCAGCACTCGAAATGCATTGTAAGCCATCCATTATTGTTCCATGGCGGTGTAATAACTTTCACATCCTATAGGGTTGCTTACCGTTCGGGTGTCACTCTTGCAACGTCGTCGCCGAGGAAGAATGTCTTCGCTGGACGAACTCCTGTTATCGCGGGGGTTTCTGCTTCGTTCCGAACTGGCTTTCCGCATGCCATGGAGCAAGGCGCCATTGTACAGACTGCCACAGCCCTTCACATATCCATTGGAAGAGCCTCGCTATTTTCCAGCACGGATAGTGTAGCGGTTAGCGAACAGATGGCTGGGATCAGGCGCCTTCTGATGGGCTGGGAAGACGAGAAAACGGAGACGGGCTTGTGGTTCAAACGTGCTTCGGAGGCGAGTTCCTCCTCACCCGACAAGTATAACCTCCGGGGTGCTAACGAGGATCACAATTAGGGTGTCATTCCTTTGGTGATAGAAGTGCACAGTGCTGATATCATGGCGGCATTATTAATTATGAAGGCTGATATAGAAGACAGGAAGGGATCGTACATGAGGATGGTCTTCTCTGGGGCGACCGAAGGACATCTTCTGGCGAAAGAAATCAGTAAGTGGTACGTTTATTGGGGAGATGAACAGAGGTTTATTGGCGATCAGGTCGCGCAGGCGTCGGCGTCATCTTGACCCCGTCAAGACCGTTCCCAGCTGCTTGGGAGGACCGAAGGATGTAGGAACAACTTGCGTTCTAGCGAGATTCGCTGACAATCATGTACCTGTGCAGATTGCCTGGCCCACCCATATCGAATGATACCGCCGTTCTTAAGCTCGTGGAAGCGGGTGTTAATGTAGGAATCGGTGTGGCAGATGCCTGGGCCGCACGCAATACACGATTTGACGTTGCATTGGTGGGCTGCTGAGTTAGCTTTCAAATGTACTAATTTTCAAGATCATACTGATTACAGGTAGCTGCGGAGTCTCGGGGACGCATCACCCTTCGTCAAGCGCATGCTCTCGCATCCACTAATTTGGAGAAATTGTTAGGAGTGTGGCCTGCTGACGAGGAACATGGGGATTTGGTTGTCTACGATGGGGGAAGCGCGACAGATCTTTCGAGCAAGGTGGTTGCTGTGATTTCGCAACAACGGCACCACGTAGAACTTCTTTTCTGATAGTTCATCTATATGTACATGATCTTGCTGGACAATCAATACTATTTTCATGCGCCAAATGGATCTATGCAACTCACCGAACGGAATCATACTACTCCGAGTAGCGCTGCCCCGCCCTTCATCCCTCTGCCCCTCGCTGCCGCTAAACCAATACCCAGACAGCTCAGCAAGAACCCGGCGAACCTGTGCTTCGTCAGTGACACGCCCCTTTGCTCCTTTGTGAATGTACTCACCTGAAGAAGGCTACACGAGAAATGGAGCGCTCTTCATGTGGAGTGCGTGAGGATGTGAATATGGAACGCAGAACAGCTGGGGTAACCGGAATGTGGCTAGAGTCGTCTGCTGGCGGCGGCTGGAGAGGTGTGGGAGGCGTGGCGCGTGTCACAGTCCTTGAAGACGAGTTCGATATGGTGGAAGACATCTGTACCTGAGTGACAGCCATCACCATCAGCTCATGTGTACGGTAACAACCTGCTTCGTTTCACACCAACCCACATTCCCCAGACTTCCTCAATTGTGTGTCTTCTGTCTATTTCCACCACGAACAACGGCTAAAACAAAACATATAGCAGGAGAGATGCACGATGACCAGGCACTGTCCCAACGAGAAGACCTGGCCAGGATAGTCGACCATCTCCCACACCCAGACGACTACGCTCATATACGGCATCTCGACTTGCGACCGTCTTCTTCGCGTGCGGCCGTCGAAGACGACATACTAGCTCAAATTCTCAGCTCATGCCCCCATCTCGAGACAGCGGTTCTGTCGGGGGCACCCGAATTATCAGACAGATCGCTCATTCTTCTCGCGGAGACGTCTTCCAACCTACAGGGGCTCGGGCTCTCGGATTGTCGAAATATCACCGATGTTGGCATCCTCGAACTTACTACAAAATCGCTTCCATTGCAGTGGGTACATCTGAATGGAGTGCTCTGCCTCACGGATCCATCTATTTCCGCTATAGCAAAGACTTGCGCGAAGCTGTCAGAACTCGACTTACGTGACCTTCCACTTTTGACGCCTCTTTCAATCCGGGATGTTTGGACGTATTCACGGAAGCTACGGTCCTTACGCCTAGCGCGCTGCGCGCTCCTCACGGACAAGGCTTTCCCGTCACACCTCGGCGCGTCTGAAGACTCGTTGGGTTTAACGGAGGAAGAAAAACCCCTTCCTCCAAGGCCCACCACATGGATCGACAAACTACCGCCTTTGATGCTTGCACATTCGGCCGACAATCTTCGCGTTCTGGACATCTCGTACTGCGACAAGATTACGGATGATGCCATCGAAGGTATCGTCATTCACGCACCGAGAATACAAAATTTGGCGCTGGCTGGTTGTACCCAGTTGACCAACAAAGCCATCGACCACATATGTCTGTTGATGGACAATCTTGATTCGCTCTCTTTGGCACACGTGTCAAACGTAACGGACGGTGCGATTGTAAAGTTGGTGCGATCCTGTCCCAACCTTCGAAGTGTGGATTTAGCATGTATGTCGTCCGAAGTTGTTTACGTCTTCTCTGGAACTGAACTTCTCTCGTCGCGTGTACAGTTTGCCGAAATCTTACCGATATGTCGATATTTGAGCTCGCCAGCTTGAGTAGCTTGCGACGGTTGAACCTCATCCGGGTGCATAAGCTCACAGATATTGCCGTCCATACGCTGGCCGAACACGCTATATTTCTCGAAAGTTTACGAATCTCGTATTGCGATCGTCTATCGTTGGAAGCAGTCCACTTATTGCTAAAACGGCTTCGCCGTCTACAGCATCTGGCAGTGACCGGGGTGCCAGCATTAAAAAGGAAGGGAACAATTCGCTTCTCTGACCCTCCACCATCCGTAAGTTTGATAAGCGTGCGTTTTTACCTCTCGGTCACTCTTATCAATTGCCGGTTTCTATAGAGCTACAATGCTGATCAGCAAGCTGTCTATCGCGTCTTCTCTGCGGAGAACATTGTTCGACTCTGCAAGTTTCTGGATAAAGAAGAACGACGACGAAGGGAATCCGAGGTCAAGAATATTCCATTTACTGAGCGCTCCGACGATGAAATGGCGTTGTACTGATTGAGGTATTGGTCTGATTTGGGTACGTCAAGTAGACTATTTTAACAGTTCTGTAATAGTGTCGGCATTGCATGACATGTAATGACATGTGTAGAGGTGCGCTCCTTGCCTGCGATTATGAATGTGCATTCATATATGTCGCCCCAGGTCCGAACTTCGAGGTTCGACCGGTCTCGCGCGTCAGAAGCCTGATGTATCGGTGCTCGATATGGTATATCCATCAACGTTCAACTTCGAACCCCTTGGAGCACGACGAGCGTAAGCCAATGCTTGCTTGGTCGCATGGCTGCAGCGCGATAGATACGGACTCGAGCGTGTCTAAGGCGGCCGCTGTCCAGGCTGGCTGCAGGAAATTGAGGACATCAATTGCGTGCCTAGGTGCGTTCAAGGTCTCATGACCATTTGTCTTCAACGTTCTTCTCACTTGCGGGAAAAGGACATTTAGATGTATCTTTGTTTGTTATCTGTCGCGGTTCTGGCTCATCTATTCGATGGGAAGCCTCTGCCTCGATAAGGGTCGGAGTGCCGAAGCCGATCGGAGACCGATCTCTGTTCAGACTCCGCCAAATATTATTGGAATTTATTGGAGGTTCGGCACGTTCTTCAACGTCGGTTTGAAACCGGCGAGCCAGTGCAGCTGGGCTTATAGTCTCATATACACCGTATATCCAAGTCGCTCTTTCATCCCTCCTCTCTCTCCGACCACCACCATCCCCATCCCCGTCCACGCGCGTCCCCGACGTCGACCCTATCTCCTCCCTTCCATTCGTCGCGCGTTCCATTCTCCACGACTGCTTCTCTGTTGCTCCCGTCGCCGTGTCGACCATCGACCTCGCATTTCAACCTTCCGGCCTGGCTTTGCTTTGCTCGATCTCGCCTATGCCCATTAGCTGCTGCCTCCCAGCGCAAACAACATTGATACCGGAGAACGCGTTATCAGTCCGCGCTGCGAAGAGGCACGATCCCATTCCCGATGACTCACGAACGAGCACAGTCAAGATGAATGCCGGCCAACCTTCAATCGCAAAACGCAGAGCGCGACCAACATTGAGCGCGATATATACACTATCGCCTATAGCTGCTTCCCCCATTTGTACGCCAGGGCAGTCGGGATCCCCCGAGCCCGCTCAAGGTCCCTTGAAGGTCATTGAAGGCAAAAAATGCGCCATAAAATCCTCGTCATCAACACAAGATGCTCCCGAACCCAAGCATCATCCTCCCACGTGGATATCAACTCCACCTACGCCGCCGCCTGAACTAGTCAGACGCTCAGTAACGTGCAGAACACGCCGTTCCCCCGGACTCGTAATAACCACCTCGAATTCCCTTCCTGCCGGAAGTTCTTCACATGCACCTGCCCGTATGCCCAAGCGACGCGCTTCTATCGCCGCTATGTATACCTGGAGACTACACTCTTCTCCCGACACGCTTTCTGTTGGTCGCTCAAGCCACGAGGCGAATGTCATGGTTTCGAGTCCATTGCGTTCGGGGTCACTTGCGCTATGCGAAGCCGCCGAGGATACCGCCCAGCCAGTCGACTCCAAGCCGAGGTTCCATATTCTTGGTGATACAGGGACTGATACGGAGGAGAATGGCCCGGCTCTCTGCGAGAGTCCCGTAGAACCTATTGCGCCTTCGCCACCACGCTCTAGCTGGGACCAAGGTCGAACAACAGACAACGTGCGACGACTATATGCACTTCTAGAGCTTTTGACCACGGAGATAGGCTACCTAATTGACCTGCGCGTTCTGGTTTCGGTATGCTTGTCTCCAACTTGATTCTCATTCAATTGTTAAACCCCATCAAGGTGTACCTTCGTCAGCTCCCGCTGTTATCTGCTCGACCTCTGAGCAGATCGCATTCCTCCTTCTCGGCTATATCTCGCGTGGGTTCGTTTACGACTATAAGTCCTCTTTCCGTCCACCCCCACTCGGCCTCGCCAGAGGCTACTCCAGGTAGCAACGGAAAGGAGAACCCTCCTCCGCGGCCTTTGCTTTCAGCGAGCTCGATTGAACTTTTGATGAGGAATATTGAGGAAATCCTCGATTTACACGAGCATTTCGTGCAGGAACTACGACAGGCCGTCCTTCCCTGTGGCTTGGCTAGTGCATTAGACCACCATGCTGACTCCGAACGTCGTTTCCCTGACTTCTACGAACATATGGCGCCGGAGGTTGAGGTTGCCATTAATGCTGTGTGTACGAAATTTGCAACAGAGGCAAGCGTAATTTTTTTGATTGATTCCGTCATGTCGGACTTACCAACACCTTCTAGTCCTCCCGATTTAACGCGTATCAATCATTCTGTGCAAGTCATCCGGAAGCGCTAGATCTGATTCGCAGGGTTCAGCAGCAACATCCCCTCGAATGGCACGACTTCGAGCAAAAGTGCTCCGCTATGGCGTCAAGTTTCATTGATAGTGGGGTGGAGGGTACGGAAACGCCGTCTTCATTTCCCGAAGGGCCCATTCCACGGAAGCGAACTTCCTCGTTGTCCTCCCTCGACGGCGCCGTTCGTTCCCTGCGAAACAAAACTGGGCTGAAGCCGAAAGATTCCTATCCCTTTCCGGTTGAACCACTCAAGGAGCAGCGATCACCCCACCGGCTGGCGTTTATGGATTACATGATCAAACCAGTCCAGCGAATATGCAAATACCCTTTGTTGCTCGATCAGTTGCAGACAGGCAAGCACGTTGCTGCACCGGCGTCACGAAAATCCGGCGTGCAGGTCGTCGTGGAGAGCGCCACCCAGGCAATGCGACATGTGGCCAGTTCTGTCGACGAGGCACGCCATCGCCAGGATGTAATAGTCCAGTCTACGCTAATGGTGTCTCGAATCTGCCTCTCGCTTTCTCATGTTTCCCAGTCTACACCCCCTCAGACCCTGACGCCACCATTTTTGAACTCTCTCGGGACTTGCCTTCTTGCGGGGCCACTGGACGTCATTCACCATCAGTCTGGAAAGTCGTTGGGCAGCCGCGGGAAGCTCAGAACGAAGTATCTCGGCGCTATGTTGTATCTCGGCGGCTACTTCCTACTTGTCAAGGTCGGCAAGAACAAAATTTATGATCCGAAGCATTGGATGTCTCTGGCTGAATTTGACATCATCGACGTGCGCGAGGATGAAGGTATGTCATATTTCACTGCCACTTATCTGGTGCGCTGATGTACCGCATGGGACTGGTCACAGCTTTGCTCCCTTTTTCATTCCGATTCATTGCTAAAGGCCACCAATTTGAGCTGGCCGCGTCGTGCTACAGAGAGAAAGAAGTCTGGTTGAATGCCATCAAGGAGTCGCTGAGCGAATTTCCCAAATGGCTTGACGAACCAACAGCCAGCATTCATTGTGACGGCAAGGGTGACCTCGTTCCCTCTGATCTTGATGGTGGGCCGTTCGAAAGCATAAACGCTTTGCCCACCATTCAATCCATTCCTGAACTTGTGAACGACGACTCCAACAACTCAACCGAATCTGCACCCGCCGGTCCCATTGGCGACAGCAGTCCTTCTAGCCCTGCCGTCAAACGCGACGCGACGCCGTCATCTGCCCCTCCTAGCCGACGCTCTTCGTCAACGTCTGTGCGAAGCATCTTTTCGCCATTAGCCTCAGACTTCAGTCAGATCGTCATCTCGCGTGCCTCGGCAACAGCCCGTGCGGTCGTCGAACAGGGCATGCATGATGTTATCTCTGAAGCTTGTGTGTCAGCCCGATCTCGCGCGAGCACTTCCGAGGAAGATCTCCTCCATACGCCCACGATAGCTCGACGAAAGTCCAGGTCGTCGCTGGCCATGTCATCGCTAGGGCTTGGGAAGAATCGGACCATGAATGACGGTGTTCATATATTCAGGCGCCGTAGCTTGTTGGAATGCTCTGATACTTTGGGAAGAAAGCCTCTGTCGAGAACGAAGTCATTGGCGCTCAGGAGACAGGCAAAGAAGCTGCCCTTGATCTCGACTTCGGACCCCACAACACAAAGTTCTGCACCCTCTTCGTCGATGCCAAGTCCTATCCTCATCAAGAACCAGCCATCGTCAAGCTCGCAATCGGCTGCCAGCAGCCCTTCAGAACCTCAAACACCGCCGGTTATCACCAGAGATGAACCAGACAAATCCTCCAAGTCACATCGCTATCTACCTGGCACCATGCGCGAATTCTTCCAGCCTCGTTCCACGTCCCCAGTGCCTGCACCACTCTCCGATGTCGAGCCTGATGATGAAGATAATGCAATGAAGACGATCACACCCGGACTCTTCAAACGCTGGGCTCAAGGCTCTCTCAATCACCGCCGAGCACAAAGCGCCCCGGAAGAAGACAACACCGCCCATAGCAAAGTTGCCCAACTATTCGATTGCGATATCCGCGACTTCGAACCTTCATTACCATCAAAAACCCTTCTTCAACCCACTGTTGAGGAGCCCCCTGTCACGACCAATAAACGCATGTCGTTCTTCCAACGCATCAAGTCCATCGAAGTAGGATATTAGTGCCTATTAGTGCCTCCATAATAATTGTATACTATACCTATTCTTGCCCATCACATACGTAACTTACATTGACGAACACAGTCCTTTGCAGTTGTACTACCACCTTGCATCATTTTATTTCATACACCCGCATCAACACATTCTTATTGTAAATTGCCTCCATTCGTTCTCATTCTCATTCATATACCCTCCTATGGTTGTATGTCCAATGAATATCCATGGCTCGATCCAGCCAAAGCTAAATCTTGAGTGCAAACGTTGAGCAAAGAGCAAGGTAGCTGCTCCGATTTTGCCAGCAATCTCGATTGTATAGTATGCATGCCCAGCAGATACAATTAGGTACAAAATACAGGTATGCTTGCAGTTGCGCTTATACGGATCGAATACATTGAATTGGAGATGATAGTATATTGTATAGCATACATAGTCCTCACCAAGATGACAAGATACCGAACGGAAGCACCAAACCACCACCAGGGTTATCGGAGCAAGCCATTGGCACGAAGCAGCGCACCCCATCTATAATACAGAATGGGCATGAGGTTTGGCTATCTTTTACTAACAGACTCACTCTTCATGTTGGGACTGGACTTCAGCGAGCTTTCGCTTGAGTTTCCTAGAATACAGGGTCAGACATGGTAGGTCAACTAAGGCGGAGAGAACGCACGAATTTTCTTTAGATAGCGTATTCCTTGTCTCCTTGGTTTGTCGCAAGTCGTTGACCATCGCTGTCCAAGCCTCGTCGTCAGGTAGATTCACATCGTTGTACATGCCATCGAGTTCCTCGTTGAATGCCTACGTGTAGCTATGTCAGTACTAGCCATGTTGCATAAATAAAGTAGTCTACTCACCTCGTACATGATTTCCTTTTCGGCGATGGTTTCATCGAGCAAACTCTTCACCAGTTCACATTGTCGTCTGCTATTTTGTAGCTCAAACTTCGTCTGTTGAAGCTGATGAGCCGGACGATTAGTGGTACATTTCGCTTTTATTGAAATAAATCAATACCTCTTTGGATTGATCATTAATGTGTCTTAGCTTGGAGTAAAGATCGTGATAGTCGGTGGAAGTCCGTTCCATCTTGGTAGCAAGGTCGTCGACCAAGTTCCCAAGCGACGCCGCAGTCTTTGAGAACCCGTTATCACCAGGAGCTGGACTCATAGCACGCGCAAGTGAGGCGGACGGGAACGGCCGTGTTGGCGTTGCAGATTCTCCTTGTCTACGTCCAATTGCCTTACGCATCTCTTCCATACGCTCTTGAGCAGCCTTTGTCTATTCCACCATTAGCTTTTGTTACGACCATCAAGTATCAATGACGAACCATAGCAGGTGTCTGCCGCAGACCTCTAAAGACCTTGTCTGGCGAGGAGGGTCTTGAAATGTCATCCCCCGAAGGTGGGACAGATTTCAGTTCCTCTACCTCTAACCGAATCCTCTTGACAGCCCGGTTACAAGAATCAACCTAACAATTCAACCGTTAGCGTGTAGATAAACGGGCAAATCAGGAGGAGCGTACATCTTCCTTCGTCGTTTCTGCCAATCGCATGATATCATCTTGGTCTTCACGTTTGAGAGATCCATTCCTAGTGGGAGTGGCATGGTTGTGGTTGTGTTGTCGTACCTGCGGCGAGACCTTCCTGGCCGACACAGGTTTGGGTCGAGAAAGTGGCGAGTTGCGGGACGAAGTGCGCCACGCTGGTGACGGGGAAGGGAGCATCGACGCCGACGAGATAGAAGTCGTCTTTTTCTTGACTGACAACGGCGCGACGCTAGGTGTCGTCGGTGGGGGAGGGGACGCCTCACGCTGTTCGCGAACCTGCGCTCCACTAGCTTTAGGTGTCGCGTCCGTGTTGCCCATCGGGAACAGCGGTTGGCGTTTACTCCGCGGTATCGACGACTTGGAGTTGGTCCGAGAGGCTGGGGTGGGTTCGAAGTGTCGGTTGTCGTGTTGATAGTCCTCGTCCATGAGTTCGTCATCGGCTTCCGGCGCCAATGGCTCGAAACGAGGGCTTGGCGGTAGGGGCGAAGGGGAGCGAGGACCGAGAGGGCGGCCGGATGGTTGTGGGGACCTGGAGCGGCGGGGAGGGGAGTCGGGCTGCGAAAGGAAGCCAGGAGTTGTTGGGCGTATCGTGGGTGCCGATGATTGGGTGGTGTGCGAGTCCTTAGAAAACCCTGAGGAGCGAGAAGCAGGTCGAATAGCTGGTGGTGGATCCTCTGTAATTGTTGTTATTGTCAGTATTAGCAAGCTCATTCAATAGAGGGACATACCTTCGTATATTGTCTCTTCCACTGCCCTATCCGCCAATGAAGGAAGGGGTTTCACTGCATGCTGATTGCGGGAATTTTGACGGGCAAGCGCAAGGCGCATCGTCAAATCCCACTCCGAAGAATCCTTGTCTGCCATCGTATTCAACACCATAGAATCCTCAGGCTCGTAGTCACTGTACACATCGCCGTTCAATCGTTCGGCAGACGATTCACGAGACAACCGTTCTGAAGAGGACCCCCGCGTCACTGAGCGCGTAGGGGACGTGTTCCTGCTATCGCTCTCAAACAGCGTCGTCCCTCCAGGGGACTTCGCCCTCTTGAACAACTTCCGGGACTTCGTAGTCGTCGTCGAGCTGGCGAAGAACGACGAGTCGTCATCCCCTGAGGATACCGTTGTCGCGGCAGTAGTCGTCGAATTCGACCGGTGGCTGAACTTCATCGACCCATCGCCCGTCGACGTCGACTGCGTGAATACCGACGACCTGCTCGTGCTCGACTTCGTTCGTCTATGTCCACTAATCGACCCTCCGAAGAAATCACCCATCGCGCTCCCAGGCCGGCTGTTAAATAGATTCCGCGAGATCGCGTCAAGCCCGAAAATAGCTGCCCGGGAGCGGATGCTCGCGGTTGGGGTCGACGGCGCGGAAATGTTTCCCGTACGGAATTTAAACAATCCGAATTGATTAACTAGGCAAGGTATAAGTTATCCACGTTATTCAGATACATAGACGACCTGCAAGTAGGGACTCACTAGTCTGGGGGATCCGCGCTGCTACCCGACAACTCTGTATAATATCCTCCTCGACCTCGACATTCGGGTCACTGGATGTAACACTATATCTCGCGAGGTCACCTGCAATCGGCTGAAGCCTTATCACGACATAAGGCGGGGCAGCCATACCAAACGGCAAAGGATCGGCCGAGCCCAACGCGTCGATATGAACGACGACTTTCGTCTTCTTGTCTTCTTGAAGGAACGCTGTCCGAGTGTAGACATTGTAATACGTGCGGGCTACCGTGGTTCGTCCGGAGTGTGACTCGACCTCATGTTCATCCGCCCGGAGGACGACAGATTGTCCCGCCCTAGCACGATACCGCGCTTGTGTGCTCCAAAGATTCTCGAGGAAGCGGCGTTTATCCTCTTCCGTCTGAGTAGGGTCCATATTGACGGGCATCGGCGGGCGCACAACCGCAAATGAACGGAACGGCCTCCCCGACCATCTTTCCGACTGGTCTTGAGGGGGGTTCTCCAAGTAAAAATGCATGTCTGTACATCACATGAGGTGGCAAAACTCAACACAAAACCGATTGACGCACCAGCTCCGCCAACGTCCGTGGCCACAACTTCCGTTATATCCATGATTCCTTTACACACCATTCCGCTCTTCTTCTTTACTGTGGGCAACCCTCCCCCTCTTGTAACTTTATCCAATCCTTCCAAGCCCGACAATGCAGCACCACTCTTCTCCCCGTTTCCTGGTCTCTTCACAATCATGAGTTTATCATCGAACAGGAACAGGGTACAGTGGAGGGCGCTCGCCGCCATGTTAAGGTTCGACGAAGACGCGTTCGGCGCGTCCGTTATGATGTCTTGAACGTCAATGCAGTCAATGAACCGCCGCGAATGAGAGAATAGGCCTGGAGGGAAGCCATCGACTGAGGCGCTGAGGCAGTACATGATGGCGGCGCGTTTCGTCTGTTCGTCCGCCTCTGCTTGTGCGATCTTACTCGCGATTTCGTCAGCTTCGATGAGCTTTGCTCGTTGAGGGTCATCTTCTGCCATGTGCTTGATCATGGTGCGGAATAATAGGGTGTATCGTGGTATACGTTGAACCGGTTCCATGAGCAGTTCCCGTAGACCAACGCGATTGCGACTGTCCGCCGAGGAGTATTTGATGCGCTAAACGGGGTCAATTTGAAGGTCAAAGCGGTAGAAAGGGTAGAGAACATACGTCAATAAACGCCCCAAATCCTGAAGACCTCTTCGCGATTTCACGCTCGAATATACTCTGCGCCTCTTCTCGCTTCGTGTAATATTGCTTGTAATGCTCGAAGCCCTTCAACTCTTTGAAGTGCTTCAGACAGATGTCGCCGATGCCACCGACGGCACCATCGCCGTTCGAGGCCATCATGGCGTCTAGGTCGGCCAGGAAAGCCTCATTGACAGGGACGAGATTGTCTATGTTGCCGAAGAGGGTCTTGGCTTCGTACGACGGTATAATAGCGGTTTCTTTACTGCGCGAGAACTTCCTGAGAGGATCGGCGTAATCGTTCTTGAGCGTCCGTATACGTTGCACGTAGGACCGCTCGGTAGAAACGAGTTCATTGATCACGGATGTGAGAGCAGATGTGTTGGTAAGAGCACGTTTGCGCTGGAGGGGACCGTCCTGCACAACATCACTGTAAGCCACAGTGCAATAGTCAAGAACATGGAGCACCAACAGCATTGTTGAGGGCTGGATTGGAAGACGACGAGAGTATACTTGTTTCTGAACATGAATCGAGGGGCTCTCCAAGGGATAGGACTAACTCTTGAATATCTGCAGAACGTCAGTGTCTAGTGCCTTTACTTCCAGGATGGAGCACCCATACCGTCAGGTAGCCGTCTCCCATTCTCTGAGCCTTCAATAACAACCCCGCAATAGAATATGCGTTTCGTGAACCCGGGTGGCAGGTGTCGAGAAGGTTTGGGAGAGTCGCCGGTGGAAAGAGGGATTACCTTGCGAGGCGAGGAGCTGAGGGCCATTTATTGAGGAAGAAGGTTAGTGGATGAGTGCAGCGTCTGTCGACATGAAATGGTCTTGTAGGGGAATGCAGGGCTCGCGAATAAAGACGAGCAGGGTATGCTCTTCTCTTCAACTTCTCCCTCACAGTCACGTGGGCGTGATTCGAATCGCGCCCCGCGTGACAGGAAAATAGCAAAAAACATGTCCGTAGCTGGAATCGAACCAGCGGCTCTTCGGAGCAGGAGATGTTCCACAACGAAGTGATTTAACCCCTAATCGATACGGACTCTTATAAAACATCACCCAGAAGGAGCCACCAGCTACAAATTTTAGTGTAATGGTACTGCAGATTTTCAGAGAACCAAGCTCTTCGGAAAAGGTATGTCTATGGTGCGCTTGCATCTGTATGACCAAAAACTTCTTATAAAAAGACTGAATGGAAACCATGTCACATGTCCGTAGCTGGAATCGAACCAGCGGCTCTTCGGAGCAAGTGTTATTCCACAACGAAGTGATTTAACCCCTAATCGATACGGACTTGCGGAAATGATGACCAGGTGTTTGATAATAGTACAAATTTCTTATTTCGAAGATCTTCGAAAGTAAACCACTGAACTGCACAGCTGCATGTCTCGTCCGCCTATCACGTCCGCCTCAATCACCTTCTTGGGCACTGCATCCGCCCAACCGTCTTCTACGCGTAATCACTCATCTCTTGCACTGCGATTAGGCGGCGATGTCTGGCTTTTTGACTGCGGCGAAGCGACTCAGCATCAACTCCAGAGGAGCACCGTGAAACTAGGCAAGGTCGAGAAGATCTTCATAACTCACACCCACGGTGGGAGGCTCACTCAGATCGAAGAGCAGCCATCTGATAATCTCAACCTCCAGGAGATCATATTTTTGGGCTGATCCCAGTGCTGGCTAGTCGTCTCAACGGCGCAGGTGGTACTGTTGACGATGCCGATGACCCAAGGCATCAAGTCGATCACCAAATGCCAGTCAGGACATGCGTATCTCCTTGACTGCTTCATACTTAGCCTTTCTCAGCCGTTAGAAATATACGGGCCCTATGGCACGCGTGCCTACGTTCGTAGCGGCTTGCTGTACACCCATACTTTACTCTCGGCCCCGTATGTCGTCCACGAGCTCCGCACACCGTCCGATCCACCGTCTGGCGACAACATATCTCTGCCGCTGCACTCGGCAGAGCTACCATCTGGACGCGATATTCTGCAGTCAGAGGATCAACCTCTATGGACAGACATATACAAAGACGCTGTTGTGTCGGTGTCCGCTGCACCTATCTTCCACTCCGTTCCGTGTGTAGGATACGTCGTTACTGAAGCGCCCGTACCGGGTAAGATCGACCCCAAGCAATATGCACCAGAGTTGAAACGCACGGGGGCACCTATGACTCTGATGAGGCAACTGCAACAAGGAGAGTCCGTGCAACTTCCTGACGGGACCATCCTTCACGGTCCACCCCGCCGACCTGGACGTAAAATCGTCATTCTAGGGGATACGTACGACGCCTCGCCCATAATACCACTCGCCAAAGACGCGGACATCCTCATTCACGAAGCAACAAACGCCCACTTGCCAGATGTCGATTCGCATACGAAGGCTACAGATACGTACGAGAGCGTAGAAGAACGAGCAAACTCGAGAGGGCATTCGACACCGCAAGTAGCTGGCGCGTTTGCCACACGTACGCGCGCAAGGAAGTTGCTCCTGAATCACTTCTCTGCGAGATACCCAGGGGACGACGATTGTAACGAATGGTCGAAAAAGGTGATGGATGCGATCAAGTCATTGGCAGCAACAGAATACGAAGGAGAGATAGTTTGTGCAAGGGACTTCATGACAATAGACTGTAAATTACCGATTTTGGATTGAATCAACTGTGTAAGAACGGGAAAATAAGCAACGAGTGCTCGAAAGTACAGATATTGACTAAATCATTCAGGTGCATCTGATAGCTCTGAGCTCTCGTCACTCGCCTCGCCCTCCTCCAACTCCTCTCTTATCCGCTTCACCTTACTCCCCTTGCCCAAGTTCGAATTATCCTCCTCCACCTCCCCCATCTCGATATCATTCTGCCCCGCCTCACTACCCTCCGCACGCGTCACCTGCCCCTCCGCCGGTTCAGAGTCCACCCTGTTGTTATCGCTGAACGTCTCCCCCTCCTCCTTCTCTTCCTTGATATCCATGGACATAGACGCCTCGCCCCGCGAGCTCTCCCTGCCCGTGCCCGTGCTGTCCACAGTCTCCCGCCCTTCGTCAGGTCCAGGGGACACCCTCGGCGTATTGGCCACAGATGTGGACGCCATATCGACGTCCTTGCCCGTGAAGCGCAGGGAGCCAAGGTTGGCGATGATGCTGTCGAGAGCGGATTTTTGGTTGCGTATTATACGGTCCTGAGAGTCGTGTTCTGATTTTATGGTAGCCATGTCACCTTCGAGTGCTTGGATGGACCTAGTATATCATAATTTAGTATCTATGAGAATGAACGAAGGGGAATGACACTGACTGTTCCAACTCTTCTCTACTGGGGAGCATGTTCACCTTCTCCGCAATAGCATCGTATTCTAGTTTCCGCCTTCTCTGTAGCTGTGCATGCTCCAAGCTCGTCTTCAGCTGTTCAATCTGCCCTTTCAGCGTCCCATGTTCGTCCTCTGTTCGTTCAATCGTTTGAGTTCCCCAAAACTCCAACCATACCAGAGCACAATAGGCGAAGTGATCAGCCACTTACCGATTCTCAACCGTTCACGCTGGTACTCCTCCACCTGCCGCACCTCGCCCTCGCATATCATGACGCTCTTCTTCAGCATCAGATGGAACGACGACAGCTCCACCAGGAAGGCCTCCCGCGCATCGTCGATTGCCACCTCCGCCTGCGGCGATTTGCCTGTCTGGAACGCGATGGACGTGTACGCATGGAATTTCTTGATGACGCGCCGCAGGGGCCGCTCGTCGTTCGTTATGCGTGTTAGGATGACGTGATCTAGAGCACAATCGGACAAGACGAGTCAAGCTGAGGGTGAGCTGGGTATAGGACGTTGAGGAAGGCTGGGGGATTCGCACGTACCTTCTTCTTCCGTGGTCAGTGGTGGAAACGAGATATTTTGATCTCGATTAGAGTTCAGAGAGGGCGATTGTGCTGCTGCGTTATTTTGTGCGGTCGCCATCGAAGGAATGTTCGCGTTGCGCGCGTAATGGTGAGGGTAAGGTGTAATGCATTGTGGGTGTATACACTTGTACTTACCACCAACTGAGACAATCAGGCCTCTTATAGGGGCGCTGTGGTCAAGAAATGTTCGACTGACTGCTACCCGGTATATAATAAGTCCCGTCGACATACAAGTATCCAACAGTCTGAACACCCATTTTACAGAACAGCTGCAGCGGAGAATACACTCTCTACCCCCACTCCTCCGAGTCGGGAACGAAGGGCGTAACAAGTTCATACGTATCCTCGTTCCCTCCGCCACGTCGGGGCTTGTTCCCTCTGCCGATGACCCTCTTGAACAATCCCCCAACCCCACTCCGCTCATCGTTGTCATTCAAATCCGTGTCGACATGCGAGTTCGGGAACGCCTGGTCGACCATCTTCGCAAGCTTGCGCATTCCGCTGGAGCTATCATTGATATACCTCCGAGATTCCTCCAGAGCTGCTTGCAAGTACATAGCCAGGTTAGGGAAAGTCACTGGAAGGGAGGGGAACGGTAAGTTCTCTGTTGAGGGTATTACGTAGTACTTGGACACAGCTGAGTCCGAGTCATGGAGAAGTGTAGGCACGGAGCCTAGAGTGAAGGTGTATGGCAGCTGGCTGGTATCATTGTTCGTGTACCTGTGAGCATTGGGTAGGTTGGGCGGTACTGGATGGTCGATCTTTAACCAAAGGACAACACGCCAATCGGGAGCGGAATGGTGAGGCTACATCACACTTATGAGTAAAAGATGTGCATTTATGAACTCGTGAAAGCAGACATACCTTGACAAACTGAACGACCGTGCGGAGGTGAAGTGCGTGCTTGGCCACCGCTATGCCTTCGATAGTGGGTTCCACTTTGGTGCCACTCAATCTCGCCATCAATTTCAGCAGACTACGCCAAGTGGGTGCTTGGAGGTGCAGAGGAGGACACTTTCCATAGGGGAGGTTAATGATATTAGGGAAGGTACCTTGCATTGGCACAGGACGCTGCATCACACTTGGGGACACAAATCCGATGGCTGACTTGGAGTCAGTGCGGGTTACGGTAGGAAAGGGACATTAACTTACATACACCTCGAAGGAGGTCGGAATCCACGAAGTTGTTGGCGTTGACAGGCATCATCATCGATGCCGGCCTCGCCTCTGTCGCCGACCCTGGCTTCAGCTGACGAATGGTTGGGGAGGTGTCTACTTGCGGGCTTGAAGGTGCATACGAGAGACGAGGGGACACTTCGCTTGATGGGCTTGAAGGAGTATGAGACGGAGAAAGCGGCGCTTCAGAATGGGACGAGCTTGACGTTTGTGCTCGTGGCAATGTCGGCCTTGACGGCACAGACAAACTCGATTCATTCCGTTGCTTCTGAGTGAGCGCTTTCTCATAGGGCGAAGCTGATTCGAACGACGTATTGCTTGAGTTCCGTGATAAAGATGCTCCATCGCTGGCGCCGCTGGCGATGACATCGTCGTAGGCGGGTAATATTGGTTGCGACGTAGAAATAGTTGGCATCAACTGAGGGGATGATGGTCCGGAGTAGTGGGGATGGGAGGAAGAAGGGGATGCCGAACCTATGGGTGGACCTAGAGTGTCCGGCCTATTCAATTGCTGCGTCGCGTCCTCTGAAAGCTGTTTTTGGGTAAAGGCTTCAGGAGGAGAGTCTACACGGAAGGGAGAGGTCGGATACGATTTAGAAGAACCCTGGTGCTGCTCAGCGTACGGCGGTGCGCTTGAGCTTGCATGAAGTTCCTCTTCGGCCGCTAGCCGTCTTGCTAACGCCTCGTCCTCAGACAACGGCGGTATGGCAGGTGATTTGCTGGGGCCCGCAGAGGTGGGAGGATTGACTGGTGATGGCGGACCATCCTCATTGGCCAACATCCGAGCTAACTCTTCATCCTTGGACGTATCAACTCGAGTATCCAACCTTCGGCTAGCCATTTGCTCTTTCTCCAACTTCGACGGAGAGGAACGCGTTCGCGCCTGATCCTCTTCGTGATGGAAAAAGGGCGGCGTAGAGTTACGGTGAATGGGCGATGATAGCTCCGGGATAGTGGAGGGAACGAAAGGAGGGAAGTGTGGTTGTATGGCTTGTCCAGGGGTATAACTATGAGCCCTAGTCATCTTGTCTCTGGACGGACCTGCGCTATCTAGAGATTCCGAGGACCACCTGATATTGCGATTAGATAGATTGATAGACTCGGACAAAGCTCGCGCTAAATCTTCGTCTTCTTGAGAAGACAACTTCAGCGCGAGTTCCGTTTGTCGTGTAATTTCTGACTGAGAAAGGGCCAAGGCCAAGGCTAGGTCGTCGCTACCATTAGGACGAGTTTCATTTGGATCTGTGGTGGGCGGTGCCGAGTGATGCCCGCTAGTAGAGGCATACGGGATCGAATGTAAGCTATGATCTCTATCTTCAGCTTTGGGATTGGGGGGAAGACTGTAATGATGCGTGGGTTTTGGGGGGACTGGAGGCGGGGCTGGAGCTGGAGCGGTAGTTGTACGGTGCAAAGGGAACCCGTACAACTCTCTGGATCCTGTCGGGATTTGTTGCATGGAAGGGTGCTGTCGTAGCTCTCTATGTCCGTAGGATGGTTGTGAGAAGCGGGGATCCATGTAATTGGGCCTCATGTTCGCCTGGGGCGCAGGGGGTTGAGAGAAGAAGATATCAGCTCGATGTGTCGTAGAAGGAGCGAACCCTGGTCTCAGCGCGTTGGGATGTTGAGGTATCTGCGGAGGTGGTGGCGGTGGTGGCGGTTGGGCATGGTTATAAGAGTAATGCGGCCCCGGGGCTGTCGACGGGCGGTATTGGTTCGGAGGTGGTCCTGGATTGGCTCTGGAAGCAGTAGTAGGTCGTGAGGGGCCTATGGAGCAAGCAAGTGAAGTCTCATCAGACCAGCCTTCCAGCAAGACATCGACCGGACACAACCAGCCAAATAGTACGGGATCCAGAGCCACAATTTGAGCGCATTTAGGGCCCCGTACTCATGAGCTCTGACGCGGACAGCTCAGCGGGCAATTCAGGTGGGCGGATGCTCACCTTGGTACGAGTAGGAATGCATCTGATACATATGTTGCCAAACGGCGCTAATGGGAGATCTGAGCAGCGGGCGGTGTGAGCACAGACGATATCGCAGACACGTCGAGGTGCTGGGGAGGCTTGAATACGAGATGCAGTCCCTTGCGCGCAGCGCAACTAAGTACTAAGCTTGTAGTCGACCGTTTGGGCGTGCAACAATACAATGCTGTACTGGTGCCATAGGTATAGGCGCTGTCACGATCAGCACTTGTCAGGAACACCGCCACCACGGCTCGTCGGCAAAGATTCGGTTCGAAATCAAGATCAAGATGATCTTCACCAAGTAGTATCACAACTATGTCTAGGGTACAGTGCAAGAGGTAGCCGAAGCAATGCCAGTGAAAAATAAAGTGTGTGCGGGTGGGTGTATATGCTTGCAAAACGAGAAAGTATCATAGCGATAGTTGGAAAGGTGGGGCATGGGGTGGTTTGCGACGAATCGAAACAATGCGAAAAAGACAATGAGAGAACGTGTTCGAATATAGTATTCATAATGCGATAGGTGGGGAATGCGAAGCTGTCAATTTTGTGGTCCCTGGTCCTTGCATTGTTGTGGTCTTGAACCCAATTTGACGCATGACATCTACGAAACATTAGGTTCAAGCTCGAGTTGAGAAACTACTACCTAATATCGGTGCTTACTGAGAAGGTCAGCCTTTTGCAACGGCTTCGCAAGAGAGGCGACGAATACGTTGTTGGCTTCGTTCATGTCGATACCACTATAAGCGCTGACGGCAATGATTGGTGTATTTGCGTTTCTACCATTGGTGCTTTTGATGTACCGAGCGGCACCTTCACCATCAACTGCGTGGGGTATGAGACGGAGCGCCACTAAACAGAAAGACAACCACTTACGAACTGGCATTTGTAGGTCCATGAGGATAACATCAAATTCTGGAACAAAGAGGATGAGCGTCATATCCCCAACGCGACGGCATAGTTGAGCGACAAACTTACTGATATCACCCATCGCAACACTGATAGCTTCGGACCCATCAGCGACGACCACACAACGACAACCCAATCGAATGAGCAAAGTTTCGATGATCTTAGCTGTAATGGGATTGTCCTCAGCGAGTAAGCAGGTTACAGCTCGATCATTGGGATCAGGCCCCTTCTTCAGATCGATTGAATGAACAGAAGATGATGGAGTGTGGTAGTCGTGGTAAGCGGACCCGTTGCCAACCGAGGAAAGGTTTTCAGAACCCGAAATGTCGCCACTGCTAGAGATAGATGCTGTCCGTAGCCGACTCGGCATGGAATTCCGACGATCCACACCCTCAAGGTGGCTCTGCTTGAACCTTTCGACGGCACCGTATTCTGAGTGTTTCCTGATATGTCCGCCGAAAGCTCCCGGTGCAGAAGGAGGAAGACTTGCTCTAGAGGGTGAGGATGCTATGGATGATGTAGATGTGGCCGGAGATGGTGGACCCGTGTTCATAACCTTGTTGTCAGTCGCAGTGATAACGCTAGGAGGCTTCTTAAAGCGCTGCGATACACTGCGTTTCCGCGAGTGTATGCCAGGCTCGGACAATGTATGCGTTAGGGGTGCCATCTGGTCGGTCTTCAATTTACGAATAACATCATCGTTAGCCTGTTTGAGAATCGGTACGTTCTTGAAACTGAAAGAGCCGAAGTCATCGCCGCTAGGGGAGATATTGGAATCACGGCTGGGTATAGGGATGGCCAAAGGAGGCAGGCTGGTATCTGCGACAGGGCTATCGCCAGGTCGGTTCGTAAGTGCTACTTGATCGTCATCATGGAAGAGTTGTGGAATAGCGCCACGGGGATCAAAGTAGTCAGTAGACTCTGGGTCAGTAACTTGAGGGATGAAGGCAGCTTCAGTTGTAGTAACTTTGTCCCAGTCGATGTCTGCTAAAAATGGATGGGCCTTGACCTCCTCCGCGCCTTTCGCGCCCAGCCGTTGAGTCGGATCGAGCGTCATTAGCCGCTGCATGAAATCGCGGGCTTCATCGGAGAAGTCCACCCAGTCTTCGTGCCACTCGATATGACCCGAAAGGATGTTCTCGAACACCTTCTCCGGAGTTTCTGCGTGAAATGGAGGCAGTCCATAGAGAAACTCGTATGTGATAACGCCCAAGGCCCACTGCAAAGATATGAAATCAGCGCGAGTAAAAAGGTACCATCGCAGAAAGGCCAACCCAATCTACTGCCGCGTCGTCACCGCGAAGACCAAGAATAGTTTCGGGGGCGAGATAATCAGGCGTCCCGACGAACTTTTGCTCGCCAGGAGGAGTTCCGGAAAACGAGTTCGAGTTCGAGTTAGAATGGGAGTGTGAGCGAAGATCGGTAGTAAGTTCTGTTGCGAAAGACTGGAGAGGACTCTCCGAGGTCTTGCCGCCCCTTCGCAGAAGACCACCAAACGTATCTGAGGCACCGAATTCGCTGACATCATCTGTAAGAGGTAGATAAGGCGAATTTCCATGACGGCTGATTGACTGTGGCCGGTGCGTGAAGTACGAACCTCCAGAGCTTGCATCAGGGTGGATTAGAGGCGACGATAAATATGCAGAGTCGAGAGATGGAGGCCGAGATCTTGAGTTGTACCTGGTCAAAGGACGGGAATTCTGGCTTTCATGCGTCTGGCGGCCGAGAAGGCCAATCCTGCTCAGCCCAAAGTCGGTGAGCTTCAGATGGCCATGTTGGTCAATAAGGAGGTTGTCAGGTTTCAAGTCTCTGCAAATCAGCGTTAGCAAGAGTTATCTAAAGGATAGACAATGGTCTTTACCGATGTACTATACCGCGCTGATGTAGATATTCTAATCCAAGGACGACCTCCGCGATATAGTTCTTTGTCCATTCCTCAGGAAGCGAGCCTAGGGACTTGATCAAGGCGGCGCAATCACCACCATTCAGGTACTCCATCACAAGATACAGATTATCTTTGCTCTGGAAGGTGAAGTAAAGCTTCGCCACGAATGGGGACTCGGCCTGTTTCATGAGGATCATGCGTTCAGCCTTGACATTCGTGATTTGATTCTTCGCAATCATGTCAGCCTTCTTTAACACCTTGATAGCGTAGTAATCGCCCGTGGCTTTCTTCTTCGCCAAAAATACCGAGCCAAAGGCGCCCTTGCTAATGGGTTTGATTATATCGAAATCCTTGATAGATGTAGGGTTGGTGCGCGACAAGGGGGCAACCGAGGGTTGTCGGGGAGAGAGGGGACCAGGAGGACTGATGATCTGACTGGCAGCTGTCGAATGACGTCGATGGGCACGTTTGGTCGAAGGTTCGCGAGTGAGACCGTCTTTTGGAACTACCCGGGGAGAAGCCGGCGGGGTAATGACTACTCTTGGTTCGAGAAGACTTTGTCCGGATCTACGGTGCTTCATGGTAGGCACAGTGGGAGGGTCATCAAGGCTCATGGGTGGGGGATGTTCCTCTGGCGAGGACGGAGCGACGATGGGCGCTGCCAGGGCGAGAGGGGAGGAAACTGAAGAAGGGGTAGACGAGCGTGTATGAAGGGACTGCCGAGTGTTGTATGCAACAGGGTGAGCGGGAATGGGAGCAGAAGGAGGACGCGTTTCTGGGGGAGTCCATTGAGGGGCGGGAGATGACGACGCGAGGGGTGTCGGCTGAGTAGTTGATGGAAGGTCACCAGTGTACGCATACTCAGAGGTCGTACTTGAATGATCGTCATCCGGAACGTTACCTCCAGTTTCACCGTCTTCAACAGATTCATCAGAGTCTGAATCACAGTCAGCAAGTGCTAGCGCTCGTTCAACCCTTTGTTCCCATTCATGCCAGATCTTCTCAGAATACCGAATAGTGTTCTGCATTCGAACAATATTGTCAATCTTCTGGCGCATGACCCGCTCTGCATCCTGGACAAGCTGCCCCAAAGCAGCGTCCTCGGTGTTGGGCTTACTCCACGTCCGAACTGTAGTGATTTTACGTTCGGAGCTGGGCGACAGCAGTCGCTGGCGTTCGATGGGCTCCTTGGCTTCTTCTTCCTTAAGGGATGGTACTGATATTTCTGATGCAGTCTGCAAAATGTCCTCGAGTTGTTCCAGAAGCCGTCTCTGCATCTTCTTCACACTGACCCCTCGCATCCTGGCAGAACGGAACAAATGGAGCGGGGAAGACACGATGGGAGAGGAAGACGGGGTAAAAATGGTCATCCCACGATAATCTGGCGGGTTCGCTATTGTCGCCTTCTCCAATGCTGTAGCCAGGTCGCGAATTGTGTTGCGTAGCTCGCCAATGGATTCGTTGCACTCGGCTATCTCAGCCTCAAGTCGATGAATTTCGACACAGGTTTCGCTGTGCTTTTCGAAGTACCATTGCGGAATTTGGCTTTCGCATATCCGACAAAGGATAGGCTCCGCGCTGATGGGTTGGCTGAATGGAAGACTGCTCAGCTCATCTTCCCCCTGATCTGTAGGTTCCGCAGTGTTGGGTGTTTCGGAAGGTTTCTGTGTGACATCCTCCGCTTGTGATTCAAGTTCGTACCTAGGAGGTGCGATGGGTTTGACGACCCACATAGTGTGAGAAGGCAATCCATCCTCGCGGTCGATCATTAGCATGCCTTTGGCTTCCATCAGCTGATATAGGGCGGACGAGGAATCCCTGTTGTCGCTTGGCTCTATCCTTAGGTTGAAGCGAACTTCGACGGTGCGAGAGTCATCGTCCTGTAGACGCTGCGTGGCTTCGCGGAACACCGTCTCGTCTCCAGGAGCAAGGAGATGGGATATTCGCGTACCGGCAAGATCCTCCGGGTCCGTCCTGAGCAGCGAAGTGTGAACAAAGCTCAAAGAAAGAAGGAAATACACATACCCGACAACCCCTCGCCAGGCATAATTCACCCATATGAAGTGATCGCCGTCGAGACTAAGTTCTAGGACGATATTCTGGTTCTGGGCTGTCTCCGCTTGTAAACGCAGGCGTTCTGTTGCTAACACCCGAGCCGATTCAGCGTTATCAACGGGCTTCTGGGGAGAATGAGCGTTGGGTTCGGCTTCGTGAGTGGGATTCGGAACATATAGATCCTTGGTATGTTCGTCTCTAGACTTTCGGCCGTGACTTCCTGGTCTAGACGAGCGTGAGCGATTCTCATCATCCACGTCGAGGAACGTCCTTTCAGTAGGCTCCGCGTGACGTATTGAAGAGGTCACTGAAGGGGGAGGTTCATCGGCAGGTTTAGTGACGAACATCAAAGGCTCGTCTTGCTCGTCGTCATTGTCGTCGAAATTCCAGAATTGTTTCTCGGCCTCCCACCATTCGACCACACGACTAAGGCTAGCAACAGCAAGCAACACCTGAACGTACCAGTTCCGGCCGTGCCAGTCTGGATGCTCGTCCCAGACTTTGCCAATACTTTGGACCCTTTGAACAAGCGCCTCGCATACCTTAGGCTGAGCGGTAAGTTGAGCCACAGACATGTCGATGATATCCGTAGCCACACTTATGACTGCGTACAAAGTAGTCATGATGGGATCAACGGGATCATCAACTAGAATGCGAGATGAACGTCGGTTGCCGGAAGAAGGAGCTGAGTGTCCATATTCCGAAAAGCTCGCGTGGGTGGAAATGGGGGGAAGTGGTGAACGCGAACGCGAAGTTGATCGGGAACTCTGAGCTGACCTAGCCGGACGCGTAGGAATATGGATGGTGCGAGATAAGCGGCGGGACGAGACACCCTGTGAGCCCCAGGATGTAGGAGCACTATTGGCGGCATTTGACTGCTTTCGAGTAAGGGGAGCTTCAGGCAACAGGATGGTAGAGGTGGCTGGGCTAGAACCTACTACGCTAGAAGATACTGAGGAGCTAAGTGGTCGATCCCAAGGTACCGTATGTTGCCTACGCAGTGAAGCGGGACTGATAGACGTGGAAGATGAAGCCTGCAGACCAGGAGACGAAGACCAGTGGGCTAACGCTGGCGGGTTGCCATCTTCATCGGTATTCGCGCGTTGCCTGCCATGTTGACCATACTCAACCTCCGCCTCATAACCACCATCGGAGCTGGATTCCTCAGCCTGCAGAGCAGACCTAAGGTCCGCCGGTTGAAGCACGAAAGGCTCGCTCAGATGGTCGTAATCACCGATCTGTGAGTCTCTGTCTCGTCCTCGATCCCTACACTCGCGCTCCGTTTCATGGTCGCCCGCTCTGAGTCGGTCCTCAAAGAAAGCTGTGATGTTATTGGTGATACGCTGGAGTTCCTTGTCGCATTCTGCCTTGGCTGCTTTGAGGCGCCTCGTCACATGTCGCCTGACAAAAGGCATCGACACGGTGTTAGATCCAGAGCCATGATGAGTGCTGCTGCTGCTATTGTATTGGAGCGGGGGAGGTATTGGGGATATGGCAGCTTCTGGGGAGAATACGAGTGGGCTGGGAGGTTGGCGGCGCTGCGACTGGCCGGAATCGACCATGACCAACTACGAGACAGTAGACTGCACAGATAACCGTTCAGAGCTGAGCTCGGTGGGAGGCAGCACCTGATGTTGCCGCAAAGGCAGGGGAAGCGTCGTGGAGGAAAATATGATGAACGTAAGGTAGATGAGGGGAGGCTAAGGGATCATGGAGGAAGGAAGAATAGAGGTCAGGGTATTAGTTTTGGTGGTAACACGAGCGGTGATCAAGTACACCGTAATGGAATAATTATTTTCCGAATTATTATTTCTCAAACATTGTGACTTGTCCATTCGCTAAGTCACAACCACCGCTGTATTCGGAATTGCAGCCGAGATACTGATATTCCTCCGTGTTCCACTACTGAGTTTCTGTAACTGTAATTGGAGTATGTAGCCCCGGTTTCCTGCAAATTCAAGTTCCAATAAAATACTGCTACCGTGACTGAATCTGGTTCCAGATCAGTATCGGATATCTCCGCTGGAGGTTTGTGGGAGAAACGCGTAGCAGACAGTGAGACGATCCTGCTTGCGCCCAGTCACCATCAATCTCTTTCCTTCTCTACGTTCACGTGAACCACCGTGTGTGTTTCTACCCGATATTCAAGCACATCTATCACTAATACGGCCTCGCAGCTTTTTCCATTCACTTCAGCCATCAGCCTGACTGGCAGCACGCTCGACGCGACATGTTTGCTGCTCTTCTCCGCCGGGTAGCCAGGCAGCCAACATTGACCGTCCCCTCGCAGGTGGCACGACTCTCGACGTCCCAGCCGCTTCGCAAAGTGTCTGTGAGCCAAGTGCTTCTCGAAGAGGCAGATAAGAAAGAAAAAAAGGCCTCGACCAGCAAACCAAACTACTCCACCGCCGGGGACTGTTCGTCTTCATCTTAGCATCCATACTCCACAAATATGCTCACAGTTCCCTCAGTCACAGGACAACCTGTCAACCAATCCACCTCAGCATGGAAGCCGTTCGAAGCTGGGAGAGTGCGTGGTCCCACACCATTTATTCTATCACAACATTTGACCCTTTGCTCCAGTTCATCCGACCCCATCAATTGACTTACAAGTACCGCTTGCAACCTACTAGACGGCTCATAAGGCCCCCCACTGTTGGTCCTGGTTCTGCCGAGTCCCGCTATGGCGACGTATTCCACCAACTTGGCATTGATCCACTGGACCAGTGCATGAACCCGCAACTACTCTCTCATTTCGTCTCCGACATGGGAAAAATCTACGGTCGGCATATCACGAAGCTTACCACTCGAAGTCAAAGGAGATTAGGGAAGGCCATCCGCAGGGCGAAGATGATGGGCGTTATTCCGATCCTCAGCAAAGCCAAGAAGTCATCGTGGATATACCGCAGATAGGCTCATCTTGGAGACCTGAGGCGAGACTAAATTTGCGTCATGGTTGCGTTTCAGCCCTTGGTTCTCAATTTCACCATCCTCGAGGCGCTCCTTATCGTACTTTCGATATATTCACAATCCAGATTGTTGCCTCTCTTGGTTGTATCCAGCAAGTTATTGGACCACGCCTAGGGCATCCCCTGTTGTAAGAATGGATGTGCCATCCGCCCAAGTGCGTAGATCTCCCAGGTGTCCACACCCAGGCCGCCGCCGCGGATGACTCTATCCAGTGGTCTAACGTATCTAGGAAAATGATCTTGAATTCTGAAACCCTAACGCGGATATTTCTGCTTTGCCCTAGGGGAACGTACGAACAGAGTTCAAGATGATGCACGTTACCTCGTCGTATGACCTCGTATGACCTAGGATGGCCTGATGACATCTCACCGGGATTTGGTTTTCACAGGGGACACCGGCTTCGACCGTCCAGAGGGGGAAGGAAGGGATTAGGCATCATGTTACAAGTAAAGAACACAAGCCGCTCTCCTACAGCTCGGCTAGAAGCATTGTACCAAGATTCTGGACAACCTGGTCCCCCATTGCCTTCTCTACCTGTTCTTCTAGATGGCGTTTGGGATCTTGCTTGCCCACATGTCGTGTCTTTAATTGGTCCACTGTGAGAGTCGATTCCTCCAAAACAGACTTGTTATATGCCTCGGATAATGAAAGCATTGACTAGAGAAGGGCATATCAGAATCAGTTCACATGGTCATTTGGTCTGTGTTTGCTTACCTTTATGGCCTTTTCGTTCGTCTCCCTATGAACACAGAAATCACGCAGCTTGAGACCTTCTGTCCAGTTCCGCTTGTGTAGATTCATTAACATCGATTGCTCGAGTTCGGTTTTCCGATAGTTCACCGCGATCGAGTAGTAGTGTCGGTTCAACCCGTGGATGAGAGCCTGTATCGAAGGTTTGTTGATATGTCCGATATTTGAGGTCGTCTGCCTGGGTTCACGACCAGAGATAACGGCATGTGGGTTGATAAGGCGGAAGGCATCAATTACGACTTTTCCTTTGACGGACTGGATAGGGTCAATCACGACGGCGACTGAGCGGGGGTGTAGTTGCTCAAATGACTATTCGATTCGAAAACGTGAGCGAGGCACAATTACGAAGGGACTTGGCCACTCACTTGCTGTGTGTTGATATCGACACTTGATAGCCAGCAGCCAAAACCGGGGTGAGAATGATACCAGCCTACTACCATTTCTGGTCTACACAGGATGTGCCTTCGATTGAGCGACACAGATCAAGGGTGGGTTTGAGGCTGAGGTACGCACCTCCCCGTTTGTTTCAACATTTCCAGCATCTTTGTTTGGAAGACATGGTCCACCGATTCGACTGTCACGGTCGTACCAGATTGGGGCATGGCGAAGACATCTACGACTTGGACGGTGTACTCATCCACGAATTCGCCGAGCATAAGTCCCATAACCTCCATGGGCACACCAGCGCGACCGTGCTTCAACATCTAGTGATAACTTGAGCTATTTGACGTAATTCAAGAAGTCCTTTCTGCCAACCTTCAGCAGAGCAAGTGACGAGATGTGGATGACTTCGCCGCTGCAGATTGAACGCTTTCAGCACTAAAACAGCAAATGATATTTGCAGGACACTCACTTATCTGGGGTAGTGCCATCGCCTCTGCCCATACCACCCCCTTGTCCAGCCATCGCCATCATGTTTTGGTAGTCGCCGTCCATTATGTGGGTGAAAGTCGAAGTAAATGTCCTGCGTGACGCGTCGCGTTCCCCTGAAGAATGTGAGAAACCTACATGGGCGGAGTGTGGGAATTGCACAGAGCTCTACTGCCGCCGAAGGTCACGACCGTGTTGCCGCAATGAAGTACTGACAGCGACCACATACTTTCAGACTCTATGCCCAGCAGCACCCTTTCCGATGCACTGAATGAATTTGCGGCTCATGGTAGATCACGCCAGAATGAATCGCATATCGGTGCATTTCCGCAAGGCCAGATCTTCTCTCCCCAAGCCCAGGAGTACCCCCGACCGGTACACACTGAGGGCGAGTTAGTTCTGTCGGAACCTTCGCCCCCACCGGCGCAACCTCTAGCGCCACGGTGCGTTCTCTCCCCGTAGAAGCCTAGCGATGGCTGAGATTGTTACCAGAAAGGCATCGACTCCTGGCGTTCATGCCGTTCAGGAATTACTTCGGATAGTAGCCGCGACGAAGGAGGCGCAAGAAATCGAACGACGGCGCAGGCTCGCCTGGGAGCAGGAACAAGAGTCCAAGTTCATTCAAAGACAAGCCGAGATGGAAAGGCAGATGTTTGAAATGCGTCAACAAATCGCCTCTCTTCAAGCCATGGTGCACCCGAGTCCTTCTCCAAACGTCGTTCATCAAACACCTGTCGATACCCCTCGCCCAACGCTGCTCCTCGAAACTCCCGTTCACCATTCAGTATTATCAACGGCGCATTACCAGCCGAGTTCCATGACTTCGCAGGAATCACTCGTACCAAATCAAATGGAATCTCACGGAAACGGTTCTATCACTCCGCCCGAAGATGTGCGCTATTCCACAACCCCATCTACTTCCCCGCAGCTTCGTGCGGCTATAAATACAGCTAGTCCCCGGGCCAAGTCTGTAGACAGACGCAAGCGGCATACCCCACGACACGCTCCAGCTTATGCTGAGGACGACAGCGCTGAAAGTAGTGGGTCCGACAGCTCGTCCTCGAGTATGGATCGGCCCGCAAAGCGGGCTAACCATCACGACACGAGGTGTCTGACTATCCACGTAGGTGCACGATTGAAACGCCACACATTTATTATTAAAACTCACCCATGCATCAGCACGCCATGAGGTTGCACCTCGTTCGCACCATGGGCTTAGACAGCGACAAGCACCTTCCGGATAGCCATATTGAAGGCACCGCTCTGGAGTCAACTGACCCGGTACGTTTCGTTTGGGCGAAAACGACAAAGCAGTCGGCCCACAATTACCGGATGAAAGAGAGGGTCATCAACGACCTGAAGGACAACCGCAAATACTACAAACACGTACCAGACAAGGACTTCAGCAAAAAGGTCCTTGATTCCGTGTTCGATCAGTGCTTCACCACGTTTCGGCAAAAATACAAGACACAGAACGACGAATCGGCGGCTCTGGCAGCGAGAAAACGGGATGACATGAAAGCTCTCAAGGTTCGACGACTTGCGAGGCGTAAAGCGGTAAGGACGCTTCTGAGGCATGTCCGTGAACCCTTTGTCCTTAATTACTAGGCGGTTTAGAAACTCAGCGCCCGCGCGGAGGCACGCATGAGGCACGCAGACTTGGAGCACATTACTTTTGACGGGGCATTCCAGCTGGAATGCATGTCTTCCGAGGAATCCGAATTCGAGGATGGTCAACCACAGCCAACGCGATTTCGAACACGTGGATTCGCATGGCGGAGCACACGGCTGCAACGACTATACGAGATCCTGGACGAAGAGGACAGGGAGACATCTGCTACAAAGCCAAAGAGGGGGCTCGGTAGGAAAGACCGCATTGTTGGCCCGGTGAAGAGTGAATTGATTCTACCTCCTGCTGGTTCTTCGAGCTGGATGATCAGCAAGCATTGGATCAGCGTCACGCTTCAAAAACATCGAGATTTATTGGATGTTATAAAGAAACTTGTTGTGGACCCACCGGGCTTCGATTGGGATCGTTTCCATGAGCTTGGAGAGGATAGTGACGCGGAGTATCAAGCTTCACCTCAGAACATGGATAATCCGGTTGCACACACTTCCAACCAGTACTATACGGGTAGTAGCTCTTTACAGTATGCTTTGGTTTAATTTTACCGTCGATCTTGTATTATATTCTATATTCTATATCATCCTCATTCCTGTACTTACAATGTGAAGACCAACTCACTGAGGGGTTGTATTACTATTAGGGATATACCAGGGGCCACACGTCACGTTCACAGCGCGCGCCTGGAGACTCGGAATCGGCGTAGTTGTCTTCCACCCACCCTTCCCGCTCACTCTCTTAGATTCAACCCGAAGCGCATTGAAGTACGCTATATAACTCGATCTATACCAAATAATCCTTTCTAACGCTTGCACAGTGGCAGCAGACCCGACAAGTGAGGGAGAAGGCATGGCTGGCGCGTCCTACATGTGAGGTTTCGTGCATTACACAAACCACACAGCTTACCCCCGAATAGCGGGCGGACTAGCGACTTCATAGATCTCCACGACCAAGTTCAGGTGTGTACCCCATCTGTGGCCGTGCGTCCATGTCGTTGACACCGACCGTAGACGAGTGTGCAGCTCCTCGACTCCCTTGAGTCCTTTCTATCTACATTTCAGAAAGACCTATCAGTTGTAGCAGGCCAGATATCAGAACTTCAGGATCGAAGTAAAGATATTGGGAACAGGTTGAAGAGTAGAAAGGTACGTCCGTATTTCAAGTAGTACTGTGACGAGCCTGACGGTCCCCTCTTAGAGAATTGAGAAACCTCTGTCACACCTGATCTCTGATATAGTCGTTCCACCTCCTTTGGCTACGCTCATACTTGACACCGATGTTGGCGAGCCGTGGATCCCAGCAATTCAAGACTTCGAGAAGAAGTTGGAGACAATCAAGGCGCGTTCGCGGGTGAAAGCTGCCAGAGACCTCATGGAGGTCGTTGAGGGGCTTAGGATAGTGGTACGACATCACTGCTGCCTATTTATCAGGGCCTTGTCTTCATCTTGTTGTATAGGCAGCCACCAAATTGCGGGCATTCTTCCTGGCGCTGTTCCAGCCAATTCGGAGCAGTGTGACTACGAACATGCAGGTTATGCAGACGTCAGTTCTATTGAAGTATAGGCCACTGCTTCCCTTCCTCCAGCGACAAGCACCCAATGTATTCCAGGAAGTCCAGAGATCATATATTGGCGCGGCTCGAACATATTACGAAACCGGATTTCGTCGGTATATACGCTCGTTAACCTCCATTAATGTATGTCAGCAGTTAAACGACTTGATTATTATACTCATCTCATCTAGACACGCGTTATTGAGAAGCCTGAATTAATAACGGTTAGTGAGAAGGAAACCATCACAGATGTAGACATGGCGCGCTTGGAGTACGCAAAAGTAGACGGTCCAAATATTACGCTCGCATATATGGCAGACGACAAGAATCATGTAGGTCCATGTATATCTCATCAAATGCCATATTAACACCGTCTAGAAAGAACCCGCCGAGGCCATGTTTCGGTCCCTGATGTTGGTTCTCATGGATAACGCAACTGCCGAATACACCTTCATAACTAGTTTCTTTGCCAACGAACCCCTACCAACGCCTGCAGATTCGGAAACACCGCTGTTGTCTCCCACCGCGCTATTATCCCCAGACGGCTCTATTTCCTTCGATAATCGGTCAATTGCCGCCTCAGAACACGAACTTCGGAGGAGTAGTTCTACCTCCCAGGGTATAACAGCAGCACTAGCAAACAGCAAAGCCGAACAAGCGGGATTCGATGCACTATGGAAGCAAGTCTTTGACCCTGTCTCGGAGTACACTCAGGTATGCTCATATATACCTTTTACAAAGTTCGCTCCCTTATATTTGTGCTACTTAATAGGCCTTCGTCCGTTCAATCATTGAACCTCCGCCTCCCGTGGTCCCCCTACTGGTCATGATCAGGTTGACCGAAGCCGTCCTCAACGAAATACAGAACCGATCATGCCCGCCGTTGGAATCCTTTGTCTTTGCCATTCGCCTACAAATGTGGCCGGTTTTCCAGAAATTGATGACCGAGAATATTGATTCTCTGAAGAAATATGCTGAAGGCACCAGTCTCAGTTACTTCGCTAGGGCTGCGTCAACAACGGATGCTTCAGTAATTTCGGTAGGGTCTATTCGTTTGTTGCCGCGGCCCCTCTTCCTGATAATCCTGCTAGATATGCAAACGCTATATCGTAATTTTTAACCTCTTCGTGGCGCTGACCGAGCAACCCGACGAGACAATGATATTCTCAAAGTAAGTTAACCAGGTGATAGGTTCTTAGATTCACTATGACAATCCATATACAGTCTTCTACGTCTAAGACAGGAAGTTGCAAAGCTGATTCTGCGGCATGCCCAACAAATCAAAGACCCCGCAGGCAGCGCCAAAATGCGGTCCAGATTGTATGACGGCTTATTACAAGGCTTTACGGTACGTGACCCTATTCTGCTAGCTAACAGTAGCCTCATCGTGCTTGTTTCAGGGTGCTCATTTCATTGCTCACCCCAAAGCCCAGCAAGAGACTGCCTACTGGGCTAATCTCGGGGAAGAGTCGAAGAGGAAGATAGTTTCTGTCTCACAGGCTAGATCGCGGCAGTGACCATGATAGATTTTCCCAGTATGATAGTAATGATAATCCGTGCTGAAAGCGATAAAGGGTGCTACATCATCACGGCAAATACACAATCCATTGTCCATGATTACCCGAGTGTAAAGTCTTTGATGGTATAAAAAGGCATAACCTTACTGTCGCAATGGGGGATGGTTAGGGAAGGAAGCTTTGAGAAGACTGCCGTTTTGCTTTCCAATCCCCAAGCGATTTAAGACGTCCCGTACGTCCCCTGAACCAGAAGGGATGCCGCGCTTTTTTGTCCTTGATCTCGACCGTGCTTGTGGTGCGAGAATTAGTGACGTATGGTCAAGCGTTGAAATGGATGCGGGCCTTGCTAGTGCCGGGTTCGACATACTGCGACCTTCTAACGCTTCTCGAAGGTCCGCAACACCCACGCCGCGTGTCGACCGAGCTAAACTGTGCAGAGAAACGTTCTCAATATTCATCAGAGCAGGTGATATCCTGATCAACGGAGAAACGACATCTCCTCGCACGGACTCAAATCCAGAAGATTGATCGATAGCTGTGAAAACAGGTTTATTATAGACAATCTGGAAACACGAGTGAAGAAACTCACAGCTCTTAATGGCGGATTCCGCTGTCCATCTAGCGGTGAGCACACGGACCATCGATTGTTCGTCCAACCCAGTGGATTCTTGGGCCTTCTCGTTGGAAGCAATCGCGAGCAGTGCGGCCTGAAGGTTAACACCAGGGAAGACTGTGTCGGATTTATCAAGCGAAGGGAAAGGCATGGGAACGAGAGGAGGATGATACTCAGGCGAGTCTGACGAAGGAATGATGGGGAGCTCAAGGGCTGAAGGTAAAGAAGAAAGAGCCTGTTATCAGAATTAATCAGCTTCCTCAACTTATCTCAATTCAAATGGATCACCTGCTGTGCAATGTCTACTAGTTCTGAACACGACCACACGGTCCCTATTGTGACTAGCACCCTCGCGATCAGACCCCTGACGATCTGAACCCTCATGCGTACATCGTCGTTGCTTAAGTCGTGGACTCGGGTTGCTTCGTCCAGGGCAAGAAGCATGGGCACACCAATCAACAGACCTCGCGCCGGATGTTGTTGGTGTACGATAGTTAGTATCTTGAGCGCGTACGCATAATCAGACATCGATGCTCCGCTGGACAGGGATATTCTCGAAGGAACGTTATTCAAGAAGCGTTGCATGATAGAGTATTTCCTCGCGCGAGGAGCTTGAGCAGAAGAAGTAGAGCGACGACCCGAGGACGGGTTGGAACCGTTTTCGCCTGTACGAGGTGTCGAGTATCCATTTGTGGGCGTGGATCCGTTGGTGGCAAGCATGTATACGAATGCATGAGCAGCATGTAGAAACTTCGTGCTGATGTCAGATGAAGAGAATAAAGCTTGCATGTTGAGTGCCTGTTTCAAAGGCCCCGTTTCAAGGCGGCGTGGTCGCAAGACTCCGTCGCGGCCGGTGGTTTCCCCAAGTTTGGGCATCTCCTGCGAAAGGTAGAAGGCAAGGGCTTCTGCATAGTCGGCACGGACCGCAAAGTCCTGGTCGCAGAGAAGGCTCAGCGTATCTTGCCACATGTCACAAGGTACCCGCGTTCGCCTAAGAGAGCGTTCGTTCGAATATGGCTCCTGTGAATGACCATCGGATATAATAGACCCATGTGTCTTGCGTTTCTCGCTGTCCTGTGAAGCCTCGTGTTCGGTGGCGGAATGTATGATCCCCAGAAGAGCCGCGAGCAAGCAGCGTATTGATTGTGATCGACTTGAATCCACGGCAGATTGCCCCGGAACCACATTTGGCGCGCGGGATTCGACCAAAGCAATACGATTGATAATTTCACCCTGCGCAATAGTTGAGAACTGACATTAAAAGGAAGCTTATGCGAATTAATCCTCACCGCAAGATCATGGACTTGGTCTGTGTAGTAGATATGACTACCTAACGAAGCTATACACCGCACGAGGTCAGGTAATAGTGGGTCATTGGGAGTTACGTTGATTCGGCGGAGTAGAAGAGTGACGAGGTTCGAATTGATATCGGAAGTGGAAAGATTGATGAGGGGAAATGGTGAGTTGAACACGGTGGTGAGCATGGTTGCGAGTGTGCTATACGACGACACAACGACTCCGTCTTGCATTTCTATCAACCGTTCCACGATGCAGGAGGCAACAGCATAGCGATATTGATACTGTGCCCACTCCACGGCCTTGGTTACAAACCAGCGGCAGTGGGTTACCTCATCCCAAGCTTTGAGACCATCGAGGCTATCTAGAGAGGACCGCATGATGTAGGCCATTTGCAAGCCGTTGGCATGAGACAACAACGAAAAGACAGCGTGGAGGGATGCTATCGACACGTCGGAATCGGAAGGGCCTTTTTCACCGTCGACGTGAACATGTATCGAAGCAGCACGCCGTTCGATCGCCGGTCGCCTACGAAACTCAGCCAAGTAAGGTGACATAGGAAGTTCCTTGACGCTCATAGCACTATGGTAGCAGTCACCGTCAAGGATGCTCACGGAACAATATACATAAAGCTTACTGATGATCGAGTGACTGCAAAGGTGTTCCAAAGATTGCATATAGTATTGGCCGCATGATAACCGCGACTTGTTCGCGAAATTGGAGCATGTCATTGTAGAGAGCTTCAGAGCTCAGGGCACCAGTTAACGCAGCTAGCCCTATGAGCTTTTGCCTGTAATCGTTAAATTCGTACATAATATGGGATGAACGCGAACTAAGCACCTGTTACGATTCTCATGATCTTTGGAAGTGGAACTACTTAGGTCGGCAAACCTCTGGAGCGTGGAGACATAGTCTCGGGTGAGTTGGCTGTCAGCGCCTATTTGTTGGCCATCAGTGTATGTTGTCCAGGCCGTAAACTATGACCTGGACATTAAAACATCTCGATGCAAGTAAAGCTCACATAGCTTACCACACTAGCGGCTCTAGCGGTCACTTCCAAGTCATTAGGCAACGCGCCCAACGTCGTGTTAATGGACGAAATGAGTGACGGGGAGATTAAGTGAATGTCTCGGCGGCATTCAATCGCCAGCGAACGAAATATCGACAACGATATTAATAGTGATCTACGTTCGCAGTGAGCAACGCATATACAGCATCCTTGTCTGACACGTACACCCTGGTTCTCGTATTCCCTTGCTGAGCTTTTCGGCATTCTCCTTTCAAGCGCTTTTCGAGCTCACTCCCTAACTTGTTTAGTTTGCTCGGATGATTCGACCTTCAGACCAGCTAGTTCAGTTATATTTCCGGCATTTGACTTATGACAGCATACGCGTAGTATGTGAGTCGGCTCAGTTCCTGGCCTTTGGGCGTGAAATCTGGGCCCGAGCTGAGGAGCATCGAGGAAGGCGGGTAACAGGCATTGAGTAGCTGCACGTGGTTGGGAGTGAAGAGGAGGTTCATCATCCAGGGCATTCGCAGAGAGGTAGGTTATAAGCAGCGGCCAGATTATAGGATTCTAATGCGACATGAAGGAAGGGGAGGCTTGTGTCTTGGATGTTTGAGGTGGTGAGCGCGCTCCGCAGGACAGACATGCTTGCCGAATAATATCGCCACGTGGAAAATGGCATCACATGGGATTTTGACCGTGTAAATAACATACTGACCGTGAGAATGCTAAAGTTGAAGCCTTTATAAGCGCACATCAGCCATGCCTGCTGTTCCTATCTGCCTGAATCGGTGAGTACCTCCATCGTTTTCTTTTTTTCCGTGATGAGTTTCTTTTGCTGTGCACCAGGCTAAATACCTCAGGTATACTGCAGACAAATGCCAGACTCCCTATATACGCTTGGGGGTCCTGACTTTCTTTTTATCTGTTGTTTGCTTTTTTTCGAAACTTCTTGCTGATCTTCGGTTTCAAGATTCCCAATCTCCCCTCAACTCCAGCCCACCTGTGAAGAATATAGTGATCTTGATACGAACCTTGTCAGAATCCACACGCTTCATAATCATAGTTAATTATCATCATGTATAAACCCAATATCAGGAAATCGGATTGAAGTCACATCCTTAAAATCGTGTGCGTGACCGCGTAAAGTGGCAGTGATCAGAATCACAATTCATGAAGGACGTTTACTTTTTATCATACCATCATTTACTTGCATCACTGTCATGAGCCGCCTGCCTCCATCGTTATCGCGGACAACAGTACAATCCGTTTCGCCTACAGAACTCCTAGATGTGGTCTCAGGTGCAGCTTCTCAAGATCCAAGCCGGGTCACCTCCTCTTCGACGCGTCTGAAGGAACTCTTGGAGGTGTTTGGCGCGTTCGACCTCCTGCATGAAATTGCTGCTCAGAAGGATCTTCCATTGGCTGTGCGGCAGCAAGCGATCATCCAATTCAAGAATCGTGCCCTGAACCACTGGCGATCAAGAAAGTCAGAGATGGTGTGCTTCCCTAATTGGACAAGCTAATGGCAATCAAACAGACTACTGTCCGACGAACAGAGAGTGCGTGTCAGAGCGCGCTGTTTGACTTTCTTGGATGAAAGGGACGATGTGGTATGCACTCGTTCCTCTCCGCAAGACACCTCGCTCACCGCGGTTAGATCGCCCAATGCAATGAAGTTATTGTCGCTAAGATAGCACGGATTGACTATGCAAACAACTGGTGCGCCTTCATGACGCTTAACGTGTCCAACTAATGTCGAATCTCCAGGGCAAACCTGGTTTCGGATCTCATGGCAAACGTCGATTCCAACCTACAAAAGCGATACTCATCCTCTACCGAAGACCCGTACACTACACTTGTTCTGCGGAGAAGCCTAGACTTGTTAAACGCCATCATCAAAGAGTTGTCCATTGCGAAAATGCTGAATGGAATCAAGGTCATGTCTAAAGTAAGCCGCCCTTCACTATTTATTGTTAACAAATCTTCATACAATCCCTGTAAGATTGTCGACGACCTTAGAAGCGTCTTCCAAGGCTACTATAGTCAAATTTGCTCTAATTTCTCCAACGTGTCCATGACGGCACAGGAGCTGAGCTCGGACAAGATATATACTGATCTTGTCCTTGGGCACCTCTGTTTCAAGTCTCTGGTGAAGATGTCTATTTGGGCGTGGCAGCGCATTGACTCGTCTGGCAAGAATGTTGATTGGGTAGGTTAATACCTTACCTTCCCCTCTGTTACTTCTAAATCGCAATCACAGCTAGCGGAGCTTTTCTCTAGTGCTGCCCTTCAGTTAAGGACGCTCTTTGAGATTCGCAAGAATGTATTACAATCTGTACCTCCATCCTCCATCACCTCCGACGCCAACCTCAACAAGTCTGTGGATATTCTGACTCGACATATTCGTTTATTCGGAAAATTCTTCCGCCGTCTACAGCAGCTCTCAGCTTCCCGCTTCGTCGATCAACCAATGTCCACAGATCTAATACTATATTATTGGTCACAGACTATAGAAAGTTCTAATCGTTCGCCGGACGCGATTGCAGGTATTTTTTCGTGTTTCTTCAGCGCTCCCTGGCAAAATTCATATTCATCATAGATTCCAACACGGCGTTGTTCCCTGTGCGCTTCCTCGTCCAATCCATGGTTTTATTTAAGGAGTATCTTATTCAATGGCGCAGAAATAGCCAAGCGAACAAAGGCTGTGAGTGTTTTGATGTCTTGCTCTCACATTCACTCATCCGGTATCCGAAATGATAGCTCTGTCACAAGATTTCATCGAAAACGCTGTTCGAATCCTCGTCACCCGTTTCATACCCCTGCACCCTTCGGATCTCGAACGGTGGGTCGAAGATCCAGAAGAATGGGTGAGCGAAGAAAGCAAAGACAACGATCAGTGGGAATACGAAATACGTGTAAGCGTAGTTTCATTATTTAAAGATACTTCAGTGCTGAGCACCGTACCTACAGGCATGCAGTGAGCGGCTCTTGATGACGTTGTCTTCCCAATACCCGGCCATCGTTATACCTCTTCTCAAGACTACATTTGATCAGATGGCTGGTCTGTAGCACCTTGCGTAGTTCGTTCTATACATGCTTAACTTGCTCTAGCGCAACCGCCAACGGACCTTCAAGGTATCATCCAAAAAGAGGCACTATATTGCGCTTTTGGTCGTTGTGCTAGCCGATTGAAGGATTCCATCCCATTTGACGACTGGCTACAAAACACCCTCCTCGCCGAAGCTTCCGAGACCAATCCTATGTGCGTCTTTTCCGCCCTGTCAGCCCACCGAAATTTAAATAAACATTAGTTATCCGATCATTAAACGCCGGATCGCTTGGTTGATTGGGAAATGGGTGCACGACTCCTGCACTTCCCCGAATAATCCAATCATATGGCGGATTCTCATTCACCTACTCCAAGACCGAGGACCCGGAACGGACGCCGTCGTGCGCCTGACCGCTGCGATTGCACTGGGCGAATGCGTAGATGTGTGCATTTGATCGTCCCATCTGTGTTACAAAGCCGTAAAGCTCACGGCGTTCCCTATAGACTCTAGACTTCAAAGTCGAGGCATTCACTTCATACCTGCCTACCGCTGTCTCTGAGCTCGTCAAACTCCTTAGCGAGGCAGAGACCGCGGACACGAAACGCCAAATCGCGAAGAGCTTGAATATTGTCATACAACAATCAGGGACTGAGGTATTTTAGCGTTTCATTGCCGCCAACGCGCGCTCTTTACTTAGGTCAATAGGTAACGCCTATGGTGCCAACGATAACGGCCCCCCTTGCTTCGCTATGTCAGTTGCTCCATCAACTACCCACAGGCCCATGTTGCTAAATCTTTTGCTAGGGACATCTGTCGGGGACGATTGGCTGTTTAAGTCGGCTCTCCTAGAAACGGTCACCAAACTTCTGGGCGTAAGTGCTTTCTGATGCCGTCTTTTGAACAGACATTGAACCTCGAACCCAGGCGATTAAGGAGCAGTCAACTCCGCTCAGTGCTATTGTAGTTCCTTTATTACAAGAAAGTCTCTCTCCCGGAGTAAGTCGAGGAAGTATCATGGGGCTAAATTCTGATTCCTTTTGAAGGCCCTCGCAAACCTCGACGAAGATGCCCTTGTACTTTGGCTCGCTGCGCTGCGAAATACTACCTCTATCCATGGCATGAATGGCGCCCCAGGGCTCATTGACCTGTTCCCCATAGCCATGACAATGCTTGCTTCAAACCTCGATCTTCTAGGCAGCGTTGTCGAAATTGTCACTTCGTATCTCTTCCTAGATGCTCGGACAATTCTTGCGGTTCGCGTTCACAAACTTCCCGAGATTGAAACATCTAACATCAGTCTTGATTAGACGTACGGCACGGACCTCTTTCGCGCCTTTCTCCAAGGATTGACCAGTGGAGCCGTGGGCCCGAACCTCAAGCAGATGATCGTATCTTTGGAGTTTCTGGTTCAACTGACGCCTGCGTCAGTCTGGGCAGAACCGATGCACACGTCCGGTCTCTTTGCGCATCTGATAACAAAAGTCACAGACGATGATGTGAGCGCTGTCCCTTAGCTTGAAGAATGTTGCTGACGAGTACGAAAAGGCCGGATCCATTGTCTTGACAGAATTGATTTATCTCTTTGCACGCATGGTGATGGCAGATCGCCCAATATTTGTACAACTCATGTCGGCTACAACCTCGGTACAAAACACGACAGAAACGAAACTGTACGAAGGGCTGTTGGATCAATGGTGGAGCAAGGTACTGCTTCGTCCCTTTGTCCGCCCCGAGTTACTGTCTCAGTCCTGTCCTTCCGTAGTTCGACGCGATGTCTGAGGCACGGCACCGCAAGCTGACCGCCATGGGTATCGCCTCACTCGTAGCCACAGGCCGCCCGGAGGTTCTACAACGGCTGACCGGTGAAATATTCAATATTTGGCTTGACGTCTTCGGCGAGATCAAGGAGATTGGAGCTGAGGCAGCCAATGATGCGCCTGACAGCAACGAGTGACTATGCTCTCTCTTTGTCCATGCTGGGTGGGGGGTTGACAGGCATGATATAGACTTCTTTCTCCCTTGAACCTCAAGCGATATTGGGAACTTGACGAGGCACCTGCGGAGTATTACTCAGATTCGGAGGATACGCCTGAATACAATCGCAGGAAAGCGGTGCGTTTGTGTTAGATTACTACTCTCCTGATATAGTTTCGTCTAACGCTAGCCTAGCTATACGACCAAGACCCTGTGCGCACCATGAAGCTCAACGCCTACGTTGCTGGTCATCTCCGTGACGTTGAGCAAGCAATTGGTTCCCAGGCGTTCCAATCTATGTATCTCTCCAAGGCCGACCCCACAGTAGTGAAGCAAATCACAGATGAACTAACACGTGCATGACATTATCTACATATATCTTCTCAAAGTACAATGCTAGTTTCTAGACAGCAATACTAATAATCATCTGACATTGCGGAGCCTGTGAAGCTACCAACTGATGCAGACATGTCGGTGGCGTCTAGATCACTGGAAAATTCGTAGTCGCTTGTGGTCTCTGCTTCAACTTCCTCGGGGATGAATGTGACCCTTTCGGCTGTTTTGACGATTTCCGCACATCGTATACATTCCCAGCCTCCCTCAGTAGCATCACCTTCATCGACGGTACGTAGGAGTCGCTCCGCTATGCAATGATAGCAATATGTATCGCCACATGAGGCCTGGTATGGTGTATTGATGGGAAACGTTGGGGGTTCGTTCTCAGAATTTTCGCCTGCTCCTGTAGTTGGTGCAGAGGTAGCAATTGACGAAAAGACGTTCGTAGGTTCTGATATGTTGAAGTTGAAAGACGCATTCTCGGCACAAATTGCGCATTGATCTGCTGCCATGGTCCAGTATCTTCCACGACGTTTCGTCAGCGTTTGTGGTGTCTTCGTGCCCGAGCCCAGGCCGAGCGCCTTGATTGGCGCCATGGCTCTTATATTGCTCAGACTAATGGCGGATACTATGCGGGTGATTGATCGACGAATAGAACGGGCGTTTATGAGAGGAAGGAGGAACAGTAGGAATTCCTACACAGAGCTTTAGGGCATGGGGTTCATATTTGTTGAGAGTACTCACTGTAAAGGCATGCCAGACCATCTGGCGGTTCATGAATTCATAACTGACATCACGTTTGACAAGCCGGCGCGAAGGAACGAGTCTCATCCGAAGGAGTCTGTCTGTAACGGCACGATACCTTTCATCAAATAAGTGCGCGATCTATGGATGTATTACTCAAATGCTGTACCTTCCGTCCCATAGAAATGCAACAAAGTTGAACAACCCGAGCACGGTGTGCAACGATTCCAGGGATGCTATCGTATCCCATAACCTCTTGCGAATGTCGGACGAAGGTGCATCAGGCCAGGAATTCGACAATGCATGAGAGCGAAGGCGAGCGTGAAAATAGGGTACGACAATGGTCAACGTTCCATGGATGAAGAGTGTTCGCCTAGGAAGACCAGATGCTGCTCAAATTTAGTACCATATCATAGAAGGCAAATTCAGACGAAGACGCACGGGCAAACTTCTGCCCCAAGTTTTGAGGAACTTTGTATTTTAAATCTTGCAGCTTGGCACCATAAGTCGCGCCTAGATTCCATACCGAAAGCTTGTAGAGTGTCAGTTGAATGATCAAGCTGAGTTCGGGCTCAAAGCGGGATCTAAGGGAGGGCTTCAGCCAAGTTAAAGCCTGCATTTGCTTTGGGACGAAGACCCTACATTCATTGTCGCCAGCGCCGACTGAAGCGGTTCTTGGAGCACATGAACAAGCTCTTGGTCCAAAAGTTCAGAATCCAGCTGGCCGACGCGCATCGGTCGAGGACAAGGAGAAGACAAGTGCCGCAGAGAGCCCCATATTTCTGCTAGACGTGGCTGAGCTCTGTCCCAAGCATCTTCCCAAGGAGCGGACGACATGAATGTTACCGGGAGGACTGCATTCAAGGCCGGTGCCCATGTGCCGATTCTGATCGAGGAAGATAGGGGATCGACAACGAAGCGCCCATTCTGATCAAACCGACAACAAGAGTCATTTCACGCAATCCATTTCTCCCAAAGTCTTCAATATGGCGGAAGCCTTGCAGCAAGTCATCCTCGACACTTTAGACGCAGAATCCACAATAAAAGACACGAGGGCACTCGTTCTACCTGGGGAGAAGGGTCCCGCGATCTCGAATGACGCTCAGATTGCGATCTTGGGAGCTCTGAATTCATTGTCCAGTAGAGATGTTAGTCCCTCGATCTTAGTTCAACGCCAATATTTGTGTAATGTACGCGCTAGATGATATCGTACGCGACTCATGAAGTCATATCGCATGTGCCGACCCCCGAAGGTTCACAAATCGTAGAGCAAGGATCGAATGAAGCCCGAGTATGGGCAGCTTTGTCACTGAAGGGACAGGGCGAACCCATCACACCAAACCAACTAAAGAAAGCCGTTGGAGACGAGGTCGCGAAGGTCGGTCAAGGGCGTGCATTCAAGAATGGGTGGATAGCGAAGGAGGGAGATGGCTTGGTTAAATCGGTGAATAGCGACGTACATTACCACCTGTTAGCTCTAACTTATACTGTGCAGGCCCCCGAGATCAAAGATATCACACGAGATGACTTACTAGAGATCAAATCTACTGGTACCCTCAAATCCGGGGAGAAAGCTCTTGCAGACTTACGGAAACGTAAATTGATCGTTCAAAAGTGAATCTCTCATCCGTATTTAGTAGAACAGCTCATCAATCATACATAGGAAAGGACAGTGGTTCTCTGTAACCAAGGGTCCGAGCTTCAGCACATCCATAGCGAAGCCCGAGACTGATCTAACGGTGGAGATGCTTGCATCGTAAGTCCCACCACGGATCAGCCACACAGTCGCTTCACACGCATGACAGAGGATCGTGGAAGACGTCCGCTTTCAAAAAATACAACTTCGAGGCCGAGGGTATACCAACAAATGGAGGTGCTCTTCATCCACTTCTGAAAGTTAGAGAGGAAATACGGAATATCTTCCTCGAGATGGGGTTTGTCTTTTCGGTGTACCACGATGGCATTGGTATTGACTGTTGCCCTAGTTTCGCTGAAATGCCCACACAATCCTTCGTCGAATCAGGTTTCTGGTGCTTCGACGCGTTGTTCGTACCACAACAACATCCAGCACGAGATCTACAGGATACTTTCTATCTCTCTGGTAGGTCTCCACCTATAGATTGCGGTAGATTATCTTATCCAAATAGATCCCGTCATATCCCTGCCTCCAAAGAAGGATTACTACGATCTCGTCTCCAAGGTGCATGAGCACGGCGGATTTGGCTCGACCGGATACCGCGCGCCATGGGTCGAAGAAGAGTCCAGAAAACTCCTACTCCGCACACACACCACCGCATCATCCGCGCATATGCTCTACAAACTCGCAGCTGCATGTCGGGGTGAGAAGATATCCAGCGACAAAGGCGAATACACACACGGTGCATCATCAACTACTGGCAGCGATCGTGGCGATCCAGCGAAAGACGACGGCTTCCGTCCTGCAAAACTCTTCAGCATAGATCGAGTGTTCCGGAATGAGACGATGGACGCGACACATTTGGCTGAGTTCCACCAAGTAGAAGGAGTAGTTGCCGATCGTAACCTCACTCTAGCTGATTTGATAGGTAAGCCATCCATAAGCCCAAAGAATATAGTGTCTCTAACAAATATCAGGGTTCATGAGGGTTTTCTTTGATAAAATGGGCATCGAACAAGTCAGGTTCAAGCCAGCGTACAACCCATATACCGAGGTACATCCCTCCATCTCTACATCATGTCCACTCATTGACTGGTTGCAGCCTTCCCTAGAAATCTTTGCTTTCCACCCTATGCTGAACCGATGGGTTGAAGTTGGAAACAGTGGCATGTTCCGTCCAGAAATGCTCGAACCCATGGGCTTTCCGAAAGACGTCCGCGTCCATGGCTGGGGTCTTAGCTTAGAACGCCCAACGATGATAAGGTCAGTCATAAACCACCCACCATCTTTCCGTTGCTTTCTCAAGTCTTCATGCGATCACAGATACGGCATCAACAACATCCGGACCCTTGTTGGGCACAAAGTATCCATCGAAGGCATCGAGAATTCGCCTGCCGTAAGATTCTGAGTACAGATGACGCAGAGAGTAGTAATGTATGCACAACTATTTAGCCAATTATTATCCACTATTCATGTGGCGCAGTAGCTGGGTAAAATGCAATGCTCAGTGTTGTAACTTAAATATTTAGAGGCTCAGCTTGTACATGCGGAAGAAAGGAATTGTTATTTATAAACAGGAGAAAGAAGTAGATAATTTTACAATGATACAAGGCAACAAAAGATCGGATGATTAGGGCTAGAAAGAGAACACGGCCGCATTCTTCCTCGTTCCGAACATATAAACCAACGCTTGGCTCATGAATAGCCCCACCGTGATACCGATTGTTACAGCAATCATTGCACCACCGATGTCGATGCCATTGCCGTTCGCAGTGATTCCGCCAGCTTGGGACAGGCCAGACTGTTGGGAAGTGATTGTAGGTCATCTGGAATCAACCAAAACCAAACAACGTACCGGCACCAAGAACAATACCCCAGTAACCATCGACGTGAAGGCCGTGCCTCCCATCTTCCTTGAGTACATATTCCCCAGTACACCAACCGTAAAGGCTCCAATAGCAGAAACAACGTCTGACCGATTGAAAATATAATGATTTGCCACCTTATTCGACGCGTAGCTAGCACAGGAGATGACAACCATCACAGGCAGTTGCCTGCTCTTCCATGGTTGCTGATTTGCCAAAGACGATAAGATCGAGAAGAGAGGAACGATGACGAACGCTGTCCAATACGGGAAGGGTTGGAGATACCAAGGTTGATTGGGGAGTCGGAAGCAACCATCGTGGATATTTTGTTGGGTCAACGGCACACGATTGACGAACGTCCAAGTGCCGGCACCAGGAACAATATTTGTCGTGTTATCGGAGATCCAGGTGCCCGCGAAGGTCGCAGTAGCGGAGATATTCAGAGCTAGCTCGTCCAGGTTACGGCGCATGCTTTTGTCGAATAGCAAGTAGAAGTCCGAGCCAATCTGGAGACCGAAGCCGAGGAAAAGGGTGTAAATGAGGGCGTACACCATCTTCACACTTCCACAGAGGATATTCTTTGATGCTAATTCCAGAGAACTACTCACTGAAGTATGTGTGAGTAAATGAATACCTCGGTGACAGTGGCATACGTACAAATCAGATACCCAGGTAGGATACCAATGATGGAGGAAGACGAGATAGCGGTATAGCAGAATAAATGGCTTCGGATACTGCTCAGGCCTCGAGCCGTGAATGAGATGAAGATAGTGATTGTGATCCTATTCTGAACTCAGCGAAATGTGCCAACCAAGCTGGAAATCACTCACTCGAAAACGTTCGCATAGATAACACTCTTCCCAGCCATGAAAAGTTGCAGAAAAGATAAAACCAATGCACATCCGCCAGCAACCCACATATCCAGGAAAGAACCCCCGAATGCCAACGGACAGATCAAAGATGATAACAGAAAGGCCAGGAAGACACGAAACAGCCGAGGATAGACGGGCCCAGACTTTAGAAGTGCTTCAAGTTGTTCTGATGCCTTTTTTGCGGAGATTTCATCGTGAACCACGGAACGATAGATAAGGTGAACCTTGTGGAGAGCGCCAAGCGAGAGAGCGCCACCGCACTTGACGAAATGAGTCTCAGAGCATCCCATTTCTTGGTCACCAAAGGAGCAGATAATAACTCCAGGGAGATGGATGAATTCGGCCTCGACCTCCAGGATGCGGGCGGCAGCAATGAGTTGAGATTCTATACGATGTGAAGGAGCTCCAAATGTCATCAAGGCGCGCGCTAACTTTATGAGGAACTCTTGTCGATTAATCATGGCTAGGTCGAGAGTCGTGAGATGCAGGGACCATTAGCCTTGAAACAATACGTACAGGTTACATTGAACTCGATCCTCGCCCGCATGAGATGTTTTCTGCGGGCTCGGTAGTCCATCTCCCGAAGTGTGTTTTTCTCGACGTCTTCCCTGTCTTCCAGGTACTCGGCACGAACTCCAGTTACTCTCGGATCGTCGGGGTCCAGTATATCGGAGCCAGTTCCGGACAAGACAGAGACCATCGAATCCATACGTCGGAATCCAGGTCTAGCAGAAGACATGCCCCTCGGCGGCGGCCAATCCTCGGAGTTCTGCCTGCTTCCCATGCCGTCCATGTTATTATTGATCGCGTAGAGGTCCAGCATGTTATGAAGTACGCCGCGACGTTTCAAGGCTCGCTCAGTATTCGGATCCAGGGAGGGAAGGTCGTTCGGTTCATATTGCTGCTTACGTTGCTGTTCATCAGCGAAACTCACCGACCGCCTCGCAGATGCCGACTGTGGTCCGCCCGGGCGGTTTTGATATGTGCTTTCGGGTGCTGGAATGTCATATGGATGCTCGTACGACGACATAGAGTATTTCTTGAATTCGTCATTGGATTGAGGAAAGGTCTCGGCAAGGGTAGCATCTGAGTTCCTATTAGATCCGGGAGCAAGACCACTGAATCGCCTCGACGGTAACTCTTGTCTGGGTGGGTTTGGGCCATTCCGCGGACTAGGCGGGACATTGTCGAACACTGGAACCTGCCACTGTGGTGGTGTCATATATCGTACGACAGGCGTTTGCTGGGCGGGCGAGGACAAGATATTGGGAGAATACGGCGTTTCCACTCGCAGCGAACTCCGTCTCGGTCTAGCAGTCGGCACTGCAGGCAACGTCCTTGGCGTGGACGGTTCATCATACACGTTGAATCTTGGTGCAATCGGTGAGCGAGACGAAGGGAATTCGGCAACATTCCTGTCAGTGGACATAGTGGTGGTAGGTAAGATAGTTGTGGTGACTGGTCAACCAGTAAGTAAATCGCGGAGTAACCTTTCTCCGTACCGATGGCCCGAGTCACGCCACGTCTGGGCGCTTAACTGTCCGATCATCCAAGTCACGTGTCGGCGTGGCGTACAAGTTCGTGCACTGCAAATGTTCTAAAGGTCTCCGAATGTCTCTGCCTCCCACTGTTCGCTTCCCCGAACGTCTCCTGAATGTCTGGAAATGGGTCGTACTTCAATTGAAGCAATGGACTCGTCAATGCGAACGAGCCCACTTGGGCAGGCTGCTTGGGATGGTGCTCAACGCGTTCCGTCGCCTATCTGAGCTCAGAGTTTCGGGTGAGTATTAGTACGGCATGGCTGTGATTTATATCAAATGTATTTAAGGATATGAAGCGACACGCTCTGCAAAAGGAATTGACGCACCTTCGCAGCCTGCTAACTCGCTGGTAGTCCTTCCGACGGAGTTGCTCACTCTGGTTTTGGCCGAACTTGAACTGAGAGATTTGCGGCGGGCTCGCTGCGTAGGATTGATTCTCTTTTGTAGGGGTTGGTCTTACAACTAGCTTGTCTAGTCTTGCAGGTCTCTCTACACCGCGTCAAAATCGCGTGCTATCTGGCTGCGTCTTTTCTGGCAACTTTCGGACCCGTATGTCCTCCCGATTATTCCCCCAAGACCTCTGGAGACCTATGGCGCCGCCGAACTAGAGTCGATGGTATTGCAGTGGACTCGTGTTGACCATGGATGGTCCTCGTGCTCGATACGACAGCAACCTCCTCCTCAGCGTATCCTGGACCACGATTGGCCAAATACACCCTTCGCACTAATTGAAGGTGGTCGTTGGCTTCTTACGACAGACAAATGTGGCTCCGTGTTGGTACACGATTTAGATTCACCCTCTCTTGCAACTGGAACACACGTCCTTATTCGACCAGAAGATAAACGGGACCACGTTTATATCTCCAAGATGTCTGTCTGTATCGATCGATCCTCCCCTACCTTAGAATTTAATCTAGCGCTTTCACACGACTACGGTGGGGGTGTCTTCAATTTCTTCGTCCTTCCCAATGCTTAGCTCATTTGTAGGGAGGCTTTCGACATCCTCTAGAGTGTCCATATGGAGAGTAAGGCTCGTCGATACCACCGGCCATCGTCCCAAACTTTCCTCGAAGCTCCTTAATTCATTCTACACTCGGGTCTCGAAAGTCGTTTTCGACGCCTCCCTACTGCGCTCGTTGTACGCTCGGATTGTCAGCCCCTGGGCCGTCGAGCTATTCAACTGGGAGGATTCAAAATCCATGGTTCATGTAAAATCACATATACATCCTGTACCCGACATGGTGAGTCCCAGCTATTACTAATAGCACGAGTCTAAATATAAATCTCACAAAGGCTTCGGTGCGTTTACTGCCTGGTAGAAGGGTACTCACTGGTAGAGGGAGTTCAATCCACATTTACGCCATTCCCGAGTGCACATACCATTCAGCGACACTTCCATTTGACCCTTTGGAGAATACGGATGCTCAGACACCGCTCCAAGTCATTCCCATTGGTGGTCCATTGGTTATTGGCGGCATATCTCCCTCATACTCCAGTTACTCGGGGACGATTTATATTTCCTTAGCGACGGCTCAGCACATTTTTGCTCTTATTACCGACGCAGAGGACAATGAAACAGCGGTCATCAAACTAATCGATTACTCGATGAGATTTGATGGCACTGTTTATGCACTTAGTCTTCACAGGACGCTCATCCGACAAGACTATATGCCCACCTCAGTCATTACATTGAACTTACTACGAGACGAACAATTTGATGTCCACGAACACTATTGGCATGACAATGTCCATCGTTTCTCAATCACGACTCTTGATGAATGGAGCGGAAGGGTAGTTGATCATTTGAAGGATGGAAGGATTGTTGTTATAGATTTTCTTCGTTAGTTGCCACGTTTTGCAAGCTACTATATATGTTTACACCACTGGTAGTGGCCTTCAAACGAGCAACATCATAATCAATAGTGACCATGTTGGCTTGGAGACTTACCCAAAAGGACAGGGCCTTAAACAGAGTCCGGATATTAAAACTTGGGACTGACAACGGATCGGTAACCCAGCAGGTATAGTCGTTGGAGGATTCGTTCAACAAACCAAATGTCCATTCTGTTGGTTAATGCGAATGGCAGTGAGCAATCTTCCAGAGGATGAGGATCTATCTTCTTCATCGCATCGATTCTGTTGCAAGTTCTCTCCTTTAGCAAGGCCAACGTCACGGAAGCTGAGATACAGATACGTACGCTGCCACAGCCTCCACAACCGCCTGAGGCAAATGAGCACGCAGTTGTGTATCCGGCTTTTTTTACCTCGATGATGATGGACCTCGAAACGTTGTTTTGAAGACGTCGTTCAGCCTTGAGAATATCCACCAACGTGGTTGAATTCTGTAGAGATTTAGCTGCTAAATCATAGCGATCAGGATGACCGTCAGGCACATGAAGGATAAGGCTGTATACCTATCATATCATCCACCTTTTCTAGAGGCTGTTCCATGACGCTATTCCATTTAAGTGTAAGGACCCCATAGTCGGTCAATCCTGAGAAGAATATGGCCCTTCGTTCGACCTTGTGTAGGAATGAAGCAGGCTCCGCCGCCTTGGCCAGAATGAGCTCAGGAAAGATGCTTGAAAATTGTTCAAGAGCATCGCAAAGCTCGCTGAGCTTGAAATCCAAACGTTCGGGGTTGGCACGACAGTCATCGATCATCGATCATCCTCCGTTGCTGCATCCAACCGTTCTCCGTTTACTCCAATATATCGAGAATGTCTGGAACTGGGCTCTGGTGCGCGTGAAGCAGGAATGCGAACACCAAGTCTACCTTCGAAAACTGCTTGGGATTACACTCAGCACCTTTCAGTCGCCTGTCAAACTTCAAAGTTTCAGGAGAGTCTAATCTGGCATCCCCTATCCTGACCCAAAGTCCTTGAACTTCAAACCCATATTTCCGTCTGGTGCGCCTTCGATGTCCTTGAAGCCCAGTTTTGCGTAGAATTTCTTCGCGTTATCGTTTCTAGTATCGAGCCCAACCCACACGCCGTCTAGGCCCCGCTCGCCCAAAAACCTCACTACCTCAGCAATCAGCTTTCGGCCCCATCCCTGCCGTTGATAGTCCTCCAGAATGTCGATATGCAGATGAGCTGCAGAGAATTTGATGTTGGCTTCCGGGGCAGTGTGCATGTCCCAGATCCGTTCAATATATGCCTTATCTCCCTCCTTTAACTCTTTATCGTAGTAGCCCGGTTCGTTATTGGCGGGTAACGGGAAGCTGGCCTTTAGAGTTGGCCACCATGTCTCCGCTGCTGCTTGTTCGTAGACGCGTGTATTGAACGAAGACAGAACGTATCCCACTACCTCTTTCGTTTCTAAGACCTCCATTACGAACCCGAATGTGGAGGGAAGTTTGACATATGGGACGGCATAAACCAGTCCAGGAAGCTCCCCGTAGTTGTGCCGATACTCTGCACTGGCCCCAGCATCAGCTGTAAGCAGACAGATCCGCGACAATGATTGTTCATCGGCCTCTGTCGCAGGACGGGTGATGATATCGGGCATCTTCGACTGGATCACGTCTCGAGGAAGTGATTAGAGCAGTAAACCTTCTATCTCCCTTTATAGGATTGGGTGAGGATGTCCAATTTGGAAGGCTCAGGTAGCGAAGCATCGTTCTGGAGCTTGGGAGGGTAAAGCTCAGCGTACAGAGTGTGCAAAATAGATTGAACGGTATAAGAACAGGAATACACTTGCACGAATCCGATGGTAAACATGATAATTAGTACCTTGATGACAAAGTCCATGTAGTCCACGTATCCGCCTTATATTAATCCAGCTTCCCGCAGATCTGCTTGCAGCCTGCGATCACGCTCGATGGCCTCTCGTACTGTGATCACTCTGTTACTATCAAGAGGGATCATCATATCCAGCTCCGTCGCGTCGTCGTCGTCGTCGTCACGACCTCCGTCTTCTCCGTGCCTCGGGTTCCTCGGGACATCATTACTCCCTTCTTCCGTTCCTCGGGTCTGGTTTGCAGCGAGGACTTCGGATTCTTCATCGATGTCATTGGGTTGTTGACGCGAGCCCAAGCCGAGGCCTCGACGAAGTAGATCCATGCGCTCGAAACCGCTGAAGCCAAAGTTCCGCTCCACTTGGGGGAACAGGGGGAAGCGGAAGGTAGTAGGTTCAGCCGGGGTCGTACTGGTGTTCTGTTGAGAGTTGAGAATGCCGCGCTCCCAGCGTTTGACCCGAAGGAAGCCAAGCAGAGACGTTAGGAGGATGAACCAACCTGTAGAGAGTAGAGTTGAGAGGCATTACGATGGTAATTTGATGAATAGACTTGCCAACTGTCATCAAGAAAAACGACAACCACTCTGTGGTGGCATTGGCCATCAGCGCCGCCGCCTGCTCTTCTTCCGTCAACGTGGGGACTGGTACATCGGTAGCGTTCCCAGAACCCATCATACCACCGCCAGGAGGGTAATTGTACTCTCCACTAGGACTGGGAGCGGCTGTTCCATCCCAGCCTGTCCAGGCATCCTCACCAGAGAATCCGTTCTCCACCCTGCCCCTCAACGCAAGCCCGTACTGAATAAGCGTGACTCCCAAGCCAGCTCGTGAGCCTAACCTTGCGGCATGTGTGGTATGGAGTAGGTACGTCAATAGGAAGCCGACAAACTGGAATGATATGGAGACGAGCATGTTCCAGAGGAAGGAGAATAGGGACCCAGTGGGTAGGTTATCGATGATCATCTCCCCAAGGGAATCTGGAGCAAACGGCGCATGCACAGTGGTTTCCCAGTACGGTGGGACAGCATCAGCTTGGGCTGATGCATATGAGGGGGGGGCTTCTGATCTTGAATCTTCTGCAGATGTGAATTCATCACCTATGTACACAGATTCATGTCAGTAATTTGACGAAACTCAGACGATAGTAATTACTCACCCTCTGCTCTCGGCGCTGCTGGCTTGGCCGTGACGTTGGCAAAGACGCCATCGTTGTTGAGGCCTCCACCAACGACTCCAGCCGGTGACCGAGGCGCCAAGCCCACTCGCTGAGACACAGACGCTGGCAGAGCCGCAGCAATCGTACGCTTCAGCCAACCTCCTCTGGGCCGGCGTGAGGCGTCAAGCTCGAAATCGGGTATCTGACCATTCGAGTTTCCAATTTCATTCGGACGAGCGTAGGCAGAAGGCAGAGGCGGCGATCCCGGTGGAGGGTAGTCGTAGTCCACGTTCTCAAAATCATATGTGCCTGGTGGTCGAGAAGTGGTGCCATTATTGTAAGTTTCTGGAGTGGGGAAACGAGGGTTCTCATGCGACGAGCCCACCGCTGTGGGAGACGTTGGTTGAGGATTCAATGGCTGAGACTCCGAGGCGTCCACATCGTCTTCGTCGTCTGAATGGTCGAAGGCCGCTTCCATCTCCTCGTGTGCATCTCTGTCCGACCGTGGATTGGGGAGGGGAGCATAAGCCCTCGACATGGAAAGGAACGAAGGTTGTTGGTATAGAAGTGAATATTCTAGAAAATAAAGAACCGATGAAAGTGAGCTGTGGGGTCTGCGACTGCGTTCGTCTTAGGAACGAGCTCGATGTGGCTGTGGGAACGCAGTAATCTGATTACGTACTCATGCGATATCTCACGGTCTCATGAAGTTGCTCATGCGCATGAGCACTCTTCACAAGTCGCACAAGGGCTTCTCAAGCAACAAATTAAGGTAAGACATATAAAGCGAATACTTTCATCCAGAAGACAGGTATCTTTTTTACAAGTACAGACAACAATGCAATGCTTCTGGACGGGATCGGGCCCATCCAGGCCAGCTGTAAGCTTGAACTACGAAATACACACAATGCTACAGAACACAATACAATTCCCCAGAGACGGTATAAGGGGGCTTTGGACCTACTGCCAGAGCCTAGAGAAATGAGGATGTGCATGGGGATGGACTAATTACCAAGGGTACCTCTCATCGCAGGTGCAGATCGGCTCGGTTGGCGTCTCTGATGAGGCGATTGATTCGCTGACAGCTTTCCATACGAGCGGCCATCATGCTCTCGTACATCTCCAAAATGCGAACGCTAGGCTGCGAAGCATCCTCCGTCGTTGGGCGAGGGACATAGGCACGCTTTGGTTTTGGCGCTAGATTATCGAGCTTCAGCTTGAATGCTCGTTTGCGCTTGTTCCAACGAGTGTTGGACGGGGACGGGGATGTTGGGCGGGATGCATCCTCTGATTCCGTCTTGACGGAGAAACTATCGGGGGGCATCTCCCTTCCCCCGAGCGAAGTCGATGGCGATGGTGAAGGCAGCGTGGACATGCCGGCGCCTCGCATCTGGTCGATGCTGCTGCAATCGCTGGGTTGTGTTTGTAGGGCCTCTTCCTCGAGCTCTGCCCTTGTGCGATAGACCCACATGCGCTCTTGCTGGTAGAAGGAGACGAGGGACTCGAGGAGATTTGCGGTGGATCGCAGGGGATGGTCGGGTGGGTGAGGGATCGCAACATGTGGTGAGAAGGGAGGAGTTGGAATTGAGTGGGGGTAGTTTGCCATTTCCTGATTGTAGTGGTCTTGGTGGAGGATTAGAGTTATTTCTTGCGGGACAACGGAAAACACACCTTGGGACATGACAAGACTATATGAGAACCAAGAAATGGTCTCGAACAAGAGCAGGTCGCAACATATACTTTTCAGAATGGCCCAGAAGCCTCGATGGTGATTGGTCTAGAGTATCAATCACCCCTGCCAGCCAATCACCGCGCTGTTACACACTGTTACGTAATCCGCCGGCCTCCCATCCAATCGCTGCTGCAGCCAATTACGCTTCATGTTCTGCCACCATCTCCTCCTGCTCGTTACCGCCGCAGCCTTCGTCGCCGCTGATGAATCACTCCGTCTGTATCACCGTGTCTATCACCCAATAGTACCAGAGCTTCCTTTTGCCTTGCGTGGGACCGTTAACATAAACGACTCGCTTCTCGTCACCTTCCGGCCCTCAGAATCCATATCAGAACCACTGCAGCAGTTTGCGGACTCCCTGCAGCCCGGAGCAGTGGATTTGCACGATGCCCAGTACCAGGTCGCCCTGGAGCGCGCTGGCGACACAGCCGAAGCGCACTGGGATATATCCTCCGTAAAACTGGTGAGCACTGGATCTCCATCTCGGCTTCAGGTGGCTTGCTCGGGCAACCGCGATTGCAGTCGCACTGGCCTTAGTCGGGAAACACCGAAGCCCCCTCAACCAGATGCAAAAGAGGGTGGGACGGTGGTTGCCCATTTTCGACCACGGGACTAGGCTGGGCAAGATGGCGCCGAGATGCGCCTGCCGTTTCGCTCCAGGAACTCAACGTGGGGCGTGTGTACATTTGCCACTCGTTCGTAGAGACGGCAGCTACAGTCTGAAACGTACAAATATAGGGCCTGTAGACCATGTGCATGGATGGGATACTGCATTCCATTACTGCGTCTGAGTGTTCGTCTCGGTCCATTTTGCCCATTTTAAATATATCACGAGTGCCTTTACTAATTCTCTTTTCAGTGTCATCTTGAGAAGATCAAATCCGAGTCCATAATTTTACACACAACGGCTGGACCGGACCCCTCTCCTTTCGCCATCGACTATTTCGTATCGCCAATACCTCTGGATGGGTCGTGTTCCAAGTTGAAGAAACGAAAGTTGGATTCTACGGCACTGTCCAGTTTTGTCAAGCAAGTCCAGCTCCTCATGGTGGACACAACCGTGACCGTTCAGCGGCCCTCGTTGCCACCTCTGTGAGCCTCCGTCTCCTATATATCCCCGTCTAGAAGGATGAGGTGCTTCTCCCGCGTGAGGATATCTGCTGAACAATACTTCCCCCTCCCACAGACCAGAGCTCCGTGCCCCTCCTCCCATAACCCAATCCGGGGAGCCAGTCGTCCCCGTACCAGAGAAGTCCTTCATACAGAAATACTGGTTGTACATCGTGGCGGTTTTGATCGCCCTAGGTCAGTTTCCCTTCGCTAAACGCGATCTTTCTTACACGTGCATGTTCCTGATGATACATCCCCACATTCGTAGTTATGTCTGGTGGTCCTCCTGAGGAAGAAGGGAAAAAGTAGGGTTTGTTACGGAAGCGATATCTACACGGTTGGTCATTGGTGGTAGAATTTCTCGGACCAATTTGTATCAGCCACCAGCAATACACGTCCAACTGGCCGCCCATGTCAACCATATACATCACCAACACGAGTGAAAAGGTAATATGAGCGCCACCAGTTTCGCGGCAGAGGTATGTATCTCGTCGCTTGAATCTACATTCCGGATTGACTATACACGCGGTGATCATTTAATTTACTCGAGTTCGGCATTCGTCCAAATCCTCTGCATCTCTTTTTTGAACGGTTCAAGGTTGAACTCCAGCGCGGAGCAGGGATACCCAATATCGAACTTTTCCAACACGGTTGGATGGAGGATACCTAGGGCACCAATCGCAAGGTCCTTGTTGATATGAAGAGCCGCCTGAACCTCCTGCTTGATGTCGGCAAGACCTCCCTTCTTGGAAGACGGTGCACGGTAGTAAATCGTTGCTGCGCGACCGGGGAAGTACATCGGGTCTATCCAGTAATCTCTCAACAAATAGGAATCCGAAGCAACGTAAGGAGGTAACGTACCATCACATTCCTTGATGTAGTACCCCGTGTCAGCTTTGAAATCGCCGCTAGATATTCTCGGAATCTCAAGCATCTTCATCGCCCGATCCAACATGCCATGGATAATCTCAAAGCCCGCAGTCTTGTTGCACCACACGGCCGCTGCGTGGCGTTCGTTTCGAGCTTGTCTCTCTCGCGTAACGTCCTTGTACACGACATCAGATGTCTCGAAGATCTTGATTGGGAGAGGGTGCGATCTATTCTCGCGGACGGTTTTGAGGAGGCCGGGAATAAGTGTAGTCCGAACGACTTGGAATTCTAGTGTCTTCGGATTGGCTATCTTAACAGCCGTCTTCCCATCATCTTGATGGTTGAGGAATGTAAAGTTCTCCTCAAGCGAGCACTAAACCATCATCAGTCCCGATGTAGCACGGCGGCAGAAAGACGAAGGGTTACCAGAATAAGCGGTAAGACTTCGACCCAGCCGGCCAGGGCCCATTCAACCCGAACGACGTCGCTGAGCTTGCTGATGGCCAGAGGTTGGGCAACGGTGCTGGTGGCGGGAAATTTATTCGGCAGGTTATTGAAACCATAGGCAATAGCGGCGTCTTCCATGATGTCGCACTCATGGAAGATATCAGGACGCGTCGGAGGAATTTCAACCAAGACTTCATCGGGATTTAATGGAGAGAGCGTTGCGGATAGTGACATTCGTTCAAGGAGCGTCTTAACCTCCGAAGATGACAAAGATAGCCCTGTACATGAGTTGATGTACGATGCATGGGCAGACATAACGCGCGTCGAGATATCCGGGGTTATGCGTGTCTGGCTGTCGGGGAAGACTACTTTGACGGGTTCGATTCTAACAGCAAGTGATGTTCAGTCGGCACGACAAATATAGTGTTGAGTCACCGTACGTAAAAGGTTCTGCGCAATACTCCGAGAACATTGTAGCGACCATATTCACCACAATATCTAGCTTGGTCTGATCAGTAGCTGTTACATCGATGAATACGTTGGTGGTGTTCAGCGTAATTTTGCTGTGATTTGAGTTGATGATTGGCGGCATGGAGAGGACCCGGTCTTCTGCATCGTAGATGATGGGATACACCGGTGAGTCACGAATGATGTGGAGATACCGCGCAAGATGTTTCTCAGACTATCCAAGATATAGTCAGTAGTTTATACCGACCGAGGGTACTACAATAAATGTGTACCTCATATACTGTCATAAGTTCCTCGGCCGTGTACTCCTTGTCTTTGCCCAATGGTGCGAACTTGATCGATTGCGGAGGTCTTGCTTCATACCTGAAGGGGCCTTTCAACGTGTCGAGATCATGAGTGCCAATAGCCACAAGCTGGCGTCTCTTGCAGATATTTTGGTGCAGTTTATCTTGGAGCTCTATGAAAGACTGATATGATTCTTGGGTGAATTTAACATTCCGTAGAATCGCGCAAGCAAAGAGGGGGCGAATTTGCTTGGTCTAACGTCTGTTGTCAGTGAGCGAACCGTTGAAAAGAGATCGGTGACTAACTTCAGGACTAACTGTTACAGTTAGTAGGTCTGCTTCCCCTCCGGGAGGGTATACGAGTTTATATTGAGGTCTTGATGATTTATTGAGGAAGACGTTAAGCGCTCGAGCGAGCCCCTCAATGCACAGGAGATCGTATCTGGTTCTCGAAAGTGAATGATAGTTCATATTTGAATGATATAGAGCGCACCTGTTCGCGGGGATTTCGATTTTTAGTTGCTACAAGGTTCCAAGGTTTACGATGGGCAACGGATCTCTGATTTTGGCAACTCACTGGTCGCTCGGTGGGTAGTCCCTTCTTCCTGGCTGCTTCAACTTCCTCTGTGGTCTGATTTCATGATATAGATAGAGTTTCGAGAATAGTGTTGCACGCACGTCTTCATCTAACTCCAGGCCATACTCGAAGAGCAATTTATCGAAGTCATCAGATGCTGGAAAGGGCTTTGAATAAAGCAGTGAAACAGGGAAGATGGAGTGAGGAATGTACAGTATTCTTGTCCCAATCGTTCCCAAAGGCTCGCTTTATCGACTGCGACGGTGGGCATTGCGGCTGGAGTAAACGCTGTACGTGACTCGTCGAAAGTGATCTTGCATCCCGATCACGCCAAGATCTAATCACCCTGTTATCTTATCGGTGAACTCAAGATTCCTTGATCAACCAGGTTGGAGATGGGGTTGATCGTTTACCATCATGAAGTATGTTGCGTTACTCAGCGGCGGCAAGGACAGTTGCTACAACCTGCTTCACTGTCACAAAAATGGCCATGAGTTGGTTGCTGCTGCCTCTCTGGGGCCTGGCCCGGGCAAAGGTGACATTTCATTCGCCATGGCTCGATCTTCTCACCGACGCCGTTACATTTAGATGAACTAGATTCATTCATGTACCAGACTGTGGGGCAAGACGCCATTGAATACGTTGCCAAGGCCCTCGATGTGCCTCTCTATCGTAAAGTCATATCAGGTGCTGCTTTGGAACAAGGCATGGAATACGGCGCGCGAAGAACTAGAATGCTCGGGGCAGTCCATGGAGACGAGACTGAAGACCTGTACGATCTATTGTCGACAGTCAAAGTACTCCACAGACCAGCCTGGAATTTCTTCCGTTGGAATTAACGCATATTTTCCAATAGGCCCAGCATCCTGACGTCGAGGGGGTGTCCGTCGGCGCAATCCTGTCAAACTATCAGCGAGTCCGGGTTGAGCATGTGCAAGTTTCCCAAAGACTAGATTATCTTCCTCCCAGCTGACCCCTCGATCATGATCACAGCTGTCGTCGACTAAATCTTACGCCGCTTTGTTATCTTTGGCAAAGAGATCAACGGGAGTTACTAGCTGAGATGGTCGAGGCCGGACTGGAAGCTGTCTTGATCAAAGTAGCTGGTATAGGTCTGAAGCCCGAGCACTTAGGAAGGACTCTTGCGCAAATGCAGCCTACTTTTCTCAGGCTGGTTTGTCCTCCATTTGACAATTCGCCACATCCTCATCGTCCCTTGGCATAGAACGACCTCTATGGCTCACATATCTGCGGCGAGGGTGGCGAGTATGAGACGCTGACATTGGATTGCCCGTTGTTCAAGAAACGCCTAAATCTGTGAGGGTCCCGAACTTCTGCCCGTGAACCACGGCTGAACATGATGGTCAGGATTGAGACCGAAACAGTGATACACTCCGACAGTGATTTTGCTACGGTTGCTTTCCTTCGAATAAAAGAAGCAAGCCTAGAAGACAAACCTATCAACGAGGATTTCGATCTTGCGGTCCCATCGGTCCTTCAGGCGAAACCTCAGATGATATATGAGAAGCTCCAGGAACATGATGGCGGCCTCGTAAACGGTACACCACCCTCCTTTGGAACCTTGGTCGAACGCTTGGTCGAATCGAGCCGAGGCACCACAACCACCAATGAAAACGGCGCTTGGATTTCTGTCTCAAGTGTCCAAGCCAACGAATCAGGGGGCAGTATAACTGTAGAAGAGGAGGTTAGACAGTGTTTCGAGTTATTACTGGGTAGGTGTCTTCGTTCAAGTCGTACTAGAGCAATTATTCATACCTGTGCTAGGGAAATTGTTACCATATTCCTTGGAGCTCAGTCATTGCGCTCATATCACTATCCTCCTTTCTGACATGGAGCTCTTCGCGAGGGTTAATGCAATCTATGGGAGATATTTCGGTATCAGCCCTCCATCGAGGGCATGTGTTGCTGTTGATTTACCTACGCCGACTCGCATCAGGCTGGATTGTACCTTCTACAGAGAAGCCAGGCCCGAGGAAAGGGTCGCCTTACACGTTCAAGGCCTGAGTTATTGGGCACCCGCCAACATTGGACCTTATTCGCAGGCCGTTATTGTAGGTTTCATAGGTTCCTTGCTTAAAGTTCCTACATCTAACGTTGGTCAATGTGTAGGCTGGCGACCACATTTTCGTATCTGGTCAGATAGGGCTTATCCCTTCGAGCTTGTTATTGCCATCACCCAGCTGCCTTGCAATGGAATTTGCTCTGTGTTGCCAACATGTTAAACGAGTATTGAATGCTTTACGAGAACATGCGAGTTGGACAGGACATCCCCTTTCCGTCATTTACTGGCTAGCAAACACTCATGATATTCCTGCCGTCAAGCATGGGCACGAACTCCTCTGTCAGGTGTGTCTCGATTGGCCGCTGGATGCTAACATTGGACAAACTAATAAGTGATGGTTCAGAACTCATCAGCTCCCCGGGTTCCTTCGCTATTTGTAGTCGTTAAAGCTCTCCCGAAAGGCGCTCAAATAGAAAAACAAGTTTTATATCATACGGGCCGCTTTATTACAACAGACGAGGATGGCGAAGTAGTGTCAAAGTTAGCAGAGCCAAAATTCGAAGAAGGTGCGTCGCCATATGACCCGCTGCTTCAACGGCTATAATTTTGGGGTTTAGATGGTAGTGACATGGGGGCCGAGGATGGTGCTGAGTGGGTTTCAGAAGTATCCTACTTCCAGAACGATGGTGTCGTGGCTCCCTTCGCGATGATATGCGTCAAGGGTCAAGGTATGTTTCCGTTCTCATAGGTGTGCAATAACATCCTCACCGGCCACAGTACAAGCAACTTCTTGGAACGCCACTCGGATGAAATCTGCTCTGGCATCCTTCTCTAGCCGATCGCTATCAACTCGCGTTTTCGCCGTCCGAGAAACCAACGGTTTGTTAAAGTTCGCTGGTGATTAGTCGTTCGCTCATCTTTTGGTCTTATATCTAGCGGTACAAACCCTTGGACTGAGATGCAGTGGAACTTACATTCCATGCAGATCAGTGTCTACTACAAAGAGAGACGACTGGGATGCCGCCATATGCATCATGGGTACTTGAATGTCGTCTATAATGTATAAATATATCAAAACATAGCACTCGTCTACTCTGATGGTAGACTCGTCCAGACGCGCATTGTATCGTCGTCCTCCTCTAGCTCTTCAACAAGTTCAGCAACCTTTGATTTTGTTTCCTCGTCTAAATCGGGAGCATCGTCGGATTGTGGGGAGTACACCAGCTCGCTACTTATCAGTTCGCAACCAGTGCCAAACTTTACAGCTGCATCCGTCACTGAAGTTAGATCTTGTGGAGGGCATATGAACTGGGTGGAACGCGTCAGGAATTTCTTCGCAGCAAAGGAAAAGACAGTCACCGTTAGCTGCTTTCGGTTTGGATCCTCATCGACGGAGTCATCGAAGTCACTCGCGCCAGCAGTCAGTGCCTTATCAACTGCTAAATCGAGGCCCTCATCGTCGCCATTTGCCAGAGCGACGCGAACGTGCCCTTCTCGCTTGAACATGTAATGTACTGGGGCGAATCGAGCGCTGTGATGATATCAGTACTCGTGAGGCTATGCAGCCGGAAAGAGTTTCGAAGGACTTACCCGTGTGACGTCAAAATGCTCCTGACATTATGCAGTGTTCGGTTCGTGTTGTCTGTCAAACATTCTCTACGGGTCAAAGGCGTAAGGGGACTCGAGGGTACATCGTAATAATGAAACTTGCATTATTATGCCAACAGTATTATAGGCAAGTGCCTCATATACTAGGTGCTGCTGGCCGCCTGCGTCCTTCCCTCTCATCGCCTTGATGATTGTAGCAAGGAACTCGTTCAGCAAGTACCTTGACAGTTCTTATACCAGGATGGCGCACCTTGGCAATGGCGGTCTCTATGTTCTCTTTTGGAACTCCCTGGGCTTTGACGCGTTTCAGCACTGCAGCGAGGGCGATATTCTTGTCGGGATTGTCGGAACCGCCATCTTGGGGGGATGTCGAAGACTCGTGAGTTCCTAGACGTCGAAGCAAACGTGTTTGCAACTTACTACGTATCGCTACGACAATATCCTAGGAATGTATCAGTAGCACTCTAGCATCCCGTTTAAAGGGCTTACTCGATTCGCTTTCCCAAATATAGCACTTCTCTGCGCGTCCAAGACCCCCTTCTTGGTTTTGATTTTTGACCACTGCCCTCGGGGAATTAACGCGACTGGTGCATTGGGGAGAGGGGATTAGTGGCGTACCTTGTTGTGGCCCGCTAGCACTGAGGGTGAGGCTGAGAACCACCGACGGCTTGAGTGGATAGCAGGTGAGAACCGAGAAAGAGACATGCCGCCATGAATTTCCGTGCTCGCCGACGTAACCCCAACGGAGGCATAAACCTTAACCCCAATTTGGGTGTATAATTGATCGACTTCAAATCATTGCCACATCATTCAGATCAAGTAGATGCTGCTATCAGTACATTGAAGAGCGAGACTAGAACAACAGTGATCAAAGGTCGAGATATGAAACCCAGAACGAGATACGATAAGAAAAGATGGATCGTTGTTATCTAAGGACTCGGTGCTTGCCCGAGAAGCATCATCTCGCCCAATCTCCTCCGCATCGCCTTCTCGGTAGGAGTGGGAGGCACTCTTCGTGCGAGCATAGCACCAAAGAGTGTACAAAGGCCTCCAAATCGTAGAACCCACGCAACACCGTTGCGGCCCAGATATGTGCTATGATTGCTTGGGTCGTCCTCCACGCCGCCGTCTACAAGGTGGAAGATGATGCTGGATACTAACGCGATCTGTAATTGCATATATTAACTTCTGTCTATCCATTCGTGGAGGGGAGCGCTTACGATGAACTGTGGCATGACAATGGCCAGATTGTGAATGCCTAGTATCGTACCGCCAGCCACAGGAGTAGCCTCCTCATCGGGGTTCACATCATACTCATCGAACGAGCGACTTCGAACAAGTGGTGTCCGCTCAGTGGCACTAGGCCTACGAGGGAATCCAGGTGTTGATAAGGTACGGGCATGCTCAGGGCGCTGAGCCGTTGATGATGAGGGTAGGTCTTTCAACAGCTACAGATGTCATAAGCAACCTAATGAAGGCAAGAGGAAAGGCAGACTATACCTCCATGATAATTGCAAAGGGCACCCAGCATGCCACCGACCAGCAAATCCCGATGAGACTGATCATAATGGTCGCCTAACCCGAGTTAGTCGGTTTGGCTTATAGTACAGGTTGAGGCGCCTCACCTCAAGCACTGTGTTGACGAAAACAGTAGAGAACGTGAGCAATGTAAAGAGCAATAGAGCTCCTGTCCAGATATTGCGGAGGAGGAACGGCATTACAGGGAGACGCAACGGCTCTCCCTTACGAGCTGCATCTGCACGCCATTCTCTAACGGTATGCCTGATCCGGGTGATCTCTGCGTCCTCATCCTCGTCGCCTTTATGGGTCATGAGCCGGCGATCGCGACTGGCCAAGTGCGGCAATAGTGTGCCAGACACCACAGATACTAGGTAGCCCTTAACAAATTGCGTCGATAGATTTCGAAGAGCGTTTCGTACCTATGCTGAATAAGAGCAATGCGAGCTCCCCCTTGCGCGTGGCTTTATCGTGTTCAGGCTCCTTCTGATTCTCATAAGCCATGACTTGACCAATATATGTGGTGCTGCATGTTACTGTAAGCATCGTTTGCACAATTTGACTTCGGCAAAAATACTCAACGCGTAAAACAGGAAAGGGAACCTACAGAACTCGTCACTGAGTTTTGACAAGCGTGCGTACATGGATGCAAGGCTTACCATCCCATAAAGGCAAAGATCTGAACTACGCATACGCGTTGTATAGGCCTGGGAAGCTTCCTTGCGGCGTTATAGATATTAGATAGAAGCTCAGAGAGTTTACTGTACTTAGAGTGATCAGCAGACTGATGAATGGGAACGGGTTTTCTTCACCTCTCCGTGGCCTTATGAGACCGTGGCCGTTCCTCTTCTTCATGGCACACACAGGTGACAACGACAGTGGCAATAAGCAAAGTCAAACTGACTAGGCAGAACTTGCGAAACTGGTCACCGCCGATGAGTCGAATTATAGGAAACTCTGCCAAGGGAAGGAAACCTTAGATGAAGAAAGTTTAGCTCTCAAGGGGACGTTAAAAGCTGATGCCCATACCAAATCCGTATCCGACAATGTTTCCGGCATGGGTCATCCTTCCATGCCAAGCGTTAGCAGAGTTCAGCTGGGCCGGCGGTGTTACGTCAAGGAGGAGGTTGCGCAGCGAGGCTTGCAGAGCATTGAGGGCGAAGTCAAGCAAGTAGAAGGAGACGACCGCAATGCCAATAGCAGTCCCGTTGACCTGTTCAATGTTGAGTATTGGAAAGTCAAAATGATACGCAAAGACATACCCGGTTATTCCTGCGTTCGTCCCAGCTCCCGTCTCCTACGCCGAACAAGTCGACAAAGAATGCGGCAAAGCTCTCGCAATAAGCGAGCGTGAACGTCGAGATCACTAGAACAAACGTAGACAGCATGATCCAATATCTTCTTCGATATTTGGATGGCGAGGAATCAGATATTGCCCCTAAGACGAGCATGAATCATCCCGAGCCAATGGCGTTTCGCGAGCACCGCGAACGCACCTATAAGAGGCTGAGCTATTAGACCACTTATTGGCCCAGCTAGCCACACCAGAGAGGTGAGTTGTTCTGACAGTCCAAGCTTCAGCAGGAATGGATTTCCATAGCTACAAAGCGGAGGGTGAGTTACTCGTGTCCGCCAGTACTCAGCTAAGGCGCTCACCCAAGTTCGACAGTCCACGCAATCTGTGCGCCTGCCATCGACACGCTCAAAGTTATGAGATTCCATGTCGTGAGGAGCTTCTTGCCAACTGGAGACTGTGAAGCAGGCCTCTTTGCTGTCTCTGCAATCTGGATACCGCGTGGCCGACGACCGTCTTGCGCCTCAGCAGTGTCCTTGGAGCTGCTGCTGTGCTTGGAGCGTGCTGCAGGCCATGGTATCTGGGTTGTAGGATCTGGGTCGCTACTGTCCGCAATTGGGGGCATCATGTTGGATAGCGAAAGAGGTCAGGATGAACGCGGGGTGGTGAGCATTGCCTTATTTAAGACTTCTGTGATGTTCACAACGCTGCAGTGGTCCGAAGAGGTAAGATCAGCGCACGTGCATAGGTCGCGTCATTCAAACACCAGACAAACCATCCAGACCGTCCATCTAATACAGAAATCCGCATACAACGGCAGAGCGAGAGCGTATAAAATACATAAATAGCTATAATAAATGAAACTTGGCGATGGCTACACAATGCTCAGAGAAATAATGCGTAAATACAACAGAAGGGAATACACGAAGAACATCAGAATGTCAAAGAAAGGTCAGCCATTGCGGACAGCAGTCGCGGATAAACCTCGCCTGTGAACAGATGCGCTGGGAAGCTCGGAAGGGACAGCTTTGGTCAATCGATGATGGAATCCCAACCGTCGCGTTGGTGTGGTTGTATTTGATTCAGATTCTGTAATCGAGGGTGGTTCCGGAAACTGAGCATACTGGCTGGGCGGCCCGGTATATTTGTCGGGCTCGTCAAAGACGGGGCCGTTCGCAGTCGTCAAAGGAAGCGGCGTATTGGATTGCGAAGACGACCGTGTGAGTATGGGAATGGATGCAACATTAGGTCTCGACGTTGTCGGACTCGTGCCGGATCTATTTCGAAGCTCAGGTTGACCTGCTGTAGAATACGACACAGGTGTCGGTCTCAGTTGGGCAGCAGACATAGAAGGTCTTAACCTCCGAGGAGTTGTTGAACCGGTCAACGGAAGGGGTGTCAGGACGGAATCGTCTCCGCTGGCTGACGGCGCGATGGATTCGTTTTGGGATTTGTTGTCTGACGAAGTCCCTTGACTTCCACTTCGGTTCCGCCGCATGTACCGCTCCATGGCAGATGCGTCCCGTTCTCGCATCTTTGTGGCCACTGGGGATAAGGCAGATGCAAGTGCGGACGCGTTATTCAAGCGGGAGGCACTTGGAGGCATGGGCGATAGCGCTGAGAAAGTGCTAGCGCTGCTTGCCGACGAGAGATTCGGCGAGTGGGTGTGACTTCGGGATGGGTGGAAGAAGCTTGAGGCGGACGGGTGAGGGGGCGACGACGACAGCGACGATTGACTATACTGTGCGAAGGATCCGTCCAACTCCCCACTATCAGACGTAGCGGTCGTCCGGCTTGTGCCAGAACCACTGCGCATGCGCGGTACCGGCAGCGTCGTACTGTTCGTCGGAGGGCCACCACCCCATTCGTGACCCTTCTCAGCAGCCTGAGTAAATACAAGACGTCGTAGCTTCTTGTTATGCTCAAATTGCATACGTGCCGTGTCCTGCAAGGTGTCACGCGTGCTAAATCTGTCATAACATTAGCCGCGGGTTGGTAGGATCAACAGGGATTGCTAACGAATATGCGTAATCGGATGCAGTGAAGCCTTCGTTGTTCCGCGCCGCGTATTGACAACCCCTCTCGATGAGGAGTTGAACTACCTAAACTAATTTGAGGATGTGTGGAAATTCCTTTGTACGCGTAGACTTACTGGTATATGCCCCCATGAACTCGCACTACCCCATGTTACTCAACGATAACACCACCAAAGAATGTACTCACTAGTGAAGCGGCGTGTTGCCTGAATTGTCAGACAGATCAATATCTGCACCCAGGTCGCAGAACATCTGTAAATGATCGAATCATTGTTCTGGCGCAACAGATGGTAGTATACGCACTCGAACCATTTCCTCGTGTCCCTTGAGAGCAGCAATATGAAGCGCGGTCCTCCCTGACACATTCGACCAGTCGAGGATGTGAGAATAGCGGTCGTAGTATAGTCGGGCCATCCGGAGTGCAGCGCCAATAAGGTCCTCGGAATTTGCGGATCGGCTCATATACGGGTTCTGCACTGGCGGTTGGTAGTCGGCCAGTAGCATAAGGATGGTGTTGTTCTCGGAGTCCTAATGAAAGTCGCAAGGCCGTCAGATTTGCTTCATCCCTCAAGAGATTGAGTGCGTGCACCCTACTGAGTTCCTCGTCATCGTGACCTTCGCCCAATAAGAATTCAAAGGTTTCCTCGTGGCCAAGCACCGCTGCCCATGCCAAAGAAGTGTAGCGCCTCGGCGATGGGTCTGGGTTCCGCATATCTGTGCGCTGAATGAGCCTCCGTACTAGAAACAGATTATTTTCTATCGACGGCGGCAACATTACGCAGTCAGTCATTTGGAGAAGCGAACAATACAGTTCATTTGGGCGCACCTTTGACGGCTCGGCGCAATCTTACTGTTGCATCCTTTTCCGCCATTTAGGATGGGTGGTGGTGGATTACTGTGGTGGAATTATGAAGGGGAGATGATTCTGATGAAGCGGCAGAGTGACGAGTTGGCGTCTAGCGCTATAGTCCCCAAGTCACACATACGCACGTGCACGAAACTCTTTCCACTATCCACGACAACGACTTGAGCGACTGCATTTCGAGGCCTTGAGCAGTAGGCTACTGTTAACCTGTTCCCATTTTCTTGCCGATCTGAGGACTCTCCTACCATTCTCGACAACAATGCCCAAGGTGGTCTCTCGGTCTGCGGTTTCAGCCTCTACAGATGGTGGGTGCTTTGATGTCACACCCTGGATGAGGCGACTGATGCAACCATCTTTGCTAGCACACCCCACTGCCTCGTCCGCGGCGGCCCTACGCGTCTATTGTGCGTGCAGCTCTAAGGCTTTCGCTTGCGCCACATCACTGAGCTTCACGATATAGATTGCCTTTGTGGCGAATTCATCGTATGTTTTAGCGCCTCACTATCGTGTAGAGACGTCAGCCTCACTCTAGTCGTAGCTCGTGATCGACAAGTCCCTCTCGAGCCTACCACGGAGGCAAACGGATAATGCCATTATAGTCCGCTCTCAAGATAGCAACGACCAAAAAGCCCGTGTCTTCAAGCTTAACGCAAAATATGCAGACCCCATACTACTGGAAAGGCATGTCATTTGCATCCATTGTTCATCTCCCAGGCCGTTAAGTCAATATACAGAAAGGACGGTCATGAACGGCAATACAGATTCAACTGCCCTCGCTGTACTCTTCTCATAGGATATCAGCATACGCCCCCTCCAGCCAAATCATCTCCGTTCATCTACATCCTTTCTGGTGCCCTCACGCAAATGCAAGGCCAGCTACCCCAGGATGCGTTTGACGGGGAGAACAATTGAAGTTTCGGCTGTTTGTCTATGTTTGCACCTCCTTGAATCAAACAGGAGTACATCCGTGCCCCTTTCCTTGTCCCCTGTTTGGCCGTACGTGACATTGTCCCAATTCCATTATCCACCGCCTTCTCACTGTGCAAACACCATAGTTGTCCGTTGTCACCGTCTCAATGGTTGCTTAGATACTTTTACGAGGTGTTTGAATACATTGGTTCGCTACCAAACACCTACCATAGGAGGCGAATCGTACTGCTTGACGCTATGTTTGGTCTTCAAGACCCTCATCCGTTCGCCTCGTATTTTTGGGTATAAATTGCTTGCGTTTCAGTCCTTCTTCAGCAACAGCTGAGCTGCTCAACAACTATCCACCCCACTCTAGTTTTCTCCTCCATTCTCTTTGCGTCGTCGATATGGCTTACGGCTACAACATCTCCCTTCTTCCTGACGCACCCTCCTCCTCCCACTCATTCTCCGTCTTCCAAAATGCTTACGCACCTCGGGAGACGTACGCTCAGTACGATGGCCTTCGCCAAGCCCTTCGGTCGTCCAGCCGAGCCAACGTCAACGCCAACGTCAGCGCTCGCGCAAAGGCCTCTTCAAAGAAACCTTCGAAGAAGATATCCAAGCCCGCCAACAAGCTTTCCAAGCTTTTAGGCCGGATTTGATTACCTCGTACTTTCCATCGAGAAGATCGAGGTTACATAACCTTGGTAGGCCGAGATGGTCCCGTTAGGTCTCCGCACCTCGGGTATCTACCTTGGTGACCGCGCCCCGATGGTCCACGGCTTCCCAACGCTCTTGTGCAAGTTGTACTAGGGCTACATGGGAAGTCAGCGAAGCATGAAGATGAGTAGAAGGAGACAACAGAGAAGCGGAATCATTTGATGCCGCCCGAGTCAACAAGACGATGAAGTACAAGAGAGAAGATGAAATAAATTTGGAAAACCGACAACCGGTTGCTTGGTCTTCCATTGGGAGGGGCATCCACGGACTAATAATATATGCATAGAATGTCTCATATGGACTTTGCACGGACTTGTTATTTATTGCTGTATTTATGTATCTCCTTGGACATTGGTCAGTCACTCAGACATAGCATTGTGGTGGAAGTAAAGCGAAGCCCCGAGCGTCTACGCGGCGCTTGCCGGCGCCGTCGAGACGATCACTATCTTGCTCAGATTCCACGACCTCGGACCCCCTCCCACTGCGCACCTCCAAACGTGCCCGCTCATGAATCTCCCGACGTCTCGAGAGTTGGAGCTGGAGGTATCTCTGAGGCAACGAGATGCTCAAGTTGCAGAATTAAGCGTGAGTACACGGTTTACCTATTACCCCAGGCTCACTGACGACAATGTCTTGCCGCCAACCTCACAGGACGAAATAACCAGGCTACGACAATACTTGGCACGACAGCCAGGGCCCTCAACAACTGATCCAATCACTCTCCCCCCTGCCTATGTCTCAATGTTATTACCACAACTCGATGCCGCTTCGAGACCCAGCTCAACAGCCCCAGGATCTACCGTGACCGCTGCCTTGACCCAGAAGGTTAAGGCGCTTCAGGAGGAGAACGACGAGCTATACCAGATTCTGCAATACTCTGAAACGTCGAAACTGAAAGAGGAGGTTCATGTTCTTCGGTCGAGCGTCACTCGCCTCGAAAGTGCGCTCCGTGGTGCGTGATGCGTCGTGACTTTAGCTTCTCTGAACCTCATTGTCCCCTCACAGAATCTGATCAAACAGTTTCGGCGCTCTGGTGAGAGTTTTTACTGTCGCTTTCTTGGGTGTCCCCCTCATAACCCGCCTACCAGCCAGGAACTCGAGAAATCGAAGGAAGCGTTCGCTGGTCTGAAATCCAGCGCGTATTCGAAGTCGAGCGTGTATTCGGACAATAGCCATAGTGCGGCCCAATCACACCTCACTAGCAATGGCAATGCACGTACCACCTTCTCCAAGCCCCTTCCCACTGGGCCCAAGGGGCATAAGAGGCCCCGACTCTCCGATACCCAGGCATCCACGGGATCGAGTGGTTCAAATCCGCCTCCCCAACGATCATATCGTCCGAGTGAACCAAGAGGTCGGTCACCGCGACCGCACACCGACTCCCATGGGAAGCACCGGTCCGAATCGAGGATGGATGTTGATGGAGAGTCTCGAGCGCGCCCGCGGTCTTCTATAGCCCTGGCGCGCGATCGCGAACGTGGACGCGGACGCGAAGAACGGGCCCATAGCAAGGAGCACTCGCATAAGGACGAGGCGAAAGATGTCGATGAGGGGAATGATAGAGGACGGGACAGAACAAAGGCTCCTCGACGGAACGGGAATTTCAATGTAGGCAGGCCTAGCGGTGGTAGCGTTGGAGGGGCATCTAGCCGGAAACACGAACGAAGCAACTCCCATCGCCATTCACAAGGCGGGGACCGGACGTTAAAGGAACGAATGGGACTATGAATAGCTTGGGTCTGATATTGGACAGTTACCCCCTCGTTGCTTGTAGTGTATCTGGTACGACTCTCATAATCACCCCACTGTAGCCTTAGCTGACTGACTTACCTGATACCCCCTTATAGCTGTATTCATATACCACATTTGCTATCGTCGCTTTGTCGCACTGTCTTGTCAATAGCCCATCCTATTGCATGCCTTCATTTCATACTGGAGCTATATACTATCCTGGGGACTCTTTATCTTATGGTCGAATATTTCGGCATGTTACTTCCTTCGCTCACCTTCGGAAACTAGAATGTGGCGCCTAATATTACTGTAGTAAGCTCGTCATTTCTCCTTCTACCTACCATAAAGCACAGTAACCTAATTCGAAGAATTGGTGATATAGACGAACAATGGCAGCACGAGGTATCCTGCCACATGTGGCTTTCTCTAATGTCCACATTGATAGGCCAGGTGCTGTGGCCACTTGAGATTCGGGCCACATCGAAATCATATAAATATGTGGGGACTGGAGGTTCATCCTCCATCTCATGCCACATACTCGCGGTCGCTCCACATCATCTTTTCTCAATGACCCTTATACCATAGGGAAAGCCCAGACGTCTTCTGGTGATTTCAAAGAGAATATACCCCAGCGAAACAGGACCAAACATACTGGACGACACTCAGGCCTCGTGCATTCTCTTTCTCGTTCGGCCCTGGGTGCGACTGACTCGGAGCCGGTTCTTCGTGGACGACGTTCAAACCTTGGGTTCGCAAAAAGCACGCGGCTGAGCCCCTGCCGCCCCCTGGATGTTCCCTCAGGCCTACGCAAATCGGTTTCTCGCTCTCGTAGTCCCTTCGCTCCTCAAGAGTACTCTCCGACTCCCAGTCATGCATCCAGTCGCCAATCTAGTGCCTCGAGGACTGGATCCGCGCTTGTCGAGACTGAACTCTACGATGCTACGCTTGCCGAAGACTTCGCTTCACTGGAGATAGAACCTACATTGTTTGCGCCGTCGACCTTTTCAGCAGAGTTACTTTGTCTTGGCGACATCTACATCGCTGCATTGCTGGAGCCTTCAGTTGACCTCCAGATACCTCCCTCGAGCACAGTGGTACCAGATGCTTCTCCTTTGTTCCGGATGGTTCACTCTCCTGCATCGGGATACGGTTTGGTTGCTACCGAAGACATTGAAGTCGGGACCACGCTTCTGGTTGAACACCCTGTTGTCATCATACCACACGATTTAGAGTCCTTGTCGCAAATGTCGGATTCAGTCGCTCCTCTGCTTGCCAAATTACCCCAAGAAGACCACCAAGAGTTCATGAAGCTCTCGAACTGCACCCCCTTTGGTTGCGGTAAAGTCGAAGGCATTATAAAAACAAACGCTATACCCATAGAACTGAAGTCTCAGGGAGACACGGACAGTAACCCAATCATGTATCACGGAGTATTCATCAAGGCCAGTCGCTGTAATCATAGGTAAGCCTTTTTCTGGACGAAGTGACCTTTCCGTTGCTTAATTGATCCATAGTTGTTCCCCCAATGCTATCTGTAGATGGGACCTTCAAACCTTCACCCTTCACCTAGAAGCTGTTCGGCCGATAAATCTCGGAGAACAAATTACTGTGCACTATGTACCTCTCGAACAACCGCGCTCCCAACGGCGTGCGCAGTTACAAGAACTGTACCATTTTACTTGCCAGTGTGATCATTGTAACGTCCCTGACAAATTAGCGTTGGCTGGCGATGATATACGGCAACAACTACTTGAATTCAAGGGACGATTCCCCTCCTTCGAAGAATGGTGCTTTGATCTGGAATTCCCCGACGATCTCCTCATTCGTGCTAATTCTAGAGGTCTGGATCTTATTAAAAAGGAAGGACTGGAAGCCTTGGGCCGCGAATGGCATGCTGATCGTATCGCCATGTGTGCTGGTGCTCTCGCAGACGCGGACTTGTTCACAGAGTGGATCCAACAAGTACGGGAAATACGCGTCAAAAGGCGTCCAGAGCAAATCGGGGCGTTCGATAGATGGCTGGAAGACCCGACTACGTTTCCTATCTGGAACTGGAGGAACCAAGTCCGAGACGGTGCCCCACCGCAATATGAGGACGGGTCCTTGACAAGATTCTTTTCGCCCCCTCCAAATGCTACCTGGCCTCATCCGTCATTGAATACCCAAGAGTCCAAGTCCCAAGGCCGCGACAGTGGCCATATCGATTTACCCGAAGGTTTACTTTGCGCGACCAATATACCATAGGAAACGAAAGCTCCTGGAAGAGCATTTCATAGGTACAACATAGATATCATCCTCGTTCTATACACGTCTCAATATTTATACCTCTATCTCCGATCATTCAGAATACACGGACTCGATTGGTTTCAACTTGTCTTGTGTAGGACTTCTGATTTTACGTAAGAACGATGCATTGAAGGCTACCATCGACAACTGTTCCAAGTTTCAAAATTTCAACAGGTACTCATCTACGCTATCTCCCAATCTCAGTGAAACATCTCACGTCCCATTGTAGAACGTGTGGAATGCAAAAAATCGATATTCCCCACAAAGCACGCGTGCATCTACCTTCGCCACGCGTACCCATTCAACCTGAATTCTTTCAAACCCTACGGTATCCCCTCGATACCGTCAAGCAGGGCTACTAGATATAACCTTTTTGCATTTTGCCATCCTCTGCACGGCATTGTCAATGGTGATTTGACTGTTTTAAAAGCAGAGTTACCTGGCGTATCTCATGGTTATAATGACACAATTCGGAATGTAATGGTGGTCAGGAGAGAGCAGGGCCGCTAGGGTGAGCTTTAACTAATCTTGAACTAGACAATCATTTATGGACGGGTTGAAATGAAAGGGTAGGGTGTGGCGCCGTCAAGGAGATGCTTGAGACTTACTTACAACCAGCCAACTAGGCTTCCTCGAATAAGGATCTCATGCATTGGACGTGTATCAAGCCCATCCAGCGTCTTAAAAAACAACAAAACCGTTGGCTATCTCGGTGGTTTACGAGGATCTCACGTCGAAGTACACCCGCGTTCGCTGCAGGGATTCTGCGAGCTCACAACTGCAGCCGGATTTTCCCTGACCGCCTCATTCCGCCTTGCCGGTGCGGAATGTACGCCTATATCCCTGAAGATCATAGGAGACGACTTAACCAGCCCTTTCGTTGACCCTGGCGGCAGGGCGTTCTTTCCAAATTCCAAATCGTGATTAGGACACGAATGAATGGAACACAATACACAAGCACAGCCAGTACATTCGAGGCTTTGCACTGGCGGCCGCCATCTGCTGTGTATGGGCTGGGTGAGTCCCGCCAATACTTACAAATTCGCGTTCCATTCTTCGGCTTATACTTTTCTCCAAAGTTCAGCCACTCTTTAGCCTCCTTGAGCATCGTACCTGTCGTACCTGAGATACTCCGCGATTTCGCCATTCCCCGAAACCAACTCATAGAGTTTGTATAGAGTTTGCACGGCCACAATTGTAAATTACTCCACCGTGCTTCCAAGAACCTGAGTACGGTAGCATATGACGCATTCCCTACCTCCCTTGATCCGACAGACACCATGGGCTATCGACTCCGGACCGCTATTCTCCTTACTGTATCCGTGGTTGTGCTCAAGTCGGGATGACTATATAGGTACGATCGGGGAACTAGTCACTGTGGAACTTCGATTTACAAATCCTACATGTATGGTCCCTTATAGATCTCGCTACGTTGGTGGCCTCTGATCCGCCCGACCTCTTTGATCGCTGCTGTTATCCTCTGACTTTATCCTGCATTTCCCGTCTAGAATTGCGCCAGACCAGTTATCGCCACCGATCGTTGGTAATTGTCCAACAGCGCCTTAGATGCACTGACTCCGACCTCAGGAAATACGGTATCTGGTCTCCATACACACATACACACACAACTGCGACCCTACAGAGCGCTGACCATGGTTCCAAACAATCTCTGCTGTTGCCGTTCAAGTGCACACGAAGATTCAAGTTTCAGGTCCTCGTTTTCAATTGTAACACTCAAAGGCTGCCGTTGGGCTGCCGCTCATACCGCCAGCCTGAGCGCACTGCTGTGTGTCTTCTCTACGACCCTTGTCATTGGAATGCGACGTGGTGCGTTTGCGATAGCCACCATCCCGCAGTCCGCAGTTGCCTAGGAAATCAAACACAACGCTGGAGAATGCAACACGAGGTGATCGTATTTTGCTTGGGCGCGCTCTCAAGTTATTGATCACGCACTTCGCATTTCATGGTTACATCTAGGTTCATATGCCCTGTCCGACATCCAAGGCTCTCACTGACCAATCGAAGGATCATCTTTCCCCATCTCTCCCGATATCAACAAAGACCCCGACCCTTATCCCCACGCCGTCATGTATGGGGCTGCTAGGCGTCGGGAAAACGTTTCATTATCGGAAAGCCACCGCTCATTTTCTCGCGTCGTCAATCCACGGACGCAACCGTTCTCCCTGTGCCAGCAGCATCAGGAAGAAGTACTTTCTATCTGCATGTCACGCAGGCACCATTGGGACCATAGGCGCTATTATCGCGTTACTAGAATCCTCCGATCTACCACAAAGCCACTCCACATATCTAAGCAGGTCCTCCCCGATGTCACCCCTACGTTGGCCCTACATGAACAGCATTATCGAATCAACACCATGTGTCCTTGCCGCCCGTATGGGAAAATGCTGTGGAAAATGAACTAGAATCCAGCACATTCAAGTTTCATATCCTCGTGTTCAATCAGCTTGGAGAGTGTTGACGCTGGGCGCGCCGCCCTACGTATGATCCCTCAATGCTCGTCACTCTTTTTCCATGACCCTTGTCACTAGGCCCGGTATCGCTTATTCTGCGACGCGTCTCTGCCAATGATAGGCAAAGCACTCCCGTGACGGACACCGTCTTTAACAATCGACATCCGTCCGGCCCACACACCCGAACATGTCACTGCTCGCGACACGAACTTGCATTCTCGTCTCGGTGCGATGCCGAACGTTTGAACTGCGGTTGCGAGTTGCTTAGCACCCCAATTCAAACATTTGCTGGACTTCTGGTGCTCCCTCAACACCGGCGATTTCTCTTCCTGTCTCTCCCTCTCTCGTCCCTCACCGACAATCGACAATCGATCCCGCTACCACCGGCCGAACACTCTTTGCGGTTGCGCAGTTGCTTACCATCATTCATCAATAATGATTTACGCGCTGCAGTCAACCCCTTACATGCGCCTATATCCAAACTTGTTGACATTAGGCTCTCGCAGGCTTACATACCAGCTAAGCGAGGAACCGCCTTTCTCCATTTCTCTATTCCTCGATTAACCTCTCATCGGCCCTTCCCCATCAGCTCCCCAACGTCCGGCGTTGCATATCCCGACTCCGTATCCAGGGACAGTCGATCGCGTGTATTCACCGCACCGGTGTCTATCGGCGTACATATGGACATCGATGCTGTGCTGCGAATGTATGCGGTTATCCAGGAATCGGAGCACACATTTCAGACGATGGGCCCCTTTTCCAGTTTCCTGGTCAATTGTGGGCTGGGGTCGTTGGGTTCTGGAGCTTTGAAGATCAGTGGTATTGATCCGTGTTCGTCGAGACGCCCATAATGGGTAGTGAACTAGAGAGATCTTGGGGGTGGTGGGCCTAGGGTGAACTATCGCTCCCAAGTACCGTAAGAGGTTGTAAGTAATTAATCTTCTCATACCGATGTAGCACTGACTTCGTAATCTCAATACCAGCATCGCACGGAATCGGTCAGGAACTCGTACATGGAAGATCAGCAGTCCGCAGCGAGTATCTTATCAAACGTGCCGATAATATGAATCAATGCAATATCACAGAATACTACTAAGTGCTTCTCTGACTCTAGGTTCCGCCGTCTCGTAGTCGAGCCCTCGTTACAAGTCCAAACGCGCCACCGCCGCTACCCCTGGTACAACCATTGAATGACATTGGAAACACTATCTGATGTGTGAGGCGGAGCCGCGCGTACTTCGAGGTTACTGATAGCTCACCCCTCATTTACAGTTTCATTGTTCCAAGCGTGTGTTGACGTCAGTTCTCCTATATAATTACGAGAAGCTGCCGTTGGTTATACTAGGGTGGCCGACAGTTCACGTTGACGTTATCCCTATACGTCTAGGTCTAGCTGTACGACGCCATACGCCGCATTCGAGTCCATCACTGGCACCTCATCTTCGGTAACGCGACCGGCTTCCGCGAGTTGCGCCACACTGGCACCCATGCATCAGAGCATCAGTTGTTTCTGATGATTGACAGACAGCAAGTCAGTCAAACGCCGAGCCTCTTCCCCGTTGTTCCTTGTTCTAACTCCAACCTCGAACCCCATGCTGGTATGCCCGGTATAGTTATGATGATAATTATCAACGGTTAATGTCCACCATGATGCTGTCCACCTGTCTACGAGCGGCCTCGGTGATCGGGTCCTGGCCTTCCTCATCGTACTTACGGCACCCGGCACCCGATATCCAGTGCACTTCCATAACCACCAATACTAACGACTTACTCGTGAACTGAGTGGTTGGCCGAGTCCGAGGCCTGAGTCCTAACACGTCCTTCGAATCTCCAAGCGAGTGACCAGCCTAGCAACCCAGAGTACTCACGACTCACCGGCTTCGAAAGTCTCCTACTAGTCTGGGAAGTTGGAACCGACGTATTCGTGTATGTCGACCTACTCCGAGGCTCGCCGCTCTACTACCACTAAGAATCACCAGGTACCCATTGCCTGCAACTTGAAGACGCGCACGCACGCCCGCCGCGCACCATCGCGTCGACTGCGTGGACGCTCCTCGCTGCTCCGGGTGGGTAGTAGGCGGTATCGTAGGCCCGACTGCAAGCTTTGCTTGAAGATCTAACCGCTTAACTTAATCATACCCTTCCCTATGTGCCTGCTGCTTCCAGTAATACTGATACTGCCAGTGCTAACGGTGCATCCAGCCATCATCTAACTCCGTGATATACAACTCTGGTTAGCCTTGTTCGAAAGTCCAGCTCGAACAGGGCTCAAGCTAATACCGTAACTCCCCAATCAGACAATCAACGACAACGTACCCAACCGCGGCCCTCGACGTACGTTAGCCGGGGTCGGTACCCAACCCTCGCCGACGCACGCAACTCTAAACACCAGACTCTAAGTTATCCCAACCCTTCCTCGACATTCTCGACATTCTCGACTCGGGAGTCGGCTGTGTGGGGTTTATGAGGACTTATGCACTTGCGATC